TTCTTCTCCCCCGGCCCTAGCGTAAGCCTTTAATCCCCCGGAATGGATGTGGGTATTAATGGGCTAAAGGTATCGACTTTGCGCGTTGAATTTCGTTTGCGAACGTTTTTAGCGCATAGGTTTGTAAAAAGGGCGATATTAAATAGTTCGACTAGTTTAATTTTTGATATAAAATTTGTAATCGCCAAAACCTTCCAAAAATCGTGCGCAAGCGTTTTCTCTAAAATTTGCTTAATTTTAGCTGAGCTAAATAGCGTAGAGATTTTTTAAACATCACTCAGATTGATTGTTCGATTAGAAAACGTTTAAATAAAACCTAATTCGATTAGCTAATTTAAATCTAGGTACAAAAACGTCCAGGAATAGTAGCTAAATACCTTCTTAAAGCTTAAAAATAGCATTGTGAAGCCGTAATAACCATACCCCAAAGAAACATACCAATGTCGTTGAGTTCATTACCAGAAATTGTTGCAGATATCAGAGGGTAATGGCTTTGAAAGTGTGTGTACATTATCGTGCGTCAATTTATTATTATATCATAGTATAATAATATATAATAATAGAATATATAATGATATAATAGACGTATAAATATACCTTTTTGTTAAAAATCGGGGCAGGAGATCAGTGATCATTTTGAGGGTGTCTGGGGCGAATAACACAGCATTATTTGGGAGAAGAAGGGCAGTGGAATGCTTTGGAATTTTGGGCTATAAATTTAAATTTAAATTGACTCTGTGGTAAACTCCAAGCTACAAGAATCACCACACAATAATGTACATAAAAAATTAAAATTATATAAATTTATAAAATTTATTTTTTCAACCTAAAAACACTCGGATTTTTTTTGAAGGAGCGGAGAGCGGTGCGCCTGTGTGTTTTATTAAAAGACACTGGTATTTGCTAATTTTTCCGGATATTTAAAGGCTATTTAGACGAAGGGTACGGTAGTTGAGGGCGAGGTTTAGCGTGGAAAACTATTAGTGGAACTTTTTAGGGATTTTTCGAGATTTTGGATCGAAAACTTGTTAACTTTAAAAATCTGCAAAGATCGTAATATCCCAAAAAATTAAACTTTTTTTGCAAAAACTTCATGCGAATTCCGAAACAGCGTCAAAAAATGGGTTAAAAAGTTCTTTACCAAATTATTGGGCCTCGAGCGCTAGACGTACAAGATTCCGATTCCGAAAAGACTCACTAAAAAACAGATATATCTCCAAAATTAGGCATTTTTGGTTAAATCCAAGTGCAGATTCTAAATTAGCATAAAAAACTGGTCTGGAAAAGTTGTGCTCAAAGTTCTGGACGTCAAATTCTAGCAGTACAAAATTCAGAAACCAGAAAAATTCTTTCATCCTTACTAAATCGCGCCCCCACTACCGTACACCTATCGCCCATCCGGCAACAGAAAGCTAGGGCTATGCAGCCCGGTTTGTAACCCTTCTACAGCCAAATGTGTCCCATATTGGGGTCCGTAACCACCTCCTCGAGTCGATGCCGTCGTGCCTGTACGTCTTCCCGCCGTCGCGTACACCCTGCTCAGCGCGTCGCCGTCGTAGTGCCACGCTTTCGGAGGTACCGATTGGTGTTGAGTTGTGCGCTGGGGTGCGTAGATGTTGCGGGAGAGTCCGGCTCCGGTGGTTGTCGATAGTCCATTACCGTAGTCGAGGCTCGTCTGCAGGGGCCGCGCGCCGTAGTTCGTCTCGTTACGGGAGTATACCTGAAAGTGAAGGTAGGTTGAGGTAAATTCAAGCGGAGGATCTCTCTGTGTGTCCCTCTTTCTCTCTCGCTCTCTCTCTCTCTCTCTCTCTCTCTCTTTGCTTTGCATCCAAGCGAGAGAGAACACACAAGCCAGATAGCTCCTGTCACTGCCCCTTTAAAGGCTCTAGAAAGCGCAAAAATCGACCACACCGATCGACTAGGTCTCGACAGCTACGCTCTGCTGCAAATAACGCTTGCGAACCTGTAACTGAACTTAGGAAGCGCAGAATCGACGGCTTCCTGGACTAGGTCTCGACAACTAGGCGGCGCTCCAAAAAATCCTTTTACAGCTGAAATCCCAAGTTTTTCACGCGAGCTGTGGCGCTTGAAGTCTTTTTTATACATATTCGACAGAAGGATTTCGTTCTCGTTCATTCGATATCATTCTTAACGGCAGCATAACCCCCATGATACCTGGTTCAGCTGCTGGGCGGGTGGTGGTTGTTGTCCGTACGCTGTGGCGGCCGTCATTTGGTTGTAGTTGGTAGTGAGGGGGCGTTGCTGACCATACGCTGTCTGTTGCTGTTGGTACGGTAGCTGTCCTCCAATCGTCCCAGCATTCGCCAGGGTGGTCGTGCCGAGACCCGGGTACGGGTTTGTGGCGTACGACTGAGGGTATTGCCTGGGAAAAAAAAAGTTTAGTATCGAGTTTAAGGTATCTTTTTCGATTCCGTATAATTTTTTGATCTTTCTTAGCAGTTTATCAGGTAAAAAATAGCCAAAATATACGTGCATATATACCTTAAAACCCAAAAACTTTAGGAACTTACTGTGCGTACGGATCGGTGACGGCCGGCGGTTCGTATGGTCGATTTTGGGCGATCGGGACAGAAGGCTGAAGCTGAGCGGCCATGTGGTGTTGTTGGAGCCTAAAAATGACATGTTTTTGATAGCATAATCCACTATGCCATTTATTTTTTGCGTTTTACATACCGTAATAAATTTTCTTTCTCCCAAATTCTCCCAAAATTCTTTCTTTAAGCCTTTGCGAGTTGCTTAGTAATTTCAGTCTGATCACTTCTAGCCTTCAGATACCTTTAATACCCTTCAATCCCCATGCTAACAAACCTCGGATCCTGCCCGTATCCCATCGGCATCTGCTGTTGCTGTTGTTGTTGTGTTCCGTACATTTGATCGTTACACGGGGCCAGTTGTCCGTGGTGGAACTGTCGCTGCAGGTAGCTCGCGTATTGGGACAGCATTTGATCCCCGGCCATCGAGCTCGTGCCGGCATGGCCCAAAGACGGAGCTTCTTGAGCACGAGGTGGCAGGGCGTACGGGTCGCGCATCGGGTCGGAGATGCGTCCTAAAGATGGCACTTTGTCGTGAGTTTTAAGACTTGGAAAACTAAAACCGAAGTAACTAACCATGAAACATCAGCCCTGCTAAACTGCTCTGCCACTTACCGTAAGACCCTCGCAAGTGCGGTTGCATGGCAAGAAGACCGTCCCTTTCCATCCCGAGCGAGTCGAGATATCCGGTTGATCGTGCGGTTGTCTGGGCGTACGGTATTCGCCCTGTCGAAAAACCGGCTGCAAGCGGGTCGGCGTTCGAGAGATCGTACATCGAACGGGAGTACCCACGGTCGTAGGCAGATCTGGAAGGTTGGATTGTTTTGAGGTTCCACTTTCATAAGTGTTAGGGCTCGTGCCTTCACCTTCCCTTTAAAAACCCAGCAAGCATAAGAATTATCCCTTTCATCGACAGGGTTTCAAGAGCTACGCCACGCGCCACAACGTCAAAATTTTCAGTCACGATTTTAAAAGGCTTTTTGGCATGTTTTCGTGTTTTTTAAGCTGTTATCGAGACCTAGGCGTTGAAGGGCGTTGCTTTGCACCCTTCATAGCCCCTGAAAATTACTAAAAAGTATCAGAAGTGACCCCCACGATCGACTAGGTCTCGACAGCTACGCGAGGCACCAAAACACGCTCGGAATTTTAGCTGAAGAACCAATTTGGGTGGCTTTTGGAGGAGCGTAGCATAGCTGTCGAGATCTCGTCGATCTGGGGGTCGTTTTTTGTCACTTCCAAACCCCTTTAAAAAGACCAAAGCCGAGACACTAGCCCTTCCGTTGACTAGATCTTGACAATTACGCTACGCTCGAGAAGCGCTTGTCATTTTTAGCATGTAGAATTTTATGGTTTTAGGGCGTAACGTAGTCGTCAAGACCTAGTTAAACTAAGGGGTCGAATCGCACTTCTCAGTACATTTAGACCTCAAACTCCAAACTCCCACCTCGCACTCAACGGAGCTCTTCCTCCAAACGGCTGCTCATACTCGGTCGTTTGAATCGGATCCTCATGGTCCATCATCCAGCGCTCATAGTTCCGGGGCAAACTTCCATAATTGTAAGAAGCCACATTCGACGTAATCCCATCCGGTCTTAACGTTAAGTCTCTTCCTGTCCTATATCCATGAGGTCTGGGCAGGGATTGGCAGTAATATCGATTATCTTGAAGGGTAGTTAGGTCCCTTTCTTCTCTTCTTCGCGACAATTCATCCATCAGCTCCATTTTGCGGTATTCTCTGGATGTCGGATCATCATCAGTGAATGTGAATCTCCCGGTCGTCCTCCCTCTAGCTCTTGGGCTATCCGAGAAATGCCGCCTCCTCTGCTTCTCCTCCCTCTCCAGAGTGTCACGGAGTTGGAGCTCCGCAGTCATCTGCCTCAACTGCCGGTCGTAATCGTCAAAGTATCGCTTCGTAGCCTCGAGTAAATCGTCGCTTCTGAGTTCTCGGTGTCTAAAATCAGTTTGCTGGTTGGGTTTCTCATCAATAAGCAATTTTATATCAATTAATACAAACAATAACCAAATTTGCTGTATTTTTTTTGGCAATTTTTTGCGTTTGTGTATGAAGTGGGTACTGGACTATGAGCCGGGGGGGATTAATTTTGTATTGTCCGCTTATTTCTTTGATAAATATACATAGATAGCGAATTTTTTATGGTGTTTAACTATTTTTAATTCCTAGAGAGTTAAAAACTCAAAATGTGGAAAGTTCGGAAATTGCGTTTTTGACATTTTTCATATATACAGGGTGTCCCAAAAAAAACGACCCATCTGGCATGTCGCCGTATTACATCCAATCGGCCCCAAATTTGGACCAGGGGTGTATCAGACCCTAAATAACAACAATCCTGACTTTTAGCCCCATAGCTACAGTAGTTTTAAAGTTATAACCAAAATAAACTTTATTTTCCATTTTTCATAGGGTTTCCGTGGAGTTAGACCCCCCAGACATTAAGTGAAAATGATTCGGTAGGCCTTCTTTACTCGAAGAAATTTTTTCCGGACCAGAATTAATCAAATAATCGTTCAATTAAGCGATTTTTACAACACAAAATTACCCAAGTTCTTAAGCGAAATTAGGGATTCGCAGCCGGAAGTCGATGCAAATCGATGCAAAGTCCAAAAAGATAGCCGAAAACACTGTTTAGAATTGCGTCAAAAACAGTATTTTCGTTATAACTCGAGAAAGACTGTAGCTACGGGGCTAAAAGTCAGGATTGTTGTTATTTAGGGTCTGATACACCTATGGTCCAAATTTGGGTCCGGTTGGATGTAACACGGCGAAATGCCAGATGGGTCGTTTTTTTTTGGGACACCCTGTATTTTTGTATAGGCGAACAGTTAAAAATTAGTTTCCTTCCTTGCTAAGCCCATCCCCGCTAACAGTCCAGCACCCCAAAAAATTGTGACAATGCTAATTTACCAACCTGATGTCTTGAAGTCGCTCCCTATCGATTCGTTCTCGCTCCAATCGATCCATATCCCATCTTGTTCTCCGGTCCGTCGTTCTCCTCGGGTCGATGCTAATGTTCTGCGTGGGGGTGACGTCAGTTTGCGTAGCTTCCGTCCGCATCCTCTGCCCGTCCATCCGGTCACGGTCTAATTGATGGGATAATGAAGCTGTAGCTCCGATTCCTCGGCGGTCGTATAGTCTATCGAAGCCCTCCATAGTACGCTCGTAGAGACGGGAGTGTTGCGGTTGTGGGTTGTACTCGTACCTAGAAAATGGGGTTTTTTAGACGGACGCACCATATATGTTTGGGGATACAAGGTTTTGTAGTGTATCTATGGATTTTTAGTGGGGTATAAAGGTACTGGCACGTATAGATCATGGATTTCTTGGCTATGGGTTTTCCATTGATTTGGCCGGACCCGTGGGGCATCAATAAATGCCCAAGAAATCCACAGTCAAGCCTTGCTCCTCCCTTTAAAATGGCGCTAAACGTCAAATTTTACCCTTTTCGTGGGCTAGGTCTCGACAACCACGCAGCAGAATTAGATCACTTTTGGAGGCTGTTTAGGCGTATATTCGAGACCCAGCACACGAAAGGGTCAATTTTCAGGTTCGATTCGGAACGCCAGAATCCACCCCACGCCACTAGGTCTCGACAGCTACGGTTCACTTCAAATGACACAGCAGCACGTTTTGGTCGCCATTTTGTGGGGTTTTAGACGTATTTTAGCGTGTAACGTATCTGTCTAGACCCATTAATCAAATGGGGTCGATCCTCGAATCCCCTCGATTGCGAAAATCGACCCTTTCCACCGACTAGGTCTCGACAACTACGCAGCCAGCCAAATGACCTAAGTAGCTCGGTATGGCCTCATTAAGTAAGTTATTATTGGCGTATTTTGGTCCGCTACTTAGCTGTCGAGACCACATAATCAAAAAGAAGTAGATGTTTAGCTTTTTTGCCTTCCAATCCCTTTCAAATACCCACCTGACGGGCTGAGCAGCAGCGTCGCCCGAGCTCTGAACCCCGATGCTTCTCTTATGCGCCGGAAGGGGCTCGGTGTAGGTGGAGGAAGAGACCGTCATGGGTTGATGGTATCCATAAGCGATATTCTGACGTTCCCTTGCCCCAATATTCGTCAGATGGTCATCCTTCTGAGTTCCGACAGTTGCTGTGGGGCGTGGCGTAACTCGTGCTCCGTTGATCAGCTCGATCGGGAGGAGGCAGGGGATCACGCGAGGGACGTCGTCCTCCCTGAAAATCGGGGTGAATATCTGTCTCTGTCTTTCTGCCACACTCTCTCAATGTCACTTTCTCTCTCTCGCGCTCTCTCTCTCACTCTCCCCCCCCTCTCTCTCTCTCTCTCTCTCGCTCTCTCCCACCTATTGTCAGGAAGAAGCCCGGTGACGAGCATCTTGTGGACGACGTACTGACGCTGGTTGGCCTCGATCTCGCACGCCTCCAGCGCGTCTCTGCGACGCGTCAGCGCCTCCTGAAATTTCGCAATATTTTTGGGGCGAAGGATGCTAGGTTTTAGAAGCTATAGAAGCTGGCTGCAGGCTAAGAAAGATTGGAAAATTCCTTAAAGAGTTTGCGGCGGCATAAGTCAATCGATTACGCGCGGGAAAGAAAATGTCACTGCGCCTCTCCCCTGGGCGCCCTCTCTCGCCGCTGCATCTCTTTAAAGAAGAATCCACAAGGAAAAAAAAACATAAGAAAGCCTTGCTTGTCCCTTTAAATCATCATTTCCCTGCCTCATCCACGATTTCAAAAAATTTGTAAAGCTGTCCGCTATATTTCCGTTCTTTTCCGTTTCTTTCCGTTTTTGGCCTCGAAAAAAGCGGCCGTGAGGGGAGTATTTTATGCACGAACGTCTCCGCGCCGCAAAGGGACCCCCAGGGTGTCTCAAGAAGCCTATTTTGGCCAATTGCCAGGGCCGCCCGGCCCTGTCCGCGCCCTTCAGAAGCAGGATGTCGCCCGGAATTAGGGCTGACACGGAAAAAACAAGCCGGAGGTGGGCAAGAGAAGCCCCCCCCCCCAAGAATCGGGAGGGCACTTTTTAGTGCGCCCCAACCTAATTGGCGACTACCTCCAGGGCCAGGGAGAGTATGGGCTGGAAATGACAGGGTGCAGCGGATCGGGATGCCCTTTTTTGAGTTGGCACCGAGAGTTTGGAGCTAGGAACGAAATGTTGCGGTTCGTGGGAAGGCTCTTTATAGTTCAAAAAAAAAATTCACAGAATCGGCTAGGAAAGGGGAAAAAGACGTATCGGCACGATTTGCCCATATTTGTCGTAATTCTGCATACCTACATTACAGTCCATAATCAGCAGTAGCATCATGAAAAAACCGTTTAGGAAAAGGGCTTTAACGTAGCTACAGGAAACCACTAAAACCGATAATTGTGACTTATCGGCAGTATCTAACTTTTAGCTGGCCATTGATGAATCATCAACTTTTTTTGTTGTCTAACTTTGTCGAAATTACGTCTCAAAAGGTGCAGCGCTTCTATAAAGATAGCAATCTATAAATTGCACAAGAACTTTTTAGCGTAACCTAAATCAGCATGTCTATGCAGCGCTTAATTGTGAGCATGAGGGCGCGCTAGTGTCCTGTTCCCTCTAAAACCTCCAAAAACGCGAATTTGCAGCCTTTTCCGGTTGGCTAAATCGTGAGGTATCCGGCTTCAAAAGCAAAAAAGAAAAGCAGTTTTCCTGAAAAAAAAATAGCTGGTGCCAGCGGCAGTATCGCAACGTAAATAAGTATATTCGTGTAACCTTTGGGGGTGTACGGGACTCCCGATGAGAGCGGACTAGTGTGCGCGGCGGGGATTGAGCCCCTGCATAGGGGCCCCACCGCAAAAAGAGGCCCTTCTAGCCAGGGCCAACGGCAAGAGAGAGCGGCGGAGAGGGATTGGCCTTAGTTAGAGAGTCCAGGGATAAGAGGGGCCCAATGGGGCCTCTTAGGGCCCGAAAAAGGGCCCACCCAGGCCGTTATCGATGAATCGCTGCTCGGCTTTTAGCTTTTTGCGCTCTCGGCTTTTTTTTGGTGGGCGCCCTTGCCTGGGCGGCAAATGGGATATGTTTCCGAGGGTTTGGGGCTTCGATTTTTTGGGAGAGTGCCAATTATACCTATTTAATGGCGTTTAATGGGCTTTTGAGCTTTTTAAAAATTTTTAGGGCATTCTGAAAAGTCTGGTCCATTCGATTACGCTACCAAATAAACTTATAAATTTTAGTGGAAGTCTAAAGGATGCTAAAGAGCATTCGGCGAAGCAAATTACATTTTTTTTCTGGCCTGATTTTCAATGAAAACTTGTCAAAAATTTCGCGTTTATTAAATTACGGTGGGAAATTACATAAGTGAGTCTATTCGGTTACGCCTAGAAATCCCTTGCTTAACCCAGTTCTTAAATTTTTCTGTAAGTTTTAAATGGATTAAATCGTACTGAACCCCTAGGTCTATCCAATTACGCTATGTGTCTATCCTTGTTCTATTTTTTAAGTTTTTTCTTAAAAAACGCGTCAAAATCACTAGGTTTATTCGGTTACGCTATGAAATACTAAACTCGGTCTAGTCAATTACGCTATAAATTCTATTATGCGAGGCTACATAGAAAAGTGTTGCCTGAATATTTATATAAACGCAAAATACATATTATAGTTTTTTAGCTTTAATTTAAGTCCGAAAGTAGCCCAAATCCAAGCACCCAAAGCCAAATTTGCCAATGGTTTTGGCTGCGGGTTTTCAAATTGCTTATATGCCTAGAAAGCTCTGCCTAGAAAGAGGTGTTCTACGATTCCTAAAGCTCGATATCGTTAGTCCAGCGACTATTTGAGCTTCTATTTCTCACCCAGTCCTCCAGGAGGCTTTCGAGTAATAGGGGCTATAAAATAAATGAAATTCTGAGTTCTTGTTTTCTCGGAATTGTAGTTTTTATTTTTAAAGAAAAGTATAAAGGTATACCTTGAGCTCCTTTTTAAGCAGCACTCTCGCCAAGGTATTCGGGATTTTCGACTGTTGCGAGGTGCGGTGTTTGTGCTGCGAGATGGTGGAGACCGGCCTGAAATGGGTGTAAATTAGGAAGAAATACACATATTGCTCGGGTATATTCGATTACGCAATTAATTTAATGTATAAAATCGTGATACTTCAAAAATTTTTAATAGATACCTCAGCGTCCTGTGCTTCTGGGGCTGCTGCGCCGGGATATGGGCCCCGGCCATGATGGCTGGGTCGTAGAATGTTCTCGATGATGAGAATCCAGAAGCCGCAGATTGTGGCCGGCTCAAATCCATCATCGAGCCCATGGCAGAGCCGGGTTGGGAGCCCAAGCCGGGTGTTGGTGGCTGCTGATAGCCCTGGGAGGGCAGTGTCGACGCACCAAGCCCAGAAACGACGCTGCTTCCGAGGAAGGAACCAGTGGCTGAGCCCGGGCCGGAGGGTTTCTAAAAAAGGTAGTTTTAGAGAGGGCAAATAGAGGCAAATAAAGACCCTTTCGAAGTGAAGTACGCTACAAAACTTACCACGCCAGGTTGTAGCTGCTGTGACGGTGGTGGTTTTGAGAAAAATCCGAAGGGTGATGTTGTTCCAGATTGAGTACCGCTCGGTGGTTGATACGATGTTTGAGTTTGGCCGTAGATCGAAGACGACGTCAGTGGCGTTGTACGACCGGATCGGAGTTCTGAACAATCAGTTTTAGTAATTTTCGACAAGTGCAGGCCGTTCCTTCGAAAGTTTGGCTTAGCTTGGGCTTAGCTTAGGCTGAGCTTATGCTTAGCTTAGGCTAAGCTTGGGCCTAGCTTAGACTTTGCTTATGCTTAACTTTGGCTTAGCTTAGTCTTAACTTAGGCTTAAGCTTGGCTTGGACTTAGCCTGGGCTTAGGCTTAGCTTAGGCTTGGCTTGGCTGACTTACCCTGATCCGCAAACGACACATGATGCTGGGCCTGGGTCTGGCTGAGTAGACTGGTGGAGTACGGCCCAAGTGGTCGAGACAGGATTGAGCTGGGCTGGTTTTGGCCCTAAAATTTGCATTCCGAGATTCCGAAAGTGCACCCACCATAGATGCGGCAGTCGAAGTGCCGACCCCAGATGTCCACGACGCTCCCGGGAACGCAGTACCGTACCCGGGCGGCCACATCGAGCCGGACATCGGCTGCGCCGCCGCCGAGGTCGACGGGACGCCTGCAAAAATTGAATTATGGAGACGAAGCCGTTTTAAAATTAAATTTTAAAATCAGGTCAGGTTAAAGGAGATAGGAAGCACGAGAATCGACCTTGTTGACTAGGTCTAGACAGTTACAGTAGCGGACAAAAGTATTGGGATTTTTTATTTTTGACAAAATCTCGGGAGATTTAACACGAGGTGAGCTCAAAAGTTGGTCCCTAGTAGAATTCAAGATGCTTTTTCATATGCAATGCGTTAAAACCGGCCACTCCATAGTACAAGAAAATTAGGAGAAAATTTCAAAAAGCTCGGCGACAAAAGTATTGGGATTTTTCTTTCTGAAGCCTAGAAAACGAGCAGGTAACCTTGTAGAGCTCTTGTATTGATGCAAAAGCGCCAACTACAGTTGAAATTTGCTTTTCTAATAGGCGTTTCCATCCCGGAAACGCTGAGGAATTTTTTGAAAATCTCGATTTTAATATGAAAATTTGCTTTTTTGCCTCTAACTCTTTGAATATAGTTTTAATGCCGGTTTGCTCTATATATTCGGATAGAGCACTTCAGGGCGATCATTTTCGTATATGCATGTCCATAGTTTTTCGCCATGCCCCGGCAGATAGAGACGGCCCAGTTCTGTGCACGGGGGTTTGGGTGTCCTTTCCATAGATAGGGCCCCCATTTTACTACGGACGCCGCCGACTGAAAGATTAGGCCCTACGTAACTCTGCGACGAGCGTGTTTCCTAGTGACTATAGCATATCGAACTGCTCGTCTTAAGCTGCTCTATCCGAATACATAGAGCAAACCGGCATTAAAACTATATTCAAAGAGTTAGAGGCAAAAAAGCAAATTTTCATAGTAAAATCGAGATTTTCAAAAAATTCCTCAGCGTTTCCGGGATGGAAACGTCTATTAGAAAAGCAAATTTCAACTGTAGTTGGCGCTTTTGCATCAATACAAGAGCTCTACAAGGTTACCTGCTCGTTTTCTAGGCTTCAGAAAGAAAAATCCCAATACTTTTGTCGCCGAGCTTTTTGAAATTTTCTCCTAATTTTCTTGTACTATGGAGTGGCCGGTTTTAACGCATTGCATATGAAAAAGCATCTTAAATTCTACTAGGGACCAGCTTTTGAGCTCACCTCGTGTTAAATCTCCCGAGATTTTGTCAGAAATAAAAAAATCCCAATACTTTTGTCCGCTACTGTACGTAATACAGCATATGACGCTTAAAGTTTAACTTGATAGGGTATTTTAGGGTCCGCGCAGTTGTCGAGATCTAGTAGACGCTAGCGGGTTGGTTTCCGAGCTTAATAGCTGTTTTAAAATTCTTAAATCGAGAAAAGCTCACAACGCTTCGTCAAGTTTAAAAAATTTAAACTTTTCAGTCGCTTAATCGTTTGAAAATTTCTGTAAAACGCATAAAATCAGATCCTGGCCATTTGCCAAGAATTAAATTAGATTCCTGACTTCTACAGATCCCGTTCAAGCCGAAAAAAATCAGAAATGACCTGGAAACAAGCCTGGGCAGTCGGCCAAAAATGTCTGAAGTGAATTCTTGGCTTTCATGTCTCCTTAAAAACCACAAAAATACCTAATAAAAATTCTAGTATCTATGGACTAAATCCAGGAGTCCTCAAGACGTATAAGAAGAAATAGAAGCAGTTGTACCCATCAAAAAGGGGGGAATCCCCATGGGGGCCCTTCGATGCATTGGAATCTCGGGGCTTCGCGGCTTTCTCTCTCTCTCTCTCGCTCTATCTCTCTCTCTCCCTCGCGCTATCTCTCTCCCGCTCGTGCTCTCTCGCTATCTCTACCCCCGAAAAAGAAAGCCCACACACTCACCCACAACTCCACGCGCACACACAAATGCAAATTGGCCCCTCCCGGCTTCTGGGTGGGGCTCAAGAAGTGTGGGGTTTGAGGCTGTGGGAAAGCAAAAACAACACGAGTCTCCTTCGGTTTTCTGGCTAAATTTGGGGGTTTCAAAAGGCTGTAAAATTTGGGGGTTGCTGTAGTAGAGAATTCCGGGGTTTTGGGTCCATAGTACAGTTGACGATAAAATGCGTCGCGACGATACGCTATTATAAAATGCGTGACGCTATCTTACGATGCGTTACGCTACGTTACGCTACGTTAATTGGCCTAACTTGACCCGGCTATATCATGTGTTCCATTATGCTACGACAAGCCATATCCCAAAAAATGCAATGACGCGGCATTACGCTACGCAAGGATACGCTGCAAAAGTTAGGCTTCGTTGCAAAATGCTGAATTTACGCTTCGACCCGGCGTGTAAGATACAAAACCTTACGCAACCAAGCGCTGTTTTACGCTGCGCACCCCAAATCCCGCATCCTTCACCGGCCCTTTAAAACCACCCCCGCAAAAACCACGTGCAAACCCGAAAATCAGTCGAGTTCAAAAAATCTGGGGCCCAAAACGCGCCCGAAACGGGGAGGAAACGTTTTTTTTGGCCGGGGTGGTGGTGGTGGGTAGTAAAGCGTAAGTGAGTGGTTTCGGGGGCCCTCGGCGGGGCCAAAGGGCCCCCAGTGGGCCCAAGGGGGAAAAATCGGGAGGAAGGGGATGTAGCGGACTAAGAAGCGGAAAGAAGGAGGGGAGGAGAGACAGATTGAGAAGCCTTCAGAAGGTATGGCAGGGGGAGGGGCGGGCAGCAAATGAATGAGAAGATGGCCATCGAGCGGGGGAGGTCTTGGGAATGGGGGAGGTGCGGTTAGCGAGGCACAGACGTTCATCAGCAGGGTAGGATAGTAGCGTTAATTTGGGATCAGAAAAATGGCGCTGAGGGACGTAGCTAGGCGGAATTGAAGAAAAAGAAAAATTCTGAACTTTCTCTAGTGCATGCCGTCTAACGTCGCTTAAGCGTTACGTAGTGGCTATGACTACGTGAAGCTCCTTGCAAGATTGGTACTACATACGCTTTTTCCGATTTCTACCGACGGTGCAGGCTAGCAGGGGGTAATTTGGAGTGCCAGACAGAAGGCCAAAATAAAGCAATTTCCGAAATGCAACTTATTCGAGTTTTTGCTGACAATGCACGGAGTCACATTGTACCGTAGGGCGCTACGTTGACAACACCGACTACGCAAAGCTCCTTTGAACATTCCGGATCTGTGCGTTCTGCATTCTGTACTCCTCCAAGACGTGCTGAAACTCTTGGGAGGCGACCCAAGTAAGGAGGGGATGTCAGCGAGACGTACAACTTGAAAATGGGTCGTGCACTCGTGGATGAATGTCAGAATGTCTGTTTGGTCTTGCAGGATGAAGTAGTTCTATCTGTACTCTTTGGCCTGCAGAAAATCGTAGATGAACGTTAACGTAAGAGGTCGACGTCAGCGAGACGTACAACTTATCCATGGGTTCTGAATTCTGGATGAATCCCTAACCGCTTGGTAGGTTCTTCACCGGGTTTTTAAATCATGCTGGAAAAGAGAAAGAGAGAGAGAGAGAGAGAGAAAGAGAGAGAGAGGGATAGAGAGAGAATGAGCGAGAGAGAGACAGAAAAATAACCAATCCCCCCAAGCAGCGCAAAATACGCCTCCCCCACCCCGCGCAAAGAGCAAGAAATATAAGAGTAGCCGCCGGCTAGAAAGAGGGACCCAGGGCCCTTGAAGGCGAAAAGTATGGGTCCTTTCCCCTCCACGTGTGCGGCTAGGGCCCTCGGTCCTAGAGGGCCAAAAAAGGGCCCGCTAGGGCCCCGCGCCGTTGCTCCCGAGGAGTCCCGCCGCCGGACGGAAAAGGCCAAAAAGCGGACAGACGGACAGACGGACGGACACACACACACGGCGATGGATACCAAGCCATAGCGGGCAGGGACACCAAGCTGATCGATCTTCGCTTCCTGCCCTTCGTTTCTTCGTGCCTGGGGGGGAGGCATTTTGCTCGGGCGTTTTTTTTTGGGCCGACCGCTCGACTCGACACAATTATACGTGGCCGAACGGGAGGGAAGGAACGGGAGGAATGGAGTGGAACGGAACAAATGGTAGCTGAAGAAGCTGTGAACGGTTTTTATGGGTTTTCTTGGGAGTTCGGAAAATTCATAATGCCAAATTCTCGTGAAATTGTTGGAATTTTGAAGTTTGAAAACGATGAAAATTAAAATCTGCTCTTCCAACCCTTCCGTGGCGTAGTGAAAACCTGCTTTTTTCATTTTTCTTCAATTTCTTGGACTTTTGGGTATAATTATTCGCGGTTCTATTAAATATTTAATTATTTTGTGTCAAAAAGCTCGATCGCGTGTTCCAAAAAAATCGAAAAATCCCTGCAAAAAGCTGCCAAAATCTCTATTTTGTATGTCGTGTTCAACAAAAAATATCACTAAACCCCTGAGAAATTCTAGTTCCGCGTTTTTGTCTCCCCGAAAAATTCCTGCGATTTTCAGTAAGCAAAAAATCAGCCAGCAACAAAAAGGGAACAACAGCAACGCAAGGGAACATTTTGTTAGGGCCGAGTTTATATTCTTACACGGCACAAATACACTATTTAGTTTTAGCTTCAAACAGTCCATTTTAATCAAAGAACCACTGGCTAAGGTTTTTAGCTAACTAAATCTTAAGTATGCTCAAATTTAGGCTTTTTGGCTAAATTTAGGCTGGTAAAGCGGTTTCTAAAGCCCAAAAACCTCCAAAACTAAACTCTAGCCCTTAACCTTTCCATGAAAAGCCGCAAGGAACTTTGTAAGAAACGAGGCGGATTCTTGGTCCAATGCCCATTCAATGGAGGTGGGTCCTAGTTTCGCTGCGAGACCAGGGCGGCCGTCGTCATTTCGGAATTTCTGAGCGCGCTTCCGGGCGGGGGTCTGTTTTCAGCTTCTGCCGTCTATACCTGCGCTATATGAGGGGGAAATTTTTAATGAGATGGGGCTGGCTATATTTGGGTGCACAACATCAAAGCACAAATGAGCGAAAAATTTTAAAATTCCTGCGATGAACCACCAAAATTAAAATCCTAAAATTAGATTGAAGCTTGAAAATTTTTAGTTTAAATTTTTATTAAATTTTCATAAATCTTGAAAATATGCTAGCTTGCCTCTGACAACAGAACTTACAAGTTAGATAGAGGACCGCTTCCAACAGAAAATTCAGAAAAGCCACAGATTTTAATCCCAAAACCCATTCTGCCTGGGCCTTAAGTAGTAAGCCAGGGCCCAAGGGACACGCCCCAGGAAGGGAACGACAACAAAAAACCAACTTTATGGCCCTAATTCTGAGGGCATTTCGGGAGGACTAGGGTCAAGTAAATGGCCAAATTTCATGGATTTTGAGGGGTAAACAAAAAACATTCTGAAATGTTCTAGATATTCCGATGCTACGCCCTATTCCTAATTTGAAATTTCAACCGTGGCCGCAAAAAAAATCGACGAGTTCAGTCGGATTAAAAAACCAATTAAATCGAAACTTACCGATGGCTGGTGGTACGGGCGGCAACTTTCGACGGCCCATCTCGCTGCCCGAGCCGATCGAGCACGCATCATCCTGAAAAAAGTGTTATATTGACAGTTTTTAAGGTATCTACAGTGGCTCGACACGTTTTTCCTAGGCTAAGATGCTTCCCCAGTTAATCAATATTTTCCCGAAGAGTCTTTGCTAAATTGCCCCTCCTGATCTAACTTGAAACTCCAAATTCTATAGCTTTTTCATTCGGAAGTTGATGCTAAGCACTTTACACCGGACAATATACCTTTCCTAAAGAAGCCTTGCTAGCTTGCCCATTCAAAGTCAGATCGAAGGTTAGCGTTGCACGGAAAGATCTCCGCTAGTTCGCTCTCTCCAATTCGAACAATGATTCCCCAATAACCTCTGCTATCTCGCCGGTCAAATTTTAATATATTCACGCTCTTGTCCTCAAGAATCCCTGCTAGCCGCTTCAAAAAATGTCCGAAAGAATCTTTGCTCGTCTCCCTTGCAAGTCGGAGACAAACATACGATATTTCCGCAACAATTTCCCCTAGCTTCTCCTCTAATCCCGATTAATATATTTCACCATGATCTTTGCTAGATTACCACGGTCCACAAATTTCCTGAAAACTGCCCACCACTCATAACCTCAACACCATAAATCGCTGCGATACGACGGGAAAATAAAACCAAGAATCAGGCCGTTAATAAATTTTTCGGGGGCTTTTCGGCGGTGGAGAACGGCAGCTGGAATATTTTTTAGAGGGCAAGAAAAGAAAGAAATACGGGAAAAGGGCAAAATGGAGCAATTGTACGGTGGAGAGGGAGAGGAAACGGGAATGGGAAGTTTTTAGAGAGAGGGAGAGAGAGAGAGAGAGAGAGAGAGAGAGAGAGAGCTATAGAGAGGGAGAGAGTGAGCGAGTGAGAGCGAGCTAAACACTCACCTCCTAACATGCTCCAAATCCATGTGATGTGATGTGTGAGAGAGAGAGAGTGAGAGAGAGCGAGAGAGTGAGAGAAAGAGGGGTAGAAAGAGCGCTAGAGAGAGCGCGTTATAGAGAGAGAGACAGAGAAAGAGAGACATACCGAGTGAGAAAGAGAGACAGAGAGAGAGAGAGAGAGAGAGAGAGAGAGAGAGAGAGAAAGCCAACCATAACAAGATCGCCCCGAATATGATATGAATATGCCGGCCGAGCTATAAAAAACGTCCGAACAGAAGTGAGCGGCCGGCTTCTGCTTTCTCCTAGCCCTCCTTCAACCAAGAGCAGCGCAAAAAACGCCGAAAAATGGGCGAAAAATGAGCGGCAGGGGAAAGGAAGCTCCGGGGAAACCTGGGGAACGGATGGAAACGACCAAGCAAAAAACGCGGGGGCATCTGAAAGAAAGGGAGGGCGAAAATTGGCCCGGGTGGGCCGGGGTTAGGGTAGGAATTCAGAATATCTTGGGACGCTCAAAATCTTTAAAAAATGTTTTGAAAAACTCTTTGGGCGTTTCCGGATTCTGGTAACTGGGCCGACCGTATAGAGGTGTTTTACGGGGGAGAGCCGGGATTAGTAAATTTCAGCCGGATCAAGATTTTTGGGCATTAAGCTCTAGAAAGTGATGCTTTGACCAAAGATCCAATGGAATTTCTGGCTTTCTTTGGTGAGTATTGGTGGGTCGATCCCTGTTGATAGGTTCATGTGGTAATATTTTCAAGAGATCGTGACAGGAAGTTTTTTCTCGCCGGGAAAAGTCATATTAAGGCAATCATCGCACTGAGAGGACTTGAGAAGATTTGGTAGCGTGTACGAGTATTAAATAGCATACTACATGAACAATTGCAGGCAGCAAACCGCCGCAACGCGACCGCGACCGCAACGCGACCGCAACGCTACCGCAACACGACCGCAACGCTACCGCGACGCGCAGCGCATTAGGGTGCTAAAGAACTCTTCCTCGAAAAGAGAAAAACACGCTACGCACCCGCTACGAACGCCATTAAAATTTCATTCAAAATTGCAGGATTGATGTGAACAAAAAAAAACCATTCAAAATTGAAGCCAAGTCAAAACAATAAAAGAATGCTATTTGATTCTGTTAAATCTCTACATAAACTTGGCAAATTTCACTTAAAAAGCGCGAATCAACTATAATAAAAAAGTAGTGGTGTCTGTCCGTCTGTCTGTGTGAAGCCGAATTCAACTCGAAGGGGAAAGGAGCTAGAGCTTAGCTCTCTTCGGATTCGGATAGAGCATGGTCAGAAACCCCCAAACTGATAAAAAAAATTATGAAAAAGTTTTAGTTTAAATTATTAAAATTAACTTTGAAAGTTTTTTCCTTAGTAAAAGGGGTGGGGGACGGAGGTTGGGGTGATTTTGGACATAGTGAGCCAGGTGGCGCGCGTTTCGTGGATGAAAATTTTCACGGGGGATTTCATTTCTTTTTTTTCTCTCATTCCATCCGGTCGGTCGTTATTTTCGTTTTTTAAAGGATTTCGGCTAGGGGAGGTATTTAAAACCATCAGGAAGGTATTTAGGTAGTTTTTGAAGGGGGATTTCAGCCATGGGGGTATCTGAAGCCATCGGGAAGGGATTTAGGTAGTTTTTGAAGGGGATTTCAGCCATGGGGGTATCTGAAGCCATCGGGAAGGTATTTAGGTAGTTTTTGAAGGGGATTTCGGCTATCGGGGTATTGATGGAGGTGGCAAAGGATGTGGTGGAGTGGAACATGTAGGGTAGCCCGAAGGCCAGATGGTTGCAGTCGCGAAGCGACTGTAACCATCTGGTTTTAGGAAAATCTTAAACAAATCCCTTCTCCGTTAACAAGCAATTTAGACTGATTTAAAATCGCCCATTTGGGCCAGTTTGTAACAAAAACTACAACAACTTTTAAAATCGGACCCCTCCGCAGATTTAAAAAACAGATTCGGAATCAGCGAAAAATTCTGCACAAGATAGGCTAGTTTGCGAATGGGATTTCCACCTTATCAAAAAACATTTTACAGTCAGACTTGTTTTGAAATCAAAATGAAAATAAAACACTATTAGATAATTCTCATAATATCCATATGCTCATAACTACTGCCTCGTAGTGTCCTTGCTGCTTCTGCCTCTACTGCTTCAGCTGGTGGTTGTATATTGCCCGGGGATGGGATGGGAGGGGGCAATTAGTGACCACTGGGGCCCAAGGAGGGCCCCCTGAGCACAGAGGCCCATCTGCAACGGGCGCCCGCCTAGGGGGATGGGTCCTAAGGAATTTCGATGGGGCCAAAGGGGGTGAGGGGCCCAGAAAAGGAACACTTATCGCCTCCTCTTCCCCGGGTCGAAACCTTAGCCTCGAATGGCCCGCGCATACACCAATTCCGGGTGGCCCGCCAATATTGGTGTGGGGATGGGCCCTAGTGGGTCTGTGCCACTGGGCCCTAGTATTCTTAAGTGCGCTCTATTCGGTTTTAAGGGCATAAGGAAGTGAAAATTTGCTTCGCGGCAAAGTTTAAATTGACGCACCATGTCGAAATGTAAAACTGTTCGAATCAATTTAAAGGACCTGTGAAGCGACAAATAACCCTCGTTCCATGGTCGTTCTGGGTACGGTTATTCTGCTGACCAATTTTCTAGGCTATTCCAAGCATACTTGGCAGTGATGTGTAGTTGTCTAGGTCTAGTGTTAGGTCCTTGAGTTCCTATACCCCTTAGTATCAAAAAGATGCGCATATTAAGGTGTTACCGTCAGGGTAAGCTGGCAAAGGGCCTTGAGGGTAAAGAAGGAAAAATTCCGCACAACGAGCAGAAATCATTGAAGAATTAACTTTGTAAACTTGTATTTTATCGAAATTCTAAAAATGGCATTGGAAAGAGGAGGGTCGATTCCCCCGAGTGACGGTGAATTGGGGCGTTTTGGACACGGGAAGGGCCTCAAATCGGGCGTCGAAAGTGCCAGCCGGACACACACCATACCACATACACGCCAAAATTATATAAGGTAGGATTAGTTCAAACTATCAGCTGCTGTTACTCCAGGCGTTTTTGCCAAGGGCAAATTTATTTTCTAGACTGTTTTTTTTGGCAAAGCACCTGTCACTGCTGAAAAACAGGTGGCACGCCAGTTACGGTCAGAAATGCGCGAAATAGCGTCACCATTGAGTTTTCAATGTTTTCGAACCCTTAGAGAACACCTACTAGCCTACCCGATATGCGTTTTGGAAGGTTCCCAAAAAATTCTCTGCTAGCCTGCACAACGTCCCAGATTTATCGATTTCCTTAAACATCTCTGCTATCCGACGCCATTTTGTAGATTTTTCCATCCCCTTATAATCTTTGCTAAGCTGCCTCTTTCAAAATTTATTGAAGCCGCATTAAATTAACGTGACGTAAAGAATACGTAAAGTAAAGTACCCACCTCAATCTCCCTGATCCAGGTGTACGTCCCGGAGAGTTGCTGCATTGTATTTTCGACGGCAAATGGTAGATTTTCCGTGGGGATGGCTGCAACATTGGCCGGGGCGCTCTGCGGGTGGACGGTGTTGATCAATTGGTGCTCCAGCTTCGCGATCTTGGCGCTCTGATCTCCGATTGGGACTTCAGCGGTTGGCGGGGCTAAAAAATCAGAATAAACGTTTAAAAAAAGTAAGAATCTAAGGTTTCTCGTCTTTGGTAGATGACCACGCATTCGAAAAGTTCAATAAAAATTCTCACTAATAAACAGGTAAAAAGTTTTCCACACGTTCAAGACGTTCAAAAGGCTCTAGCAACCGGGAACTTGTACAAAAACCCAAATTACCTGAAGTTGAAGGCTGATGCGTGTGATTCCAGGGTAACCAAGCTGCTGGCATCGTTCCAGTTTCCGCAGTCACCGGGTTTTCAGATGGTAGAAGCATTCCGGGCGAGCGTTTTAGCCTGAAATATAGTTATATTTAATTTTTAGAAAGCGCCAGTATTTATTAACTTCAATTAAATTTATTAACTAATGTATAAAGACCTTACAGAATTTTAAAAACGTTGCAAAACCTGCCGATTACTTACCGATACATTTCCTCCTAGCGTCAAAATGCGGAAATTTTTGGAATCTTCCGATTTTTTTAATTAGAAAATTTTATAAGGAAGTTCAGCCTCATCCAATGATCTTTTCGGGCAAACAATATGGATCCAACGGAGCGAGAGCTCGGGTTCGACCTCCAGATGAGGCACGTCTCCCCCGGACTTTCCCATGGAGATTAGATTCCCGAGCCCTTCTACCCCACCCGCTGGGCAACTTGTTGAAAAAGTGCGGGGGTTCGGTTATGGATTCCAGGCGTCACTATCTCTTAAAAATATGAACTAGCGTTCATTAATTCGCCCTTTAGCTACTGAACTTCTCGAGGAAGCGCCGGGTTTCGAGTCTTCGACTTGCGAGCCGCAAAAGCTTCGGAATACTTACTTCGATGCCGGATCCTCATTGGTCGTCGCCTGATCGAGTTCACTGCCCAAAACAGACGATGGTCGCATCGGTTGGACGAGGAACGATGGGGAATGAGCATCTGCTGACTGGCCGACGAGTTGAGGTGATGGGGACAAGCCGGGGGCTTCACCTAAAAAGATCAAAGTTGCGTTGGACTCGTTAGAAAGCGCTGAACTGCTCCAACTCGTTGAATTTCTCGAACTTGCCGGGCAAGCCACAAAGCATGCTGCAGCAATCTCTAGCTTAAAATGCTTGAAAGCGTCGCCAAATCTGTGTTGTTCTACATAGCCTGGGACCATAGAATTTGTCGAAAAAATTCTTTGAACTGTCTACCCTTAAACGAAGCCTGAGCGCCCCGACAATTCTCAAATTATTTGAAGTATGTGCCCACCCCTTGAAATTGTCGTACCAAACAAGTTAAGCTACGGCTAAGCGAAGCCTGACTTCCTCGAAGTCGTCGCCCAATCAAAACCCACACCCACCATTTGTCTCAAACATCGACGGGTCGTACAGGAACTTGGACATCCGGTAATGATCTGACGTTCCGCCATACACTGACTCGAGCAATTCTTGCTCCGGTGTCTTGCTCCTAGCACTTGCCGCGGTCGTCGTCACGGCCAGTTGCTCTCTTGGAGTAGCAGTCGTCGGGGCAACAGATGCTTTCGGTAGTGTCGTAGCAGGCGCCTTCGCATCCGGAGCCGGCCAGGCGTATGGTCGTACAGAAGACGTCGAGGCTGACGTGGCGGTCGAGGTGGTCATCGACGTCGTGGCGGGCATCTTGGAGGTGGCCGTAGAAGTCGGAGGAACATCAGCGAAGGAGTAGGTCGGGACGACGTAGCCTGAAAAATCCCAATCAATTCCGTTTTCTCTCACTTTTTCTCTCTCTATCTCTCTTTCTCTCTCTCTCTCTCTCTCTCTCATCTCTCTCGACTTACCTTCACTAACCAGCGCCGAAGGCGGGACATAGCTCGAGCTGTATGTACTCGTCTGAGTCGTCGTGGCAATTGGTCGAGTCGTCCCACCAGAGTACAAGCTACTGTAAGTCGGCAGTGTCACTGCCGTCCGTTTCTTCTCAAGCTCGCTCTGCTTCTCTCGCTCTCGCTTCCGCCTTTTCGCGGCCTCTTCCTCTTCGTACATCGAGAGGATGTGAGCCGTAACTTGTGCGGCCTGTTTTCGGGCTCGTTCTCGGGCGTGTAGTTTGGTGTCCCCGGAGGTGGATTCGCCTTCAGATTCATCTTCAGGGATCGTGTAGACGGTGCCCGGTCGGTGGGCAACGAGGCCGGGGCCCCCTTGGTAGAATCTGGAAAGGATCGGAGTTAGGAGGGTCAAAGAGAGAGAGAAAGATGGAGAGAGTGAGAGAGAGAGAGAGAAAGAGCTATAGAGAGAGAGTGAGCGAGTGACTGCGAGCTAAACATATTCACCTCCTAACATGCTCCAAATCCATGTCCTCCATGTCGATGCACACCTCCTCGCCCTCCTCTTCCTCCTCCTCATCCGGACTGTCGAATGGGTTCCTTCTCAAGTGATGTAGAGGCGGTTGCTGCGTGACGTCAAGCGGGTCAGTGACAGGTTGTGTCGACATCTCCTCCGGCATTGGGATATTCGCGCCATTTGTCGGGATCTGTGGATGTCCAGGCTCCTGGGAGTGAATCGTCACCACCGGAAGCGCCATTCGGGCCTGAAAAACACAAATAGTGGAAATTTTATTGGCCCACAACGTCTTTTTTGAAATTAGCATAACCTACCGCCTGTTCCGTCGCTTCTCTCCTCCTCTCTAGTGTCCAGTGAACGTCAAACTCGTCGTTGGCCAGATCGGATAGATGGCCAATATCGCCGAATGCCTGGATCTGGCGCAGCACTTCTTTTCCGAATTCTTCCTGCTCGACACGTTCGGCCTCGACGACGTCGTAGGGTTGGGACGGGGCGACAGGAGCAGCGATAACCTAGAAATGGAATTTCCGTTTGCAACACCTTGATCGTTCCCGCGTTCCATCTACCTTGCAAAAAATAGATTGGTCCGAAAATCGAATTTGGGGTAATTGGATATGTTCGGATCCGGACAGGGAGAGTTTTTCGAAGATCTGAAGCCGCTAGATCTACCGGTTGAAGTCGCTTCAAGGAGCCAAAAAACGCGAAAAGCAACCCCTTCGTTCGACTAGATCTCGACAATTACGCGGCGCGTCAAAAGACTCGATCAGGAGCTTTTCAGAATGTTTCAAAATCTCTTTCGAAGACCTATTAAAGCCAGATTTCGTGTGATTTTCTGTAGCGCGTACTTGTGGATAACTAGCCGACCTAGGGGGTCGATTTTCGCATCTCCTAACCATTTTAAACTAACCCATGACTTTTCTAAGGCCCTTTAGTTCTAGTGAACCTATTGGAGCAAGGGGGTCGATTTTCTTTCTAGCTTCTTTAAAACCAGGTCGGTCTGCCTTCTAGGCTCATTGAATCAATTTCCCAAAGGACCTCTGCTGGCTAACCTCTATCAACTTTCCAAAACTCGCTTATTTTTCGAAAAGCCAAAAAAGCTCCTTTATCCCCTACCGTATCCGGATAGTCCTCTTCCTCCGACGACGCCTCTGACTCGTCGCTGTCCTCGGCGTTCCGGTAGTTGAATTTTATCCGTCTCGGCTTCTTTGTGAGATCCGGCATGGTGAAGGTGTACTCCGTCTCCGGAATGCCAGCGGCCCGCAGCGGAGGTAGTGGTTTCCCGGTTGGCTGGTATTTCGGCAGCTCGACAGGTGTCGGTGTTGAACTCGGTGAGCCTTCCGGAGAATTCCTGGTGGAAGAAATTGGGGTAGAGGGCAGGATTGCAATGTCCGGCACGTCCATCGTGTCTTGTTGAATTTGGGGTGGTTGTTGAACTTGCTGAACTTGTTGAGCTGGCTGGGGCTGAGCAATTTGTGGTAGAGCTTGAGCAGGAGGCTGAGATTGAGCAGCAACTTTCTGAGTCTGAGGTTGAGGGACGACAGGGCCGGAATCGAAGGCCATTTCGCGGAGACCGGTGATGCGAGGGGGTTGAGGCTGAACAGCCTGAACTGCTTCAGGTTGTCGCACGTCTTCAGGGGCGAAGACGTCGTAGACCTGAAAACAATTGGTCTCTTATGTGCCTTAGAAGCCAAAGCCAAGCCCAAGCCAAAGCGAAGCCCAAGCCAAGCCTATGCGAAGCATAAGTCAAACCTAAGCCAAACCTAAGCCAAGCCTAAGCCAAGCCTGAGCCAATTAAACCTAGCCTAAGCAAAGCCTAGGGAAGCCTAAGCCCCTTCTAAGCCAGGTCTAAACCAAGCCTAAGCTCAGCGTAAGCCAAGCCAAGCCCAATCTTACCTCATCCATCTCCACGGCGTCCATCGGACTTGCAGCCGAGTCGTAGAAGATTCGAGTACGCGGCATTCCTCTGGACGCTTGTTGTTGTCCGTCTTCTGCTTGTCTCCTCTCCGATGACGGCATCTCACTTTCATCGGACTCGAATACAGTAGTCCACATCCTTGGTCTTTGCGTGGTATTCCAGGATGCTTCCATTTCTTTCCATCTTGCGTCTTCGACCGCATCGACGACCTGTAAATAGGAGATAAAATTTAAGGCTTCTAACGTTAATGAAGCCGCTCAAGTGAGAGAAAGGACGGAGAGAGAGAGAGAGAGCGAGAGAGAGAGAGAGGAGAGAAACCGCGACAGAGTACGAGAGCTGGGGATGGTTAGGTTGCGAGGAGTGAGAGAGTGAGGGAACCAGTGAGCGAAGATAGAGAGAACACGAGAGAGAGAGAGAGAGAGAGAGAGAGAGAGAGATAGAGAAACACAGAAAGAAAGAGAGAGCCGACGACGCTACAAACCTCCTTCAACTGCGCCTCATCCATCCTATACCGCTCGTCATCATCATATGTAAAATCGGCCTCCTCGAGCCCGGCTCTTAATTGACTTGCCGCGGTTCCAATCCGCTGTTCGGCTGCTGGATCCTGTGTAGGTGCTACGCTCGACACCTCCTTACGCCCAAGCTCGCTCTGCACACTTCCGGACTGGGTGGCAAAGCCCGAGTCTGCCATGCTGTCGGATTCTCGGCGTAATCTGCCGGTTTGGCCAAGGTTCTCGTAGTAGCTGCCCGAGTCGGACGTGTCGTAGAAGGAGTCTCTGAAAAGTCACAAGCTTGTATGTAATGGTCATTATTCAGATTTCCCTCTGCTCGTTTTCTCCCTGCTTTGCTGCAAAAATGTCGGCATTTCCGGCTTTCGAAAGCCAAAATGTCGAAATGTTAGAATATCGAAATTCAGGCTGCCGAAAGGTAGAATATTCAAAATGATAATTAGTTTGAATGTTGGAAACCTAGAATAACAAAATTCAGACTGTCTTAACTACGAATGTCGGCATTCCATATATCAAAACAGCAGAATTTCGAGAAGCAAAATGTCGAAAGGTAGAGTTCAAGGTGTCGAAAAACTTTCGAGATTCGACTATTTTCGTTTTTCGGCATATTTCGAAATTCCGAATTTGACATTATGGATCGGCATTTTATTTCGATATTGTGGATTTCGACATTTTGGAAGTTTAGGTCCCGAATTTTAAATTGCGGATTTCGCGATGCTATTTCGGGATTGATTTCGGTATTTCGTTTTGATAGTAAATTTCGGCATTTTGATTTCGACGGACCGCCTCGCAGTGCCCACCTCGAAGCTGGTGACGGCAATGGTGACGAATTCTCCCTGGACACCCTCCTCGGCTGAATAGCAACAGCTCGCTGCAGATCGACAGATTCTCGCTCCAGCCGATCGGCGACAAGTTCTGGCTCCGGGGCGGCCCATCTTGGCTCGGGTTTCCGGTGCTCCAAAGTTGGGTCTCCGCCCTGGGCCATCCGCATGACCGCCATAATCTGTTCTCGTTCCGCTGGCGAGAGATGCGATAAATCGATATCCGGAATTTCCGGAATCTCGGGCTCCATGGCTTGAACTTGTTGCGGAGGGGGTACAGCTCCAAAGGATTGGAAGCCGGTGCTCATCCTGCGTTGCTGGGGCTCGTCCCGGTGGGTAGGACGAAGAACCTCGCTTGATTTTGAGGGGACTATCCTTTGGATTGGTGGAATCGAGTGCATTCCAGAGGTCGAGGGGAGCGGTTGTTGCTGCTCCTGAGCAGCAGCTTCTGCCATGACGGCGAGGATCCGGCGTCGTTCCTCGTCGGGTAGATCTTCGAGCCCTGGAAGAAATTGCTGTGTTGGACGAAATCTCTCTCGCTCACTCTCACTCTCACTGCCGCACTCTGTATCTCTCGCTTTTCTCTCTCTCTCTCGTTTTCTCTTACCTTCGATCTCATACGGATTCAAGGGTTCCTGTTGCATCTGGTATGCCGACGGGGTTCTGGAGATGCTCGGCTGCGGCATCGGAGCTGCCATCTCGTCCATCGCCGCCATGTTCATCACTTCTAAAGTGGCATGAGTTTGATGTTAATTCCATTGAAGCTTAGCGTATTCCTACTCCGCAACCTACACTCTTACGCACGTGCAAGGCGCGCGCGTACTCTAACCGTTTCGATACCTACCTTGTATCCTTCTCCTCTCCTCCTCCGTCAACCCATCGAGCGCTTTCTCGACTTGGGGAGGTGGTGGAGCCGGTACAAACGACGGAGACTTGGCCATCATTGGCGAGCGCTAAAAGGCATAGTTGTTGTTGTTGCCATCCGTTTCAGAATTATTTTTTTCAAATTCGAATCTCTACGTTGACCTTCTTTCTAGCAGTAACAGCTTTAAAGATGGTGAAAACCTACCGCAGCCTGAAGGGGTGTTCTCGCCTCTTCCATCGCCGCCTCGTTCATGACTGCCATGATCTTGGCCCGTTCCTCTGGTGTCAGCCCTTCCAAACCGTCCATAGGAGTGGCCAGGGAAGTTGGTGGGGGCATCGGAGAAGCCGCTTGTCTCGCCGGCTGAGGCTGTGGTGGTGCAAAAGAGGTAGATGGCATTTGTCCGTCCATCATCGCGGCTTGGTTCATCACCTCTGCAAAATAACATAAACTTAAAATATGGCAAAAACGTCGAAGGAGCGGCAGTAATAGAGTGAGCGAGAGCGAAACATAGGGCGAGAATGAGCAGAAGAGAGAGGCAGAGAGGGCGAGAGAGACAGAGCGAGAGATAGAGAGTGCTAAGGAGATAGCGAGAGAGAGAGAGAGGTAGAGAGAGAGAACGAGAGAGATGCCAAACACTCACCCATGATCTTCCTCTGCTCCTCCGCACTCAACCCTTCCAGCCCTTCCATAGGTGATGGTGTTATCGGGGCCGCTTTTGGCATTGGGATAGGTAGTGGTTCTTCCATTGCCGCAGCGCCCATCACCTAGAAAAATATTTGTAGCACTTGTACAAGAGTATAAAAATAAAAACCTGAGACTAATGATCCTACAATGCTCCTAAAGATAGAAAACGGTCTAATGTGTAAAGAATTCATGTGTAGCTGCCAATAGCTACAGAACGCTACTACTTACGTTTCGATTTTACGGGCCCTTTAGATTGGGGCCGTAAAATATTTTACTTACCTTCATGATATGCCTTCTCTCCTCTTCGGACAGCCCTTCCATTCCATCCGTTGGTGGTGGTAGTGGTGGCTGCGGGGCGTATGAAGTGCTGGGCATCGGTGGTGCTCCCTGAATATACTCACAAATTAATGAGTAGTCGGCTGAAAACAATGTGTGGTGGAAGAGAGCTAGAGCGAGAAGGAGCGTGAGAGAGCGAGAGAGGGAGCGAGAGGGAGAGGGAGAGAGCGCAGAGAGAGAGAGGAGAGAGAGAGAAAGAGAGAGCGAGTGAGAGAGAGCGGGTGTGAGAGAGTGAGAGCGAGAGAGAAAGAGAGATGTTTTTTTCTGAAACTGAGAGTAAATTTACTCAGAAGACTACTGTTCCAGAAATATTCTGCTTCCGTATGCCGCACGCTTTATATAAAATCTTAGATATCTTAGGTGGCAAATCCTAGCCCATCCCCCCCCCCGCAAAATGATGCGCAATCTGCTGGATTATCTGAAACACGTGCTAAAGACCCCCAAAAATGACGAGTCAGGTCAAAATCCACCTAAAAAATGTCTGGGAATTAAAGAAAATAAGACGAGATGCTTTTTCTTTTCCGACCTAACAATGAGAAACCGGCATTCGCACCCTATTTAGGTTAGGGCAACCCCAAAGAATTCGCATAAATTAGCATAATTTGGGTTGTCTTTGAGTAGGAAAGAACGAGGGTGAGAGAAAGAGCTATAGCGTGAGAGAGATAGCGAGAGAGAGAGAGAGAGAGAGAGAGAGAGAGAGAGAGAGAAAGAGAGAGAGAAAGAAAGAGAGAGAAAGAGAGGGGAGACGCCTCCTTTTCCGTACCATTCCAAATGCCGACGGCATCTGTTCCCCGGCTGCAGCCATAACTCGTTGGATCTGTTCTCTTTCTTCCCTCGACAGTCCCTCCATTCCGGGCGGGATCGGTTCGGCCGCTGCCGGTGGTGCCGGAGATCGGGCCGGTGAGGCCGGGGCCTTCTGAAATCAATCAGTAATTGGTGTTGCGGAGATTCATAGCATCATTTCTACATAATTTTTACATTAAAGTACATAGTTCCATACACGATAAGAACTAAATATATATGGGGCACAAAATGGGTGAATACTTCAGTGTGATGGATTCAGAATGGCATCTGTCAAATTAAGGATTGATCAGAAGTAAATTTACAAGGATACGGATATCTGACCAGATCAGTGTCAAAAGATCCAGGGTCAACGGGTGATAGCGAGGGTTTTTGGAAGGTATCGTTTTCGAGACATTTGGCTCTACGTTTTGGAAGCTGAGTCAGTACCGAGTTTCGCAAAAAATACCCCCTAGTGGTCCGGGGAAGTGTCCCATTTTTATGAATTAATCGCAATATCAATGGAAAGCTCATGAAAAGGCGTGTATGTCTGTTTTGCCGGATTTCATTAATTCTGCAAAGATTTGTCCAACTTCAGCATTTTTCAATTCCAATTTTGATTGTTCACCCCAATGTGGGGTGTGCGCCGTTCCCGCCAGTAAGTGCAATGACCGGGTCGACGCTGTTCGGCGAGAAGCAAGCTTCTGCTAACCGAACCATTTCCAAAAATATGTTAATCTCTTGGTATACAATTAGTATACGTATCGGAGATTTAAGCCGATAAGAACATTTACTAAACAATTGATCATAGCCAGAGGCCAGAAGCGATAATTCCCGAGGGAAGGGACGGGTGATGGGGAGGGATAGTGGGCCAGGTGGGTGGCTAGTGGGGTTGACAGAAAGCGAGCGAGCGGGGGAGGGATCAGTTTGGGTTTCGGGCCGGGTCTTATCATTGGTGCTAACCTGACAGCACATCTGTCAATCCAAACCACCTGCCCTGCCCTAATAGGCAAAAATTAAGGAAAAGGGTCCGGAAAAAAGGGGGTATACAGGGTGGCCCAATAAAAACACCCACCTGACTCGACGCAGAAATATAGGATCGGAATGACAGTTACACATTCGAAAGCCCTTGAAACGGTGAGCTTGTATCAATCTTGAATACTATGTTTTATGTAAACCAGCTATTTTATGAGCCATTTTATGGCATTTAGCGGTTTTTCGGGGTTGCATACGAGCCTCAATTTCTGCAATCAAAAACACCGGAAATTGGGCGGTAATTAGAGGTAGAGCTCGTTCCTTAATGTTTAAAATGCGTTGTAAGAACGGCGCGCTTAATAAAACTATAGTTTGAAGATTTTGCCAACTCCCAGTGGGTAGGGCTTTCAAAGGGTGTGTCGAAAGCAAAAGCTCCCCTGACCCTCCCAGAGTGTAAATACACCATCGGGGATAAACCCGGAAGGGAGAGCCAGGGGTTTGCCACCTCTTGCCTCCGGCCCTATCAACCACTGGAATACTAATGCGCGTTCGGTGTTCAGATGGTAGTAATACAGTGCATTTGCTAAAGACCTGGAAATGGATTAAGAGAACACGTTTATTAGAAGTACAGAATATAGATCGGCACAGGTAAAAGGGTGTCTGAGAGGGAAAATACAGAGTGTCAAAGACAAGGCAGACGAGAGTGATTGGGGTGTCGAACGGTTGCATTTGCCTGAGGTTTACTGTGCCCCGGATAGTGGTAAACCACGTCCCCGGCTCACAGCACCCTCACCAAGCCGTGCCGAAGCAACGACTGGCCGCAACACCCTTTCGGGATAGCGGGGGAATTGCCAGAGATGTTGCCAACCCCTGTTATCCCGCGTAATTCATCCTCGAAACTCCTAGGGGATGAAATCTCGTAGGAAAGTTTCGACAGGGTGTAAGTTCCGTTGCGACCCGATCCATTCGTGTTGGACGGAGGTGTTTTTTGTTGGTACACCCTGCGGTATCAAAGCTGATTCAAGCAACTATCTGCCGCTTCGTCTCCGTAATGGAGATGCAAGCCAATGCGCGGCGAAAGGATCAGCAACATCCAAGGGATCGGTTTGGCTTGTGCGATCAAACTTCGAATAGTGAACAGTCGGGAATCTGTCAAAATCTCGAAAATCAGAATCTCGAAAATCAGAATCTCGAATTTTCACAATCTCGAATTTTTAGAATCTCGAAATTTCCATGGTTTAAATCAGTATTAAAGGTTCCGGAAATTGCACGCCTACGCACTAAATCCAGCATAGGCCTATTTCGAGATTCTAAAAATTCGAGTTTTTGAAAATTCGAGATTTTGAAAATTCGGGATTCTGATTTTCGAGATTCTGTTAGCAATTCTGAACAGTCCCCTATATTGCCTGCCTTTCGGGTCCCTTTTTCCTTAATTTTTGCCTATTAGGGGAGCAAATGGTGGTTTGGATCGACAGATGTGCTGTCATGTTAGCACCAATGATAATATCCGGCCGAAACTCAAACTGATCCCTCCCCGCTCCCTCGCTCCGTGGCTCTCCCTTCGTCCCCCACCTGGCCCACTACCTGTCTCCATATCCCCCCCTTCCCTCCCGAATTATCGCTTCTGGCCTCTGGCTATGATCAATTGTTTAGTAAATGTTCTTATCGGCTTAATCTCCGATACGTATACTAATTGTATACCAAGAGATTAACATATTTTTGGAAATGGTTCGGTTAGCAGAAGCTTGCTTCTCGCCGAACAGCGTCGACCCGGTCATTGCACTTACTGGCGGGAACGGCGCACACCCCACATTGGGGTGGACTATTCAAACAAAAACATGGCTTTTAAATGGACGGCCAATTCTAGCGAAAGTTGATAGGAATAAATTCACTGTCATGTCAAGAATCTCCGATGTCAACTGTTAACGATCAGCAGGATAGGGCTTTCTTTGACTATAAATGTCGGTTTTTAAAGGGATGGGCAAGGAATGGCTATGCATTTTATTGGCTATAGATTATTCCCGATGGATTTGGCCGAGGGTCAAACACGCGACGCTCACGCTGCGCCTGCTTTACCTCGCCGAGCAGGATAGTGTGCCTGACACAATGAGGTCAAACCCATAGGGAATTCATCATCAGCAAAATTCATAATCATGTCTTTCCGGTCCCTTTAAGCCAAAATCTCAATTGGTTGTCGCGCTACAATGTCAGAAATTTTCTGAGATGTTAAAGAAAATAGCGATGTTAAGAAAGAGGGACTACAAGATGCTGACAAGCAAACGCGCTAGGAACCCTGAATTTGAATATTGCGACTGCTTGTCAGAATGCTAATGTGAAAAGCGCAGGGCCGCGCAATGCTTCCGCAAAAGACGTGAGAGCTATGAGGATGGATACCTGGATTCCGAAAAATTTGCAAAAACTGCTTATTTTTTTTGGGGCGGGGGCTCTTGCCTTGGAGGATTCTAGAGGCTTGAGATAACCTAATCTCTAGAGTTTTCTAGATTCCAAAAAGTTTTACGGGCACTAGAATCCGAGATTTCGATAAGGAGTTCACGGGATAAGATAAAGAGGTATATGGCCATCAGGAGAATCAATAAAGCACATAGAATAAAATATACATCATAAATCATCATTGATAAAATCATCAAAATGGGCAATAAAAATAGCGAAAATGCGCAATAAAAAGTTCAATAAAATTCAAAAATTAGGTATTGGATATATTTAGGCAAAGCAATAAGAGGTTGCATAATAATCGAGGTTGATAAATTGAGCCGAGAGAGAAAGGAAAGAGAGAGAGACAGAGCGAGAGAGAGAGAGAGAGAGAGAGAGAGAGAGAGAGAGAGAGAGCCAAAGAACAAAAGGGTATGGAAATAAGAGGTCGTGGTGGGGCGTTTGGTGTGTCCCTAGGGAATTGGAGAATGTGTGACCCCTTCTGCGGGTATCGGGACCCGGGACTCACTTCTACATGGGTCCATGCAGTGGCGAGCCGCTAGAGAATCCCGAGTGGTCTGCAAAAATTGGGCCAACGATCTGTGGGGGCATATGAGGAATCAGCAGCCTTTCTAGCCGGCACCAACTTTGTGTAGAAAATGTTGTTTTGAGAACGTTAGAAATGTAATTGAACGTAGTTAAGAAATTTTAGCAATTACAGAAAGGTTACGAACATCGATCAAAGCTGTCAAAACGTGGCTCGATGCCTTCTAAAAGCTGCGACCTTTTTATCGGATCAAGGAGGTTTGGATCCATTTGATGAAGTCGGGGTAAAATTCACTGAAAAATGGAGAAATAGCTGGAAAAGTAAAAGGTAAAATGATTGAAAAAATACGAAATCAAAACAATGACTGTATAATTCCAGTTTGTCGGCGCAATGGGCATAAAATCAGAAAACGGTAATGCCAACAAAAAAAGGAGTATTGCCCAGGAATTTGCGTAAAAAAGCCTCAAGACGCGTAGGTGAACTACAACTAAAAAAAGTCTATTGAAGGTTTAATTTCAAAAAGGAAATGTAGTCAATTTTCTAGACCGTTTTTCGCCAAAATTTTAGGCAACTAACTGACACGAACCCTTTAAGAATATAAATCTTAGAAATGTGATGTTAGAGCGGTTACGGATATAATTGTAATGGAATGTAAATAATGGGTATAATTGATAGGAGATAATGGAAAATGCATACAAAAATCGAAAAATCCAATTAATTGCATAGGAAATTTGGGAGTAAATAAGAGACACGTGAAAATGTATAAAGAAATGCACGCAAAATCCAGAAATTTAGGATCAACGAAATCAGTAGAACTCTCGGCGCGAACGCAGAGCAAAATTCCGGGGCCAGAATCTAGGAAATTAGTCATTTTTTAGGGGGATTTTTGGCGCGGCCCGTGGGGATAGAAAAAGCCATGGTGAATCCATTTTGCTGTTATGTGGATGAATAAATGGTTGTGGTAGGCACGAAGAGGAGGAGGAAATTGACAATTTGGAGCGAGAGAGAGAGAGAGAGAGAGAGAGAGAGAGAGAGAGAGAAAGAGAGATCGCATGTTTTGCCACCGCATTTTTCCAATATCCGCCCGATTGGTAGTGAGAAATGGATGGCGGTAAACACAAGAATAATTTGGGGAAGAGGTTTTACCACAAATAGCCGGTTAGATCCGTTTCCGGCCCAATTCTTTGATTTTCGTGGAAACCAAAATTTTAAAAATTATTTTAATAATATTTAAAAAAAATTTGATACATATTGGGTTCCGCGGATTTTTGCATGGTCAAAAATGGATGCGATAGAAGATCGAAAATTGTAGGTTGTCGAAACAAAATTTGCTGCTGGCCTTACTGTGCCTGGGATATAAAATCAAGTTAAAGGTTGTGGGGGAAGAGAAAGATAAGAGAGAGAGAGAGAGAGAGAGAGATTGAGAGAGAGCGAGAGAGAGAGAGAGAGCGAGAAAGAGAGAGCGAGCGAGAGATATGTAGAAAAAACCAACAGCCATATTTCGAGACCATCAAATCGAATGTGAATGAGCAATGAGAAACACTTAAAAAATCGAGTAAATGTCGATATGACGAGGAAAAACAGAGATATATATTATGAAGGTTAGTAAGAAAGTACGAGAGAAATCCGGAAGCCAAGTGATGGACGATGGGTTTTGGAAAAATCACTCAATGGATTGAAGCCAAGAAAAAAATGGCAATAAACGGAAAACGCGTGAAATCACTAGAATACTAAATTGTTTACAAAATCCAACCTGTTGTGTAAGTGAGGATGGGCCGGGCTGCGAAATATCGGCAACTGCGTCCTTGGCGGCGGCTTGGAGCTGTTCGCTGGCTGCTTTTGCCTGAAAGAAAGAAGAATATTGCTTTTCCGCAAGGATCTCTGCTCGTTGTTGCCCGAATTTTCTAACTATTCGTTGAAGTGAATGAAGTTCTATAGCTGCTTTGGAGTTTTGGGCCAAATTCTGCCCTCTCCCAGGCAACTGAACTTAACCGGAAGTCCGGATAACTGAGCTTTCTTTAACTGCCCAACTCGCCGGGCAAGCAAAAACCAATAAAAATTTGAGGATCAAGCAAAAAAGTACGGGCCCAACCTTTCCGAGGGCGGACGTCGCGAAGCCGCCGAGCTTGCCGAAGCCGAACCCTCCTCCGCCCCCATCCTGCTTACGGCCGAACATCGAGCGGACCGGGCCCTCGTCGGAGGTGGTGGCAACGCCCGGTAGCGCTCGCGGCTGGCCAGCAGCTTCTGAAAAATGGTGGTTAACATTGGAAGGCGATAAGTAACGTTAAGATGCAGATGATTTTGAGCTAAAAATGAAAGCGTTGTTTTTAAGAGCAAAAATTTTGACAGGGCAGGTCTCCAGATAACTGGATTTTAGCTATACATTCCGACGTTTAGATTGGGATGAGAAGCTTGGAATATTGAAAGGATAGTGCTGTCTGGGGGCTTTAATGCTTATTTAATCCCAGAAAAAATCAATAGTACGGAACGCTACCTTTTGAGAGGTTGCGAGGTAGAAAAAGCATTGGAATAAGTCTTCGGACAGCGATAAAATAATTACAAACCTTCAAGAATGACTTTGGGAAGGAAAACGGCTAGTTGTTTTGAAATGCCTTAAAGGTACACTAAAGTCTCGTTGGTTTGGTTACCGGCCGGTAACCGTCCGCGGGATAGCAAACAGGGTTACGGTAGGCGCTCGCCGCGGAGCAAAACCGAACCCGCGCCACTCGCCTGGGGCAAGCGCTTTGGACCACTAGGCCATGGGACAGACGGGAGAGGGGACAGGGGAGAGAGGCTATGAAGGGTTGGGGCGAGCGGCGGCAGAGAGCCCAAATTCCCGGCCCCTGCGAAAATTTTTGAACGAGATTTTAGTGTACCTTTAAAGTGTCATTTTTTGCGAAAAACTTTTAAATACGGAATAGCCAAAATACGCAGATTTTGCGATTACCACCAATGGTTTTCAGGATTCTTGGCCAAATTTGACCCGTATGAAGCGCTAAAAAGGCTTATAAAGTCCAAATACAACGATGCGCTTTGGGTAATTAGGCTCGTTTAGTATGGCCTAACGGTAATTTGTGTGTTTCAAAATGTTTGGCTTAACCGAAAGTCAGTTTCGGCAAAAAAAACCGGAATAACCGCAGCATAAACGAAAAAATAGCTACGAGTCCTGCTCAGGACAGTTTTTCGTCAAAAATCAACCCGTGTATCGAAGAAAAAAAAACAGGAATTAAGCGCTTCTGTATCATTATAGAGAGGCATATAGAGTTTTGTATAACAAAGAAAAGGTCCATTCCAACTTGCCAAAAATGACAGAAATTCGTCACTACCGCCAACGAATCAGGGAGCTGATTGAAAAATAGCACAAGAAAATCGGAATCGTTACGGCGAGGTAACTCTGGTTTTAAAATATAGAGAATAGATGAACTTAAGCAGACAACAACCGTAAAAAAGTTAGAAGTTCTGCAAAAACCGCATTTTAAGGCCAATCCAATCCCACCCCGAGCTAGACAAAAACCAGCTGCCGCTATCGAATCAGGGGGTTCGTTGGCTGGGGGCCTGGGCCCTAGAAGGGGCCCAGCGTCCTAACAAAGAGGAGAAAGAAGCACCTGTATTCTTTTTAGGAGCCCCCACCCAACCGCCCTGAGCCCCAACCCCAGGCTCGAAAAGCTAGCAGTGCAGGAGAAGACATCGGGAGGTGGAGAGGGGGAAAGACAGGAGATGTGCACGGGATCGATGTGTAGCCGATGGGTGGGAGAGCGAGAGAGAGAGAGAGAGAGAGAGAGAGAGAGAGAGAGAAGACGAGAGAGGAGAGAGCCCACCGGGGCCCCAAAATGGCCCCCAGAGGGCTGTCGTGGTCTCTGGGCCCTCCACCTGGGGCCCCGATGCCTCATTGGGGCCCTTTGGCCCCTGGACTCTCCGCGTATACATCTGTATTTGGCCCAATAAGTGGCCATCGGGGCTTCCCGAGGATGGCACAACTCTTTTGGGGACGGCTGCCAGGTACTTCTATGGAAGGACGCTAAATGCGGTTGGGGTATGGAGGGGAAATCGCTAATTAAGGGGTCGTTGGTGAAAATCGGTGTCACGGCATCTTTAGAATAAAGAGGGGCTCAGAAAGTGAGTGAGAGAGAGAGCACGACCTAGGGAACGAGAAATCGAGAGATTTGGAATACAGAGATAACAAGCATAAACGAGAGAGAGTGAGTGAGTGAGAAGGAGTGAGAGAGAGAGAGAGAGAGAGACAGAGAGCTAAAGAAAAAGCGCGCTACGATATATCAGTAGAACTCGAAGGAATTTTGTCCACTATCGAGCCTTACTGGTACGTGCAGCCCTGACTACCCTGTTTTATCATTCCAAAGCTAGTATTACCCGTTACTTCCGCGCCACTACTAGGTACACACATCCCCTCTTGAGCTCCAATTGGCTCCAAGACACGACCTCCTCCTCCTCCTCCCCATCCGGCAATTGGCCCTGTGGCCTAGGGGGGCCAATCCGACGGGACGTCTCACCAAATCTGGGAATTTCAGAGTCACGCTCGATGAACGGGATGGAGCAGAAAGTTGTGTTGGGATCGAAAAGTGCTACGAGACGTCGATCGTACTTTCAGATGAAATTCCGAAGCTCAAAAAACTGTGGTTTTCCAAATAAAAACGGATATCTGGAGGGTGAGAGAAGGCGAGAGAGAGAAAGAGAGCGAGAGAGAGAGAGAGAGAGAGAGAGAGAGAGAGAGAGAGGGAGAGAGGGTGAGAGGTGAGAGACCGGGAGAGAGAGCGAGAAGGCGAGAGAGAGAGAGAGAGAGAGAGTTAGTGAGAGAGATAGAAAGCGAGATAGAGAGAGTGAGAGAGTGAGGGGAGCGGAAATGAGTGAGCGAGCGAGAGAGAGGGATAGAGAAAGAGGAAAGAGCTCAATTTAAGCTATTATAACCCCGGCTCCAATTTTTCCGACAAGTTCCGTTCCCCATCCGGACCCAGAATCCGTGCTCACTCCCCCAAGAAGGGTAGGTGCCCCTACTGGGGGTGAAAATTGATGCCGAGACCGACCCACACGAAGCAAAAGAGAAGGCAGGAAATCCGAGCACGCATTTTGGGCCCTCCAATAGGAGGCCCAAACCAAACCCATGAAAACCCGGAGGGGAGCCGCAACCAGTGGGGGAGACACACTCACACTCACACACAACCAGCACACCAGAAAAAATACCCGAATAATGGATTTGGGGGGGGTCGGGTGGTGGGGGGAGGGAGGAAGGCGATGTTCGGAAGAAAAGCCAACATTGAGAAGAAACAGGCAAAATTGGATGTAGAGTAGTAAAATTTTTTGAGTAGGTTGAGTATTTTTGAGCAGAAATTATTTCGGTTAATTTTAAGGATATCGACTTGCCCATAACTTTTTGAATTTCCACGTAATGGTTCAATTTTTTCGGATTTTGGCATAGCTTTTAAAGGGATGGTAAAGTCTATCTAGCCAAATAAATCTAATATGCTATCGAATTCCTGTCTTTACAAAATCACTGTGAAAAACATCAAAATAAAAAAGCAAGTAACCCAAGAAAAAAAATATTAAAATCCAACAAAGTCGATAAAATTTTTCAAACATAAAGATTTTATAGGGATAAGCTCCAGTTGTTTACATATGCTTGTAAAATTTCGATAAATTTAAACCTTCGTCAGACATGAAAAAAATCCTAAAAGTCCCGAAATCATGGCGAAATCCTCTTGGTTTCGAGATAGGGACGGACTTTCATCTAGTTTGAAGGTTTGTAAGCTTTTTTGGACGGTTTCAGTTTTTCAGCAAAAAGAAGGCCTTCGAAAATCCATCTAGCTGACAGGATGCTCCAAAAAATGATTGAATAACATCAAAATTGGGCCCGAGACCTTTTCACGAAATCGGGAGGGTTTTACCGTGTCTTCGGTTTTTTTTGTTGCAAAAACTAAGCTTCCAGAAATCAATCCTGCGAAAATCTAGGTTCCGGCCTTTCCTTACTCCCTTGCAGATTGGGTTCGGAAATTTGCATCCGGTCGCCGGGCCCTAAAAAGACTCGGCCCCTCCCCCTCCTGTTTGGGTGGTCTCTCCCCCGGCGGGTAATGGTGTTTCCGGGCCCGGTCCAAACACCCACCACCACTGCCAAAAATTATCCCCGCGTTTCGGTGGGTTGGGGAAATCGGGGGAAACAAGGAGAAACAAAGAAACGCCTGGAAATCAGGGCAAAGGAAGGAAATGCTATTTAGGCGGCAAAATAGGAATGCGATGGAAGGAATGAAACATATGAAAAAATCGGATGAAGCTGCGGAATTTGCCGGATCCTGAGTGGAAAGCCAGCAAAAACTAGCATTAAAAGCTATCGGGAATTGTAGGAGAGCAAAAGGTGTAAAATATGCAAAACTCAGAAGTTATAGTATAGAAAACATCCAAAATAGGCCAAAAAATGCAGTTTTGAAGCATGGACCTAATAAAAGATGGCTTAATTCAGTAAAATTCAGCATAATTCCAAATTAATTCCGATAGAATTTGATTCGAAGAAGAATATTAATAGTAAAAAAATTAATACTGAATAAAAATGATAGGTATAATTTATAGAAAAAAACCGGGCAAGAAACAATGAGGAGTAAATTTTGAACCGGGACTCACCAATTTCAGCCGGCAGCTCTGGTACTTCCGCTATTGGGGTTGGCGGGGTTGGTGTACGCTGTTCATTTTCGTCTTCGCCTTCTGAATTGTGTTAAATTTAATAATTTTTATATATTTTTTTATACCTGTGATGTCTTCATCAAAACCATGATGCACGCCATCTTCATCGGCGATGGATTCCTGGAAAAAACGGCTAAAAATTGTCTTCAAGCGCTACAAAAGGCATCGAGGCTTTTTACAAGCCATCAAAAATTCAAAATACTACTTTTACGACTTCGAAAAAGATATATAAAAGTACCTTCATGAACGACAGCTGCTCCTCGTACCAATTGTGGACATGCGGGGAGCGCACAATCTCCGACACCGACTTGATGCTGAATTCCGAGGATTTTCTGGAGATCGTACGCCGGTCTGAGCCCCTTGAGATTGGGGTTGTTTCCTCGTCATGCATCACTTCTTCTCGACGTCCAGAGAGGAATTTATCGTGGTTGAAGGCGTCTTCGACATGGCTACGTTCATCTGATGGGATTTCCGGAACCTCGTATCCTGGTTCGGGCTCTTCGATTCTCGGCTCGGGAATGGCTTCACTGACGTCGAGTTCGTGCTCGTGGTCTTCAGGTTTTTCCTGGACTTTTTCAACTTGAGGCCGAGGATAATTTTCTAGAACTTGTTCGTACTCGGTAGGTTGAGCTTCAAAGTTTTCAGCTTTCGGTGGTGGGCTTTGCGCGAACTCGTGCTCAGGTTCCGAGGCTACTCCCGTTCCTTCAGACAGGTCCTCCGGTTCGGAAGCCGGTTCAGTCGCTTCCGAAACAGTCTTCTGCAACCGTACAGCCGGCTGTCGTCCATAGAACTCGGGCTCCGAATCGACGTCAAAACTCCTAGGCTCAGACGCAAGCCCCGTAGCGTCAGAAGCGTCGTCTTCCGGTTCCGAGGCGCCCTCTGTCGCGTCAGAATCTTCCTGGGGCACCGGAGTTGAGACCAGGATCGGTGTCTCGCCCTCAACAGCGTAGTGCCCTAATGAGGTCGCCGTCTCGTTGCCGAAGCCTCCCTCCCAGGGTCGAGTGCTAATTGCCCCGGCTGCTTCTGAAGGGCCGCCCTCTTGTGGGTATGTGCTGAGGGCGTCGGCCGCCTCGGTAATTTTGCGGATGTGTTCGAGTTCCTCGGCAGTGAGCTTATCGGAAGCGGGGAGGTTGGAGACCTTTTGGAAGTGGGAGATTTCTTCTCTCGTTGGTTCGGATGGGCGAGGCGTGGCGGTGAATTCCATGGCCTCGGCGGCTTCGGTGATCCTTCTAATGTGATCGAGCTCAGCTTGGCTTAGGTCGGGCTCAGTTGGCTTCGTTTCCACGACAGGTCCTGTCTGGAAGCCAGGGAATTGAGCTTGAGAATCCATGACTTCTGCCGCTTCGGCGATTCTTCTGATGTGGTCAAGCTCAGCTTGGCTTAGCTCGGGCTCAGCTGGCCATGTGTCGACAACAGGTCTCGCTTGGAAGCCGGTCAACTGAACCTGAGAATCCATAGCTTCAGCTGCTTCCGTAATTCTTCTGATGTGCTCAAGCTCCTGTTGGCTGAGCTCGGGCTTGGCTGGTTTGCTTTGGCTTATAGCCTGAACTCCAAAACCAGGATACTGAGCTTGAGAATCAATTTCCGCGGCTTCCGATATCCTCTTAATATGATCAAGTTCAGCTTGGCTCAAGCCCGGCTCAGATACCTTCGGCTCGGGCTTGGCTTGGCTTGGTTGGGTCGGCTGGTTGAAGATTCCCTTCAGCATAGAAGTCCCTTGCTTGGTCTGTTTCACCGCAGAGCCCATAAAGCCGCCCATGTTGAAGCCGAACGACTTTCGGCGCTGATCAAGGGGAGCTGGCTGCTCAAAGTCCATTCCCGCAGCTTCGTTGATTTTCCGGATGTGCTCAAGCTCCTCTGCTGACAATTCAGGCGCTTGTGTGGGTTCCGGTACATCGAAGCCGCTTGCCATAGCCTCAATTCGCCGGGTGTGCTCTATTTCTTCGGCTGTTAACTCCGGAACTTCAGGTTTGATTTGAGCTTCAACTGGCTTAAATATTGGCTGATCCATCGCCTCGGCCATAGCGGCAATTCGCTGGATGTGCTCGAGCTCAGCGGCTGAGAGCTCTGCTTGGGCAGGTTCGGGCTTGACTTGAATCGGCTTTGCCTGCTGCATGGAGAAAGGTGAAAAAGCCTCCCCAGCCATAGCAGCCATCTGGGTGACGCGCCGAATATGCTCCAGCTCCTCCTCGGTGAGCTCCGGTTCATCTTCGCGAGGGCTCGGCGTCACAATACTACCAGGCGAGCTAGCTACCGGGGATGGGCTAGTCTTCTGGATCTGGGGCGCTGGGAGCATGGTCTTCTTCGGCTCCTCGGGCTTGGACGTGAAACCGGAGAAGAAGGACTTGAAGCCGCTCAGTGTCGAGCTTTCCTTCCTGGACGGGGTAGACGTCTTTGAGTCATCCCGATCTTTGGTGACGGTGGAAATACCTAAAGACCAGTTTCTAAATGTGAATAGAAGCAAACCTGGCGTTCTCGAGCTGATATCCAACTGTAGCTGTTGTCTCGAGGTTTCATCTGATTGACTCGAACCAGCTTCCGCTCGTCTGATCGCGTCTTCAATAGACCGGATCGAGGTTCCGTAGTCCTCATCGGAGATGGAAGACTGCGCCTTTGACGCAGGTTCCGTTAGTCCGGATTGTACCGAATCGGTGCGGAGAGTAAGTTGGCGTTTCGGAACGTTGATGACCTAAAAATTAGATGTGGTATAGACGTTGAGGAGAGAGAAAGAGAGAGAGAGAGAGAGAGAGAGAGAGAAAGAGAGAGAAAAAGAGAGAGCGAGCGAGCGAAAACTTACAAATGGATTCTGCCGCTGATCCGCCTTATCCAAAACGCTCTGGATGTGTTCACGCTCGGCGTTGGTGAGCTCGTTCATTTCCGGAAGGACAGAATGACCGATGGCAGACGAGCTTCTGAAATGTGAATTAAGATTATATCATTTTTAACTCGTAAGGATCACGTCAAGATGCTAGGCTAAGCTCCCACCTTCTCGAAGTGCTCGGTGACACCTTCTGCGTAGCAGCGGCCATCACGCGCATGATGTGGTCACGCTCTTCCTGTGACAATCCCACAAGTGCGTTGTCCGGAAGCTATCAGCTTTATAGAAATAATTTTCAGATGTACTACCTGCAATGGCGATGAGGTCGAAGCTCTGGATTCCGCTCCGGATGATCTTCGAAGCAGCCCGATGATTCCCTCGTTCGTAGTCGGAGCAATGGAGCTCGAGGTGCCCGGCCTTTCCATTGAGGTCTGAAGGTTGAATTTATCGTAAAAGGACCGTTTCTAGCCACCTTTCTCTTCTTCGGCTTCTCCTCGAAGAATGAGCTCGACAGCATGGAGAGGGCAGATCGCGGGCGTTCTGGCGTGTGGCTTGGTCGGCGCGGGGAGAGGAAGGAGAAGAGCCCAAAAGAGGGGACCTGAAAGACGTATTTTAATTGTATAATTGGTAATTTCCTGGGCTTCCTTCTAAAGCAGTACTAAAAACGTCCCACCTCTTCCTCGGCGATCTCGACAGTAAAACCGCGGTGCTCTTCGGAACTGAAAAACCGTTGTTAGCGCTTTATAAGGTATTCGTTTTTATATTCTATCATAAACTTTAAAAAGTTCAAGAAGCATACACGTAGAGTGATATTAACTTTGATGTTCATTCTCATAGCTATTCTAGCGTTAATCGATGCGTTTAGCCAAATTCTTATGAAAACTTACTCCGCATCGGGACCCTCGCTTTCCGGACTCGAATCCGGCAAGCACGGATACCCATCGGCTCCATCGGTGAAGTATCGGGCCCTCGGGTTGATGCTCTGCCGGATCTGGATGCGGAGCTCCCGCCCGGCGCTCTCGGCTGAAAATAACCGCGGGTTAGCACGCTACAGGGGGCTTGGCAACTTTGGCTTCGTGCCGCCCCTTGTTATTTGCGACTTTCTTAGTTGCTTTCATCTATGTAAAAAAAATAGTATTTTTGTTCGTAAAAACGTTATTCATCGCCTTCTATTAGTTCGCCAAATCACTTTAACAACGTGTGACTCCTATTGACACCCAGCGCCCCTGGGAAAGAACGGAAAGGATTGCGCGTTGGCATTTTCAGCTTTGTGTTTTTCAAGGGACAAAAATATTCGGCTCTATCCTAATAGCGGGGACCATAGAAAATATCGGGTACCATAGAAATTATCGGGGACCATAAAAAATATCGGGTACCATAAAAAATATCGGGTACCATAGAAAATATCGGGTACCATAAAAAATATCGGGGCTTTACGAAATATCGGGGACCGATCGCGAATATCCGGGACTTTAAAATCGGGCATTTAGGCCAAAATTTCGGCTGATCAATATCGTGGACTTTAAAATTTGGACTCCAGCCGGGCTATGGTCCACGATATTGACCTATACAAAAAATATCGGAAATTGCCGGAAAACGCCTGCTAATCTAGCAAAGGGCAATTCATTGGCTTGCCAAGTGCCAGGGGCTGCAGAGAAGCTTACCTTGCCATCTTCCTTGGTACTTTACTGTCTTGGACGACTTGACGCTTATGGCGAGGTGATCGTTCTTTGAGCTACACCACTCCACATAAATTTGTAGGCGTTCCCAATTTTTTGCCTAGGGAAATTGCCAGTGGGAAAGCCGGCGTAACTTGGGGCTCGAGCTCGATGCGTTACGTACGGATCCGTACAGGTCATGTGACGATGTTACAGCACAAACCGAGTTTGAAATCGCCTAGCATCCCTTAGATGGAGAATTTAGCCCTAAGTTTTTCTTGGAACACTCCATCCAATCCAAGACAGTAAAGTACAAGGAAGATGGCAAGGTAAGCTTCTCTGCAGCCCCTGGCGCTTGGGAAGCCAATGAATTGCCCTTTGCTAGATTAGCAGGCGTTTTCCGGCAATTTCCGATATTTTTTGTATCGGTCAATATCGTGGACCATAGCCCGGCTGGAGTCCAAATTTTAACGTCCACGATATTGATCAGCCGAAATTTTGGCCTAAATGCCCGATTTTAAAGTCCCCGATATTCGCGATCGGTCCCCGATATTTCGTAAGGTCCCCGATATTTTTTATGGTACCCGATATTTTCTATGGTACCCGATATTTTTTATGGTACCCGATATTTTTTATGGTCCCCGATAATTTCTATGGTACCCGATATTTTCTATGGTCCCCGCTATTAGGATAGAGCCAAATATTCGAATTCTTCATAAAGCCGAATTCAAACAGGTTTGGACAACGCATGGCTCCTATTGACACCCAGCGCCCCTTGGCAAGAAGGGAAAGGCCTCGGCGATCGGATTCTTCAAACTTTGTACTTTCCGAGTTTCCCTATTTAAACTAAACAAATAATGGGGGTTTTTTGATCATGATAATGGAGCCGTCCGCCTATCATTAATGCGTCCTAACGCCTTTATAACTAGCGGCTCGTTTTCACGCGCTGATCCAGCCATTGGAACAAGCACTTTTTGCGTTCGATCCCTTCGTTTTTCTCTAACTCACCAATAGCCTCGGTCAACCGGTTAGCGTAGAAGTTCACGCGGCATAACAGGTCAACATTGGTGAGCATCGAGAAGCTGTCGGTGTACGAGTGCTGTTCACAGAGCTCGAACGCGTTCAGCCGCTCGTGCCATTCGTGGCCAATGCCGCGCACGCAGGCGATGCTTCTGAAAAGCGTTAATTTGTTTTTTTTGCGATTCTATCAGCTTTTTGCTCAATTTCGTTTCCTCTTACCTCGAAATCCTCATTGGTTCCGTTTTGGCCTCGGACTTGGGATGGACGTCGCTCATGCTCTTGCAGAAACGTGTTGCGCCTCAAAATGTTTGCTTTCTTGGTTTTTAAAGGTTGTTTTGTATATTTTTTGAACGAGCTTGATTGTAATTTTGTAAAGTTAACTAAAACCGCATTAAATTGGGCTTGTACGTAGTTCTGAAGTTTTAAACGTTTAAGGTTACGAAAAGGTTCCCATTAAGCGGACATTCAGCGTAACTTTTGCTTCGACGTACTCTAGAAATATTGCTTATTTTCTATATTAACTGTTTGCAATATCCATTTTATAGTTTCGTACTTACCTGGTGATGTTTTCCCATCAATCTCAGCGTCCAAAAAGTCCTTGCCACTGCTTTTCCGCGACAGATTTTCCGGAATCGAAATGATATCCTCCTCGCCGCTTCCTTCAGCCTAAATCACGGACATTTTTGTAAATTTTGTTTTTAAGATTATTTGTGATACACTTGTTTGGTTTCTTACCTCTGGGAAAGACGGCAACGACTCCTTCAACGAATTATCCATGAACACGACGGACGTCGTTGGTTTGGAGGACATAAAGGGCCCTTCTGTTTCGACTTCCGGTTCAGGAATGTCATCGGGCATCGGATTTTCGGCGCTGAACGACAATGAGGTTTGTAGCTCGCGGTTCATCGAGTTTCGGAATATATTCGTATAAGCAACGCGTGTTCTTGGTGAAACCGGCGGCATTTCGGTATCTTCAGTAGAAATCGCCGGCTCAGGCACTTCCGCACTTTGTTGATATTCTGCCCGCACAAAACTTGGGGCCGAAATTGTTGTTTGGCGCACCGGGAAGCCCCGGGAAGCCCTGGCCGTTTCCATGGATGATTGGAAAGTGGTCGACTGGAGCTTCTCCGAAAAATGTTGCACCGAAACCGATGAGCGGCGCCTTGGAATAAACGCAGAAACCTCGCTAATCGATGGTTCTGGTCCGGCTACATGCCGACTATCTAGCATTGTGAATAGCCCTGGGTCTTCCTGCTCGGCCAGGCTCTGGATGTAGGCAATGTGTGCCAGCTCTTCCTCGGTCAATCCTTCGTCGTATTTTTTGGGAACCGAGATGAGGCTAGCTAGCTCTTTTTCAGCCAATTCCACCCTCTCCACCGGCGCCATTATCGCATCAACCGCTTCAGCGCACAATGAATCTGCAACGGCCTTTGGGCTTTCACACCATTCTTGAACGGTTTCTCCCAATTCCTCGTCTCCTTCCGCGGCAAAAGATCCGGAAATCTGTTCGGAATCCGCTTCGGAAGTGGCACTGGAATGCTCTTCGGGTGACTCGACTCGATCTCCCCATTCAGGCAGTTCTTCAGCGACTTCGAGTCGCGCTTGAGCGAGAGATTCTGATCGATTCATTTGAGAGTCGAATGCGTCGACAACGGTGGTATCAGCCACAGATTTCCGTTGCATCTCAAACTCGACGGCGGATTGTTCGGCCATCTTTTGGATGTAGGCGATGTGGTCGAGCTCTTCTTGTGTCAGTTGATCGACTGGCTCTTCTTGGATCGTTGGTTCAAGTAGTGGAGAACCTCTCGTAAGCTCGAGCCTCTTCGAAGCTGGACTGTTCGAAGGATTGAGTAGCATCAGCACCGGAGGTAGCGCTGGAATGCTCTTCAGGTGACTCGACTCGATCTCCCCATTCAGGCAGTTCTTCAGCGACTTCGAGTCGCACTTGAGCGAGAGATTCTGATCGATTCATTTGAGAGTCGAATGCGTCGACAACGGTGGTATCAGCCACAGATTTCCGTTGCATCTCAAACTCGACGGCGGATTGTTCGGCCATCTTTTGGATGTAGGCGATGTGGTCGAGCTCTTCTTGTGTCAGTTGATCGACTGGCTCTTCTTGGATCGTTGGTTCAAGTAGTGGAGAACCTCTCTCGTAAGCTCGAGCCTCTTCGAAGCTGGACTGTTCGAAGGATTGAGTAGCATCAGCACCGGAGGTAGCGCTGGAATGCTCTTCAGGTGACTCGACTCGATCTCCCCATTCAGGCAGTTCTTCAGCGACTTCGAGTCGCGCTTGAGCGAGAGATTCTGATCGATTCATTTGAGAGTCGAATGCGTCGACAACGGTGGTATCAGCCACAGATTTCCGTTGCATCTCAAACTCGACGGCGGATTGTTCGGCCATCTTTTGGATGTAGGCGATGTGGTCGAGCTCTTCTTGTGTCAGCAGATCGACCGGTTCCTCCTGGAGAGTTGGCTCGAGAAGTGGTGAGCTTCTCTCGTAAACAGGAGCCTCTTCGGAGCTGGACTGCTCGAACGAGTGCTGAGCATCAGCACCGGAGGTAGCGCTGGAATGCTCTTCAGGTGACTCGACTCGATCTCCCCATTCAGGCAGTTCTTCAGCGACTTCGAGTCGCGCTTGAGCGAGAGATTCTGATCGATTCATTTGAGAGTCGAATGCGTCGACAACGGTGGTATCAGCCACAGATTTCCGTTGCATCTCAAACTCGACGGCGGATTGTTCGGCCATCTTTTGGATGTAGGCGATGTGGTCGAGCTCTTCTTGTGTCAGCAGATCGACCGGTTCCTCCTGGAGATTTGGCTCGAGAAGTGGTGAGCTTCTCTCGTAAACAGGAGCCTCTTCGAAGCTGGACTGCTCGAACGAGTGCTGAGCATCAGCACCGGAGGTAGCGCTGGAATGCTGTTCAGGTGACTCGACTCGATCTCCCCATTCAGGCAGTTCTTCAGCGACTTCGAGTCGCGCTTGAGCGAGAGATTCTGATCGATTCATTTGAGAGTCGAATGCGTCGACAACGGTGGTATCAGCCACAGATTTCCGTTGCATCTCAAACTCGACGGCGGATTGTTCGACCATCTTTTGGATGTAGGCGATGTGGTCGAGCTCTTCTTGTGTCAGCAGATCGACTGGCTCTTCTTGGATCGTTGGTTCAAGTAGTGGAGAACCTCTCTCGTAAGCTGGAGCCTCTTCGAAGCTGGACTGTTCGAAGGATTGAGTAGCATCAGCACCGGAAGTGGCGCTGGAATGCTGTTCAGGTGACTCGACTCGATCTCCCCATTCAGGCAGTTCTTCAGCGACTTCGAGTCGCGCTTGAGCGAGAGATTCTGATCGATTCATTTGAGAGTCGAATGCGTCGACAACGGTGGTATCAGCCACAGATTTCCGTTGCATCTCAAACTCGACGGCGGATTGTTCGGCCATCTTTTGGATGTAGGCGATGTGGTCGAGCTCTTCTTGTGTCAGTTGATCGACTGGCTCTTCTTGGATCGTTGGTTCAAGTAGTGGAGAACCTCTCTCGTAAGCTCGAGCCTCTTCGAAGCTGGACTGTTCGAAGGATTGAGTAGCATCAGCACCGGAGGTAGCGCTGGAATGCTCTTCAGGTGACTCGACTCGATCTCCCCATTCAGGCAGTTCTTCAGCGACTTCGAGTCGCGCTTGAGCGAGAGATTCTGATCGATTCATTTGAGAGTCGAATGCGTCGACAACGGTGGTATCAGCCACAGATTTCCGTTGCATCTCAAACTCGACGGCGGATTGTTCGGCCATCTTTTGGATGTAGGCGATGTGGTCGAGCTCTTCTTGTGTCAGTTGATCGACTGGCTCTTCTTGGATCGTTGGTTCAAGTAGTGGTGAGCTTCTCTCGTAAACAGGAGCCTCTTCGAAGCTGGACTGCTCGAACGAGTGCTGAGCATCAGCACCGGAGGTAGCGCTGGAATGCTGTTCAGGTGATTCGACTCGATCTCCCCATTCAGGCAGTTCTTCAGCGACTTCGAGTCGCGCTTGAGCGAGAGATTCTGATCGATTCATTTGAGAGTCGAATGCGTCGACAACGGTGGTATCAGCCACAGATTTCCGTTGCATCTCAAACTCGACGGCGGATTGTTCGGCCATCTTTTGGATGTAGGCGATGTGGTCGAGCTCTTCTTGTGTCAGCTGATCCACTGGCTCTTCTTGGATCGTTGGTTTAAGTAGTTGAGAACCTCTCTCGTAAGCTGGACCCTGTTCGAAGCTGGACTGTTCGAAGTATTGAGTAGCATCAGCACCGGAAGTGGCGCTGGAATGCTGTTCAGGTGACTCGACTCGATCTCCCCATTCAGGCAGTTCTTCAGCGACTTCGAGTCGCGCTTGAGCGAGAGATTCTGATCGATTCATTTGAGAGTCGAATGCGTCGACAACGGTGGTATCAGCCACAGATTTCCGTTGCATCTCAAACTCGACGGCGGATTGTTCGGCCATCTTTTGGATGTAGGCGATGTGGTCGAGCTCTTCTTGTGTCAGTTGATCGACTGGCTCTTCTTGGATCGTTGGTTCAAGTAGTGGAGAACCTCTCTCGTAAGCTGGAGCCTCTTCGAAGCTGGACTGTTCGAAGGATTGAGTAGCATCAGCACCGGAAGTGGCGCTGGAATGCTGTTCAGGTGACTCGACTCGATCTCCCCATTCAGGCAGTTCTTCAGCGACTTCGAGTCGCGCTTGAGCGAGAGATACTGATCGATTCATTTGAGAGTCGAATGCGTCGACAACGGTGGTATCAGCCACAGATTTCCGTTGCATCTCAAACTCGACGGCGGATTGTTCGGCCATCTTTTGGATGTAGGCGATGTGGTCGAGCTCTTCTTGTGTCAGTTGATCGACTGGCTCTTCTTGGATCGTTGGTTCAAGTAATGGAGAACCTCTCTCGTAAGCTGGAGCCTCTTCGAAGCTGGACTGTTCGAAGGATTGAGTAGCATCAGCACCGGAGGTAGCGCTGGAATGCTCTTCAGGTGACTCGACTCGATCTCCCCATTCAGGCAGTTCTTCAGCGACTTCGAGTCGCGCTTGAGCGAGAGATTCTGATCGATTCATTTGAGAGTCGAATGCGTCGACAACGGTGGTATCAGCCACAGATTTCCGTTGCATCTCAAACTCGACGGCGGATTGTTCGGCCATCTTTTGGATGTAGGCGATGTGGTCGAGCTCTTCTTGTGTCAGTTGATCGACTGGCTCTTCTTGGATCGTTGGTTCAAGTAGTGGAGAACCTCTCTCGTAAGCTCGAGCCTCTTCGAAGCTGGACTGTTCGAAGGATTGAGTAGCATCAGCACCGGAGGTAGCGCTGGAATGCTCTTCAGGTGACTCGACTCGATCTCCCCATTCAGGCAGTTCTTCAGCGACTTCGAGTCGCGCTTGAGCGAGAGATTCTGATCGATTCATTTGAGAGTCGAATGCGTCGACAACGGTGGTATCAGCCACAGATTTCCGTTGCATCTCAAACTCGACGGCGGATTGTTCGGCCATCTTTTGGATGTAGGCGATGTGGTCGAGCTCTTCTTGTGTCAGTTGATCGACTGGCTCTTCTTGGATCGTTGGTTCAAGTAGTGGTGAGCTTCTCTCGTAAACAGGAGCCTCTTCGAAGCTGGACTGCTCGAACGAGTGCTGAGCATCAGCACCGGAGGTAGCGCTGGAATGCTGTTCAGGTGATTCGACTCGATCTCCCCATTCAGGCAGTTCTTCAGCGACTTCGAGTCGCGCTTGAGCGAGAGATTCTGATCGATTCATTTGAGAGTCGAATGCGTCGACAACGGTGGTATCAGCCACAGATTTCCGTTGCATCTCAAACTCGACGGCGGATTGTTCGGCCATCTTTTGGATGTAGGCGATGTGGTCGAGCTCTTCTTGTGTCAGCTGATCCACTGGCTCTTCTTGGATCGTTGGTTTAAGTAGTTGAGAACCTCTCTCGTAAGCTGGACCCTGTTCGAAGCTGGACTGTTCGAAGTATTGAGTAGCATCAGCACCGGAAGTGGCGCTGGAATGCTGTTCAGGTGACTCGACTCGATCTCCCCATTCAGGCAGTTCTTCAGCGACTTCGAGTCGCGCTTGAGCGAGAGATTCTGATCGATTCATTTGAGAGTCGAATGCGTCGACAACGGTGGTATCAGCCACAGATTTCCGTTGCATCTCAAACTCGACGGCGGATTGTTCGGCCATCTTTTGGATGTAGGCGATGTGGTCGAGCTCTTCTTGTGTCAGTTGATCGACTGGCTCTTCTTGGATCGTTGGTTCAAGTAGTGGAGAACCTCTCTCGTAAGCTGGAGCCTCTTCGAAGCTGGACTGTTCGAAGGATTGAGTAGCATCAGCACCGGAAGTGGCGCTGGAATGCTGTTCAGGTGACTCGACTCGATCTCCCCATTCAGGCAGTTCTTCAGCGACTTCGAGTCGCGCTTGAGCGAGAGATACTGATCGATTCATTTGAGAGTCGAATGCGTCGACAACGGTGGTATCAGCCACAGATTTCCGTTGCATCTCAAACTCGACGGCGGATTGTTCGGCCATCTTTTGGATGTAGGCGATGTGGTCGAGCTCTTCTTGTGTCAGTTGATCGACTGGCTCTTCTTGGATCGTTGGTTCAAGTAGTGGAGAACCTCTCTCGTAAGCTGGAGCCTCTTCGAAGCTGGACTGTTCGAAGGATTGAGTAGCATCAGCACCGGAAGTGGCGCTGGAATGCTGTTCAGGTGACTCGACTCGATCTCCCCATTCAGGCAGTTCTTCAGCGACTTCGAGTCGCGCTTGAGCGAGAGATTCTGATCGATTCATTTGAGAGTCGAATGCGTCGACAACGGTGGTATCAGCCACAGATTTCCGTTGCATCTCAAACTCGACGGCGGATTGTTCGACCATCTTTTGGATGTAGGCGATGTGGTCGAGCTCTTCTTGTGTCAGCAGATCGACCGGTTCCTCCTGGAGAGTTGGCTCGAGAAGTGGTGAGCTTCTCTCGTAAACATGAGCCTCTTCGAAGCTGGACTGCTCGAACGAGTGCTGAGCATCAGCACCGGAAGTGGCGCTGGAATGCTGTTCAGGTGACTCGACTCGATCTCCCCATTCAGGCAGTTCTTCAGCGACTTCGAGTCGCGCTTGAGCGAGAGATACTGATCGATTCATTTGAGAGTCGAATGCGTCGACAACGGTGGTATCAGCCACAGATTTCCGTTGCATCTCAAACTCGACGGCGGATTGTTCGGCCATCTTTTGGATATAGGCGATGTGGTCGAGCTCTTCTTGTGTCAGTTGATCGACTGGCTCTTCTTGGATCGTTGGTTCAAGTAATGGAGAACCTCTCTCGTAAGCTGGAGCCTCTTCGAAGCTGGACTGTTCGAAGGATTGAGTAGCATCAGCACCGGAGGTAGCGCTGGAATGCTCTTCAGGTGACTCGACTCGATCTCCCCATTCAGGCAGTTCTTCAGCGACTTCGAGTCGCGCTTGAGCGAGAGATTCTGATCGATTCATTTGAGAGTCGAATGCGTCGACAACGGTGGTATCAGCCACAGATTTCCGTTGCATCTCAAACTCGACGGCGGATTGTTCGGCCATCTTTTGGATGTAGGCGATGTGGTCGAGCTCTTCTTGTGTCAGTTGATCGACTGGCTCTTCTTGGATCGTTGGTTCAAGTAGTGGTGAGCTTCTCTCGTAAACAGGAGCCTCTTCGAAGCTGGACTGCTCGAACGAGTGCTGAGCATCAGCACCGGAGGTAGCGCTGGAATGCTGTTCAGGTGACTCGACTCGATCTCCCCATTCAGGCAGTTCTTCAGCGACTTCGAGTCGCGCTTGAGCGAGAGATTCTGATCGATTCATTTGAGAGTCGAATGCGTCGACAACGGTGGTATCAGCCACAGATTTCCGTTGCATCTCAAACTCGACGGCGGATTGTTCGGCCATCTTTTGGATGTAGGCGATGTGGTCGAGCTCTTCTTGTGTCAGCTGATCGACTGGCTCTTCTTGGATCGTTGGTTCAAGTAGTGGAGAACCTCTCTCGTAAGCTGGAGCCTCTTCGAAGCTGGACTGTTCGAAGGATTGAGTAGCATCAGCACCGGAAGTGGCGCTGGAATGCTGTTCAGGTGACTCGACTCGATCTCCCCATTCAGGCAGTTCTTCAGCGACTTCGAGTCGCGCTTGAGCGAGAGATACTGATCGATTCATTTGAGAGTCGAATGCGTCGACAACGGTGGTATCAGCCACAGATTTCCGTTGCATCTCAAACTCGACGGCGGATTGTTCGGCCATCTTTTGGATGTAGGCGATGTGGTCGAGCTCTTCTTGTGTCATCTGATCCACGGGCTCTTCTTGGAGCGAAGGCTCGATTAATGGAGCGTCCTCAAAGCTGGACTGCTCGATAGAGCCCACAACTTGCCGGTCCGATGATACGCTACTTCGGTCATCGGGCTCATCCTGTCTGGAGGTTGCGGGGCTAGCAAGCTCTTCAAACACGGCCACCTCAGGGACCTGCTCGGGCTCGACAAAGGAAATCTCCTCGCTATCGTCGGAGTCTGAGGAATCGAACCCGTAGAGTTCCTTGCGGCTGATGCGTTCAATTTTCACTTCAAGGTTGTCCAAAATGACGTTGGTTTCTTGTAGTTGGTCCATGATTTGCTCCGAGATTTGCTTCGCGCTTAGATCAGCGTTGGTTTCGAAGCCAGCAACCGTTGGCGCGCGTAGGAGCGGCGGCTTTTTCTTCACCGCAGGTGTTGGCGGAGTCGGTTCATCGAAGGGCTTCGGTTTTTCCGGCTCGGACTCCTCCCTTCCAATGCTGAGACTCCGACAAGCGGTGTCGAAAGAATGCCTGCGTCCAATCCGGTTTGCCACCCGCAGCAGATCGTTGAATTGGTCATCGATCAGCATGGAAGCCAGATCATTGAGCGCTCCATAGTTGTCAACGAGTTCTTCTTGGGAGCTTGTCGACGAGGAGCTGGAGCTCAGGTCGGATTCATTTTCCTCGAGGATGATCTTATCGTTTGCTCTCCTCAATTGGTCGCAGTTTCGCCGCAAGGGCCAGAGCTTGGTCTTGAAGAATTCTTTGCTCTTCGTTTCCATTAGTGTATAGAGCTCGTCAAATTCGATAGCCTCCAATTCCTGGCTGATGTTAACGTCATTCTCCACGCTACCTTCCTCACTGGAATCGGGCTCGAGCTTCCAAACGGCACGTTGAGGTTGCTTTGGCGCCTCCGAGCTTGATACATCGGTTGTGACAATGATTGAGACTTCTGAGACTTTGCTCTTTTTAGGCGGTAGGATCGAGGATTCGGTTGGCTTGATGGTGGCTACAGGCATATTCTCAGAATAGTAGTATAGGACCGGAGCTGTGGATTGTAGCTCTTCGCTTATGTGTCGGATCACGCGTCTTGGAGGTGGTGGCCGCCTTGGTGGTAGAGGTGCAGTGTGCACCGTCTCCGCCAGGACGCTGACCTTAGCTTGGGTCCCCTCAGCTTGTATTTCGACAGGGGCAGCATTCTGGGCATCAGATGCCGCAGCAGGTGACGGGATATCAGGTTCTTCTTCCAACTCACGGTCCTCTTCGTCGGCTCCGGAAGTCGGTGTCGATGCCGCTTCGTTGTTCTCAGGCTCATCGAGCTCGAAGATGTTGGGCAACTCCGGTATGCCAAGCGCTGTGCGATCTCCAAATTCACGGGCCGTCTCTTCAGCGATTCGTTGGAAGAAGTCGAGTTGTAGGGCCGAACTGGACATCACCTCCTCGTCAAAGGCCGCCTTATCCACGATGGAGCGCTCTTTCGGTTCTGGAGAGATACAGGGAGGCGGCTTTGACGCTATCATTTGAGCGGTATTCCGGATTACGGTTGGAACATTCTGCCCCTCGGCAAGTATAGAAATCGTCGTCAGTTTCTCCTCAATATCCACCAACATCTGGCTCTCCGGCTCTAGATCCGAGTCGTTTGCATGATCATCAGCTCCAGAAGTCGGAGTGGATGGCACAGATTCAACAAGTTGGATATCTTGAGACCGTTGTAACCTGGCGGGGATCAGAGCCAAGCTGGATTCAGTCAGGCTCCAGGTGACATCCGTAACCTCTGTGGATGCAGCTTCAAAAGCCGGGATACGCTGACTGGCCTCGAACTCCGGCTGCCGCAGAACTTCCACCCTGGCCAAGTCGCAGTCAATGATCTCCACCATTTCCTGGTCAGCCAGCTTTGGCCTCGTAGGTCGTGGAGGCGGTGGGATTTTTGCTAGCCGCGCATCCAACTCGGCAGCAATTTCCTCTTCGAACGGGCTCGCAGGTTCTAGTCCTTCCTCGTCTGATTCCTCCGGTTTATCGATGGATCGCACCGGCTGCTGGACGGTCGAGGCGAATGTGGCCTGTCGCATCTCATGTTCGACCTCGCCGGAAAGTTTCTTGATGAATGCGGCCTGATCAAGCGATCCGCCAGCAATTTCGAAGGATAGATCGAACGAGCGGTGTTCGTCTTCACCGGAAGTAGGTGTGCTGACGTCAGATTTTTCCAGAATTGGCTCCAATCCGGAGAACTGCTCCTCACCATCTGTCAGGTTCAGCTCAACTTCAAAAGAATGTCGTTCATCGGCACCGGATGTGGCACTGGAGGCACTATCGATTGATTTTTGGGCTCGGACTGTAGCGAGGGGCAAATCCGTTATCCATTGTAATGTTCCTCTTGGCACTCCGATGGCCTCCGCTGTGACTGGTTCGATTGAATCGGTGACCATGTCATCTGCTACTGCCATCCGCTGCATTTCAAACCCGATGGCGGATTGTTCGGCCATCTTCTGGATGTAGGCGATGTGGTCGAGCTCTTCTTGTGTCAGTTGATCGACTGGCTCTTCTTGAATCGTTGGCTCTAGAAGAGGTGAGCTTCTCTCGTAGGCAGGAGCTTCTTCGAAGCTAGACTGCTCGAAAGATTGAGTAGCATCTGCACCGGAAGTAGCGCTGGAATGCTCTTCAGCTGATTCTACTCGATCTCCCCATTCAGGCAGTTCTTCAGCGACTTCGAGTCGTGCCTTGGCCAGGGATTCTGATCGATTCAGCTGGGAGTCGAAGGCGTCGACCACAGTTGTATCAGCCACAGATTTCCGTTGCATCTCGAATTCCGCAGCAGACTGTTCGGCCATTTTCTGAATCCAAGCAATATGCTCGAGTTCCTCTGCAGTCAGTTCTGGTTGCGCGACAGGGGCTACACGAGATTCGCTTTCGTAAGTCGGGGCTTCTTCAAACGAGGGCTGTTCAAAAGACCTCTCTACGTCGGCTCCGGCATCGGAGTGTTCATCGTCAGAAGCTGTTTCTGGCAGCGGTAGCTCGAATTTCTCCGCGAACGCTAGCCTTGCTTGTGCTAATGGTTCCGACCGGTTTGTTTGTGAATCCAAGGCGTCGACTACTGTAGCATCAGGTACCGCCCTACGCTGCCTATCAAATTCCACTGCGGAATCTTCAGCCATTTTCTGAATCCAGGCAATATGGTCAAGTTCTTCTTGTGTTAGTTGATCGACCGGCTCTTCCTGGATGGTCGCTTCAAGCAGTGGAGAAATTCTGTCGTATGCTGGAGCTTCTTCGAAGCTGGACTGCTCGAAGGATCGCTCCGCATCGGCACCAGAAGTGGCGCTGGAATGTTCTTCCACTGATTCGGCACGGATTGTTCTTATCGGTAGCTCTTCAGCCATCCCCAATCGTGCCTTTGCTATCGACTCCGATCGTAACAACATCGAATCCAGGGTATCGGCTACAGTAGTGTCGGAAATGGCTACCCTCTGCATTTCGAACTCGGCAGCAGCTTGGTCTGCGAGTTGTTGGATATGGGCGATGTGATCGAGCTCATCCTGTGTCAGCACCGGCGGTAGTTCCGGCTCTTCGGCTTCTACGATCTCAAACGAGCTGAGTTCCGGGGTGTCCCCATCAGCACCCGAGGTAGCCGAGGACAATACCACGACCGACGAGCCCAGGGGTGAGGATCCGGGTCGCTCGACAGGTGATGACGGCGCGGCCTCCTCTTCAAAGTATCTGTTGGACAATACCTCTTCATCGAAGCTTTCGCGGTCAAATGAGGCTTTCTCATTGTCGCTGGAGGCGACTGAGGTAGCTGACGACTCCTCTAGATGGATCGGTTCCGCACTGGATGTCGGAGTCTTTGTCACCATTTCCGAGGTGGTCATGAACGCCTTGATGGTGTCGAGGATATTGAATTCACGGACTTCATCTGATGGGAGAGACCTGGAGGGGCCTGGGAAGGTGTCTAGGTCTTCTTCCTGCTCCTCTTGTGACTCCGCGACCAAGTGATCCAAAGGTTCCTCACCTTCAACAGGTGTCAAGACAGCTGAGCGACTAGAATCTGCTTCAGATGTGGACGGGGAGGAAATAGCTGGCACTTCCTGCAGCTCTTCCTCTTCCTCATCATCCGATCTCTGATCAAAACTCGCCCGAATCGCCTCGAATGCTGCGCGGAATGACGGCTCGACGGGCTGTCTCTCGGCGAATTCGCGGGCAGTCTCTTCAGCCAGCTGCTGAATGAAGGAGAACTGATCGTGGTCCTCTCGGGAGAGGACCTCTTCGTCAAAAGCCTCCCGGTCAAATGATGTCATCACGTCGGCACCGGCGGTAGAAGTCGAGCTCATCGAAACTCGAGCGCGCATAGCTTGCGCTGTTTCCTTTACGGCTGAGACTTTACTGGCCTCAGCTTGAGTTTGTTGCACCTTGTAGACAGATTCTGATTCGTAGAACTGTTTGGGAGGGATCCAATTAGCTGCTTGCTGGGTTCCATGGACCGGTTCCGAAGTTGTGGTCAGGGTCAGAACTTCGTCGGTCGCTTGGTAGAGCAAGTCATCGACAGGCTCCCGGACATCAGAACGTTCTGAATCCGCACTGGATGTTGCACTTGAGGCACTCGAGAGCTGCCTGCGAACCACGCTAGTAAATTCTACTTGAGTCGGCAGCTCGGGTTCAACTGGGACAGCGACTTCGGTATCGACCAGTTCAACTTGGGAGCTGTTGCTCAGCAAGGGTAGCATTTCATATCTTTCTTGGACGATCAGTTCTTCGATCGGCAGTTGGTGAATGAGTTCCTCTTTGTCAGCTCCAGAAGTTGACGACGAGGCGTCAGACTTTGGTAGGGTAATTTTCTGTGTCGTTTCGGGCCATCGCATTACATTTTCACTCGAGTATAGGGCAGTCGCGACGCTTGCCGACGTCAGTTCTTCAGAACGAACCGATTTTGGCGGAATTCTACTGGATGTTTGACGGGAAGCTTCGACGAGTGCAGAGGTCGTGGCTATCAAACTCGGTTGCTCTGGCTCGACAGAAACGATCGTCTCCAGTTCTTTGGGAGAGGACGAGCGCTCCGAGTCTGCGCTTGACGTGGTGCTCGAGTGAAGCACTTCCTCGGACTCCTGGTGTTCAACGATGTCAGGCTGATCGGCTTCAAATGACCGCTCCGAATCTGCGCTGGAAGTAGCGCTGGAGCGTGCTTCTTCTGGAGGTTCCTTTTCTTCTAGCGAGAACCGTTCCGCAAGGGCATGGCTAGTCCGTCGGACCTCGTATCCCTGGCTTTGCCAAACCTCCAAGCTTTCCGTTATGCTCTCATCAGGCACGGCAGCCCTTTGGCGTTCGAACTCGGCTGCCGATTCTTCGGCTATCCGTTGGATCCAGGCAATATGGTCGAGTTCTTCTTGGGTTAGTTCGTGTTGTGGTTGTGCGGCTACCGCCGGAGCAGGATCTCTATGGTCTTCAAACGAGGATTGCTGGAAAGATCCCTCTGCGTCAGCACCCGAAGTAGCATCAGAATCATCATCCTCTGAAGCAGCTTGTTGGGGCGGCAATTCTTCAGCGATTTCGAGTCGGGCCTGAGCTAGAGATTCTGATCGGTTCATCTGTGCATCGAAGGCGTCGACGACAGTTGTATCAGCCACAGATTTCCGTTGCATTTCGAACTCCACAGCGGATTCCTCAGCCATCTTCTGAATCCATGCAATGTGGTCGAGTTCTTCTTGTGTCAGCTGATCTCGTGGTTCTTCTTGAATGGTTGGCTCCAGAAGAGGTTCGCTTTTCTGGTAAGCAGGAGCCTCTTCAAAGCTCGACTGCTCGAACGAGCACTCTGCATCCGCTCCGGAAGTAGCGCTGCTGTGTTCCGATGCAGCGCTCGAGTATTTCTCCACAGAACTGGCCCGTTCACTGTCAGCACCGGATGTCTTGCTGGATGCTACAGATTGTTGCTGCCTGAGGAAGGTTGCACCTTCAAGTAACGGCAAGTCTGTGGAAGCAAATGTAGCTGTATGAATTGCCGATAAAGATAATTCTTCTTCTAGTAGTTCTTCTGGCGGAATGGTCTCCGATTTTTCGGAGACGGCGGGTTCCAAATGTACACCGCTGGTCATCATAGGCAGCATACGATCAGGTTCAGTAACAACTTCCTCCTCGATAAAGTCTTGTTCAAAGGAGTCACGGGCGTCTGCGCCAGAGATCGAGGACGATGCATCCGAAAGTGGTGGTATTTTTTGAACTGCTTGAGGCTCTTGGTCCACATTGACTCCCCAGAAGGTTAAGGACATCGGATCAGCTACCTCCACAATTTGTTCTTCTACTTCGGATTCGACCCTCGCAGGTTCTTGTGGATAATAATCGAAACCTTCCAAGTCATGGCTTTCTTCAACTGGACTTTGGATAGAGGAGGAAACGGAATCTGCGCTTGACGTCGCTGATGAAGCATCCGACTCGATCAGTTCGATCGGTTCCGATCTTGCTTTTGGAACCATGATGACGCACGACAGTGCTCGTTGGCTGTTCTGGCGTTCGAATGTGATTTTCTCCTTTATCAATTTTGGTGGAATGGGAATCGAACGTGCGGCAGCAATCCAAACAGATGCTGAGCTGACCAGCTGCAGCTTGTACTTGTCACGCTCTTCGTAGTCGAGAATTGAGAACGCACGATCTTCTGGCGATGGCTCATCCGCGTCAGAAAATCCACTTGCTTCTTCTAGCATCAGATCGAGACTGGCTTGTCGGATGGCTTGTGTGGCAAGTTCATAGGCTTGGAAAGACAATTGATTAGATGATGCTTGTTCGTCCGCTCTGGCAGGTGAAGCTCGGGCTTCTTCTTCAAGTAGGTTTTGCCTAGCGTCTCGAAGCGCTTTATCAGCCAGTTTTCTAGCTTCGTCAGCTATGTGCTCACTCAGCAGTCGTTCTAGTTCCAAGTCCTCTGCAGAAATTTGTGGCGGGCCAGCGACATCGAATGAAGCACTGTATTCGAATGAAGCCGCTTCATCCGCACTAGATGTGGTAGAGGAAGTGGGAGAAGCCTCGCGGATTTGCTCTAAGGCTAGGGATCTGGATCTGGTTGCCAAGAATTCTTCCGCTTCGAATGATCCTTGGTCAAATGAGCTCCGTTCATCCGCTCCGGATGTGGCTGAAGAAGCTGGGGAGCCTTCACGTACCATTTGCATCGCATGAGCAAGGGCTGCCCTTGGAGCGTGCTCTTCCGCTTCAAAGGATCCTTGATCGAATGACGCTTTTTCGTCAGCACCGGAAGTGGCTGAAGATGCTGGCGATCCTTCACGGACAGGTTCGAAGGTTTGTGGTACGGCTGGGATTTGTACGTGTTCGTCTACTTCAAGCGACTCTTGATCGAAGGACAGTTTCTGATCAGCACCAGATGTGACTGAAGAAGCTGGTGCTCCTTCACGCACAATTTCCAAGGTTTGGGGCAAGGCTGCACTTGGCACGTGTTCCTCTAATTCAAACGATCCTTGATCAAAGGAGACTTTTTCGTCAGCACCTGATGTTGCGGAAGAGGCTGGGGACGCCTCACGCACAGGCTCCAAGCCCTGTCGAAGAGCTGGGCTTTGTGTGTATTCTTCTACTTCGAAGGAACCCTGATCGAATGACGCCTTCTCGTCAGCACCTGATGTAGCGGATGAGGCTGGTGATCCCTCACGGATTGGTTCCAGCGTCTGCTGCAAGTTCTGAACTGGCTCATCAGCTTCAAACGACTCGCGATCAAACGAGGTGCTCTCATCTGCTCCAGAAGTGGCAGTCGATGCTCGAGAATCTTCTCTGAGGCTCCGCAGCATAGGTTGGCGTACTGGATGCGCCACATCTTCAGCATCAAATGAGCTCTGGTCAAACGATCGCTTCTCGTCAGCGCCGGAGGTTGAAGAAGACGCATCCGAACCTTCGTGCTCTTCTTGCACTGGCTCCAGTCGGCGTGGTATTGGGAAATCATCCAGATAAGTTCCCTCGTCTTCCTCTTCCTGCACTTCAACAGCAATTTCGATCGAATCCTCACGATTTCCTGGAACCTCTTCACTCGAGCAGGTGAGGGTAACAATTCGCCAGAGATACTTGTCCGCACCCGCTTCTTCCGGGGAGATTAGGGTTATAGGCTGCCGCTTTCCGCGGGGTGGATCGGTCCAAGCCAGGTCCAGGACCAGACGATCTGTTATCATCTCTTCCCTGAAGAGCTTGGGGCTAGGGAGTGGGGGGTGGTGTGGATGTTCCGGGTGGTCAAACGACAGTCCCTCCTCCGAGACTTCAGAAACCCTTCTCAACCTCGCGTCATCCTCCCACCGTTCCACCGGACGTCTCCCCGACACCCATTGTGGCTTCGGGGGCTTCGGTCGAGGTGGAGGCGCTGGTTTATGGCCTGGCAATATGAGAGGCTGCGCCTTTTCGGCAATTTCATCAAAGCGCTTCGATTTCACTACGGTGGGAACAATGTAGTCCGTAGCCTCGTACGAGACCAGCTCGTACTCCCCGTACTCCAGCTCCTTCTCCATCTCGTGGTCCCAGATTTCCTCAAACGTTCGGCAGCGCTCAGCTTGCTTTGGGCTGCAGCTGACAGCTTCGTGAGCCGTGTACTCGTCCCAGAGCTCGCGTTCCTCCAGCATGAGTTGGTTGGCGTAGCTCGAGGTCGAAGCCATGGCTTCAAAGCGGCACTTGGCGGGTGAGGTCGGGCTTGGTTCGAGTTCCTGGGCTGCTTGAGCTTCAGCTTCTTTTCGTGCCATCCATTCCAGGTATTCATAGCGGTTGAGGACAGATAATGGTCGAGAGCCGCTGGAGAGAGAACTGTCAGTTGGGGAGGACTGTAGGGAGTATCCGGCCGGAATGTCGTCCGGCTCTTCTTCCATGATCGAGTAGGCGAAAGGAACGATGGAAGACGTGGAGGAGCCGGCTTCATCTGCAACGAGAGATTTGCTTGATTTCCGATTTGACTTTCGCTCGAAAGACAAATTTTAGAGTTACGAAAGGTCCAAAACTAGCGCGATGTGACGCTAACTGTCGGCTGGGACTCACCATATTCCGGAACGTCCAGCCCTTCCCACACATGGTGCCCGTTCTCCTTCTCGGGCTCGATGCGCTCGCACATCTCGAGCATCTGCTCCAGCTCTGCGGCACACTCGAAGGAGCGCGACGCGTGGACCTTGCGTAGCTTGTAGTAAAGAGCGTACTCCTCGACTAAAACGTTAACGCTTTCGGATATAGGACTTGCTAACTTACATGACTCTGCACGATGTAGAATCGAACTCGCAATCGCAGCGTCGAGGACTTCAGTGGCCATTTGCTCGCAGAGATTGTCGATGCTAGAATGTAATAGGTATGGGTTATAGAGTAGCTTAACTTACCGAATCAATTCCGAAGTATGCATGGTGATGATCGAAAGCTGGCTGTAGACAAGATCGAAGATTTGCTCGGTGACCTCGCGGCAAAACTCTTCGAAGCTGGGCGGCGACATCAAGTGCTAAAGGCGTTTTCGTAACTTTAGGCTCGAAGTATGCTTTGAGAACGCTTCTGCTAAGGAACTGGGCTTGAAGCGCACATTAAATCCTTACCTGATAATATTTCGACAACGCCGAAGTCACGATCGCACAGGCCATATCATCGGCCCAGGATTCGACGTGGGGTTCGAGTTGTTCAGGTTTGCGGGTGAGCGAGTCTAAAGAGAATTGTTTGGCTGTTAACAGTTTGGAAACGACCTAGCCCGGAAATTTTGATACTTACAATAAGCTTCCTGGCCCGATTTGGTGATGTACGACAGCAGGTCGCCCTCCTCATCGATCTGCGAGAACCAGTGCGAGATCTGCGAGGTCAGGACGCGGACTTTGGTGGCGATTTTTGTGGCTGCTGTTGAGGCTTCTGAAAGAGGGAAGGTATAGATTTAATTCATCTTCTCATTAATGCCTAGGTTGGGCTCTCATGCCAAAAAGAACCAATGCTGGTGATAAGCGTTCATTTTTTTACTTACCAGCTCCAATCGATTCGCTAATCGAAGACACGGAATCGGTTCTCTCGGTTTTTCTGCTGTCGCTCCGTCTTGGAGAGGCTCTTGGCACCGGTGAGCACGACTCGCTGATCGAGATTTCCATGGCTAAAATGCAAAATCTCTGACTTCTGGTATCAAAACTTACTTTCCGGCAACGAGTCCATCTGAACCAACGGGAAATCGGCAGATTCGAACGAATCCTCGTCTGTTAGAGGGGAGCGCTAAAAAATCGTCAAATATCAGGAGCGGCATAACTTTTTTCTGAACATCTACATACCTAAAATGCAGGAATGGGAATTTATACAAAAAAAATAAGGTTTAAGGTATCAATAGAAACTCAACGTTTCAAAATCACATAGAGATGAGGACAACATTTTTGCTAATAGCCCTAAAAGCCCAGATATTCTGAATCTGGTTGCTAGATGATCCTGTTTAATAGGAAAGGTATACAAAAATTATGTTTAAGGCATCGGCAAGAATTTCAGAAAATTTTCGAAAGTTTCCTGCTAACCTCGGGACTTCGGTCGAGTGATTTTTGGAGAATCCCCTGGCGGGCCAATCGCCGCGTATCCACGGCAATCCGGGCTTCCCGACGCGATGCCTCCGCGCGTTTTAGCACCTAAAAATGTTTCTTAATCGTCCCGCGGAACTTTGGTCACTTTTTGGATTCGCTGCTGCTGTTCTTCGGGGAGTTCATCCAATGCGTGTCTCAAAGAGCTGGTCGGTGAGGTGGCGGCGGTTCCGGTCTAGAATTATTTGGGTTTTTGTAAGGGACTAAAAATTCAATTTCTAATTCGGTGATTTCATTACAAAGACGTATTAACGAGGCTAGGCTGCTGGTTGTAAGCTTGTAAGGACTCGACTCAAGAACAGAACTTTAGTGTCCTACCTTCTGCAGGAGCGTCCAAGCTCGATAACGCTTCAAAAAGTTCTTATTGGAAGCGCAATTGCCAGAGTGAGCCAGAGAAATAGAGAGAGAGAGCTTAAGAGAGCGAGCGAGAGAGAGAGAGAGATAGCGAGAAAGAGGGAGAGAGAGAGAGAGAGAGAGCGAGAGAGAGATAAGTTATACAAAAAATCCTTAGAAAAGGCACAAACCTGGGATTCTTCTGGGCTTGACGTGTCCGGAGAGGAGGAGAGGCACACCTCATCCAGTCCGGCCGTGTCTTGCCGAGTCGTTTTTCGACGGATCATGCCCACTAAATACGTTTTATAATCGGTTTAATTAGCTTCAGGACAAGGTATCAGTATGCTTCTGACAGCGAAAGAAAATCTTAACTTATAGTTCCGAGTTTTGCGAGCTTTCCAGGTCTACTATAGCAAAGTCGCATGGCTAGCATCAATTTTCATGCCGTAATCGGTTGGTTCCCCGTAATTTTAAGGTGGATAACTTACAAGCTTCCGACGGTGATATCCATGGCATGGGCTGTTGGGGCTGTTGCTGTTGTTGTTGTTGTTGACGGCTTGTGCTTGGGGCATCGGGATCGGGCGCTTCCTGCTCTGCCTTCTCCTCGTCTTCCGGCTTTTCCTCGATCGCCCCACCGCCACTAAAGGTATATGATTATTATCAACTTTTAAGATAACTCCCCTGTTTTTTAGTATATCCTGAGCCTTGGAATAATACCATAGATCCAAAAAAAAACACGTCAAAAATCCACCTGAAGTCCCTAATTTTTCAACGCTTTAAAAGAGATTAAAAACCGTAAAAAAACTCAAGGCTTTGATCGTTTTTAGAATTGTCTGTACGATAATGCCCTAACTACACCTCTGAAATCGTATTAAGCCCAAAAACTCACAAATAATACGAGAACCACGATGACATTTTGGTTCCGGTCTGGGGTTCAGGACATTGCGGGTGATTTGTAGGTCCTGAAATAGAAGAGATCAACACGAAAAACATAGATTAGAGTCAGGTAAAAAACCAATTGAAATCCAAAAATTCAAGATTATTCAACGGGTAGGCGGCTAGTGAAAGCGTCAAGAATGTGCCATATGGCCACCCCGGGAGGCTAGTCGCGCATATTTGGGCCCCTGGGAGATTTTGAGGGTAGATAATCGGCTGGCAGGAGGGGGTGGGGCGGGTAATAACAATATGCAAACAAAGGATAGCAAAAGTTATAGAAGCTGGCCTCATTATAGGCATTTAAAGTGTTATTAATAATTTTTAGCCGAAAAACTGTCTTTTTTCGCAACATATCGACTTCAACTTTCCTAAATTTTTTATTCAGCCTATTTTTACTGGTTTTTATAGCATCGGATTTTTTTATCTGAATTTCATGTAAAGCCACACGTATTTCCCTTAAATGGTCCTTGAAAAACAGAGCTAATTGTCGAGTCTACGCGTAGGCCCGCGACACAAAAGAGGCGCACGCCCAAAATGGATGTGTGAACGCGACGACGTAATAGATATAGCGTGGTGAGTGGGTAGCTGAATTTTAGCGAAGAACTGCAAAAAATGACGCGTTTTCACAGAAATACGGAGTGAAAAACAATTCGAAAACAAGCTGTAACTTCAAAATTTAAGGTACCCGACGTAATGGACACTTTCTCACTAGATTAGCCTGGAAAGACGTGAGAAACCATCTTGAAAGCGATTAAAAAAATAGCAAGAACTTATATCTGGCAAAAACGTAGTTTTTCTCGACAAAATATTTAAAAAAATTTTCATAAGCTTCAATTCAAGCTGCATGTTTCAGAATAGAAAGCTAATAAATGTTGAAAATCAAATCCAAAAACAGTAATATCACGAGACTGCTTAAAACTATTCTTCAAAAAAAGACTAATCCTACTATATATAAAAAAATAGTGTTTGTGTGTGTGTGTGTGTGTGTGCCACTTTGCATCCACTTCCGTCTGTCTGTCCGGAGGATATCTCGATGGGGGGATCAATTTTAAGGTATTTGCGATACGTCATTAGGTGCGCAACGGTCTTGGGATGACTGCACACATATCAGATTTTACAAAATTAGCTGTTTTCGACATTAAATTTAAGTTTTTGTGAAAACTTCTTTGTTAGGAATAATTAGCATAGACCGGAAGTGGGGATTCGACTATCTAAAGGGGCCGAAGAGGTCGTTTTTCATTTTTTTTTGCCATCCCAATTTAGGAAAATTATGCAAAGTGAAGGATAAAGAGAGGGTCAGACGGGGCCAGGGTTGAAAAGTCGCGAAGCGGCTTTTCAACCCTGGTGCTATATATTTTACTCTTTATTTCAAGGATGAAAACCGGCAAAAAATAAGGAAGGTAGTAAGAAGGTATGATTCCGTTCTTTATTTTAATTACCAAAAAGGAATGGGCAGCAGCGTTCCATTTTAAATTAAGACCAGAAGCGCACGTAGCGGAAGCAATTTTCAAGAAAAGCCGACGGCTACTTCAAAAGATTGGTCAAAAAGGCGTCTGGAATCGAAAGCCCCAGTCTAATTCGCAGAAGTAGAGGAAGTAGAGGAAAAAAGGCAAAACGGGTAATCAAAAAGGCAAAGATCTCTCAACCAGCGCGGAAAGGAAAGCCCGGGCTTTCAGTCGAATATAATAGAATAGGTAGGCCTCCTCCGGCCGGGCCACTTTCCGGGGTCGCCTTTTTGATTGGGGCCCCCGGAAAAGCAGAGAGCCGATTGGCTAGGTCGAGAAGCCACAGCGGCGTCCCCCCAAAGCTCTTCGATTCCAAAAACGATTCGCCGAAAAAAATTCCGGGGCACACCACCACGACACACGGCAATCCGCCGAAGCCGGACGATGCTGCAGAGAGAGAGAGAGAGAGAGAGAGAGAGAGAGAGAGGGAGAGAGAGCCCGAAGAAGACGCGAGAGAGTATGGGGGCAGGAAGGGTCCTATAGGGGCCCGGCCATCGATTCGTGCTTGCAAAAGGTCCCCGGAGAGAGGGGGAAAGGGCCCAAAAGGACCAAAAGGGCCCCTAGAGGCCCCGCACACGCACGCACGCATCCTTACGCCCACTCTATCGCTCTGTTTCTCTCTCTCTCGCTCTGTTTCTCTCTCTCCCCCTCTCTCTGCAAAACACCCCAGCCATGCTGATTAGTGGCCTTTAGGTGCCGGGGATTTTGGGGGGTAGACGCGCGCGGGTTTCATTGTTCAGGTTAAATAGGTCGATTTTTGGGGTTAGGACACTTTAAAATTAGTCGTTAGCTATTTAAGATACACTGTATTTTTGCATTAGATTTAATACCAAGAAAACTCAACTTTTTGGCTATTCAAGACTCAAAACAAAAATAGATTTGTTCAAACCTAAAACTGGAATACATAAACAAGTACTTTTCAAGAAATTGTATGAGAAAAATAGCTAGCATCGTAAATATTATAAATTATATCATAATCGCTTAAATAATGTAGATTTCAAAAACCTAGAAAAATTAGTTAATGAGGGATCGCAGCAATTTAAAACAATTTCAGGTAAATTAAGCAGAGACATGCAATCTTTGCAGAGTTTCCAGATTTTTTAAGGACCCTGCCGCGCTGGTTTGCATCTCTAACCTATAATTATTTTTTAAAGCAGCTGTAAGCAAAAAAATCGGATATTTGGATTTTTTTTCCGTAAGAATCGGGTTAAAAAATTAATTTCCCCCAACCATGGTTCGTTTCAACATCCGTTCGCTCCCACGACTACTTTAGCACTCTTCCATTCCGCTCTCGAAGTTTTTTGGAGAAGCCTGGATGGGGATCGCCTAGGGGAATTTCCATTAGCCCCCCGGGGGTCCGTGTCTCTTTTTTTACGGCAGCAAAGGAGTGGATCGGCAAATGACAAAGTGTGGCCAGACGAATAATTATCTCTTGCCGGTGACCCTCTGTCTCACTCTCTCTCGCTCCCTCGCTCTCGTCTCGCTCTCATTCTCTCTCTATCTCTCTCTCGCTCCTTAAGGGCCCAACAAGGAGCATTTGTGAGTAGTGGTGTGCGGGTTGGGGTACGTCCCAACCGGGTTATGCGAGCGGAATGAGCTCGACCCCGCGGGGTGTCTACCAATAGGGGGTAATCTACCCCCAGGGTGTAGCTAGGTATGTTAGCGGAACTGGCGCGCTCAATTTCCCAATTTTGGCTTGGGGAGGGATGCATTTGAGCCTGGAACTTACCTTTGAGAGAGCGAGAGAGAGCGAGAGAGAGCGGGAGAGAGAGAAAATGAGAATGAGTGAGAGCGAGAGAGAGAGAGACCGCGTGACAGAATATGAGACAGAGAGTTAGAGGGACCGTTTGAGAGACCGAGCGATATGGAGTGAGAATGAGAGTGAGCATGGGAGTGAGCATGAGAGTCAGAGAGACTTACAGAGGAGAGGATAATAGGAGGGGGAAAGCATATAAAAACGAAAACATAGAAAAAGAGAGCGTAAGCGCGGGAACTCACCGGGATGAAAGGAGAGCGAAAGACAGTAAGAGAGAGAGAGAGAGAGAGAGAGAGAGAGATAGGAAAAATTTAATGTTGTAACCGGTTGCTAAATAAAAATTGACAATTTTTGGGAGCGCCACAGTATGTCACACCACATAAAATCGCATCATTGATGAAACTATGGCATATTTCACTAAACTCTATTCAAGAACGTTACGTGCTGCCGGAGATAATTTTCGATAAATATTCCGGGCAAAGACGGAATGGGGGGGATCGGATTTCCTCTAGATCCCCCGCATCTGGTCGGCCAGGGAAATTGGCGAAAAAGAGAAACAAAGCGATGCGAAATGCGTCAGGATATGTAATGTGTTCTTTTTGCCGGTGGTTCCGTAAAAATAGAAGGGATTAGGGGCAAAGGCTGGACGAATAATCCAGTCTAGCCGATTTTTCAAGATTTGATTAAGAATTTTCTCGTCGAAACGGGAATTGAATTAGAGAGATTTCATAGTTTATCATTTTAAATTATAAACGCACTTGGCATCTTCACATCAATAGCCTAAGACGGGAAGGGAAGTAAAAACAGCTTCTCAAATTCAACTGAATACGATTCTTGGATATGATAAGCATTCTAAATCGCGATAACTTCTAACATCAATTGTAATAAAGTAATTTGGTATAATCGGTATTAATAGGCTTTTTTCCGCGTAGAAAAAGTACGAACAGCACCTAACAACTCCAATAGTGTATATGTCGCGCGGGGGTGGAGGTGCTGAAGGTTGATTGGATTGTCTCGTTATTGGTATGCGGGGGGCCATAGCGAGCTATAAACACCTCTCTTCTAAAAATTTCCCGTAACTATAACCTTCAAATGTGTCAGGTAATCCATCACAATTAATTAAAAAAAAGAGTTGCTTCTGATTTGGTTGGTTGCAATCGGATTTTCATAACGTGTAGCATTTAAATTAATTGAAAATAGTATTTATGTACAATTTATTTACAACAACACATTGATAAAAATCGCATTGAGCTGTCTTAAACCGGATACCGAGAGTCTCATTGTTTAAAACTCGATCGGTTCCCCAGTTCTTCGCACAAAACATCCCGAATTTTCTTTGCCAAACGTGGAGAGTGTCTGGCAATACCTTCAGCGGCTTCGTGGGTCTGAAAACGATAATATTAACAGCTGTGTGTCTCAATCGTTCACTCTTGCTCACTCTCTCGCTCTCTTTCTCTCAAAAAAAATTCCAAATCTAGAGGTTTTAGAAAATTCTCAGTCCGCCTATGCGTTTCTGAGTAAGAATATGCCCTAGATGTTTGAGCGCAGATGCTACATTTACCGGCCGGTCGTCAATTATCAAGTTGCTCGTTTTCTCAGCCGTCTACCTGTGCCTCCCGACTCGTCCCCCACCTGGCCCACTACACCTCCCCATCTTCCCACCCTTCCCTCCCGAATTATCGCTTCTGGCCTCTGGCTATGATCAATTGTTTAGTAAATGTTCTTATCGGCTTAATCTCCGATACGTATACTAATTGTATACCAAGAGATTAACATATTTTTGGAAATGGTTCGATTAGCAGAAGCTTGCTTCTCGCCCAACAGCGTCGACCCGGTCATTGCACTTACTGGCGGGAACGGCGCACACCTCGAAACGGGGTGCACAATTCAAAATCGAAAAAAAGCAGTTCAAAAGCTCCTACCGTAGTCTGTGCCTCCATTCCACCCATATCCGTTTTCACCCAACCCGGGCAGAAGGCGACGACAATGATGCCGAACGGCTCCAGGTCGAGGGCAAGGGTCTTGGTTAGTTGATTTACCGCTGCCTGAAAGAGAAGGAATCGGGTTAATTTAGGTTTAGCGCGGCAGCTTGAAAATACTTCGAAACCATAAAATTGCTAAAAAATCTGTAAAATCGAATAAGTAGGATTTTTTAACTTTACCTTACTCATACGGTATGCTATCGACTTGCTACATCCACTACCCGTTGCATTCTCCCCGATTGAACCCATTCCGGAGCTGATATTCACGATTGCTGCTCTGAAATTCCGTCTCGATCAATCAGCGAGAGGGAGAGAGAGAGAGAGAGGGGGCGAGGGAGAGACATAGAGAGAGTGAGTGAGTGCGAAAGAGCGAGAGACCGAGTGCGAGGGTGAGAGAGAGAGAGAGAGAGAGAGAGAGAGAGAGAGAGAGAGAGCAAATCGCAGATCCGTTCTTCGAATTTTACCTTGTCACTCCCCATTCATGGTCATTTTTCTTGGATGCGGCGTGTTTGAGAAGCGGAAGGAATACCTAAAGATAGGAAAGATATAACGGATGGTTTTAAAGACACAAATACCACTGCAATTTATGACATTTTATGCGGTTTTATGTTTCTCTCTTACCTGAGAAACTATCAAAGGCGAGGCTGCGTTTGTATCCAAAATTTTCCGCAACACATCCCGTTTTGGCCAATCAGAAATCTAAAAAACACCTTAAAATTGACTTTAATAATTTGAAGGTAAACCAATTTTTACTTTAATTACTACAGGATAACGTTTTTTTCAATTTTTGTTAATTTATTTAGTCTGCCTTGAACAAAAATTGGAGGCTTTTCTACCTCATAGTCAGCCCAAATCCCGGCATTATTGATTAAGACGTTCAATCCATCATCTCCCACAATTTGTTGGACCTAAAAATCTCTATTTATTTTATTTTCTTAATTGCATATTGATTCAGCAAGACTTGACCGTATCAAAATTCTGAATAAAGTTTTTCTACCTTTTCAAACGCCTCCAATATCGAGTCATCGAATTGCACGTCCATCTTGATGATGTGCAGCCGTTCATCGTCAATTTCCGTTAGACCCTAAATTGGTGCATTTATGTGCTTCGATACCATCCTATTTGCTCTCTTTTACTTCTAGAGGAATACGGCAAAAATTTAGTATCGTCTATACTTACCTCGGCTGTTGTCGGGCATCTTACTGTAGCAAAAACATGCTTCACGGGCTGCATTTTGAGGTATTCTTTGACGAGTCCGAGGCCGATACCTAAAAATCGCGTTTAAACGGCTTGGCAAGACTGGCAAGGAAAAACAACCTACGGCGATTTCGTGCTTTTAGGTTTTTCGACCTCTAGTTATACAAAAACGTTGAAAAAGCGGAAATCTGGGTTTTGAAACAGAAAAACGTACCTCTACTCGCTCCGGTAATCAATATACTTGCAGGGTGCGGCATTTTACCGTGGTCTTTCGATTTGTGAAAAAGTTTTGGTCTAAAATGTTGACAACATTGAAAAATACCACAAGAAAATCGGCAAAAAGGCAAATCAATAAAACAAAGCTTAAACCCGAAGATAACCACGATAAAATGGCCATAATTTTCCAAAATACTGAATTTGGCGCAATGCCGAAATAAGGCCGATAGCACGCCAGGCCGCAATCTGCACGTAAACAAGTAACGACAGAGAGGGCGAGAAACCAGACGGGGGAATCCTTGCACTCTCGAGGGGAGGAGGGAAACAACGGGTGAACAGATCACTGGGGAGCGACCTTTTAACGTTAAAACGTTCCGAAAACGGCAGAAATTGGTTCTAAAAGTTATGCCAAATCCTGAAAATTCAGGCAAACGCTATACCGGAAAAGCGTTGTGTTGCAGAAAAAAATCATCGGTATATTTGAAGGGGAAAAGGGGCAGGATAATGGCATCTTCGGAAGCTTTTGGCAGGTGAAAATGGTGGCGGCATATATTTATCCACGGAAATACGTTTTTCAAACGGTAACCAGAAGAGAACTGGCGCGGTTTTAGTGCCACTTTGCGCAGGAAATACGAAAGAAGGTACCGGAAAATATTTGTGGGTCTGAAATCTCGTAAAATGTCATAAAAAACCACAGCAGCACGTGCTAGCACAAACCACGATCGGCAAATTCCGATCCAATACGCCTCACAGCTGCTAAAGGTGTTTTCGTGCCTTTGCGGTATGGCTCACTAGGGGAGCGATACTGCCCCCCCCCCCGCTAAGCAACCAGCGCCAAAATGAGAAAAAGGTATGCAACAGAGCTCAACTAGGGTATAACTTGGTAGAACTAGAAAAATAACTCCAGTCGATACTTCCTCCGGCATTCAGCCAAAGCTCCTGAAAAATTGGGCACAAGTCGCGGTGCAATGGAATCCAGATCTCCAGAAACAACGATATCCCAAAGTAGTTTCGAACCAAAGCCAAGCCCAGAAAACACTTTATTTGCTGCCCATAATCACACACATTCCATATCCAATCACAAGCACAACACACAATTGATCATCACAATTCCGGCTAGCGGGTATTTAGTGTTGAAACCTAATTTTTGATAGGTGATTGCAAGTAAATGGATAGATTGATGGATTGATAGATCTGTGGATTGATGGATTGATGGATGGGGGCTTCTGAAGATGGCGGGCGGGTGGAGAGTAGATGATCATCGGAGATCGGGGCTTCTTCTAGACTTGGGGCTTCTCGTTGAAGGCCTTCGGGTTCTTGGATGGCAGGAACGGGCGCTTCTCGTTGCTGTCACCTGAAAAACAGCCGTGGTTCTGAAAAACTTCGGCTTCCTCCCCCCGGTAATGCACAAGCTCGCAAAAAAAGTCCCACCGTCCTGGTGCTTGTTCTCCATGCTGGATGGGCGATGTTCGATCGGCTTGTTCCGGTTCTTCTGGAGGATGATGGCGCGGGTGACTAAAGTAAGGTGATGAAAAACGTCTTTTCGTCAAGAATCTGTGCTGGTTGGCCCTCAAAAACTCCAAAAACCCACGCAAGACCACAATAGCGATCGCTCCCACGGTTCCGATGATGGAGCACGAGATGATCATGATGATCTGGCCACGGCGGAGGGTGCGGACTAAAAAACGGCGTGTTCTCACTCTCACTCTCTCTCTTTCTCTCTCTCTCTCTCTCTCTCTCTCACTCTCTACACCGTACATTCGCACTCTCCCCCCGGCAGCACCCTCTTGACCTCGTGGATGGATTGGCACTCGGCGCTGCACAAGAGGGCATCTTCTCCGGTGCATTCTGTAATCGTCAGAATTCAGGATCGTCACGGAATATCCCACTGGCAAATGTGCAGATGGTCTTGTTCTGCTTGTCGACGGTCATCGAGTTGATCCGCTCGAATCCGATGCACGTGTAGTCGTCGTTGGCCGCCCAACAGGCCAACGTGTTCTTCATTCCCGCGCACTCCTTCGCCGGCTTCAGGTCTGAAATGGAGAGGTTAGATTGATAGGCTTGGCTTAGGTCTAGGCTTAGTCTTGGCTTGGGCTTAGGCTTAGTACCCACTCGACAACTCGTTGGGGTTGACGAGCTGGCAGCTGTCGTGGTCACCGACGGACTTGATATGCCAGTAAGGCATGCAGATTTTCTTGTCGCCCTTCTCGCGGATGGAACATGGATGGTGGCCGATGGGGCAGCCTGGAAATAGATTGATGTTTTATGGATCCAAAACGACACCCACGCTCATCTTGGCACTCCCTCGTGCGGTCATTGAAATAGCGCAGGTCGGCGGCGCGAAACTGTGGCGTGTAGACGCGGATGCAGATCGGGTCGTACTTGCCGCAGTTGACGTGGGCGGCCGGGCAGACTGGAAAGAGGAGCGTATCGTACCTTGAAGAAGCTTACCTTTGGATTCAGCCGACGGCTCGCACGTGCCGTCGCCGTGGATGGCCTTGATGTAGGAGAAAAAGGTGCACAACGCGTCGCCGTTGGGCTGCCTGCAGGGGTAGTTGGAGGGCTCCTCGTTGCAAGCTGAATTATGGGGAATCTCGCTTGTTCCTCTTCAGTACCAGTCAGTGTGCAGATCCTCGTCGATTCGTTGTAGCTCTTGATCTCCTCGGCTGTGACGCACAGCGACACGTTTCTCGTTCCACAGTTAACCTCCTGCTGACGTTCGCAACCTAAAGGCAATGTTTTCTATGAGTCGTTGAAGGGCTTGGTTGCGATCTCGCACCCACCCGTGAATTTCCAGGCACGCGGAAGGTGGCCCTCGTCGAGGTTGCTGAAGGGGACACAAGAAGTTGCACCACTGATCGAAATCGGCCCATGGTCGGCCGGACAACCTGTAAAATAACAGGTGATTTATTTCCTCTAATTCATGCCGGCATTGTCCCATTATCCTAATATCCTACTATATATAAAAAAATGGTTATTGAAAAATCAGGGATTTGCAAGAATCATACCCTGGATTTTGCATCCTGTAGCGGTGACGTTGAGGACCAGGTTTGAGGCAACGCAGAATTGCTGTCCAGTTATGCCAGGGCACGGAAGCTCGTCGGGGCCGCACTCCGAAGATGCCGTCGGGTCCGTGGCGATGAGGCTGAGCAGGCACACGGCAAGGCATAGCGATCGAATCAGCGCACACGTACCGAACATTTTTCTGAAACCAAATTTGCATAAAGACGCGAAGATTTGCATACCGTTCTCGATTAGTTCTTGGCTGAAGGGCTGCCAGACGGCGGGGGTGGCCGAGAAAGAATGAATTAACGAGACGCTTTTCGTGCCTGGTGAGCCAACTATCCATGTAAATTAGGGTGGAAAGCCATGCTAACGAAGTGCTTCCGGTACCGGCTTGCAAACTGTCTATTCAAATCATTTTCTGAGATTACCCGCTTGACGCTTTGGCGTTATTGGAGTGTTTGGCCGGACAGCCGTACGAAGCGGGAATTCAGCCATCCGAACGTCCCACTCTGTGAACAACACATTTTTGTGTGTTAAGTTATTGTCAAAAATGAGCCGTTTATTTCAAATAAAGTAGATGGATTAGCAAATTCAGAGATTGGTGTTGGTCATTCCTCGAATAGCGAGGCTGATGCAGGCGGAGTTCACGAGAAGCCAAGATGAACGAGAGGCTGGCGACGTTTCTGAAACGAAACAGGGTGCTAGATGGTACTGTAATACGGACTTTTTGGCTCGGTCTTTTCGTCGGCAGCCGGTGGCAAGGTAGCCCTCGCGGCAGCCTTGTCTTCAGCTGTGGCACGGGTGCAATTGTAGCTTCCATCTGATTGCATAAAGGACGACTTGAGATCGTCAAAGGCAATGCATTCAGTTCCGTTTGCCGTTTTGCAACTGAGCTTTGTCGGCTCACAGCCTAAAAAGTTGATTAGTTTTGCTCCTGCTCAGCTGTTAAAAAGCGATAACTCGATCAGGGAAAATCGGCTAGCACTCGCCTTCCATGATACAACCACCCAGGCTATCGTTGTAGCTCATCACAAGGTCGGGATAGAAGCAAATCGGAGTCCAGGTACCACAGTTGATTTGCGCTTTTTGTTGGCAACCTAGAAACGGTATTATCAATGGTTCGCGGTCCTCAGCAAAAATTCCTATTAATGCGCCGACATTTTTTCAAAATGTTCGCCTTGGTGAAGAGCCTAGGGAAAGGTTGTTTCCTTGTATCAAAAATTGCTAGAACATTCTCTCCAAGATTCTAAAGGTTGAAACCATTAAGACGCTGTGGTTCATTTTGCGAGAGTTTCACACTAGAAATTTTTAATTGTTTTCGTTCATTTTCGAGCAGAAATGTAATATTTTGACAGATTTTATGGCGGAAGAAAGCAACTTAGGCTGTCCCAAAAAAGACCCCCCCTCTGGCGGTCCGCAGGGGCGTAGCTGACCCCAAGTTTCCGATTGAAAAATTTCGGAGGGAGCAGCAAGAAAAATTTTTCGAAATTTAAGCGCAATTTCGCTACAATAGCAGCGCCGCAGATTTCTAGACACTCGGCACATTAATAGCACTTAGGTTCTTTAGGATTCGACGGCGGGGGGGGGGGGAATTGTTTCCCCAGCGGTTCCGGTTGTCTAGTACACAAATATGAAGTGTTTTTACATTGTTTTTGGTAAGTTTTCGCTGTATTTCAGTAAAAAAACTTTCAAAAAAACGTTGGCAAATGTTTGAAACAGTCGAAAATTTGCTCGCTTTAGGGGTCGAAAACAAAATCAATTTTTCGACCAAAAATTAAATTTTTTAATTAAAAATTGTAAAGTTTTTATGCCTGGGAATAGCTAAAAAAAATTTAGAAACGCATCCTCTATTTATAAAAAAAATTTAAGCTTGGGCCGAAAAGAAGTTGATTTCCCCCGCGAATCCTAAAAACCATACTTATGACTAAACCGCACTCTCACCCAAATTCAACCAGTGCGGGGATAATCGCCAAAAGACAAACGGTATACGCTTACCTTCCCATAAATAGGATCCCGGGAGAGAGCCATTTACGAAGTGTTTGAACGGGACGCAAAGGAGACCCTTCCCCACAACGATCTGGCCTTCGCCAACCGGACATTCTGGAAAAAATGTTGGGTAAGAGTTTACTTTACCCCCCCCACACAGCCGAAGGGTCTCAAAGATTTCGCTATTTTCGCTTATTTTGTCGGGATTTTTGCAACGCCATTCGATAGAGCGTCGAAAAATATACTAAGAGTTTTAATTTGAGCCTACAATAATGTAAACTAAAAAAGTTATAGCCAAAAACTTCCGGCTGGGGGGGTAAAGTAAACCGTAGCCAAATGTTGCAACCTCTGAAAACAAAGCCGAGGCTACCTTTGTATTGACAGATCGACCCTTTGGGATCGACCTGATTGTACTTCTTGGAGCAGATCGGGGCACCGTCTTTCCCGGGACAGGCTACCCACGAGCCCGTACAACCTGATTTTTTGAACCGATATGAACAATTTTTAGACTGAACCTTTACACGCGTCGCTATCCTTTGGGCACACGTCTGTAGAAAGAGTCGTATTTTCGGCGCTGAGCTCGCCGGTGTAGAGGACGAGGATGAGCAGGTAGACGAACAGCATGCCTCAAACCCCATGAAAATGCCAGTAAACGCTAGAACCGACCAGATGCCACGCTGCTAGACTGTAGACGGCGACAAATACTGCCTTCATATGGTAACAACTTCCGCATTCATATTACGAGAGGCCTCGAGTTGAGTTAGAAATGGCTTACTGAGAGGCCTTGAGATAGTTTCGAATTCATTTATTCAGACAAGGTCTAGAAAATGCCGAGTAAACTAAGTGTCAGTATGCAGATGACGGGGTTCACGAGAAGCCAAGGGGCACGAGAGGAGCTTTTTGGCTCGGTCTTCTCCTGAGCAGCCGGTGGGACAGTAGGCCTCGCAGCAGCCTTCTCCTCCGGTGTGGCACGGACGCACTCGAAACCCCCATTCTTGAAAAGGACCGACTTCAGATCGTCGTAGGCAATGCATTCCGTTCCGCCATCTACTTTGCACGGGTGCGTCGTGGGAGGGCAGCCTAAATTTATGAATTTACTTGCGGCATCGCAGCCTGAAACCAGGTTTTATCGTTAGATTTCTCGTTCTTGAAAACACCGCAAGTTATGGACTTTCTATTGCAGTGCTCCAAGAAAAAATACTTCAAAAGGTTAGTCGTGGCTACGCAAGATGTGTAATTTTCCATGTCGATTATTAGTATTTGTTGTGGGGCCAGCTCGCTGAACCACATTAGACTCCGCCTATCTCCTGTTCCACCTGTCCCAATTTCTCCTAGGAACTCGTACTTTGTTTTTGTACAAGGGGAGGTGTTGTGGTGTCAGCTTTGCTGGACCACAATAGATCCTCTTTCCCGGCTGTCCCTCCTGCCACCATTTATGTAGATAAACCGTTGTTCGATAACTGTTCATCCATGCGCATACTACAACTTTCCGAGGATCACAACAGTATTTTTAGATCAACGTCTTGTATACGGAGCTGCAAGCTCATTATCGCCCCACCCCACATGGTTCCCGCGTTTTTAATGCCTATGCGTTGCCACCTACCTTCCTTAACACATCCTCCCAGGGTGGTGTTGTATTCTTGAAGCGAACTAGCTTTGACGCAGACCGGCACATAGTTGCCGCAGTTGACGTTGAAAGGGTAAAGGCAACCTGGAAATTGACCACGGGTTTGGTCGGAACGCAGAAGAATCTGTCTAACAAAAGGAAGCTCCTTAGATGGCCGAACGAATCCAGAAAATATGGGGCAGAAAGCTTACCATCCCACCACCAATCATTCGGGAGTGTAGCGTTAGTTAGGCGATTGAGCGGAATGCAACTCTGGTTGCGGCCGATTCTGACCGATGCCTGGCCCATCGGGCAACCTGGAAAGGGGGCATAGAAGACCAGCAGGACTTCGGGCTACTCCCCGTGCGCTCCCTCCCCTTCGCCGAAACGCGCGCGACCTGGCTCACTATGTCCAAAATCACCCCAACCTCCGTCCCCACCCCTTTTACTAAGGAAAAGACTTTCAAAACTAATTTTAATAATTTAAACTAAAAATTTTTCATAATTTTTTTATTAGTTTGCGGGTTTCTGACCACGCACTACCCGAATCCAAAGAGAGCTAAGCTCTAGCTCTTTTCCCCTTCGAGTTGAATCCGGGACACGACGGACGGACAGGCGGACGCGTCAAGAAAATTATTATAGTTGACAACTGATAGCACCATTTTACCTTACGCTACACTAGACGGGCATTTTAGTATACTTTACACCTCTGTAACATCTGTACCATGTCGACTCCGATTTCCCTTTCCCCACAGGCATAATGGGGCTTCCCCCGCTAACGAGCCAGAACCCCCAAAATTCTCTCCTCGTTATGTAGGGCAAGTAGCCACTACATTTGTGCCGCACAATAGCGGAATACCTACTTTGACATAATTTTTGAGGGGAAACTCTTGCCATAAACCGAATCTACCTATGAAGTCACATACTGCAGCATTGGGGTCGACGAGCCCGAGCTTCACAGTGCACAGCAACGTCCCGTCTTTTCCCGGGCACGCCTTGAATGTCTCCTCGCAATCTATGCCAACATCGCTCTTTTGTAGCAACGATACCAAGACACGTGTTGCCACCCGGACGACACACTTCCTCCAATGTCGTATTTTGGGCGCTAAACCGGCCGGTGTAGAGGACGAGGACGAGCAGGTAGACGAACAACATGACTAAAAAAAAACCTGTGAATTATATTGTCAAGGGTCTAACTAACCAGACGCTACGCTGAAGACGCGGTCGGAAAAGGAGAAATTCGCGTTCTGGATGGTAATTTTTTTGTCCACCTTAATTTCAAGAATTCCGATGTATTCCTCTGCGTTGTGTGGATAGGTACAAAGCCGTTTATTCAAAGAACCATGAAAGTGCTGTGTAATAATTGTGTTCTTATGGCAAGGACGATGAAGACGGAGTTGACGAGGTAGCAAGATGGGCACGAGGCTGGCGATGTTTCTACAAGCGGATACGTGTATACCACGTAAGACTAATACGACGTACCTTTTGGCTCCGTCTTCTCCTGGGCAGCGGGTGGGACAGTAGGCCTTGCAGCTGCCTTCTCCTCGGCTGTAGCAAGGACACACACATCTCCTCCTTTCTTGTAGCGGGTCGACTTCAGGTCGTCATAGGCAATGCATTCCGTTCCGTTTTCTCCTTTGCACGGGTGCGTCGCAGGAGGGCAGCCTGAAAATTGTGACGCGCTGTTAAAGACTTGACGTTTTCAGCGTCGATTCTCTCCCGTCTTACCAACAACAAAAAGTCAGTGCTACCCACCTTCGTTGATGCAGCCTCCCGCGCTCGCGTTGTATGCCGTGATTGTAGCGGCGTTCAGGCAAACTGGCACGTAGTTGCCGCAGTTGATGTAGTAGTCATAGATGCAGCCTGTAAATTGCACAGGTGTATCGTCGAGAGGCGAAGCGCCTGCTAGGCAAAAAAATTTTGTAACCGACTAGACTTACCGTCCCACCACCAACCCGTGGGGAGAGTGCCATTAGTCATGCGATTGCGCGGGACGCAAGTGCGTTTGTAACCGACTAGACTCGGTAGTTCACCAACGGGACAATCTGCAAGCGGAATATTTGGGCCTGTAGATCATTTCATACCAAGGAATTCGCAATCTGCCGATTCGGGATCGACGAGATACTGCTTCAGGGTGCAAAGGAGTACACCGTCTTTTCCCGGGCACAACGTCCACTTCTTCACACAATCTGAACCCCAATAACTGTCTCCTCGTAAGGATACCTTCGCAGTCGGGGGACTCCTTATTACACATCGCTGCAGTCATTGTCGTGTTCGCGGCGTTCATTCCGCCGGTGTTAAGGACGAGGACGAGCAGGTAGACGAACAGCATGGCTCAAAAACGTTGGTAATGCCGATTAACCTTTTGAACCGACCAGAACTTTTGACCTTTTGCTGGACCGGAGAAAGTCTCAGAAATCGCACCTCATATGGTAATAACTATCCAGCATTCAAATTACGAGAGGCCATGAGATGGTCTCGAAATCATTTATTCAGACAGTGTAGAGAAAATGCAAAGTAATTGAAGTGTCAGTAGGGTAATGACGGAGCTCACGAGCAGCCAAGATGGAGACGACGATGATGCTGCAATAAGGAAAGGCTTACTAACCGTTCTACAAACATTTCGGCTCGGTCTTTTCCTGGGCAGCCGGAGGCACAGTAGCCCTCGCGGCAGCCTAAAAACTAAAATGGAAAATTCTGCGATTTTCTATGTTTTGAACGACGGGATCACATTTAACGATCACGCCAAGCTAAACGCAAAAATTAGCAACAAGAAATTCGACATTTGAGGGGGTGCTGGTTTTGGGCGGGAATCGAACCCGGACCCTCCGCCTGGGAGCCCTGTGGCGCAATGAGCAGAGCGTCGGCGTGCCAATCCAGAGCCGCCGCCAGTTCAATCCCAGCTCCCTCTCAGAAGCCGAATTTCTTTTTGCATCTGTTCGTTCTCAAATTTTGAACAGAGCTGCGGAAGGGAATTTAAAATGTTCACAGAAACTTTCAGCCAGAGTTTTCGAGTTATAGCAAAAATACTGCTTTTTCAACGCTTTTGCTTCCATTTTCCGGCTATCTTTTTGGACTTTGCATCAATTAACATCAATTTTGGCGCTAAATCCCTCCTTCTTCTTAACATCGGGGATGATAACACCTTGTTAAAATTACTTAAACAACCTATTTCCAAGACGAATTTTTCGAAATAAAAAATTTTCTGGGGTAAAAAAGGGTCGGCGCTTCATTTTTGCCATACATTCCAAGTCTCAATTCCGGCGAAATCCAGGTTAAAAACGTAAAATAAAGTTTATTTTTGCTATAACTCGAAAACTACTGTACCGATCGGAGTGAAAGTTTCTGTGAACATTTTAAATTCCCTTCCGCAGCTGTGTTCCAAATTTCAGGTCGATCGGATTTTAAATGACAAAATGCCAGCGTGACCTTTTTTATTGGGACACCCTGTATATACCACAAGGTTTTCCATTTTAGTCAGAGTTTTAGACCATTTTTCAGCTACAAAAAGCTCGTTGTGAGCAAACGGCGACCTGGCCGCCACCTAAATAATACATCAATCGATGCAGAAAAATTTTGCGCATCTTTCTAACCTAATTCCAGTTTGCGGCCGACTCGCCGTTAATTTGAAATTCGGCAAAAACTATTTTGGGCATGCAATTTAACTAGGTTCTGCTGATTTTCGTGCTTCGCGATGTATCAGAGAAATGATCCCCATCCCAAATTAGGCCTAGTCACAAAGTTTCAGCCAATTCTATCAAGTAGTCGTCGAGATAAATTTTCGACGTTGGCAACTTTAACACGCCTTGTTTAACCAGGAAAATACTAATTTAAAAATCCCAAATTAGTGCGATTCCTCTAATTCTACTACGCTTTTTCAGATGGCATCAAAAAATGGGGGTCGAAAAATCTTGTTCGAATTATAGCTTGTTCGATTCAAACTGTTCGAGTGACTCGCGGACCGCCTTTTAAGTTATTGTCAAAAATAAGCTGTTTATTCGAAATAAAGCAGGTGGCTTAGCAAATTCAGAGATTGGTGTTGATCATTCCTTGAATAGCGAGGCTGATGGAGGCGGAGTTCACGAGAAGCCAAGATGAACGAGAGGCTGGCGACGTTTCTGAAACGAAACAGGGTGCTAGGTGGTTCTGTAATACGGACTTTTTGGCTCGGTCTTTTCGTCGGCAGCCGGTGGCAAAGTAGCCCTCGCGGCAGCCTTGTCTTCAGCTGTGGCACGGGTGCAATTGTAGCTTCCATCATCTTGCAAAAAGGACGACTTCAGATCGTCAAAGGCAATGCATTCAGTCCCGTTTGCCGTTTTGCAACTGTGCATGGCCGGCTCGCAGCCTAAAACCCGAATTTGTTTCGTTCCTGCAGCTGTTGAGGATCGATGACGCAATCAGAAAAAATCGGCTAGCACTTGCCTTCCATGATACAACCACCCAGGCTGTCGTTGTAGCTCATCAGAAAGTGTCATGGAAGCAATCGGAGTCCAGGTACCGCAGTTGATCTGCATTTGCTGTTGGCAACCTGGAAACTGCGTTTGGTTTGGCCCACAATCCTCCCCCCCCTTGCCGCAGACATCGGCAAAGTGAAGAACTTTTCTGGAGCGTTAGTGGAGAAAACCAAATTTTTCCCAGTGATTCTCTACGGCCCTATAAGAAAATATAAACGAATTTATGGCATTTCAGGTAGTTTTTTATAGATCAAAACAATGAAAGTGAAATTTTCCAGTTTCCAAAATTTCAAAAACTACAACATTCTCGCCATCGAAAACTACTAAAAGTAAGGTAAGAGTTTACTTTACCAGGGCGGGGATAACCGCTTCACGACAAACGGCATGCGCTTACCTTCCCATAGATAGGACCCCGGGAGAGTGCCATTCACGAAATGTTTGAACGGGACGCAAAGGAGACCCATCCCCAGAAGAATCTGGCCTTCGCCCACTGGACATCCTGAAAAGATGTTGCAACCTCTGAAAGAAAAACCGAGACTACCTTTGTATTGACAAACCGACCCCTTGGGATCGACCTGATTGTACTTCTTGGAGCAAATCGGGGCACCGTCTTTCCCGGGACAGGCTACCCACGAGCCCGTACAACCTGATTTTTTGAACCGATATGAACAATTTTTAGACTGAACCTTTACACGCGTCGCTATCTTTTGGGCACACGTCTGTGGAAAGAGTCGTATTTTCGGCGCTGAGCCCGCCGGTGCAGAGGACGAAAATGAGAAGGTAGACGAACAGCATGGCTCAAAAATCTTGCAAAAGTTGGGTAGACGTTAGGACCGACCAGAATCTACGCTGTGCAACTGGCGACGGCCATAAAAACGGAATACATATCGTAATCACTTTTCATATGTAAATTCAGATGATATTGAGGTGTTTACGAAATCATTTATTCGGAAAGGGCCGAGAAGATAGAAAATAATTGAAGTGTCGGTAGGTGGATGACGGAGTTGACGAGGTAGACGAGCGGCTGGCGATGTCTCTAGACGGAGTAGCAAGATACGAAGCGATACTTTCGCACATAGGTACCTTTTGGCTCGGTCTTCTCCTGGGTAGCCAGTGGGGCAGTAGCCCTTGCGGCGGCCTTCTCTTCAGCAGTGTCACGGATGCACTTCTTACTCCATCTGCTTGTCTGATAGACGTCTTCAGATCATGCATTCCGGTCAGTGTACAGTTTTGTAGCGATGCATTGTCGGCTCGCAGCCTAAAAAGTTGATTCGTTTTGCCCCTGTAGCTGTTGAAAAGAAATCAGGTAAATTCGATTAAGTAAAAATCAGCTATGACTCTCCTTCCTCATCACAAGGTTTGGCTCAAACCAAATTGGACCCCAAGGGCCGCATAGGGCTGAGATCTTTCGGGCGCTAAAAAAATCAGTCCGCCCCGATCCTCCTTCCGGTAGCTAAAATTTTCTTTCGGACCACAAATCTGTCCAAAATGGGGGGCAAGCCGAAGTGCCATGGAATTCAGGATGGCACCCTCGAATCCAAATCTCCGGAGCGACGATATTTCGTGTTTTGAGCCAAAACCAAGCCCAGAAAACACTTTAGTCACCTGTTTCCAGAGCCTTCGAAAGTTCCATACAACATTCCGTTCCGCTACTCCTTCCGTTCATTCGAGTGACTGTGCCCCAAGGATGCCCAAAATTTCCAATGTACAACTCGTGACAGGAAAAGCCAAGCCCAGAAAACACTTTATTGGCCTCCCAAAACCACACACACTTCATATCCAATCACAAGCACAACACACAATTGATCATCACAATTCCGGCTAGCGGGTATTTAGTGTTGAAACCTAATTTTTGATCAGTGGTTGCAAGTAAATGGATAGATTGATGGATTGATAGATGTGTGGATTGATGGATTTATGGATGGGGGCTTCTGAAGATGGCGGGCGGGTGGAGAGTAGATGATCATCCGAGATGGGGCTGCTTCTAGACCTGAGGCTTCTCGTTGAACGCCTTCGGGTTCTTGGAGGGGAGGAACGGGCGCTTCTCGTTGCTGTCGCCTGAAAAACGCCATGGTTTAGAGAAAAACTTCAGCTTCTTCCCCCCGGTAATGCACAAGCGCGCAAAAATCCTCACCATCTTGGTGCTTGTTCTCCATGCTGCACGGGCGATGCTCGATCGGCTTGTTCCGGTTCTTCTGGAGGATGATGGCGCGGGTGACTAAAGTAGAGTTATGAAAAACCGCCTTTCCCTCAAGAATCTGTGCTGGTTGGCCCTCAAAAACACCACAAAAACCGACGCAAGGCCGCAACAGCGATCGCTCCCACGGTTCCAATGATGGAGCACGAGATGATCATGATGATCTGACCACGGCGGAGGGTGCGGACTAAAAAATGGATCTCTCTCTCATTCTTTCTCTCTCTCTCTCTCTCTCTCTCTCTCTCTCGTCTCTACCGTACATTCGCACTCTCCCCCCGGCAGCACCCTCTTGACCTCGTGGATGGATTGACACTCGGCGCTGCACAAGAGGGCATCTTCTCCGGTGCATTCTGGCTAAGGAATTGAGAGTTTCCGTTTCATTCCCACTTGCAAATGTGCAGATGGTCTTGTTCTGCTTGTCGACGATCATCGAGTTGATCCGCTCGAATCCGATGCACGTGTAGTCGTCGTTGGCCGCCCAGCAGGCCAACGTGTTCTTCAAACCCGCGCACTCCTTCGCCGGCTTCAGGTCTGAAAAGACAGATTAGGCTTAGGTTTAGTACCCACTCGGCAACTCGTTGGGGTTGACGAGCTGGCAGCTGTCGTGATCACCGACGGACTTGATATGCCAGTATGGCATGCAGATTTTCTTGTCGCCCTTCTCGCGGATGGAACATGGATGGTGGCCGATAGGGCAGCCTGAAAATAGATTGATGCTTTTATGGCTCAAAAACGAAACCCACGCTCATCTTGGCACTCCCTCGTGCGGTCGTTGAAATAGCGCAGGTCGGCGGCGCGAAATCGCGGCGTGTACATCGGGATGCAGATCGGGTCGTACTTGCCGCAGTTGACGTGGGCGGGCGGGCAGACTGAAAAGAGGAACGTATCGTGCCTTTAAGAAGCTTACCTTCAGATTCAGCCGACGGCTCGCATGTGCCGTTGTCGTGGAGAGTCTTGATGTGCGAGAAGAAGGTGCACAGCGAGTCGCCGTTGGGTTGCTTGCAGGGGTAGTTGGAGGGCTCCTCGTTGCAAGCTGAATTATGGGAGATTGTGCGAACCCGTCTTGTTCTCCTCCTACCAGATAAGGTACAGATGCGCGTCTCGCTGTCGTACTTCAGGATGGCCGTGGGTGGGACACATAGAGGCACGTCGCGCGTTCCACAATCCATTAGACCAGGGACCTGACAACCTAAAGGCAAGATGTTCTACAAGCTCTACTGGAAAAGCTCACCAGCAAATGTCCAGCTGTCGGGCAGATGTTCCTTGCCGAGCATGTCGAACGGCACGCAAAACGAGTCCTTCCCCGCAAAGACTTCGCCGCGACCGGCCAGGCATCCTAGAAGGTCGTGAAATAATTGATGGGGACCCGCGCTGCTGACAGAGTCCCCGTAAAGGTTTCAGGCAAACTACCTTTGGTCTGACAGCTTGTAGCAGTCGCGTTGAGCACGGTGTCCTTTGGCACACAGATTGGCTGTCCATCCTTCCCAGGGCAAGCTTGCTCGGTTTGACCGCATGCCGAAGAGTCAGTCGAATTGAGGGCGTCGAGGCCGCATGTCCACATCTCGAGGGCCAGCACGCGGATGAGCAGGTAGATCGAGGCCACACCGAGCATGTCTCTGAAATTTCCATCGAATCTTCACTTTGGTGGCGTTATTCGGAATGCAATTTGCATCTCAATTCCGCATACAAACAGTCAATAAAGTTGGCGAGAAGTAGAGAGAAGTACCCGGAAACTTGGCGTTGAAGAGGGCAGCGGTATGATGAGTTTTTCCTCTGCGGATCGCGTCGTTTTAGATCAGAAATACATTCAAATGTGGTGGAGGCGCATTTTAATCATGAGATTCGAATGACTAGGCAAATTTCGTATTTCAAATCCCTTCAAAGGACAAGCGAAAAGTGCGTTTGGCTTTCTTTGGGAGGAGCTGTCCCGTACTCAGGCAACAGGTACTCAAAAATCGTTATCGAGTTTATCTTTTTAACTGGATTCGAACCGGCGCCGAGGTGTCGCGTAGGAAACATCCGTACCTCCCTTACCCCTGCTGATAGAGTACCATGATGCTCTACAGTGACGCGGAGGTGGAGGTCGTGAGGTCCGAGATGGTTCAATTGTGGTCTCGCGCCCAGCAAGCCCGATGGTGAAGCAATGCAACTGCGAGCGTGCCGAGCAGGAGAGATAAAACATGCAATTTGTTTGCCCTTATCTCTCTACACCCAGCCACCGTACGACCACCCCCGTTCAGATGCCCAAGCCCGCATGAAGTAGACCGCGTGCTTTGTCTCATCTCGTTCTGTTCCATTCGAGAAATCATTCATTTATTCCGAATCGCGAAAATGAATATATTAAAAAGTGGCTCCGATCCAGATGCCCAGCATGATGGAGACGATGATGAGGACGGAGTTCACGGGATGCCAATAATGACGAGCGGACGACGACGCCCCTATACAAAAATCACTACTACAAAATGCATAATTTAAGGTAGTTAAGGCACGCTACTTACCTTTCGGCTCGGTCTTCTCCTGGGCCGCCGGCGGAACAGTAGCCCTCGCAGCAGCCTTCTCTTCTGCTGTGGCACGGATACACTCGCTTCCTCCGCTCTTATAAATGATCGTCTTCAGGTCGTCGTAGGAAATGCATTCGGTTCCGTCTTCTACTTTGCACGGGTACCTCCCGGGTGGACAGCCTGAAATTCAGGGCCTTCAATAGTTAATCTCAGGAAATCTTGACAAAAAAACAAAAAGACAAATTGACAAATTGGCACGTGCCTTCATAAATACAGCCTCCCATACTGAGATTGTAAGCCGTCAGAGAAGCGGAGTGGATGCAGACCGGAAGATAGTTGCCGCAATTGATGTGGGAGGGGGAGGAGCAGCCTGAAAATTGAGCATGAGACGGACAAAACTCTGCCACGACACTAAGAACCGCAGGGTAACGGGCCGTAGTGCGGAGAATTTTAAAATCTCGTAAAAAATTTCTGGCCATTTTGGTACTGGTCTGTTAGGGGGGTCAGCCGGCGGTTTTTGAACTATTTTTTTGTTTTTCCCCAGTGATTAATATAATTTCATGTATATTTTAGACTGTTTTAACGGTTTTTGACTGCCATGAAGTTACAAAAGGCCATTCCAAACTTTTTTGAAAACGAAAATTTGGCCTTTTGACACTTACGATAAGACTTACCGTCCCACCACCAGCCCGTCGGAAGAGAACCATTGACGATATTTTTGAGCGGGATACAACTGCGGTTCGTCGGGCCATTGATATCCGTCTCTCCGATTGGACAGCCTGAAACATGGCTGTGGAAAAGGTGCCTAGGTAAGGGTGCAGCCCCCCCCCCCGCGCAGCCAACCCCCCGTCCTTGTACCTGGGCTCCCCGTTGGTCGACAAGTGTGTAAAGTATACCAAAATGTTCATCTTAGCCTGGTGAGTATTTTTGTATCCTTTACAGCCCTGTAGAATAAAGGGTGCTCGATATATTCGGGTGGTATCGGTTGGGTGGGGGGGGGCATCTGGATGGTACTGGACTGTTAACAGGGGGGATGTTTAGCAGGGCGGGCTAATTTTTTCACAGTTTAGACCACACACTTTCATCGTTTGTAGATTGAAAAAGATCAGGAAAGACTTATAAAAACGTTCGAAAATTTTTGACTTTTTGTTGAAAATGTATGGAAAGTGAGCAAACAAGGGGATAATTTCAGAATTTTCGAAAAATTTGATGTTTTGAAAAATTTCTGAAAGTTCTGATGTTTTTATAACGCTCCAGCTATCAAAAACTACGAGAAACGTTATAAAAGTGCATGATTTATTATTGAAGGATAGGTGTAAACGGAATAACAAAAATTGGTTTCCCCTGCTAACAGCACAGTACCATTTGGAGTTGCGCGCTTCTTCAAAAAAGCCGCTGCATGCGACACTTTGTAGAAGTGTCTACCTATGAATTGGCAAACTCCAGAATCAGGATCGACAAGTTGCTCCTTATATGTGCATAGCGAGACGCCGTCTTTTCCCGGACACAGCGTCAATCGTTCCTCGCAGCCTGTAGCAGCACATATGAACTCTGCGTGTGCTAACAAGATTACCGGGACACGGGACGCCCTTCGGCAGACACATCGTTACATTAGGCGCCGTGTTTTGAGCGCTGAGCTCGCCGGTGTAGAGGACGAGGACGAGCACGTAGACGAACAGCATGGCTCTAAAACCTTCGAAAATCATGTAAACGTTAGGACCAACCAGAAGCTACGCTGCTAGACTGGCTTAGGCGGCAAACGCTGATTTAATATGGTAATCACCCTATTAACACCCAAATCCAGAGGACATTCGGGTGTTTTCGAAATCATTTATTCAGGCAGGTCCGAAAACAATACAAAGTAATCGAAGGGTCAGTAGGTGGATGACGGAGTTCACGAGAAGCCAAGACGGGCGAGAGGCTGGCGATGTCTCTGGAAGGAAATATCATACTGGGCAGTACTAGGCGCTACCTACCTTTCGGTTCAGTCTTCTCCTGGGCAGCCGGCGGGACAGTAGGCCGCGCAGCAGCCTTCTCCTCGGCCGTGGCAAGGACACACACATCTCCTCCTTTCTTGTAACGGGCCGACTTCAGGTCGTCGTAGTCAATGCATTCCGTTCCGTTTTCTCCTTTGCACGGGTGCGTCGCAGGAGGGCAGCCTTGAAATTATAGCTCATTGTTAAAGACTTGGCGGCCGAAGTACAGTTTACCTCCCAGCCGACCCCCACCTATTGTATCTCGGCTCCCTGTTCATCTACGGTAAGAGTTTACCTTACGCCCTCCCCCCACAGCCGAAGGGACAAAGTTTTCGGTATTTTCGCTTATTTTGTCGGGATTTTTGCAACGCCATTCGATAGAGCGTTGAAAAATACACTAAGGGCTTAATTTGCGCCTAAAATAATGTAAAATAAAAAAGTTATAGCCAAAAACGTCCGGGGGATAAAGTAAACCGTCGCCAACCGACTTGACATGTTCAGCGACGACTCACTCCAGTCTCACCAACAGAAAAATCAAAGCTACGCACCGTCGTTGATGCAGCCTCCTGCGCTCGCGTTGTACGCCGTGATCGTAGCGGCGTTGAGGCAAACTGGCACGTAGTTGCCGCAGTTAATGTAGTAATCATAGATGCAGCCTGTAAATTGCTCAGATGTACCGTCGGGAGGCGCAGTACCTGCTACTCGAAAAATAAAGCGCGGCTAATTTCTAGGAAACCTCCCGCCTGCCATAACTTTTCAGCCATACGTTTTATTAATGCGTTATGCTTACCGTCCCACCACCAGCCATCGGGGAGAGTGCCGTTAGTCATGCGATTGCGTGGTAGGCAATTGCGTTTGTCGCCGACTAGACTCGGTAGCTCACCCTCGGGACAATCTGGAAATACACTATTGTGCCTGGATATCATTTGACACCTAGGAATTCGCAATCTGAGGATTCGGGATCGACGAGATACTGTTTGAGGGTGCAGAGGAGGACGCCGTCTTTCCCCGGGCACAACGTCCACTTCTTCACACAATCTGAACCCAAATAACTGTCTCCTAATAAGGATACCTGTGCAGTCGGGGGAGCCTTTATGACACATCGCTGCAGTCATTGTCGTGTTCGCGGCGTTCAGTCCGCCGGTGTAGAGGGCGAGGACGAGCAGGTAGACGAACAGCATGGCTTAAAACGTTGGTAATGCGGCTTAACCGTTTAAACCGACCAGACTCTACGCCGCTAGACCGGAGAAGGTCTCAAGAATGGCGTTTCATATGCTAATGACTTTCCCTCATTCAAATTACGAGGCCATGAGCTGGTTTCGAAATCGTTTATCCAGACAAGGTCGAGAAAATGCAAAGTAATCGAAGTGTCAGTATAACGAAGACGGAATTCACGAGAAGTCCAGATGGACGCGAGGCTGGCGATGTCTCTGAAAGGGTCTTGGTGGATACAACATAATTGAAATTACCCTTTGGCTCGGTCTTCTCCTGGGCGGCCGGTGGCACAGTAGCCCTCGCAGCAGCCTTCTCTTCAGCTGTTGCACGGATGCACTCGTCGCCTCCCTTCGTCCATTGGAACGACTTCAGGTCGTCGTAGGAAATGCATTCCGTTCCGCTTTCTACTTTGCACGGGTGCGTCGCAGGAGGGCAGCCTTGAATTGCGGATTATCCACCATATTAAGAAATAGGACCCGCCTTTGTTGATGCAGCCACCCATGGTTTGGTTGTATTCCTCAAGCTCAAACGCCCTGACACAAACCGGAAGATAGTTGCCGCAGTTGACCAAGAATGGCTCAATGCATCCTCAAAATTTATCTGATATAAATAGTGGAAAGTTTCTCAATAGGTTTTTACTAGAAACGTGCAAACTATACAAGCTTTATATTCAAAAATGTCAAATATAGCGATTTTCCGGCCAAAAACGGTAGATTTTTAACCAAGATTTTATTTTTTTAAGAATTTTTGTATTATTATATAGTTTGTTTAGTTGAAATATAGTTAAAAGACTATAAAATATTATCCTACTATAGATAAAAAATAGTTGATGTGTCTGTGCAGACACTTTGCGTAAAACCCGGATTCCAGACATAACTCGAAGGGGAAAGGATTTTGTGGTCCCGAAGTAAGGTAGTAAGGGGCAATTGAGGGTGTAGATTACTGCACGCTCATCAAATTTTTATTCAAATGCTGTTGTCAACCTTGGCTTGAGTGCAGTTTACCCTCCCCCCCAGCCGACCCCCACCTACCTCGGCTCCCTGTTCATCTACAGGTGTGTAAAGTATACCAAAATACTCGCCAGAGCAAGACGAACATTTTGATATACTTTACATACCTGTAGATGAACAGGGAGCCACAAAAGTTGGGTGCCGGCTGGGGGGGTAAATTGCACTCTAACCTCAACCTTATTTTAACAATTTTAAAACATATGGAACAAGACTAATTTGCATACGAGTGATAATTCGGCTCATTTTGGGCTTTGCGCTTGTCGAAGTCGGCTGCGCATATCATTCTCAAGGCGTTGAAAACGCCACCGTGATTCGAAACACTGATTCAAATTATAGTATGCAAAGTCCGGGTGTATTTCCGGCCTGCGCAGAGAGGCCAGACGTGAAAACTCGCGTAGCAGCTTTTCAACCCTATTCGCTATTAACACACTGACGATCACGTTAGTAAAAATTTCTAGCCTTGTACAAAAAAAGTCGCCCCCTCACTAACAGCCCAGAACCAAAAACTGCAGACTGAACCTTACCGTCCCACCACCACTCCATAGGAAGAGAACCATTAACGATCTTCTTCATCGGGATACAACTACGGTTCGCGCCAACGGCGAGGTCCGTCTCTCCAATTGGACAACCTGAAATAGGGCTGTAGAAATGGTCTTCTGTCTGTTCACCTTCGAAGTCACAAACTCCCGAATCGGGATCAATAATTTTGTCCTTGAATGTGCATAGCATTTTCCCGTCTTTTACCCGGCAGAACGTAAAGCGTTCCTCGCAGCCTGTAACGGGAGATGTCTACTCTCGCTGTGGCAAAAAAGCTACCGGGGCACAGGCCTTTTGGCACACAGATCGTCACATTAAGTGTTGTGTTCTCAGCGCTGAGGCTGCCGGTGTAGAGGACGAGGACGAGCAGGTAGACGAACAGCATGGCTCGAAAACCTTTGGAAATGTCAAGTCAACGTTAGGGCCGACCAGAAGCCACGCTGCAGGTCTAGGGAACGCGGCAAAAATAGAGTTTATATGGTAATCACGTGGGCATTCAAACTGGTGCTCTTTCAGGCGTAATCGATGCGTTTCTCCAATTGTTCTGCGTGCGGATTATAGTCTTTCTTTAACGAATTTATTGCAGCTTTTTATTCACAGATTTTTAGGGTCAATCTTGCAGATGTAGCGAGCTCCAGAGTTTGTCACAATTCCGAACGATCCCCACCACTTTCCGTTGCACGACGCGTCGTTGATCATCTGGAAAAGTGGATAGGTTTGAGGTTAAAAGTATTTACTTTCAGATTCAGGTCCTTATAAGCTATTCAAACGACTCACCGCGTAGTAGGTATCTTGGGAAAATTTATAAATGGATGGCGCAAAGTCGTACGGTGTTCCGTCGGTCCAGGAGAAATTCCCGGCGGACTGCTTCCAGATGAGGCCCGTCCAGGCGTATGCTAAAAATCGTGGTACTTCATTATAAACGTAGGTAAATTAAATATATCTTGCTCTAACATCAAAAAAAAACCACAAAAAAGGGTGAAAACTAGACTTACAAGCAGTGCAGCCATTGGTGAAGCTCGGAGCGTTGGTGGCGTTCAGCATATTTGAGGTCTTGATCAAATCTAGAAACAAGAATGGATATTTTTTAGATGTTTTTAGGGTCAAAGTTACATTTAATAGATGCTGTAGGTTTAAAATTTTGCCAATACATTTGATAAACAACTTTTTAAACTTGCTCCTACCGAATAGCACCTGCTGCTCGATAGCGTCGTGCACGGAGGCGAGATGAGCTTTTGTGTGCATCATGCGGCATCTAAAATTTGTGTTCTTAAATCAGGGTCTACTCTGCACAAAATTCGTTCGTCTACTTACCGCACTTCCGCTTCCGTCGGGTCAGCCATATCCCAGGTCTTTCCATCGGACATTGTGTAATCCTTGAGGTAATAGCAGAAACCAGTGACGGTCGAGTAGAACCATTGCTTAGGGCAAGGGTCTGAAGTTCTGTGATTTTTTTAAGGTACGGTTATATGGCGAAAGTTAAGAGAGACCGAGGGAGAGAGAGAGAGAGAGAGCGAGAGAGCCAGAATAAGAGATGGAGACAGGTGGAGAGAGCTAGTGAGAGACAGAGGGCACCTGTAAAGTAGCCGCTCGAGTACGAGCCGCTACTCTGGACACCATGGTTCTGGTGCGTTAGCGGGGGAGGGGGAGCAGGAATTTTGCAGGCAAGCAACTTGCTTTAAAATTGTAATTATTGTAACAAAACGTAGATTTTTACTTGTTTCCAATTACCAAACCGTTTGAAAATATTGCTAAAAATCAACGGCTTTCGACGGATCTAGGCGCAAAATAGGAAAATTCAGTTTCCCCTTGCTGGACCATAAGAACGAATGAACCAGACCCGACTACGTAATTCGGTGCTCCTTTTGTCTGTTTCTCGAACTCACTAGGATCCGACGATTTCGAGCAGACAAAGCCGTTGTACGCGTTGCAGTCGGCGGAGGCCCATTTGGCATTGGGGGGCACGATCACGGCACAGTTGTTGCTCGAATTCCGGGGCTCACCTAGGGGTTCACAAGCGTTAAAAGGACCTCAAAAACTCACCGGCATCCCAGTTCGAGTACGTCAACGCCGACCCATCCGAATACGTCCATTGTCCATTTGACTGGCGCTCGACTCCAATGTACAATGGGGTGTCTGGAACTAAAGGAAACGTAGTTTTGAGATATCTATACTTTAGAGGGTAACTGTCAAAATTAATCCTAGACTCACGAGATTTTGTTGCCTGCAAAATGGCCTGATTCGTGAAAGCGTCGCTGATCTTCACGACGTCGCCGTCGGAGGCCTCGCAAGTCCGGACGGCTTGTCCATAGGAGCCGGCTGGAATTTATGTTGTTGGTTTCTTTAGCGTTTTTACCTGTTGACACAACCGAATAGCAGAGGTTGTCCTGGGCTAAAAATGACCAATAGGGCGGGCAATCGGCGGCGACGAGACCAAGGAGTACAGCGTAAGTTGCTGTGAGGAAAAGCATTACCTAAATGAATAACATTCAAAAAAACTTTAGCGTGGAACAGGGATAGAGAGAGAGAGAGAGAGAGAGAGAGAGAGGGAGAGAGAGAGAGAGAGAGAGAGAGAGAGAGAGAGAGAGAGAGAGGGGAGAGAGAGGGAGAGAGAGGGGGAAGAAAGAAAGAGAAAGACCGAGAGGGCGAGAGAGAGAAAGATAGAGAGAGAGAGAGAGAGAGAGAGAGAGAGAGAGCGAGAGAAGAGCAAGAGAGACAGTTGTGAAGTAATGCTTATGTCAAAACTCGAGCTCTAGCACCTTTTATAAGCGCTATGATCTGGAAACTTGGTCAAACCCGGCAAAACTTGAAGTCTTATCAGGCACTTCCTATGCGTTTTATCGTTTCCGAAGCGCAGAAAGATGGGCAAAATCATGCTGAAAAGCCGTTGGTGATGCCGAGAACTCGTTGAAATGGCGAAACGACCATTAGTCTTATCTGGGGGTTGTAGGTTGGGTCCTACGTTTTTCGTCAATGACTAATCGAATGGACAGGCTAGACACAGAGGAGACCCGGTGACTAATGGAACTGTAGATTTTTTATCAGATTTTTGGGGGTTTTGATGCGTTTCTGCAAATGACAGCTTCGATGATCGTGATTTCAAAAACGGAAAACAGGCGGAAACAAAAACGGTAAATGATTAGCATACGGCGTGGTATTAAAACATTACCATACCAAGGTATGATTTTCTAGCCTTCTCCAGTTTTGCGGCGTGGTTTCTGGTGGGTCGGAGGTTTTGATCCAGTTCGAAGGTTTGTTGAGCCATGCTGTTCGTCTACCTGCTCGTCCTCGTCCTCTACACCGGCGGGCCCAGCGCCGAAAACACGACACTGACCCCGGCGATGTGCACTCCGGGCTGTACGAGTACGGTTTTGCAGATATCATATTAACAAATTCACTGCAAAAATGCGGCGACGACCGATTCCTGGGGTTTTTTTCTGACACCGAGAGTGTGCCACTTTCTGGGTGTGTGCGCCCAGAGTGTGCCACACGCACAGCCCACTTTCAGGATGTGCGAAATACTGGAAGATGTGCCCTGGAAAAGACGGAACCCCGTTGTGCGTAAAGAAGATTATTATGGACAACCCCGAATCTTCTCCAAGCTGCAACTATAAAAGTAAGCACTCGGGTGTTCGGTACTACTTGGACCCTTATCTGGTGGATTACGATCATTTTTGGTTTGAATGGATGGGAAAATGAGGGAGAACAGAGAGAGAGAGAGAGAGAGAGAGAGAGAGAGCGAGCGAAAGATTACTGTATCATGGCTCCCCGTTGATCTACAGGGCTGTAGCTCTTACGTAATGTAGACAAAAATACTTGTCAGACCTCGACAAACACTTTGGTATATTTTACACATCTTTAGGCGGGTGAGGTGAGTGGCCGAGATCCAGAAGCAAAAGATTTTTTTTTGTTTCGAAAAGCTTTTAATGAGATTTTTGTATCTAAACACTGTGTAAAATTCCATAAAACTAGTTTATGTATTATTATGGGACCGTAAAGTCTGAGTGGGAAAATTAACTTTTCCTTTGCTAAAAATTTCGGTAAGACTCCAGATAACCCCCCCCCCCCCCAGCCGGCACCCAACTTGTGTATCTCGGCTCCCTGTTCATCTACAGGTGTGTAACGTAAAGCGAGTATCTTGGTATACTTTACACACCTGTAGATGAACAGGGAGCCGAGATGCGGTAGGTGGGGGTCGGCTGGGGGGGTATCTGGAGTTTAGCCAAAATTTCCCCCTTGCTAGCAGTGCAGTACCCGAATCCTCACACGCGATTTCAGAGTGTCCAGTCGGCGAAGCAAGGGTCACAACCGGCCGAAATGAATCGTGCATCCCCATGAAGCGCCTAACTAATGGCACGGTTCCCGATGGTTGGTGGTGGGAAGGTAGGTTGTTTGTTGGATGTTGTTTTTCGGGCAACCATTTGATAGGGGCTAACAATTCAAAATTAGATATGCTAGATATCAATTTCTCAAAAATTTTCGACTCAAATCTTTCGGTGTAAAACACCATAAAAATGTGTGATAGTTTGTTATAGGCCCGTACAGAATTGCTACGGATTGTTCCCCCCCCCGCTAACAGTCAAGTACCGTATTAAATTTTTTGCATCACTACATCACTTTGATACCTTGCGCCGTGAATCGAATTGAAGCTGCCATATTTCAGATTGCGTTGAGCAATACCACATCAACTGCGGCAACTATCTGCCGATTTGCGTCAATGCCATCTCGCTAGAGGCGTACAACTCGACCACGGCTAGTTGCATTAGCAAAGGTGAGTGGTGTTGTACTAGTTTTGCTTCTGGTATTCCTTCGCCTGTGAGGCCACTTGCAAAGTTGTTTTTCCTCGAAAATCAACCTTTTTAGGCTGTGATCCTGGGATGCACCGGTGCAAAGTAGACGGCACGCTGGAATGTATTCCCTACGACGACCTGAAGTCAGTCCACTATAAGGACGATGGAGACGAGTGTATCCGTGCCACACCGGAAGAGAAGGCTGCTGCGAGGGCTACTGTTCCGCCGGCTGCCCAGGAGAAGACCGAGCCGGACGGTGAGCGTAATACGTGCAAGGTTACCTATTAACTTTCAGAGACATCGCCAGCCTCCCGTCCATCTTGGCGTCTCGTGAACATCGCCTTCATCCTCCTCGCCACGAAGCTGGCAGCTGCCTTTGTTTAATACGGAACGGAATGACGTGTATAAATGATTGATTATTGAATGTTGAAATGTGTGCGGGGTGTCACAATAAAAAACATGAGGAAGGGTCTGATCGGAAAGATAGGCACACCATCCGATGCCCTGAGGCCATCAGATCGGCATGAAATGCTTGGCAGCGGGCGCGTAACAACCCATTTATGCCTCACGGGATGTAGCGGGGGCGGGGATAAGAAGCAAATCCAAAGAGACGACCACACGGGCACTTTCAAGCATGAGGAAATTGCTATGTTTTCACATTATCCAAGTTTGCTCTCAAGGACCCCAAAAATGAATAAAATCGACTTTGACTTTGTAAACTTGGGTAAGAGTTTACTTTACCCCCCCACAGCCGAAGGGTCTCAAAGTTTTCGTAGTTTTCGCTTATTTTATCTGGATTTTTGCAACGCCATTCGATAGAGGGATAGAACTTCCGGCTGGGGGGGGAGTAAACCGTAGCCTACTTGTATTTTATCGGGATTCTGAAAAGGCCATCGGAAAGAGGAGGGTCGATTCTTCCGGGCGACCGATTATTAGGGCATTTTATCCAGGGGAAGACCCCTCTAGTCGGGCCTCGAAAGTGGCATCCACACAGACACACACTTACACGCCAAAATTTTATAAGGCAGAGTAGAACGTCAAAAATGTAACAACTTGGGAATCCTGGATTTGCATATGGAATCGAAACTTCGGATTAGACCGGGCTTCCGCTACATTTGAATGTATTTCTGATCTAAAATGAAGCCGTTTGCTCACCATAACATCATTCATCAGCCGCGCTCTCCAGCAAACCAGCAAGTTTCCAGGTGGGTCCATTCATAATCTTTCATGCATTTTGTGAATGGATTCGAAATTGGGATGCAAATTACGTTCCGGATCGCGCTATCTAAATCATGGCCGACTTTCAGAGATATGCTCGGAGTGGCCCTCATCTACCTGCTGATCCGCGTGCTGGCCCTCGGGATGTGGACGTGCGGCCTCCTCGCTCAGAGCTCCTCCGCGCCGTCGGCATGCCGTCCAGACGAGAAATTTTGCCCTGGGAAGGATGACAGGCCAATCTGTGTGTCGAAGACAATACTGGTCAACATCACTGCCACAAACTGCCATGTCGTAGGTGGGGCCCTTTTTCGAGAACAAAATCAGGCGGTGATAAGACTAGGGTTAGCGTCTAATGTATTACTTTCATTACTACCTTTACTAGAGTATATTTAATTCACTACTTGCAGGCTGTCCACCCGGTCAAGTCGAGGTCAAGCTCGGCAATGGTCCTGCCTGCGTGCCGTTCAACATGCTCAGCGAGGGCAACCTTCCGCTGAGTTGGACATTTGCTGGTCGGTTCCCCCGTGGACCTTTTTGAGCATTGGAACGTTCCAGGGTGCACGATCCCGGGATATGTGAACTGTGGAACGCGTGACGTGGCGCTCTGCGTCCAGTCGGACGACATTCAGAAGTACGACAACGTGACGCGGATCTGCACCTTGTCTGGTATGGAAATGCATAGGCCTAATCTTTTCCCTCTCTTCAGCCTGCGGCGAGGAACCCTCCAACTTTGCCTGCAAACAACCTGACGGCAAGCGGGAATGCACCCTCTTCTCCTACATCAAGGCCATCAAGGAGGACGACACCTGCGAGCTGTCGGCCGAATCCAAAGTATGCCCGAAGAAGCATGTCAACTGTGGAATGCCCGGCCCGCTTTGCGTGCCACGAGCCGGACTGCGCCTCTTCAACGACCGCACGAGGGAGTGCCACGACAAGCGTAAGGATATACTTGTCGAAGTTTAGCTCATCTCCAGGCTGCCCCATCGCCCACCACGCCTGCTCCACCGGCAAGAAGGGTGGCAAGCCGATCTGCATCCCCTACTGGCACATCAAGTCCGTCGGGGATCACGACAGCTGCCAGCTCATCAACCCGAACGGGTTGCCGAGTGGGTACTAAGCCTAGGACTAAGCCAAAGCCTAAACCTAAGCTAGTCATAAGCCGAGCCTAAGCCTAAGCCTACACCTAATCTCGCCGTTTCAGACCTGAAGCCGGCGAAAGAGTGTGCGGGGATGAAGAACACGTTGGCCTGCTGGGCGGGCAACGACTTCACGTGCATCGGATTCGAGCGGGTCACCTCGATGGCCGTCGACAAGCAGAACAAGACCATCTGCACATTTGCAAGTGGGAATGAAACGGAAACTCTGAATTCCTGCTTCAGAATGCCCTGCCCAAGGCGCTATCCCGTGCAACACCGACTGCCGCACCGTCAGCGAGGTCAAGAAGGTGCTGCCGGACGGGAAATGTGAATGTACGGTACTTTGAGCGCACACCCAGAAACGCTAGAACTGAGCATGAGCCTTTTTTTCAGTTCGTCCTCAGAAGTGGAAGGTGGTGTTCGTCGCGTTTGCGTTCATCGGCGGGGCGGCGCTGATCGTCATGTCGGCTTTCTTCTTCCGCGCCTACGCCAAGGCACGCGCCAAGGCAAACGACGAGGAAAATCCGTCGAGCCGCTCGTCGAAACGCCAGCATGGTGAGCGCGACTTATACTTCTTGATAAACGCCTACTTTCTACTGATGTTCATCTACTTCTCTTCCTGGTGTACTTCTTGAAAACCACGGCTTTTCCAGGCGACAACGGCGAGAAGCGCCCATTCCTGGCTTCGAAGAGCTCGCGGATGTTCAGCTCCGGTGCTCAAGAAGAATAGAAGGGGCAACGCCCGTGATCATCTACCAACCCGCCCGCCCATCATTTCATACGAAGAAACTATCAAGTCCATCTTCAGAAGCCCCCATCCATCAATCCATCAATCCACACATCTATCTATCCATCAAACTATCCATTTACTTGCAATCACTGATCAAAAATTAAGTTTCAACACTAAATACCCGCTAGCCGGAATTGTGATGATCAATTGTGTGTTGTGCTTGTGATTGGATATGGACTGTGTGTGATTTTGGGCGGCAAATAAAGCGTTCTCTGGGCTTGGCTTTTCCTGTTACAAGTTGCACATTGGAAAATTGGAGCAAGCGACTCGGGCGAATGGAAGGAGTATCGGAACGCAATCTATTTTCTCGGCTCACTGTTGTTCTACAGGATTGTAAGGTATACGAAAATGTTCGTCTTGCTCTGGCGCGTATTTTGATCTACTTTACCGCCCCGCAACACAACGGGGAGCCAGGACACTTCCCGTAGGATAGGGCTCTGGCAAACGCGCGTTCAGACCTGATTTTTCTTTGCTTTCGTTTTGCCTAAAAAGAAGGAGAAGCCGGGTCCTGCTGATTTTGACGTTGCTTTTTCATTTTTATAGTAATACAAAACGCATTTTAATGTACAATATTTATTCACCGAAAAAGCTTCCAAAATTACGGCGGACTCATTTTGCACATGTATCTGGCGGCCGCAAGTTTCGGCTTTCCGGCACCAACCCAGTATTTCCCACCGCACGATGCGTCATTCACCACCTGAAATTGGTACTGATAGTGAGAGAGAGAGTGTGTGTGAGAGAGAGAGAGTGAGAGAGCGAGAGAGGGAGTGAGAGAGAGACGTTCCGAAATACAACTTACCCCGTAATAGAAGCCGTCGGTTTTATAAGTTTGCGGGGTATAATCCATGGGTGTCCCGTCGGTCCAAGAAAAGCCGGTAGCGTTTGCGTAGCGTAGACCGGTCAAAACGTCGCCTAAAGCCTTTAATTTGATAGAATATGTAGCGGATTTCTAAGTTTATAATTTCCCTAAATAAAACACGACGAAAATTGCGTTCGCTTTCGTACATACCACTCAAACACGGGTAGTGGTTTTCCGGAAGCTTGTCCCGGTAAGCCGATAGGTTTGAGGTCTTGATTTGGTCTAAATAGGCCGATTTCTTAAAAAGTGACATCACCTACCGTAAACGACTTGATTCTCGTACTCATCGCGCATCGAAACGAGATGAGAATTGGCGTGCAGTTGGCGACAACTAGAAAAACTACCCAAATTCCGTTTTTAACCTACCGCACTTCCGCTTCCGTTCCATCTACCAGATCCCAAAGTTTCCCATCGGACATTGTGAAGCCCTAAAAATAAAGGATAGATTAAACCAGGAAAAATTACCTTCAAATAGTAGCAATACCCCGTGACGTTCGAGAAGAACCACGGCTTGGGGCAAGGCGCTAAAACAGAGATGAATAAACAAACACCAAACAATTATGAGCTTTTTATACGCTACATGCTGCCACAATTTACGCTACCTTGATCCACCGGCTTCGAGCAGACGAACCCGTTAAAATCTCCACAATTCGACACTTGCCAAGTGGTGTTCGGGGCGGCGATGACGGCGCATTTCTCGGAAGAGTTCGAACCGCTTGCGGGTGCTGAAATCGACAATCTATTGCTCGATTTTCAAGCATTTTGTTTTCAATAGTATTCTTCTTAATATTTAGACCTACCATTTGCCCAATTTTGGTATGTCAATGGCGTCCCATCCGTATAGGTCCAAGCACCAGAAGATTGTTGCTCAACGCCGATGTAAAATGCTGGGCTGGCTACTGAAAAAGTGGTAGGTTTGAGAGAGAGAGAGAGGAGAAGAGAGAGAGAGAGAGAGAGAGAGAGAGAGAGAGAGAGAGAGAGTAGCAACCAAAGGCCTAAAACCTACCGTTTTGAATCGCCTTGACAATCGCTTGATTGGTGAAGGCGTCTGTTATTTTCACAACATCTCCGCCGGAAAGTTGGCAAGTGCGAACTGCTTGCGCGTATGTTGAAGCTGAACAAGTAGCAAAATTCAACGTATAAAAATGAATTATTATAAACGTTTTACAGGAATAAGTTGAAGTTTAGCAAGCTAAACTTTAACAGCTAAAATGCCAGTTTTATAGCAAAAAAGCGTTTTTAATTTTGGAAAAAGTCACACAGAACTTACCCTGATTACTGACGCTGTAGCAAGTCCCGCTGCTCGCCAGGAAATTCCATCCAGCCGGACAGTCCGCCTGTAGAGATCCAAGAAGCAACGTGAAGCCCAAAATCCGGAGCATCTTGTTGTGTGGGTGCCCAGAAATACAGACCTATAAAGAATGGCGCGGTCGGGGTAGGGGCCCTTATCAGCCGGGTTTTAAGATCCGAATTTGTCATTTCCAATTTCCGGAAAGATTATTGCCGCTGTCTGTTCCGAAAAATCATGCAGATAAACGGGGCGCGGGTTGTGCAATTTTGCGAAAGCCGCTGAGCTTTTGATAAAAGCACGTTTTCGCCTTATCACGTAACAAAATCAGGATCATTTAGGTAATTAGATTTGTAGGCATTTTCCGTAGCTAAAACGGCGATTTTTCAGCTTAAAAATTGTCTAAACTTTGGTTTTGTTTGCTTTGAAACTACCCAAAGCTTCATTAAAAAAATGACCAAAACCTCTAACTTTCAGCTCAAGTTCTATCTTTGTCTATTTTTCAACTTAAAAACTATCTAAAACCGCAAAAAGTTCATAAATATGTTGTTTACATTGTCTTTCACGAGTCAGTAAATGTAATAAATTTATTATCGACGATGCAACGTCCTCGTGACGCGTATCACTTCACCGCCGCCCAGGCATATCCGCCCGTGGTAGAAGACGCACATCTGAAAAAAACTTTTGAAATTGAAAACTTTTTCTCACCTGCCCCGAGGCGACAGCTCGAAGTGGGACCGAGCTGCTGACGCGTAGTCCCGGAGCGCCATCTAAAGAATTTAAGCTACATGAAATCGAAAATCGGGACCTATAGTTTCCACATTAACCGTGCACGGGACGACGGGATGCGTGCGCTGGATGCGGAAGTGAAGTGGGAGGTTGGAGGCTGAAAAAGGAAAAATAGCTCCAGACTCTATTTTTAGCCATATACTTTCCCGGATTTTACATTTATTTACTTCGCAAAGCCGAAGGGGCAGAAAAACGATACTGCAGTAACATATGATAAAGACCGGGCGTTACTGCGTTACACTCCGATCGACACTTCAATTTTTCAGGCTAAGACTTTTGCGCCCCATCTCACTAGACAACCTCAAATCGGCATTCTTCAACGATCAAATCACCCCACAATTACTCCGGCAAAACCGCGTTTTCTGCCATTTCACGGTTGCAAACTAGATACTTATTACATGGGCGACACAGTGACTTTTAAAGGACTCGGGCGGATCCTTGGTCTTTCAGTTACCTGCAGTTGCCGTCTGCACGTAACGTACACTTTTAAAAGGTACTAATTTCCTCTTTTCCCCTTTCTCGTCAAAGGTTGGAAATTTTATGCACGATATAGCAGGCATAAGTTGACAATAGAGGAGTCAACGGTATCGTTGGAAAATAGGCACATTTCCGTTTTATGCCCCAAACTCTGGGCTTTTTGGAACGTTGTCTAAGGCAATCGTAATAAGCTTTATCAATACCAATAGAGGTACCGGAGCCCCATGTTTTCCATCGGCTGTCAGAAATCTACAGTATCGACGCAACGCCAAAAATCCCAATCTTTTCCACACTTTTTGAACAATTTGCACCTGTCCCCCGCCCGCCTTTACCGGAGACACGAGGTCCGAAAAACTCGGCGGAAATTAGTTTCGCCAAGAATTGCCCTCGACAGTGCGCGAAAAGCACAGCATTTTGTCCCCGGACCCTAGGGAATGTTCTTCAATGATCTTGGAAATTTTTTTAATAACATTTGCGCTGACATTGAACTCTTCATACGAGTATTCCCAGCGGGATTTTTTGTTTCTTGTGTTTACAGTAGTTTTTGATAGATTTGGGTGCAACATAGCGTAAGTTTGGGTTCAAACTTCAAAGAGCTCAGAAAACAGTCAGAATCTGCAACCTTTCCCAAAAATCAGAAACCTCTAGCTCAAATCCCGAAAAATTTTTGGCTCGTTCTGTTATCCGGTCTTAAAAATCCCCTTTTTGTTATTTTATACCTTTCTCCTGCAAATTTCTATAGGGTTTTGGCTATCCTTTTTCCAACTTTTGACTTATATTAAAAAAAATAAGTTATAGCTTCTACCGCAAAATCTACCGCGAGGAAAACTATTTTATACGATTCTGATCCTTAAAATACAACCATGTACCCGACCGTCTTTGTGCTCTATCTCGTCTACGGCATCCCCACTTTTATCCTCTACCTCCGAGCGATTTACGTCATCTGTAAGCGGCGTCAAAAGTTCTCCAGCAGTTTCTATACCCTATTTACGAATCTACTGATGGTGGTGAGTCATCAATTATAGAAAGTGTTTATTAAACTTTTAGCGGCGCCATGTAGGCTCTAAATTACAATTAACAAGACAAAAACGACAAACAAGATGCTAGAAGAAAACAAATCCATTTTTAGGACGTTATTACCTACATCGTCAACTACCCGGGCGTCAAGATGAAGGAGATCCCGGATTTGGCACCTTTATATGTAGGAATCGAGGAGAATTTCCCGCCTTTTAGGGTGGTGAGGTAAGTACAAAAATTATCATACCGATAGATTTAATGCCAGATAAAATTAAAGAAATTAAACGAATTAATTTAAAGTCGGGGCATTATAAATCTGGCAAAATGGCCCAAAAGTGCAACTTTATAGATGGTTCATGAACGTCGTGTTCCACCAACAATTCCTATCCACAATTCTTATCCACGCCAATCGCTTCACGGCTATTTGGTTTCCGATTGGGTATCAAAAGGTAAGTGGAGGTCATTAACAAAGCGCTACTGACCTAGTGAGCTCAAATCACCAATTAAAACATTTATAGTTCTGGAGATACGCAATGTGGCCTTGTATCCTATTGGTTCATGCCTATTCACTTGTTGCGGCTTTTCCGTTTTTCCTGATGACGAATTCGTTCATATTCGAGAACGAGACGGTGATGAGGGCGGAGAATGTTACTAGGGTTTGTATATTTTGTTAATGAAGCCTAAAATCAAAGTATGCAAACTGAAAAAGTTATTCTCGTCGCCGATCGCCGATTCTTTGTAAAAACTACAAACTACAGGGCTTAAAATTACTATAAAACGATGCAGTAAGTATCTCCACGCTTAGCAGCTATTAATCGACACGCTACAAAGTAGAACGTTGTAGTTTATAGAGCTTAAAAATCACTATAAACTCCATTACAGGACTACGCGTTCGCCTTCGCCACGCTTTCTTATTCCTCTAAAATCTACATCGCCATCGGTTTTGTGCTAAACGTCTTATCGTTGGGCAGATTATGGCAGAGACATTTGAAGCTGTAAGTCGAAGCAATTCGGAATCCATTGAAAATCACGATTTAGCCACACGAAGCCCAGATCCGACGAGATCAGCCTGTTCGTCATCGGGCTGTGCTCATTCGTGGTGCAGCTGATTTGCGGGCTCGTTGTGGTGAGCTACCAAAAATCAAAACATTTTCTATCTTATAGCGAGTGAAAAATGGCTAATTCTAGGATGCTGTCGTCAGTAATGTCATCCGCCCCGATCCAAAATATGGAAATGTAGTGGTAGGTCGGCTGATCTATCATTTAAAACACTTTAACTGGGCTTAAAATTCAAAATTTTGCTCCTTCTAAGGCTCAACGAATCATCCCCATTTGGTCTTTGGCCCTCTATACCCCCTTTATTGGTCATTAGCGAAATATGGAGCGAGTTTGCCCGTCAGATTTCACCTGCCCCGAAAGCCCACGTCCTCAAAAAAAAATCGCCTGCATCTTACTGCCCTCAAAAAAACTGATTAGAATTTGACACGAGTTTCTGGGAGAAAACGGCAAATCTAAATATGGGAATCCTAAAATTAGAAGTACAGGTGAGGGCGGCGGGTGCAAAGCCTAGAATCGAATCTTGCAAAAAACACCCGGTAATTGCGTCGGTTATTTTGCAAGGCCATAAGCGGCGCAGAATGCGGTTAACGGGTCGAAGAGCAAGGATGAAAAAGCCGCTCAAAAAGGCATTTCCTGGACCGGAATAGGTTTCCGAAAATTGGCAATTTCTGATTTCCTCGGAATTTCATTAAATATTTCCGCTAAAGGGTACTTAACGAGCAAATTGCCTAATTAGAAAAAAAAAAGAAATGGCTCAAAAGGTTGCAAAAAAAAGACAAAAACAAAAATTACCTTTAGGCAGCTTTAGCAAGTTAAAAATCGGATCCCGGTATCGCCTTCATGGACCAAATTAGTTAACGCTAAAAGAGAACCTTGCAAAAAAGACAGCTAACACTTCAAAATCGCAGTCCTCACACCTTCATAAGTCCCCCAGACAAAATTGTTTTATTAATTTTTGTTTTTCTTTTTTTAATTAATTAATCTCTTATCTCTTTTAGGAGAAATTTCTAAAAAATTACGACTAGAGGAGGTTTCAAGACAAATTCCGGTAATTGCAAAGCCGCACGGCTTAAAATTAAATAGCCCCATTTTCTAGACGGGCCTCAACGGCGACTGTATGGCCTTCACCGAGCTGTACATCGGAATAGCGTGTAACGGAGCGTTGCGTCGAGCGATCCTCGGCCCGCTTGTCATCCAGTGGAAACCGGGCGGCGCAACAAATGGGGAATTGACGGTCAGTTCCGGGACCCAGCAACGAAATACGGTGGCTACGCGACATTCCGATCCGTCGAGATGAAAAAGCGGCAAAATTATCAAATTCCCGTTTTTTGAAGCCAGAATAAAACTATATGACATCTGGAGCACAAACCACAAATTTTCATTCACACGGCATCAGACACGCCATGCCTTTTCCAGCCAATTTCCGCTTTTATGACTTTTTCTCCCATTTGCGTATTGTCTATCGCTCCAAAAAAAAAATCGATTAAACTCACCGATAGGATCCCGGGAAATCCACGCGGGCAGCTTGATCAAAAACTCGTCGGCGTAGAGGAGGGGATGATGCGAGCCGCTACACTAAAAAAAATGCGCAAATTCTAGAATGTGAATCGAAAACCCACCACAACCACCGTGTTCGTCGCCGGCTGAATGTCCGCCACAAAATAGCCCAGATGATCGCCCTGAAAAGTCACCCGTGATATCAGCGGTAATTGAAGCTTACTTTTAAATGTATCCGCTTTCCCAGCGTGAAGTGGTGGACGCCCTGGTGCTCGGCCAGAAATTTGCCGTCAATCGTCACCAGCGGACCGGGCTGCGGCTCGATGTACTAAAAGAATTAAATTTTAAAAGATAAAAAGATCTAAAAGCATTTTTGTAAACTAGACAGCGGCATAAGAATAGTGCAAAAAAAAACTCACCTGATCCATAAACTCTTCAAAATTCTTCCGCTTGCCGACGAAACAGATGCCCATACTCTAAAAAATCTAGAGTTTTCAAAGTTTATTTCTGCAAGTTTCCCTCCTTTTTCTCGGCCACCTCGTTCAGCCCCTCTCTTCTCGCAATTTCGTAAACCTGAAAATTATCAAAATTCAGCTTCTGATTCCAGACTTACCTCATTTTTCGTGATATTTCGCAGCGGGAATAACGATCGTCGTAGTTGGGCTTGGTCAAGAGTACACAGAAAGAACGTCTGGTCCTTCAGCGGATCCTTGGCTTGGAGTAGATCGACTAAATAATGGGAATTAGACAAATTTCCGTTAAGATAAACCTTTTTGGTCTTCAGGAATCTCCGCAAGGTCGCCCAGCTCTTCCCTTGAAGTACTGGCGTAGTGGCCGGTGGCGATGTAGTCGGCGTTGAGGGTCTGAAACGACGGCTTCAGCGAGTTCGCTGGCTTCTCATAAAAAAAAGTTTAATTCCAATAGGAGTTTGGAAATCCCTGGCTTGTTTAGCAGTTTTAAAGAAAAGTACTACCTCTCTGCAAAACTTGTGAAAATGATCGAATTTGATGTGCCGATTGCAGGCGATATCCGGGACGACCGTGCGGCCGAGGCGATAGTTGTCGACCATTTGGCTAAAAATGGAAATTTAAAACGAAGCAATCTCTAGTTACCTAAACACTTGATTCCAGTACTGCTGCACGAAATTGACGGAATGGAAGGGGATATCGAGGTGCTGGCAGGCTCTTTTGGCTACCGCCTCGTCGTGGCTTCGATCGCAGTGGGAGGTGCCCTCTTCGCGTGGGTCCCAGTTGATCTAGAAACGAAAAAAGGATTAGAATTGGTGACAGCTGCTTCAAGGAGTTGAGCATCAGTCGAATCACTTTTACGCTCTTTTGCCAATATCTTTGACGTCAAGATTAAGCAGGACCGAGACACAAATAAAGCGGAAATTCTCTTTTTCATGGCGATAACCGCGGCTTCTCACCGGAACCAAGCAAAAGCAAACGCCCTGCCTTACCATATTCACGGCAACAACGTCATATCCCTTCTTTTTCAACAGATACGCCGAAACGGCCGAGTCGATCCCGCCCGAGATCCCGAGTCCTACTCGGGGAACGCGCATCCAATCGCTAAAAAAAGTTGACTCCAATCTTTTCATCAATCTTCCAAAATACCATAAAGTGGAATAAAGGCAGTACTATCGTAAAGTGCACAAAAAATCTCACAAAACATTTATTGTGCGATACCCGTACATAAATTAGCAAACTACTTCTACTCCTAAAAACTCCTAGATTTTGAAAACAACACTCGTACATTGGGGGCGGTTCTCACAGAACGAAAATAGCACAAAAGCAAGGGACTAGGGCTTCTTCGGTTCGGTGGATTTCTCGGTGGGCTCGGCGTCTTCCGGGGTGGTTTTTTGGCGTTGTGCCTTGACGGCGTCGACGAACTCCTGCTCCATCTGCACGACGTCGCCCAGTCGCTTTTCTAGCCGCTCCTTTTGCTCGGAGCGCAGCTCGGCGACGGCCTGCAGGAATTCCTCACGCTCCTTGTCGGTCAACTAAAAATCAGCGTCAAAACGGTGGCGTCAAACTAAAATTACCCTTTGATATTGGTCCACAGATCGCGGGTCTTGCTGCATCGCTTTTTGTATGCCATCTTTGACGTAAGCCGTTGCCGACTCGGGGATCTTAATATCCTCCTTGTTCGGCCAACCTTGAATCCGCTCTTGCAACTGCACCAAGTGCTGCTTTTGGACGACCTAAAAAATTGAACCTTCTTGCAAAAACCCCTATACCAACCCGTTGCTTGTCCTTTCGCTCAAATGGCCGGAAATATTCAAACATTTTGTCGACCTCCCCCATCGAGATTCGCTCGTGCGCCGGGCAGGTTTCCAGGAATTCCTATAAACTTTTTTTAGAGCAATTTCTCTAGCTTTACCTTGGCTTGCTCGCGGCGCTTCGCGCTGGCCGGCGTCGAGCCGTCGTCCGCGAGTTCTTGCCGAGCACGAAGGACCTAAAAAATTTATTTAGCTCTCACAAATAACGGATTTACCTCTAGCGCTTCCCGAAACGTCAACTTCCCCTTCGGGATTTTCTCGTGCGGCGGCTCGTAGAACCCAAATTCCCAGGCCGGATCGTTGCGATGCGCGAATTCAGTTTCCCGAGTTGGTAGGTCCCTAAAATACAGAAAAATTATGGGAAACCAGCGCTGACCCCCCCCCACAAAAAATTTGCAATTTGCAATTTGAATGCAGAATTTGGCTGAATTCCTGGACGGGCGGACGTACGGACATTAGAAATTTATATATAGTAGATTTCCTCCTACTTATTCGTTTTCGTCCATCTCTCCGGGGGTTCGGTGCTTGTGATCTTGATCTTATTCACGTTATCCACGAGCCCTTCATATTTCATCCCGACAGCTTTCTTGAGCTCGGGATCGTTGCGCGTTCGCTCGCGATGTTCCTTCTCGGTTGGGTAATGTGGGGCTGCACTTATCGCTTCGGCCTAAAATAATGAAGTTTCCAGGCTAGATACTTTAGGCTCTTTTACACCTAAAAAATACCTTCTCCATCTTCTCCACTTGTTTCACAGCTTTCTTTTGAAAAAACGCCGATTTTGTCTCCTTCCCGAAGGCGTTCCATAGCCTTTTCATACCTAATTTCATTAATTTCACCGTACTTTCTTTCTTTTCTGATAAGTCAACTGTCAGAATACAGTGTGCAACATTGCAACAGCATTGAAATAATACCTTTACTGACAGTACGGCAAAAGCGGCTAGTTATGAATGGGAGGCGGAAATGTGGCTGGGGCACACAAACTTACAATAGAAATACGAATAAAAGAATTCCGTGTAAAGATGGGCTATAAATTCGGAATGTAGGAGAGGAATGAAAGACGGAATAACATTTTGTATAACCCGCGTGGCTGGCAAGAAAGAATCCGTTGCTGAGCAGTTAGAGGGCTGGCGAGTTATGAGAGCGCATTTGAGGATTGGTATATCAGAATCGGCCGGTTGTAATAGGGGATTGACGAGTTATGGGAATGCAGTCGAGATCGGTATATAGGAATCGGTATTCACATAATAGCAAATTCGTGCATCTTCAATATGTTAGCAGTCGGGTGAGCGCGAGCGGATGGGCGATAGGTCGAATGTCAATGGTAGTTGTGATGTTTCCCCGTCCAGGTCGGCTTTTATCTAGAAAAAAAGGTATAGGTAGATTTCCAACTGCTCACGTCAAAGAAATCCCGCGGGGGCTCGCCTTCGGGATTGAGCAGCGGTGACGTGGAGGTAGAGTGCAGATCCTATAACGAAAATTGAGAAATCTACAAAAAATAAAACCTGCGATAAATCGTTAACGTCGTTAGTGAAGGAGTCGTCTTCAAAAAGCCGCCTTCGTAATGAACCGACGGATGAGTTGAGCTAAAAATACAGATCATACCTAAAAAATTCCAAAAACATACCTCAAATTCTTCTCCGGCCTCCACTTCGGCTTCCGCATACACTGATGACGGGCCCAGGATGCTCTCAAAGTCGAAGTCAACGTGCACGCCAATTGTAAGGGCGGTTTGCGTGGCACAGTGTCGTTTCTTGGGTGGCGCGAACATCCGGAAGCTGGAGACTTTTCTCTGCAAAAAAAAAACATTTTTAAGACCGAGAAATTACAAGTTTTAATTGCCCGAAATTCACCTTCAAAACGGATCTCCTGGGCGGCGAGTCGGAGTCTTGTTGGGCGCGGCTCATGCTGCCAGCGGCCGCCGCAAAAGTGGCCGCCCGGACGCGTGCGATGTCGGAGAGCGGGGTTTCAGAGTGCATTGGCTAAATCGGAAAAATCGAGACAAGAAGGCGTCCTTACTATTGGGTAAGTCCCCTCGGGCGATGGAATGTAGTGGAGCCCGCGTTTCCAGTACAAGTCCTTCTCTTCTTGCTCACGCCGTAGACGCTCTGGGTTTCTAAAAAACGCATTTCTAATTTTAAAATTCAAGCCCACGGTGACTCGGTCGACTTGATGATGTCTTCTTCGGTGATGTTGGCCGGGTTGAGTCGCGAGCTTTGGTCGAGGTCCCAGAAGCTGGCCTAAAAAATACCTGAGGTTAATAAAATGGTCTGAAATTACTAGGCGGGGTGTGCTTGGCGTCGGCGGCGTGTTCTCGATGTTGAAGATGGAGGGGCTCATCGTGGTGTAGAGGAAGCGCGAGAGGTGGTTGTCGAACGGGCACTCGTACTTCCCTCTGCGCTTCTGATTTGGCGTCGACGTGCACGGGGAACTTTCTTCCGGAATCGAGTATTCCGGTTGAAAGCCGTCCGAGGTCTAAAAATTGGATTTTGAAGGAATTATGAATTTCAAGTTACAAATAAACATAAAAAACTTACCACGAACGACTCATCCTCTTCGATCTTTGACGAACTCCGGCTTAGATAAGCCATTGGAGTCCGCGGTCGCAGGATCGGCGAGAGGTTGAGTTCTAGACATAATTTTGGTATCAAAAAAGCTGAAATTACTTTTCCTCTCATCCTCCAGCCGATTCGAGTTGTCGAGCAGGGCGGTGCTGTTGAGGTTTGCCGCCCCGTCTCGGCGCGCCTAAAAAGTAATTATTAAAAACTTCTTTAATTCTTTACCTTTTCCAGTCCGCTCAGCTCGCCGTTCTCGCTGAGCCAGCTTTCTTCCATTTTTGCGGTTGTTGTGCTGAAAAAGAGAATGAAAAACAAGAGAAGCCGTGAAATTTTTAATAGAAAAAACAAAAGGCTCACGAAATAAACGTACACCGAAATTATGATCCCTACTTTTTTTAATAGCCCAGACAAATCCCAAAATCAAAAAAAGCACCCCAAATCCGTCAAAAAAATATCCGACATTCATTTATCAACGTTTTTCATTCACCATGCTTATCATTCCCCCTGAATGGTCCCAGACATGAGCGGCGAGGGATAGCTTCGGATCACCGAGGGGACTCACAGTGGCCCTTTGACCTCTAGCAGTCGGATCTCTCCTCTCCCCTCGCTTCCTATAGCGAACCGTTATGCCATCAATCCACTGCCTCGATCCCGACCACCACGTTTCGCGGGTTCCCCCGCCTCAGCCACTTCAATTTTGTTTGATCGCCTGCCCACCGGCGCTCAAATCGCTCAAACAACGGCTCTTCTCATTCTAAACTTCGATTCGTGAAGTGCTTTTCTAGGCCTGATTTTATCTATCTTTTTAGAAACACCCAAAAATAAATCTAAACCGAGAATGATATTCCTATAGCGCTCCAACCCAGATTTTCAGTGTAGCATCCAAAAACCTACCTCTGGACGTTTGCCTAACAAGGGAAGGGCACACGCACAGGTTGGAATTTCGTCAAACGCTCGCGGCTACCCCGGGGTAATCGACTACGGAGAACACGATGCTGTCGTCCGATTTTCCTGCCGAGGCTTGTGGACAGAGATACAGCACTTCCGGAAAATCATGATTTGCATGCGAAAAATTAGAATCCGGGGAAGCTTTATTAGGCTCGCTCATCTGTATGGAATCACCAGTCGAGTGGCCGATTGGTAAGCAACTCGCTTGGTAGGATACTGACGAGGGTACGGATCCTCTCACGATTTTTTCGTTTTGCTTTTTGACAAAATTTTTTGCACAAGTCCAGAACCGTTCCTAAATGTGTAAAAAGACGCCTTTGTGGCCCTGTAATACGTCTAACAAGCAAAGAAAAACTTTTTCGAAAATTCTATTTTCCGACCCTCCACCCATCATCGACTGCCAAACGATCAAAAATTCTGCGGGAAAATTTTTGCAGAAGCCAAGCGTCACGCTCTCGTTTGGTTTTGTAGCACCTTATCCTGTTGCACGGCCCTGGCAAGTTGGTTAGACAGGGCTTTTATAAAAATTTTCCAGATTTTTTGAATTTGATAAGCCGGTGGGTGAGGTACCCAAAAGATCGCAAAAATAAAATTTTCGAAAAAGTTTTTCTTTGATTGCTATACGTGTTACAGGGCCACAAAGGCGTCTTTTTACATATTTAGGAACGGTTCTGGACTTGTGCAAAAAATTTTGTCAAAAAGCAAAACGAAAAAAATCATGAGAGGATCCGTACCCTCGTCAGTATCCTACCAAGCGAGTTGCTTACCAATCGGCCACTCGACTGGTGATTCCCTACAGATGAGCGAGCCTAATAAAGCTTCCCCGGATTCTAATTTTTCGCATGCAAATCATGATTTTCCGGAAGTGCTGTATCTCTGTCCACAAGCCTCGGCAGGAAAATCGGACGACAGCATCGTGTTCTCCGTAGTCGATTACCCCGGGGTAGCCGCGAGCGTTTTACGAAATTCCAACCTGTGCATGTGCCCTTCCCTTGTAAGTCCAATCTCACTACTATCAAAGATCTGAAAAGTTCGTTTCAAAAAAGTACGGCTTACGATTCTCTCTTCCTAGCCACCCAGGCCCTGGGCCACCCACTAAACAAACCCTTATCGCGAGTTCGCGGTGGACGTTAATCGCGCCAGCGTCTTTTTATCCCTACTATAAAACGTGAAAAAGCCCCGTAGATAATTTGGGCAAAAAGCCTGTCTGGGAACATCCATTCTTTCTGCTTGCAAACTCGTTTCCGGCTAGCAGAATTGAAGAAATTTCTTCCGTCATTCTAGAAATCCCTTTTTAGAAATGGTCTCCGACGACGAGCTTCTAGCTAAAGCCATCGCCCAGCTCCCGCTAGCCTATATCCCCTACAGCAAATTTCCAGTGGGCGCCGCGCTGCTTTGTGAGGATGGGACAATTATTACGGGAGGTTGGTGAACTCGAGGAATCGTCTAGAATATCCTTAAAATCAGTGAATGTTGAAAATGCATCGTACGGAGGTACGATTTGTGCCGAGCGAAGTGCCTACGTTTCGGCGATATCCCAGGGAAAGCGGAAATTTAAGGTAATAAGCGTCAGAAACCATGAAAAAGTTTCAGGCTATCGCGGTTGCCACTGAATTGGTCCCGTTCGGCGCGCCGTGCGGGCTTTGCCGCCAATTTATGGTCGAGTTTGGGAATGTCAAGGTGAGCAACTAGCGCAAGAATCGCATCAGGCAAAGGGGAAGCTAGCAGGGATCTCTGGATATCTGACTGACGCGCTCTTATGTATCAGTAGCCCTTCCCTTGTAGGTGATCCTCGGCAACAGCAAGACTAACGACAAGCTGATCACGTCGATCAGCGAGTTGTTACCGCATTCATTTGGCCCGGAAAGTCTCGACCAACACGCCTCCCAATAATCAAAGGCCGTCTCCAACAACCATGTGATGTTCAATGTCCGCACGCCGTATCGAAATGAACTTTTATTCGTATAAATTTTTTGTCTAAAACGCAACAAACGGAGAGTGAACAAGTACCCAAAGCTAAATGACATAACGGCGGGCTAACAAAGGTGGCAAAATCAACGGGGTGTGGGGGAAGAGGAGCAGAGCAGGACACGGGGAGAATGACAGAAGGCGACTGAGGTGATTTGGCGGGGATGAGAGGCGAGTCTGCAAAAAGAAAAGGATCAATATGTTTGCAACAAATTATCAGAATTTCAATGGGCAAATTATGAATTTCAGCAATTTACCTATGACAGAATTTTTTGCAAAGTCGCCTTCTCGGCATCGTCGAGTCCTGCCTGTTGCACACACGTTTGCACGATGCTGTGGTCGGCGGAGACAACTCGCAGGATCTACAAAATTTGTTGAAAAATTAAATGGAAGCGCACCTGCACCAAACGTCCCTTGACCATCTCAGCTTCTTCCTTGCCCTCCTCGAAAGCCTCGTTGTGTATGGCCTGGACTATAATTCGCATGATGAGTGGCAGACGGAAATTTTCCGTGCCAAGAGCCTAAAGAAAATTTGCTGAAAATAAAGAAGACAAACATCAGGGTTATTCGTCTCAATCAAATCGGCCAGCAGCCCGTAGATGTGGACAGACTCCTCGGCGTCGTGGTAGGTGGGCAGCCACGAGATGAACAGCGGGATGGCTTGTGCCGGGTTGATCTGGCCACTGCAGTGCTTCAGGATCTTCGCGACGGCGGAGATGCCGTTCTCGGTGGCGATGGTGCCTGGAAAAACGGATTAAAATACATTATATATTTCAATATTGGCAAGATAGTAATAAATTACCTTCGTTCGTAGCTCGTGAATCTGGAGCGCCAATCATCTCGGCGAGGTGAGGCAGGGCTTGCACGCAGACATCAGTAAAGATGCCCCCTTGAAGAGCCATCACGCCGAAGCCGTAAGCGGCGGCCTGCTTGACTTCTGGGTAGGGGTCTTTCAGTCCGGCGACAAGGCGAGACACGAAAGCACCTTGGGCACGATGAGCCTCCTAAAAATTAATTTTGAGGATAAATTTTCAGAGTTTTACCTGGGGAGCAAACTCGATCAGGTCGTCGACGATGCAGACGCCCCACTGTCGGTCGGTGTAGTCGCGAGCCGGGTCAATCATCTTTACGATGCCGTCGAGCAGTGGCTCGATGTAGGGGTAGAACTGAGGACCGATGTTCTAAAAAAGAATGGTAAATAAGAAGTTGTAAAAATACCTTGAAGCAAGCGTGGAAGATGTCAGCAATGCTTGACAACACAGCGGCGTCGCTTTCGGCCTCCTCGTCAGCATTGTCGTGGGCCTCTTCGGGATCAGCATCCTCGTCAACCTCAAATCAGAAAATATTTTTGCCCTACTTGGTATGGAAAGCGCAAAATGAGGAATCTGAGCAAAAAAAAAATGTCAAGAGCAAGCTGAAACACACCTCCTTAGCCTCACGTTCACCTCGGCGCGTCTCGAAGCCCTCAAGTTGTTCCTTCAGCACTTCGGCGATCATTTGGAATCCTGCCGGGCCGATGGCTCCTCCCAGCACGTCCACGCTTTGAGCAATAGCGGCCAGTTGGTCAGTCAAGACGTCGAGCTCGGGCTCGGCCTTGATGGCCTCCAGCAGAGCCGGGATGTAAACCTAATCGAAATAGTTATGAAAGAACGAAAATAATCCCTTTACCTGCCAGAGTCGGAGCATGACCTCGACGCCTTGATCTTTGCAGCACTCGAGGAGACCGGGCAGAACCTCGGCGGACGACGAGCGCACACCCTCGTGGAAGAGGAACTTCAGGTTCTTCAGCACTTGCGTCAGTACCTGTTCGACGTACGGGGCGAACAGTTCTAAAGCAAATACTTTTATCACGGAGCAAAATATTACCCTTGAGCTCGCGAGCGTAGCATACAAGCATCTCGCAGGCGGTCACCTTCTCCTCAAGGCCGGCGGTGCGGATGCCGAAGTGCTTGTTGTCGCCCATCGGCTGGTAGGTCCAAGCCGGATCGCTCTGGTCGACTTCCTCCTCTTCAACCATCGTCAAGTCGGGGCTGTACTCGACGGAGCGCATGATGGCCGGCATGACGATGGGCAAGTAGGGGGCGAAGAGAGGGCCGAGAACCTAAAAAGCGGAAAGTTATTCAAAGCAAAAAAATCTATTTTTCGAAAGCGAAATTTTTTTTATTTTGGTATAGAAAATTGCTACATTTGTACCTTGCAGATACGGGTCCAGCTGCTGATCATGTAGCTGGTCTGCGGATCGTCGGGGGCAAGGTTCGGGATGGTGCTGGCGAGCATGTCCATGATTTGTCGGCCATCGTCAGCAAATGTTTCCCGGCCAACAGCGAGCCCGATCAGCGACACGCATTCGATGGTCTTGCCGCGGAGGAGCTAAAATTGCACTAATAAAACCACGAAACAAGGCGAAAAAGCTAAGAATAGCCGTAAAATCAAACTACCTTGTACTCATCGGCTTCCGAATTCTGCAGGATGTACTTGAGGGGCCCGATCATGCGCGAGTAGTATTGCACGAAGAGATCTTGGGCGCAATCGGCAACCGAGGCGACGGTGGTGATCACCTGCTCGAGCACGAGCTTCTTGTTCTTCTCGACCAGCTGCTTGAACGTGGCCTCCAGGACTTGCTCCAGGCTTTCCATGATCTAAAAATGAATTGTTTGCAAAAATAACAGCATTTCCTCACCTTAGGTAGATAGGGCTGGATGATGTTCTTCGGGCAGTCCTCGGTGAAGTTGACGAGGGCGGCGCCGGCGTGGGCGGCAACACGTGGGCAGTCCAGTCTGACGAGACAGCTCAGCAGAGCAGACACGACCTAAAAATGTCATTTCGGACGAGAGCAACGAATGACTGTTTAAGCTATTTATCAGCGAGAAATAATTTATTTGCCTGGAAAACAACAAAAGTAATACCTTCTCGTGGCAGTGCTTCTGGAGATGCGGCGCAAAATCCGTTGACATTTGTCCCAGAGCGTTACAGACGGCGTATTGGACACGAGGGTGCTAAATTCAAATTAAAAGAAACCGTAAAACTGATTTACCGGGTCATTCAGATACGGGATCAGCTTCTCGACGATCGGCTGGATCTTGGGCTCCATCGAACGCTGGCATCCCTCGCCGATGGTGGACAGGACAAATACGGCCGCGTGGCGCTTCTTCCAGTCGGCTAAAAAAAAACACTTTAGAAATAGGTATTCTTGTATACGATCGACAAGCAGGCTGTTGACGGCGGCAAGCGACGGCTCGAGCACAGCCTTTCCTCCGAGAGCGCAAGCGATTCGGTCCAACGAAGTCTCGCCGATGGCGGCAGTTCTAAAAAGGATAATAATTAGTATTTCAAAAATATGTAGCTTACTCCTCTTCGGTCTCGTCTTCCGCGTCATCAACGGCCAGCCAGTCTTCGAGCTCATCGTTCAAATCAGTCATCATGAAGATGCAAGCTTGGACTAAAAGCAATAAACTATAAAAATGATCGAAGAATGATTACCAATCGGGCTAATATGAGCCTGTGCGCGCTTCTTGACCATGTTGGGGGCCGCCTCGCAGAGCGATGCCAAGATTTCGAGGGCAGAATGACGGAAGATCTCGTTGGTCTCGGCGTTGTTGACCGTCTGGAAAATCATAGGTCAACAGAATAACATTATGCGGTCACCTGAAGCGAGAAAGTGATGATGTCGTTGATGTGTGGGCCAAGAGGCTTCGGAATGGTGGTGACCAGATCGGCAACGGATTGGAGCGGCACATCATCCTCATCTTCGGTGGCCACGATGTGTTGGCAGATCTAAAAATCAAGATTATAAAATAACGACTTCTCGAATTCCGCTAAAAAGCTATAAAAATAAATAATCACCTTGAGGACCTGTCCGATGAAAGGAACGAGCCCCTTGATGACCTTGTCATTCTCCTCGTTGTCGCAGAGGAAGGCGCTGTAGGCCTTGACGGCCGACGAGCGCACAAAGCCGGCTTCGTGATTGAGGCCAGCGTTGAAAATGCTCTTCACGCCGGGCACGTACTTGTCCAAATCAGAGCCGAAGACGTTGGGCACATTCCTAAACAAAAGGTTTCCATAAACTCGATAAAACTTACTCGAGAATGGCCATTGCTACCACCTTCAAATTGGGGTTGTCGGACGAGCTGCACAGCTCAATGAATTGGATGATTTTGGGGCATTTCTGCGCGCCAGTTTCGTCATCTGAAACTTATAGTTTTGGACAAAATTGGCTAAAAATACCAATGAGATTCATGCCAAATTGAGCAATGATGTCGGCCAGCTTCTTCATCAGCGGCAAGCTGGTTTCTTCTGTGGTGGCGTGGAAAATTCCGTCCAGGTACTGGTCGCGCTGCGCCTCGTTGAGCTTCTCCCAGGCCGCCTCGAAATCGTAGTCCCACAATCGTCGGGTGAGCACGAGTGCCATAGAGCGAATCTAAAAGATAATGCATTGAAGTCAAGGAATGGAAATTTCCCTCGTCGCCGACCGTCTTTTCTTGGTACAGCCGGAAGAGCATGGTGATTTTCGTGATATGATCGATCTGTTCATATTGCTCTTCAGCTGCTTTTCTTTTCTAAAGAAGCTGTCCTGAAAAATGCTCAAAAACCTACGGCATTATCGCAATCGAGCATTTGTGCCACAAGGGCCCCAAATTGTTGAAGTTCCGCCATCCCAAACGAGAAAGTAGAAAGGCCTAAAGCACGAATTGTAGAAAACAGCAGAAATGAGTCAGAGAGAACACGGTTGACGAAATCGGGAAACAATCTCGAAAGTTGCAGATGTATTGAAATCGAAGTTCAAAAGGACATTGGCTGCTGGGGAACCGGCTGGCCTAAAAATTTCGCCAGGTTTCGAGAGCGTGATGAGTCGAGAGAGGAAAAAAATTGCCGAGGCCCGAAGAGGGGAATGGGCAGAGATGGGACAGTAGGGCCGCGGCACGCTTTAGCGGGAAAATGGGGAAGCGCGGGAAAAGAACCCGGTTGAAAAGGAAAATGAGTGCAGTAAGTAGCAAAAGAAAAGTGAAAACAGAATAGAGAAAGGCGATAAAATCACTAGAAAGCTCAAGAATAGATTTTGCGTACAAATCCTGGAAAAGCATGGGTTTGATAGGAACGAATTGATGATTTAAGCTGTAGACATGAGCGGGAATCAGTTCAAGAGCGAAAAACCATGAAACACTTCAAAAAAAGTGCTTTTTTCACTTCCGCTTGCAAAAACCACGAATTTGCTAAAAAAGAGAAAAACCGCGAGGCGCGAAAATTCCGAGCCTGCCAAAAATCGTTTCATGACTGTACACTTTACGGATTTTGTCCACTGGATAAAAAGTACCCGCCGTTTCCGAAATTTTTTTTGGTTTTCAACAAAAAAAAATTAGCTTTTTAAAAAGTTAGTTTTAGAAAAATTGTTTTCTGTTTTGTTTTCGTGTTTGGTTTTTCCGCACAGCTAGCTGTCGACGATACCCGTTCGGACTTGTTCCCAGCCTCGAGCTCTCCCCAATTTTGCAGCCCCCGACCAGCCTCTGAACCTTGAACGACTCCTCGGCATTTATTTTTATCCTCTCTGAGATTTTTACGTTTTGCATTTGAGAAAGGTCGTACCACCTGAAACCTTGATTTAGAATAATACTCGTAACCGCTCTACCTTGATGTTTTCGCAATCGCAGGTCCTGCGATTGACACAACTCGACACACAAGGTAAGACTTCGGCCAGAAACCTCTATACTTTTTTTGTTTAGTTGGCGGTAAAGCAGCGCCCGGCGCCAAAACCAACGTCGCCGCTTTCATCGATGAGGTTATCACGCGTGCAAACAAGGTTTTAGCTTGATCCACCTTCTTGTAAACACTTATAGTTGGAAGATGGCGATGCGGCTGCGAAAAAGAAGATCGTTGAAGCCATGAAGAAGATGGCTGAGATACCAAGCCGCTTGGTATGGTCATTAATTCTCCATCTATCCTCTCTAGGTCAAAGTTTTTGCCTACATGCGCGAGGAGCAGATGAAGATTGACCGGGGCCTGAAGTTGAGCAAATTTACAGAATCATGGAATGTAAGGGTCTTTTCACCACGAAAAAAAATTGTTTTGCTTGAGGTGATCGCCGGCTTGCTCGATGCCGATTCCAGGGCTACACTGCAACAACAGATTTTCCATGGTATTTGGATCAAAATGTGATATCTGATTTTTAGAGCTACTCGAGATCCTGGAGCACAATGCACTCTCATTCCCATACTTCATAGCTCTTTCAAATGCAATTCTGACGGAGGTTGGAACCAATTTCTGTAAACAAAATAAGGTTGTTTAGGTCAAAACGATGAGCGCCAAGCCGTTGAGTTCTGTCTTCGAGTCTATAGACAAGCGAATGCTCCTCGACCGTGAAGTGAACAAACGCTGGAAAGAAGTTTTCACCGCGCTGATTGTCGAGGTCTACAAAAGTCAGCTGCAGCTCACATTGGATGGCACGACACTGGCCGGTTCGTGAAAAAAATCGGCTAGTAGTTCTTCTTTCTAGCTCCCCTCTACGTCCGTGAGAAGCTGACCAAATGGATGCAGCTAGCGAAACATTGGTCGCTTTTTGACGCTGCCCTCGCCGCATGCAGGTAATAGTCGTTTTTCTATTATCTAAAGAATTGATACGTTTTCTAGAGAAACTGGCCAATCACAAATCATCAACGAATGCCAGCAAAGGTTCCAAGCGGCACTCCGAAAAGCCGCAGCTGACTCCCGCCCACCATCCACCGTTCCTGCCGATGAGACCACCGCCGAGCGAGCTGCACCAGTTGTGGATCGGGCTGTTGTTGTTGCGGCTTCGTGGCGAATTCTGATGATGACAAAGAGCAGTCAGGATGATAATAAACGGTATATGGAAATCGAAAAGTTTGGAAACAGTTTTTAGGACAATGGCCATGCTGGCCCAAATCGTGCGTGCCTGGCGTTTCGATGAGGTGCTCAGCGACGAGGTGTTCGAGCTGGTCTCCATCTTTGCCTCCATTGCCGAAGAGCAGCAATATCTGGGAAAAGCGATGCTCGGGCTATTGAAGGTGATTGGGAAAAATTAGGTGCAAATTCTTTTTAGACGGATTGCGCCTCGACTTTGCGGAGCGAGTTCGGCTTCCTCGCCGCCGTTCAGCTGTGCGGAATCGAAAGGTTTTTCAGAAAATTTCCATAGATTCGATTTTTAGATTGCAAAAACAAGCCACCCAGGAGATGAAGCGCATCTTCTCTCGCATTTTCAAGTTTGACGAGGCGACATTTGATGTAGTTTTTGTTGGTCGGCAACGATTTGTATCTTAGATGGGCTGGCTTCTCGTGGCGTGTGGAGGCACGATTGCCGGTGATCTGAAAGATTTGGTGGGTTACCTAAAACTGGTGTGAAAAATTATTTAAGATGAAATGTCTATCCAATCGAATGGCCGACAAGCGGATTTGCCAAATGCTCGTGCGTGGTGCTGTTAATCTGGCCTATACCTTGTTTGAATGCCAGCCGAGTCACCGGGTAAAGCACATTCTAGTCTAAAGAGAAATTGCTTTTTAGGTGCTGATCTGCGAGGGACATGCCACTTCCGTTCCGGAGATCTGGGCCTCGGCCACGGAGCTTTTGAGGGGTACGAAGTTATCCGAAGTCCGCGCTCAATAAACTCTTTTAGAGACCATAATCCGTTCCGGGGACAATTTGTCTTCGTTGATCCTGCCCCTCGTTTCAACCATCGCCACCTACTCGAACTCCTCCAACTCCAGCGCCGCGGTCGTTTTGATCGGTTCGCGAATTGACAAGTCTCAAATTTTTTATTCGTCTTTTCAGACGTCCTCGTCAAGGTCGTTGAATCCTGCACAGTCGAGGTGCTGAACAACTTTCAACAGTTGGAAGGCGTTTTCGATTGGGTATACCTGCATCGTAATTTCCAGAAATTTATTTTAGGTCTGCCGAATGAGGCGTGACATGGCTGTTTCTCTCGTCCGTTGCCTACTTCCGGTCATCAACCAGCGTGTGCAGTTGAGGAATGCCTTGTTCAATTCACTGAAGGTTCGACATCATCTATTGGTGAAATACATCAAATCTTTCAGCGAGAGCTGCTGAACTCGGCTTCAGTCGCGTCGGCCGTTCCTCTCCTCTTGCTGCTGTTGCGCTCGATCAGCAGTAGACGAGCCACATCTCTTTCACAGAACGAAATGTCGCAGTCGTTTGCAACTTTTAGCACTCAGGTAAAGCTTCCTAATTAGCTAAATCCGGTGCTTTTCAGGTCCTTGGTAAAATGGGCCTCACGCGCTCTATCGACGAAAATCTGGGCCTCGAAATTGTTGGTACGTTTTTTACGCTGGATTCGTTCTATGGAAAGCTCAGGTTCCTTGAAGCGCTGCTTGGCCCAACCCGCAAAAACACGAGCCGCTCTCTACCGAGGAATGAGCGAAGTTGTCGCCCGGAACGGAATTATCATCGGCCCTTGCTTGGAGCTGCTCATCTCGCACGCCAGAACACTGCCGGAATGGGTACGTTGTTCATTTTGACCGCTTGACGCTTTTTTAGAACCCGGCGGACATGATCGTCAGCTCGAAGACGGTCACCGAGGCCAAGGATGCGCTTCCGCAGTTGATTCAGGTTATTTTTCGAGAGTTAGAAAACACTGTAATTTTTAGGCAATCGAGCACTTGGCCTGCTCCATGATGGTTTCGATAGAGACGGGAGCCTCGCAAGCTGAAGCTGGTGGCGAGATCCTCGTGGAGAAGGCCGAAGCTTTCCTCCTCGGCTGCTTGGATAAAGCTGTTGAGAGAGATGTCCATGATTTGAGTGAGTTGATCCTAATTTCCGTGATCTCGTGAATTCCAGATGTCGACAAGCTCTCCGAATGGAACGTCGCCACCACCGAGGGCCGCGCGAATTTCCTCTTTGCCAAGCTGATGATGGGCGTCTACGATACGATGATTGAATACGCGTGGCGACGTCTGAAAACGAACCCCGAGTAGATTTTCCGGAAGCTATTGAAACCTTTTTTATAGGGATGATGACGTTGACCGGCTGATTGGGGTGGTGAAGCGAAGGAATGAGCTATCTGACGTAGCTTACGCCCTAAAAACCTAAGACTGTAATTTAGGTGCTCGCCGAAAGGCTGGTTCGTCGGAAGGAAGAGAAAACTGGTGCAGCCACACAAGGCGCAACATCCGCTGACAAGGTCATCCCGATCGACTATGCCCAAGTGGACACCGATGTGTCGGGACGAACGCTGTCGCAGATTCTGGAGCGCGTGATCACGATGTAAGGAGATTTGGAACATATAAAGGGAAACTGAAGAAAAATGATTTTTGCTCCACGGCGCTTTTTGCAAAATTTAAAATTTCTGAAAATCTTTTGAAAGTTTTTTGGAAACCTTGAGTCAATAAACTTCACTTGATTGAGGAAATTCTCTCGCTTACGCGGTTTTCAGGGACGACGACAAATCCGACAAACTTTGGGCCGTCCGGATGGACCTGCTCACCTGGGCCATCTCCTCCTCCCACAAGTGGAGCCAAAAGCTTGGCGCTGGCGCGAATACCCTCCACACGGCGACGCTGCGCTTCAGCCACATAGCCAGCATCGCAAAGTATCGTTTGCTTCTATATAAAATATCGGTTTTAGGCATTTGTTCATATTCTACACGGGTGGCGACGATAAAAATTCTCCGAAAGAATGGCTTCGAGAGATCCCCATTTATTCGCCGATGCGCACCGAGGCTATTGAGGTATTTTTTTAATGTAAAATAGGTTTTTTTTAATCTAGACGTACTCGAACATCATTCGCTACTCACTACTCAAGTACCGCGACAAGATTACCGAGAATGTGGTCCCGATCTGTGGGTCTCAATTTAACGGAAAAAAAACTTCATATACAGGGGGTGATGACCGCAACCAGAGCGGCGAGGCCGGCGCGTTGTGCCGTCATGGAAATTACCTGCTCAGATATTCATATGTGGCTTTGGTACGTGATGAATTAATTGTCTATTTTAATTGTACAGAATTAGTATTATTGCCGTTGAATAACTTGATGATCCCATTTAGATGGCCTCTGACGAAAAGCCGGACGAGGCGATGGTCGAGGCGAACGGACGGAAGAAGGGTCTCCCAGAGATCGAGAAGCAAGCCAAGACCTTGACGGCCGTCGGTTTTAACTTCCAGTTTTTCGTAGCATCTTTGAAGCTTTTTTTACTACTCTTAAAGGGTAGAAGCTCTACAAATTGTTACTAAAAAACATTAAAAATATAGTTTTTTCGACGTTAAAATTTTTAATCTTTTGAATAGTTTGGTAAGAACACCGGTGAAATACTTCCTGTCATTACACTACGCATGCTAGCTTCAGACAAAAAAATTGTCACGGATTTATCATTTATCACGAAAAAAAAACTGATATTAAACTTACTATTTACAGCTCTGCTCGAACCTCCTCGACACGGCCAACCACTTCTCCAAGAAATCTCCGCAAATCTTCATCAGGGCTTACGCGGAAGTCCTGAAGAAAAGCCACTTTGGTAGGTCTCTTCTCGCCTTCTTGCATTTCCATCTCAGAAAATCCGCACGTGATCCGCGACTTTCTGTTTGCATTTTGCACGGCCGGACTTCGCCTCTGCTGCCCGGCCGGGATGAACTCGATCCGAAATTGGTGCACCGGCGTCCCGGATGCGATTGTGGCCGTCCACCAGGGCGATGTAAGGAAAAATTATGTTACTAATAATACTAAAGACTTTTACAGGACCCCGACGAACTTTACAAAGCCTTGACCCGCTCGTCGACCATCGCCTTTATCGATTATGCGGTGATGTATGTCGAAAAGGTGATTTCTTGGATTTTTGGTCTTCCTATTCTAATTTGTTACTTGTTTTTTGGTTACAAAATTTCCTTTCTGACCATTTCTTTGAAATTTGATGGTTTCAATTTTTGATAACAAAGCGAGAAAGCAAATTATTTGTAAACCAGGGTTGAACAGCCGCTACGCGGCTTTTCACGCCTGGCCTTTGCGCGGGGAGTTTTCAAAGTTGAGCCTTGCATAACTCTGGCGAATTTTTACCGCCGCCAAAAATGGCAAGAGCAACAACCGGCCGCCAGCCCTTCTACAGGGTGTCCCAAAAAAAACCCCCTCAATCAGCTCCAAATCAGCCTCCTATCGCCTCGTATGCAAATGAGGATATTTCCATATGTTTTAAAATGGCTAAAAGAAAGTATAAACCCCCATTTTATTAAAAATCTCATAAGCGTGCAGTAATCTACGGCCCCGACTCCCCCTAAATACGTTTCCACCGGGCCCGAAAATTCTTTCCCCTTCCGGCTATCTTGGTAACCCGAAATTTTTGAGCCATTTTCGGCAAAATGGGCACACACACACACACACACACACGCACAAACACTGTTTTTATATATAGCAGGATGAGATCCGAGGTTATGTTACGGTAATTAGGTATTCTCAAAATTCGGAATTTGGCATTTGGAAAATGAGGAGCCTGACAATGAGCATGAAAATAACCTGGAGCTCAAGCGTGAAAATTCCTTTTTCAGAGCATGAACGCCGTCCGCGACCTCGTCGCCTACACGAACGAGTTCATCAGCAAGGATGACTGTATGGATCCGTCCTATCACCAAAAAAATCCTTTTCAGGGGACGCCATCTTCTGCGAGATCGCCGCCCGCAGCACGGCCATGACGGACATCTTGGTGAAGATGATGCAGCTGCATACGGAGTTGAGCTTGGCCAAGGTAGATCACCAAAGTTTACGATAGTTTTTTTAGGAAAAGATCACCAACCTGCTCACCACGTTCTACAACTGCTTCGAGTTGGCCGTGAAACTGGTTTGGTCATTTTTGGGGTTGAGTCCCATTTTTCCAGTTGCTCGATAATTCGAAGAGCCTCAAGAGCGAGATGGTCAACTGGAAATGTATTGGCGAGCTGGGGGAGTTGGTGAAGGGACCGGTACGTTTTGAATTAATTTAAAAATCCTGATTTAGCTCGAAAAAACACGTTTTTGCCTATCTAAAAGTTTTGTCCTGCAAGATTTTTTGAAGTGTTGTAAAATCATTACTCGGTCAACCTAGAGGCGTAGAAAAAACGTAATTTTAGCTGCATTCGCTCCTTGCCCAGTGTGACGAGAGCGTGGGTGACGTCGAGAAGGATACAGCCGTCGCAACAGCCGCAAAGTAATCTTTTTTTTTTCCAAACAGCCTATTCCACTTTTTTTTTCTTTAGAATCGCAAAGCAACGTCGAGATGAGGGCCTCTACGTCAAGTACGCAAGGGCCAGGGAATCGCTGCAGGCTACGGTAATCAATTTCCATTTTTTCATTCTTCTTTTCAGATTTTGCGATTGTCGGTGGCGTTGGACGACGAGCGACTTGATCTTCAGGTCAAGGTAGATTGGAACTCGGTATCTCTAATCGGGGCTCTAGAAAAACTCGATCGGCTCCCGTGATTTCCGCGTCGACTTGAAGAAGTTTATGGCGAAGGCCCAGCGGAGGAGCAATGAAATTGAAGAAGCCGCGGATACGACGGCAAACGAGACTGACCAGACGGTGGCGACTCCTCAGCCATCGACGTCTGCGCAATCGGTCAGTTTAAACAACACAATTTTAATTTTTGAAGATTGAATTTAATTATTTTCTGGTTCTGATTTGTTAGCGGGGGGGGGGGGTGACTTTTCGGTTTCCGTAGCGCACTATGATAAAAGAGAAATCTTTACGCAGTTTTATCCTTTTTTTAGATACAACAGCTTTAAAAAATTACTAAAATTTGTTCATTTTCAATTTTTTAATTTTTTAGTAGTCTGTAATAGTAACCATCATAAAATTTTTGTTATTACTTACTGTAGTTTAGGCTGAGAAGGAGAAGCCCCTGATGATAAACCAGAACTATTTTAGCCAGATTTTAATTAGTTATATTCGTTTTTATTTTACTTTTTAAGGAAATAATTTAATTTCAGAACCGCGGCCGCAAGCGCGTCAACCAGGAGGAGGCCGAGACGCCCAACAACGACGAGACCCCGGCGCCGCAGCCTGCCAAGAAGGACCGCAAGCGCGGCAGCCAAGCCTCGGCCGAGACGACGAACAGCGAGGAGACGCCATCCCAGCCGGCAAAGAAGGGCCGCAAGAAGAAATCTTCCATTTTATAATCACCGGAAAACAATTTTTCGACTTTCCATTTTCCGGCATGTGTGTACATAAATGGTCTACGTGTACACGATCTCGCCTCCGCCTGTTATTGTTTTCCACAGATTTGATTCACAATAAATCGTTACGTATTAGCAGATTATAGAGAATGGATTTCTTGATCCGGATATTGTAGTGAAAAGGCAAAGAAAAATGAGAGTACGATAATTTCCGTCAAAGTACGTAAAATACGTTTGTAGCGAAACGACGGTACCGAACTACCCAATTGCTGCTCGTCTAAATTTTAGCCGATGCCTGAAATAATTTTTAGAACGCTTAAAACGGAAGTTTTCTTTTTTACATCTTTTGGCATTTTGAACCTTCAAACTTCATCCCTTTTTATTTTACGGACTCTCAGTTTTCCACTCTCATTTTCCATTTTTGGGGTTTTGAATCAGTGGCTTAAACAATCTCATTTAGATATTTCGACACCAATTTGTTCCCGATGAGCATGATACAATCAAGCGAGCCACCAGAAGACGCCGACCCTCAAGTCCAGTGCATTTTGTGCAACGTGCCCTTCGGCCTGACCGCACTGCACGAGCACATTGCAGTCACGCATCATGGTACTTTTACGGTCATTAAAATCTGCCGTACTTTTCTAGCCTTGATCATGTACACGTGCGCTTGCAATCAGAAGTTCTTCCTCGATCTACTGGCGCTCCAGCATCGCATCTACTGTGGGCAGACGGTAGTTTGTTGTGACTTGATGAGATATGGTTTTTTTAGCTTCACCCAACGCCAATCGTACAGCCCGAATACGGAGTGAAAATCGCCGTGATTCGACGCGATTTCTCGGACTCGTTGATGCGGTTCATTCACGGTAATTTCGAAATTTTTAACAATTATACGCATTTTTCAGTCAAAGCACGAGAAAAATGTGAGAAAATACATGGGTATGCTCTTGTTTTAAAGCTTTATGACCCTTTTCTAGCATCAAACTTCCATTGCGGAACGGCCGTCAGGACGGTGTTACCGCTGGTTTGTAGATGAGAGCTGATGACGGGGATTTATCCATTTTCAGCCCGTCCATCTGCTTCCGGGGACACGGAGACCAGCGGCATCAGCATGGGATCACCGGGACGTCATGGGGCCGAAGACATGGTGGGGTTTACGGAATTTTACTGAATTCCGATTAGTCGCCAAAGCCTGGAGAGCCCTCGCTGCCGCCCAGACTGCGTGATTGGCTCTTCACGGATAAGGAGTCACCGAGTAAGGTCGGTCTTGAACGAGGAAAGGAGATCTTATTGTAATTTTTGATTGAGCTGTATACATGCCAAAAATGTCCATTTTAGAGTTTTAAAACCTGGAAAAGTACCCATTTTAGGGCCATCCCGCCACACCAATGAGGGTCTCGTTGACTCGCGATTCGCACTCGAGGGGACGCCAGAGCATCGCCACACGTGAGTCTTTTTAGAGAGATTACGGTGCTTCCCGTTTATCGGCGGGGCAGTAGTGATTTTTGGCGATCTTCTGCCGGATTTAATACAAAAAAATTTCATCCATTATTATCCAATTTTGTAAGTAAGTAAGCCTGTGAAATTTTGATAAAAAATGGCCAAAATTAGATATATCGGGGATTCAAAAATAAGCTGTATTTTATTATTCGTCAGCTGCAGGCTACAAAAGGTAAAAATTCACTACCGCCCGCGGATAAACGGGAAGATAAGGCTTACTAGCGCTGGTGAGCTGTGGCTACTAGCCAAGTTGTTTAGCAGCAGCTGGCTGTCAAGCATTCGGGCAACCTGCCGATGGACCTTTTTTCAAGGTATTCTCGAGGGAATTTGTTTCCAAGTTGGGCTACACGCGGGATTTTTTTAAATGCTCTGGCTATGAGAAATTTGTAGCGCGCGGAACTCGCTTTTCGGAAAAAATTTCTAGGCCCCAAACGTGTCCCAAAAAACTCAAGTTGGTTCTTTCCCATTATCGGCGGGGGGTACCTTGTTTCTAAGGATCCAATTTTTCTCATATAACTAGGGGAATTGTTTCTAAATTGTTTTTTTCCTATTCCTAAGCGTAAAAACTTTGCAAATTTTTTTTGAAAAAGGTACGAAAATAAAGATTTATCGACGAAAATGGCCGATTTTTGGAAATTTTTGGACTTTGAGGATTTTTAGCGTTTTAGGATTGATTTTTGGTTCAATCTAGTTATACTTTACTGAAAACACTATTAAAATACTTCCTGTTAGGTTACCAGGCATTTCTGGGTTTATGGGAAAAAGTATGACCCCTCGATAATGCGAAAGAACCCTGTTTTTTCGAGTATTTATCTTTTTTTTTTCCAGCGTTGAGCCCGCCTCCGGCAAGTGTCAGCTCCAACGATCTGACGCCGCTTCGCATCCCGGTAAGCAATTTTCTAACGTTTTGCCAATTTTCCTTTAGCAACAAATCGGTTGGCGTCTCCTCCCCATTAACATCCCGCCTCGGCCAAAGCGTAAGATTCTATTGATGCGGTTTAATTGCCTTTTATAGTTTGTTTCCCGCTGCCGGATGAGGACCCGCGCCGGATCATCTACGAATTCCTGCTCTAGCCCCGACGCATCTACTGCCCCAATAGATCTCGCTAGCATATTTATACTTTCATTTGTTGCACTTTGCCATATCCCGATTATTTGTTGTTGTTTACTTGAAATAAATTTGTTGCCAAAATAATTTCGAAAATAACTAGCAATAATGGTTTGTAGACCCATATCATATTGATTGGATTGATTCGAAAGCTTTATGGTTCTTCCACGTTGTCAGGGGTGACCAAACTTTTTCGTATATTTCTAGAGGTGTCGTCTTAATAGCAAGTGTTTTAAGTTTTTTTTAGTAAAAAGATAGCCATATTTCACTAGAAAATTCTCTAAAAAGTTTTTAAAGACGCGAAATTTTGGTCGAAAAATCCATATTTATTTACTAAAGTATTTTAGTTTTCCCGTTTAGGATTAGTAAAAACCACTTAGAAACACTTCCACTATTTAAATTTGAAAAATTCTTACTAAAAAAAAGGTGCCCCCATCCTGCGAAACAACCAATTTTTTTTTAATTCTTGCCAGTGCTTTCTATTTGTTGGCTCGATTAGAGAATTACTCATTACTCGCTTTTTTGTAGAGTTGATGCCTTCTCGACCCACTTCGTCATCCCAACAATTTGCGGACTTTGTCGCCAGCCTTCCCCAGGCTTCTGCGTTGACGGGAGCCCCCGCTGCACTTGCGCCACCTGTACCTGTTGAAGACGCGGAGAAAATTCAGGCCGCCCAAGCCGGCCCGTCGACTTCAATGCTGTCTGAGCCGGCCCTCTACGAAGTCCGGCGAAATCTAGACCGCCGGCTCAACGCCGCGCAAGAATCCGGTAATTATTTATTGTTTTGCTTTAATTTACTTATCTTTCGTTCTTTTTTATGCGCACGAGACACTGAAAAAGAGAGGCTATTAAAAATATGGATTTTTGGAACAAAAGTGGGAGCTTTTGGCCTAATTTCGACTTTTTAAAAATGGTTTAAATTTTTAGATTGCTTTTCTAGTTGAAACATATTCATATTTCACAAACACAGTAATTAATACTTCCTATTAAGTTGCTAGGCATTTCTAGATTTATACAAAAGAAAAATAATTTCAATTTTTTGACTAATCAAATGCAAACTTTCTTGTTTCAGCTCTCGAGCAGACGGCTTCTCCTCAGCCCGGTGCCGACCTTCGCGAGTTCCTGAATTCGATCGACGAATTCGTGCCGGCCATCCCGGACTCGGTCACGCAGTACTACATGCACAGGGCCGGTGTCGATAGCGCGGATCCAAGGATTGTGCGGCTGATCTCGTTGGCCACCCAGAAGTTCATCTCCGACATTGCTCTCGACTGCCAGCAACAAGCTCGTATGAAGGGACTCGGCGTTCGCCCGTCGAAGAGGAGCACCGATAAGAACGTCAAGTACACGTTGACCCCCGAGCTGCTCGAGACCGTGCTACAGGAATATGGCATGACGATGCCAAGGGCACCTTATTACCACTAAATGTTGTCTTGCCTTTGTTTTGCTAGGATTCACGTTAATTTTGTGTGGCAATAAATACTTTGTGACGCTTATATATTGTAGAGTTGAAAGAGTGTGGGTGGATGGAGCCAAGAACTATCGTCGAATTTTGGATTTAGTTAATTTTTAGGTAATTGATTGTTAGCCGGGGAGGGAGCCTGATTTTTCCACCTCTACCGACTAACCTGTTGATATATAATGTTTTTTTATCGTTTTAGCAGTGTTTGATTGCTAAAAAGTTTTGAAAATTCGAAAATTGAGACCTTTTGGCCATTTTTGGCCAAACGTCAGCATCTTTATAATATTTTTATTGGCCTTTTCTATCTTAGAAACTGTATGGAATTCTCTAAAAAGCGTTTATATGGTGAAATCGTTACAGGGCCGTACCGTATTACTGAGAAAAAAATTGTCTCCCCCCGCTAACAGTCCAGTAAAAATTTTAGACAATACGACGCATTATTCTCGTCTAGCCTTGTCGAAAAAACTCCCCGAATCAATCGGAGCGCGGCGACCTTGCCCAATCGGTAGCCATTTCGGGAAGCCCCAGACAACCGGGCGGGCGGCTCATCGTGCCACTGATGCCTCGATAAGCGCCCCGACTTGACCCCGGCAACCCACGCCAATCGTCTGTTCTTCGCGCCTTACATGGTCCCATATCAGGGCGGCGAGCCGGCGCAATCTGTCTTTGCCCTTTTTATACGTTTTCGCCGAAGATGGACCAGTTTTGCGCCTCGCCACAAATCGATGTATTTTTCGGACGCGGGTTTGCTGCGAAACCTTGATTCGGGCATGATTTTGCTAGCAGTTTTGGAAAGTTACGTGTAAAGCTTTTACAGAATCAGCAGGGAGAAATTTTTTTGGCTTAGGATTCTATTTTTCTAACATTCATGACGGAAGGGGTTCTACATTTTTTGCATTGCCAAAGCGTAAAAGCTTACAAATTTTTATTAAAGGCTAAAAAGATCGGATTTTCGATCAAGATGCAATCTCTTAGAGCGTTTTGGAAGTTTTATAAACATTTTTCCCACTTCATTATCGCTAAATTTTTTCAAAAACAATTAAAATAATTTCTAGTTTGTGTTTAATAAAAAGTACAAGTTTAGGGACCGATGGCTTGTTCGAACGGACGTTTTTGTAGGCTGCTAATCCACGTTAGAAAAACCTAGAAATATAGTTTTTATCGATCGATCCAATCGGGCATCATTTGCGACATTTTACGACTATTTTACGGGGCATTTTGGGTTAGAACGCGCGCTCGGGCCGTGGCAACCTTTCGTCGTTTCGGATCTGTCTGCCCTTGTTTGAGAAAAGCCACGCCGAGGGCCCGCCCCGACTGTCCTCTCGCCTTGGCCGCCCTGTCTCGCACCCTCCTCGCCCTCCTTTTGAACTCTTGACCCCGAGTTTTTGAGGGTTTTGCTATGACAAACAAGTATTTGCTTTTGATTTTGGGGAGAACTATTTTCCTTTTTATTCTCATGAATTTTCGCTTTTCCTTGATGAATGTTTTTTATCAAAATCAAGTGTATTTTTTTCAGGTAAAACTTTGCCAACATGTCGGTCCCCGAAGGCGTTCTCCTCGGCATGGGCAACCCGCTGTTGGACATCCAGGTATCGCACGGTGTTTAACGCTAAAAAATCGATTATTGTCCACTACCAACTTTTTTTCTTCCGAGCTAATTTTTCAAATATAAATAGTGAACTATTTCTAGACGGTTTTTTACTATGCCAACTGAAATTTACAAAATTTCCATTAAAAAAAACAGATTTCTCGACCAAAAATGGCCGATTTTGACAACATTTCGACTTGTTCAAAACGTTTTCAAAAATTTTAGATAGTTTTTCTAGCTGGAAAATAGTAATATTGTAACTAAAAGACTATAAAACATTTCCTATTAAGTGATTGGGCATTTCTAGAGAAAGTTAAACCCCCCCCCCCCCCCCGATAATGCGAAAGTACCAAAAACTGTTTAGACAACCGTGGACAAGGCCTTCCTCGATAAATGGGGGCTGAAGGAGAACGACGCCATCCTGTGCGACGAGAAGCACGTGCCAATGTAATTGTCTAGCTTAAAAATATTTTATATCATTGTTTTTGTCAGGTTTGACGAGCTGACCGCCTCCCACCACGTCGAGTACATCCCGGGAGGAGCCGCCCAGAACGCCGTCCGTGTTGCTCAGGTAAAACAGATTTCTGAATATCTTAATTTATCTTTTTAGTGGATCCTGAACGAGCCGAACCGGATGACGTATTTCGGGGCCGTCGGCGCCGACAAGTACGGCGAGATGCTGCGGAAGAAGGCGACGGAGGCTGGCGTGAACGTGCAGTACCAGGTCAACGAGACGGTCAAGACTGGCACTTGCGCCGCCCTTATCAATGGCAACAATAGGTAAACAACCACTTTTTGTCAAATTGTTTGACGCATTTTTGGTGTTTCTCTTGTTAGCTCGTGGATATAAATTATCGGCCTTTCTTCTAACGGTTTTTTAAAACGAGATTGTTGGTGATTGATTGTTCCAGATTTTAAATTTTCTTCCCAGGTCCCTGTGCGCTCACTTGGCCGCCGCCGAGACGTTCACCGTCGGCCATCTCGAGGACCCGAAGCACTGGAAATTCGTCGAAACCGCCAAGTATTTCTACGTCGGCGGCTTCTTCCTCACCGTCTGCCCGCCGGCCATCCTCGAGATTGCCAAGCACGCAGCTGAGCACGACAAGGTACTTAATTGTTCATTTTTAGCCTGTCCGACGTTCATTTTCCCGAAAAACAGGTTTTCTGTTATTTCTTGCCGACGCTTCTTCACGTTTTTGCAACATAGATACATCCGGACAAATTGTAGATCGTCCTGATCTGCAGAATAAAGGAGAAAATAATTTTAGACAAAATGAACGTAATTCTTTTAGATTTTCATGCTCAACCTGTCGGCTCCCTTCATCTCTCAATTCTTCTACGAGCCGCTCTCCAAGGTAATTTTTGGCGTATCAAGTTGATTTTGAATTTTTTAGACCCTCCCGTATGTCGACTACCTGTTCGGCAATGAGGACGAGGCCCGTGCTTTCTCAAAGGTTTGGCTTGATTTTTGAAAATACCTTTTTCTTATAGTCCGCCGGCTTCAACACCGAGGACATTCGCGAGATCGCCGAGAAGGCCAGCCATCTGCCAAAGGTGGATTTGCCGTAAATTCCTTATTTTTCTGATTTTAGGAAAACAAGAACCGCTCGCGCATCGTGGTCATCACCCAGGGCTCCGAACCGACGATTGTCGCGCAGGACGGCAAGATTCAGGTTGGTTTTTGCTTGGCTTGCTTGAGCTTTAGAACCCTTTTTTCTATTTCCATCGCACGGTTCTTCATTTTAATTTAGTTTCTACATTTCCTATAAAAAAATTTGATTTTTAATGGTAAGACGAATAAAACGCAAAAATTCTCACGACTAGCTGTGCGGATTTAAATCGTTCATGCAACGTTCTCTCTCTCTCTCTATCTCACTATCTCTCGCTATCTCTCTCTCAAACGTTTCCTACGCTAGATTTTTTGTTGTTCTAGGAATTCCCCGTCATCGTGCTGCCCAAGGAGAAGCTGATCGACACCAACGGCGCCGGAGACGCCTTTGTTGGAGGTGTGTCATTTTTGAGCAGCAATCTACGAATTGATGGATTTCTCATTTTTAAAATACAGAAAAAGCCGCTAAAATATGGTAAAAGATATTTTTCTGTTCAGGGTTCCTTGCCGAGCTCGTGCGCGCCAAGCCGCTCGCCGACTGCATCGCATGCGCCAACTACGCCGCCTCGGAGATTATCCAGCAGCAGGGGTGCACGTTCCCCGCCGTCTGCAAGTACCACTAGGGTCTGTTTTAGAGATTATTTCACGAATTTTTGTTCCCACTATATTTTCCTGTTGAACCCCTCGACCCAGCCCGTCCAAATTGATCATCTCCACCCGCTCACTTCCCCCATTGTTTTGGGTACCCTCGTGGCCTTTTTGCAAGCTCAGTATTTTTGCGATTCCCCTACCCCTCCCGATATACTTTGATAGGTTTATGTGATTTTGTCTGTGCTCCCAGAGTTTATCGCATGCCCCGGATTGTGATTCTCGTCGCTGTTGTTTGGCATAAACGGCAAAGGCTATGAAAGATATTGATCAAGAAGTTATAATCTTTTTAGAAACGTCGTACTACCAGATACCTCGGGTACTGATGCGATATCGGGGGGAGGAAAGCCTGGACTTTTTGACTCAATCAATCTTCTTTTCTAAACTGAAGTTTCTGGAAAAACTAAGCTTAAGCTTGAGCTTTATTTTATAAAAACAAATCGAAGCTTAGCTACGCCAAGTTGAGCTTGGCTTTAAGTCAAGCCCTGTAAACCCTTTTGTAGATAATCTAAACACGCCTACGCTGAAGTTTGGGTTTTAGCTAACAATTACTTCTGTAAGCATAGTTAAAGTAATCAAGCAGCGGCTTAAGCTAAAAATAACTGGCCTAAAAGGATGGTATTCTGAGCATAGTCAACGCAAACCTTAGCCCGTCACCAAGTAGAAACCAAGTAGCTTAAGTGGATCGTCATGTAAGCATAGTTAAAGCTAATTTTATCCTGGGATTAAGCTCAAACCTAAGCCGCTTAAATGGAGCCTCTCGTAGCCTCTTACCGCCAACCCCACACCTTAGACAGTTGCAGGCTTCTGCTATAATTCTCACCACCCACCTACCCGACGGCCATTCGAACCACTGTGTCCCCTGCGTCCATAGGCGCCTCGTGTAGCGATTTGGCTGTCGGCCAATCGCTGTACACACCGGGTCGGCCCCTTCACTATTCGCAACTCCAATCAGCGGGCCCCCTGTTTGTCTAAATTACCCCTCGTAAATGGTTTCAAACCAACAGTATTCCGAGATGCACAACCAGATGGCCATGATGCACGGGGATGTACGAGAAGTAAGGATTTAGCGAGAAAGTGAAGAAAATCCATAGAATTGGCCTATAGCCCGCTCCAGACATAGACACTTTAACACTTTAAACGCGTTAAAGATAAAGAAAATCGCGGCTTTCGCGCCAATTTCTTAGAAAAGCTATGTCGAAAAGTTACAAGCAAACGTAAAGACTTATATTTTTAGCGCGAAATGAGGATTTAGCGAAAAATGGGGAATTCGGCTTGAATTCACCTAAAATTGTAAAAATTCTCTGAAAATGGCCTCGGCTCGGTTTTAGCGTACTAGGGAAGCTCTAAATGGGTTAATTAAAGAAAGCAAAAAAGATCTAGCGCCGACTCCTTGGAAAAGCGGTTTTTAAAAGTTCTAATAAATTTAGAAAACCGAGCTTTTTTGCACAAAGTAAGGATTTAGCGCGACAAAATACGGAAATCGGCTTAAATTTATTTAAAACTGCAAAAATTCTATAGAAATGGCCTCGGCTCTGGCATAGCGCGCTCTAAATTAGTTCATAAAAGAAAGCAAACGAGCTAGCGCCGATTCCTTGGCAAAACGGTTTGAAAACTCCTAGAAAACGTGAAAAAAACTTACCTTTCTAGGGCCACGATCTGCATTTGATGCAGCCCCACCATCACAGCGAGCACCAGATGGAGGAGCAGGAAGAAAGTGATGGAGAAGAGGGGCACCACTCCATGACGCCGGGCATGGAAGGCACTTCTGGAGGCGATCCGAGGGCTTCTGCCATGCTCCCCGAGCAGGACAGGCTGTTGCCGATTGGTGAGTTACCTGGAAAACTAGTTATATTTCTGTATAAGGGAAACGAAATTTTGAAGAATCGGAGCAGAGCAGAAAAAGTAAAGCCTACACATGCCTACAAATGACATTTCAGCAAATGTAACCCGGTTAATGAGGACGCAAATTCCGGAAGCTGGAAAGATGGCCAAAGAAGCGCGTGAACTCGTCCAGGATTGTGCCTCGGAATTTATCTCCTTCATCACGTCGCACGCAAATGAACGCTGCCTACAGGTAGTTGAGCATTTCCAAGCCGTAGATTTATCTTGATTAATAGAAGCTTGAAAACTGTTTAAATTTGAAGTTTGTATAATTTTGAAGCTCTTGATCTCCAAAATAGAAATATTATATCACCTAAACAAGTTAAATAATTTTCCCGAAAATAGCAACATTAAAAGCTCAAAATACCAAAATATCTACCTCAGGAACGGCGAAAAGTGGTCACCTCAGACGATCTACTCGACGCGTTACGTGATCTCGGCTTTGACGAGTACATCGAGCCCATGGCAATGTTTCTAAACAGGTTCGCAAAAAGAGGCGTAGGTTGACCAAGCGACCGATTTAGATATCGACGAGAGCTGGGCAAGGAGGGCCTCGCCCGGCCGCCAATCGTTCATCCCCCGCCCGGCTATCAACACGACGACGGGCAGACGCACCAGAAGCCGATTCTCCTGCCGCAGACCGCGAATAATGTAAGGAAAATGATCGAAGTTTTATCTAGCTCTTAGAAACTGACAAGAAAATTAAGAACGTGATTTTTCTACGATTTTCGTGCTCCAAAGGATCGAGAAATAATCTAGACACTATCAGTCGGCCAAAAAAAACAAATTCTTGTACAAATTTTGGGCGCTAATCTAATTTCAAAAGCTCTAACAAGCGACTAATTTTAGGAATCGATCAATCACGCGCCCACCTCACTACAACCTGCGAATATTCAAATATTGGTGGACCCCGAAACCGGCCAGCATTACATGACGCAGCCAGGTATGGGCAAGCAAAAAAACGGGGTTTAATTAGTCTAAAACCCGATAAATAGGGCCAGAAATCCAAAAAAAAACCTAAACTATCCATTTAGGCGAAGACGACGAACTGGCGCTGATCCCGATCGAGATGACCGAGTTCGTCGATGGGAGCCATAAGTCGCCGGATGGACAAGAAGCCCATGTCGGCATGGTGGTGGCCCATGAAGCGCCAAGCATCCACCACACTCCCGCCGTCCCCCAACATCAGATCGTCATCGAGCAACACCCGATGCAAACGGTGGGTCGCTAAAAACTCGATGAAGCCGGAAAAAGCCTAGACATTACAACAAGACACTCCTAGGTTCTTTTTCATTAGGATTGTAACTTCTCCTAAGTTTCCGTAGGCACCGGGTTGCCAAGAAAAAAAAGTTGACTAGTTTTACGCCCTTTTTCGATATCAAGAGTTGATGAAAAATTTCGAATTTAACGGGAAACCCTACTTTTTGATCAAAAAATTAATTCAATTTAATTTTTTCAAAAGTGTGAAACTTTTAGCAAACGGCAATGTGAATGTAAGAAACCGTTTTCCATGTACTAACAGGGCATACTCTGAAAAACGAAGCTAGACTTGCTCCCAATATTGCAATTTTACGATCAATACGTAAACATTCAGGGTCGCCAGTGTATTTATGAGGAGCCATAAAGAATAAAAATAGCTTGTGTATTCCCGGGGGGAAGAATTCGCGGGGGAAACCCAACGTTTTTTTGTCGGCCCTGGTGGGGATAGTAATCAAATATAAAGTGTTTTCACATTGTTTTTAGTAAAATTTAAGTCTATTTGAATAGGAAAAGCTTTTTTAAAAGTTAGAAAGACGCTTGGAAAAGTCGAAAATTTGGTCATTTTTGGCCGACAAAATCGATTTTTCGACCTAAAATTAAATTTTTTAATTAAATTTTGTAAAGTTTTTATTTTGAGGAATAGCAATAAACAATTTAGAAACACTTCCACTATTTATATAAAAAATCTAGGCTGGGGCCAAAAAAAGTTCAGTTTCCCCCGCGAATTCTTCCCCCCCCGGGAATACACAAGAATAAAAATAGCTCAAAAGCCTTAAGGTAAAAGACCGATTAAAACCAAGACTTTAGATGGCCCCCAGCCAAGCCCCGAAGAAAACAACGGGGCGTACACCACCAAAGAAGGCCCCTCCGCCACAAACGCCAGTCAGGGAGACACGCGGCATGAAGCGGCAACGCCTAGAATAAGCTCGACCAGGTGCAAAATTAACAATCCACACACGGGTACCCGCCTCACACAAATGCATTTGCCAAATAAAGATTTTCGCCTTTTCCCGGGCGAATTACACACCAAGAGACTTCAAACTGGGCTGCAAACAATGAAAACTGAGTAGAAAGTAAAAAAATCTGGTACTATACTGTTAGCGTGGGGGAATCAAATTTTCGCCAGGAATTTTGTACGGCCCTACACACAAATTATAAACCATTTTCATACCATTTTACACAATTTTACACATTTTGAAAAAGGTTGGTCTTGGTCACTTTTGGTCAAAAATGCAAATTAATTTACATTTTGAACTGTTCAGCGGTTAAAAACGACTAAAAACATTACAAAAATACGTTAGATATTATCCACAGATCGGCAGGTTTAGGCGCAAAAAATCGGTTTCCCTTCCCCGCTAAGAGACCAGTACCATAGCCCTTTCAAACAGATTTTGATGAGATTTCAATCAAAGCGATGGGTCCACAGAATTCGCTTGGAATGTGCAACTTTTTTACAAAAATCAGCAAAAAATCATTTCCAAAAAATTGTATTCACCCGATTTCGATGAGATGTCAATACACAGGATAAGGTTAGACGCGAGCGACAGAGAAAGAGAGCCAGAGAGATCACACGAAAAAGAAAGATTACATAACGCGAAGGCCGGAAAAAATATAACGAAAAAACAGTGGTAAAAATCAACAATCCGATGGTAGTTCGCTTGGAGCGGGCCTCGCCGTCTCGGCGCGTAGGATGGGCCAGAACTAAAAAAATAGAAATTAATATTTACAAGTTTAAAAAAAACCCCATCAGCCGGAAGCGGCAATTCGCGAAGCCGCTTCAGAACGCGCTCGTGCTGCGTTTCGTAGTAGTGATCGAGGGCGGCAGCTTCATTTGCTGCCTAAAATCATAGAAATATCGAGGCGCTTTCGTTTTAACCCGGGGCATCTTTCGTAGTATCCAGCTTTTATAATATAAATAAAATTGAGTTTTTGTTTATACATTATTTTTACTATTTATCTACATAAATAAAAAAAATCGTAAAACTATTAAAAAAAATTTTTTTCGACAACTTTTCAGGTTAAAATGTAGTTGCATTTTAAGCTAAAATTTTTAACTGCCGCCGTGGGAAAAATGGGAAAAAAACGGGACCTTGGCCTGTTCATCGACTTCTTTCTGCACTTCGCCGTGGGCGTGCACCTTTTCGAGGATGGCCTGGTGGACAGCGTCGCGCACATCTCTTCGCGTCAGCGTTTCTCGGCCGCTCAACTCCATGAAAAGAGCCTCCCACAGAATCCTGAAACCAAAAATTAAATTATTTTTACGTAGACGATCACCTCGACTTGAAGCCGCACTGCAACAGCTTCGCGTCCTTGCTGAGCTGCTGCCGGGCGACGGTGATTATCTGGATAAAAAAAATATAAAATAAAATAATCTTATATTTAAAAAAAACAATTTTTAAATCTAATAAAAATAGGTTAAAAAACTCATACTTCGATTAGGCGCTTATCATTATGCAGTGAGGAGTCCATAAAAGTACGCCATCGCAGGCTGGTCGTGTGGTAGGGTGGGGCTCCTTTGCTAAAACACATATTTAAATTCTATAAATCCTAAAAAAACTCACAAATCGTAGAAATAACTCGGATCCGCCGGTAAACAAGTTGCTTTTTGGTGGAGGACCTAAAAAAAAGAATATATAAAAATAAAAAACCCCACATCTTTCAAAATCGACTGTTGTGTGCGCTCTTCAAAGATCGACGTCTCGAAGCCGTTTCTTAAAATTTTCCATTAAATTTTGATAGATATAAAATTACATTTTGATCATTTCCGGCTCCTCAACGCTGGCCGAGCCGGGCTTCTTCGGGCCGTCCGCCGAAAATGAGTGGGCCAAATCTGCGGGCTGCAGCCCGGCCGGCATCTTCTCCTTGAAGCGAAACGTGCCGTCCTCCCTTCCCTAAACCAAAATTTAATAAAATTAAACGCGAATAACCTCATAAATCGGCACGTTCGAGTCGTTGTGCTGCGCCAGTTTTTCCAGGGCCTGCTTCGTGCTGCTGCCCGGCTCGATCTCGACGCCCGGGTAGATCCATTTTTGGACTTTGTACCTGAAAATCGCAGGTTTTTACGCTATCGCAGATCGCGAATAATAGATATAAGCTATTTTAAACGCTTTTAACCAGTTTTTTTACTATAAAAATTCAAAATGATTCAATGAAAAAATTTTTAACGACGAAAAACGTACGGAAATTTGCCGAACCCCTTCGTCAACAGCAGCGTGAACGAGTTTTCGTTCTAAAAAATAAAATATGGTTTTGAAAGTCATGCACTGTCTGGAATCGATCGTCCATAAATTTCGGGATGACATTCCCCTCTTCCGACCATGTCAACGGCGTCTTATGCTTGCCGCCGTCCGCCATGAACTTCATCGTGCTGATGCGGCGATTAAACTGCAATTTAACCAATTTGATAAATTTTGCCAAATAAATTACTGAAGATTTGGCCGTCGTCACGTCGACCAGCGAAGCATTGACCGTCGTGACGTCTCCAGGAACTGAAATAGCAAATTAGAGCCAAAAATTCGCTCAATTACGCTCAAAATCAACGAGGAGCCAGTCGTTCTTGGTGAAATCCCGATTGAGCCGCTGCAGCCAGGCGGGCATCTTCACGCGGTACCCTCGCACCACACAATCCGACAGCTCGTCCAGGCATTTATGTGGGGGCTAAATTTATCGAGTAGCGTCGAAAATTAAAAATAACCATCGGAAATCCTGGCGCTAGTGAATCCCCGGCGCTCATGACCTCCTCGCGGCCGAGGTTGCACCGTTGAAGCGGGAAAATGGTTTTGCCTAAAATAATTTTAAACCCTGAGTTTTTCGCTTTGTTTTCTGTTTTTCGGTCCGAGCCAGATCATAAACTTTTTTAATGTTCCCGCATCAAAAACTTTGTACATTTTAATAAAAAAAATATTCAGCTAAGAAAAATCTATTTTTTTCGGCACCTAATTTACAAAATCTCGAGGGCAAAATCATTCATAAGTGTTAGCATTATTTTAAATGCCATACAGTGTTGACTCTGCAAAACGCTTTCGAAATATGACGCTTCAGCATCGCCTCTGATCAGCCGGCACTCGACGGGTTCCAGTTGGCGCTGCGATTCGGAAGATACTAAAAACAGAAAATTTCCATCTATCCGATCGCCTACTAATCAAATCCGTCGTCAAGTGCGAGGCCAAAACCAGCTGGGCATCGCAGGTTTCTCGCAATGTCGCCCGTTCTTTTCCAAAACTCGACACCGACGCCAGCGGCACGTAGGCGACAAACTAAAAAATATAGCTCCCGAAAAAACAATGAAAAATACCTGATCCCCGGGCAAGTATTTCTTAGAGAATTCGCCGGCCTCACAATTCTCGCCGAAGACCGTTTGCTCGTTGAACATCAGCCTGATCCATAGCTTAGTTTTTCAAAGCCAAAATTTTACCTATAACAAACGCCCTCCCATTTGTAGAGCGACAGGAAGCAGGTCAGCTCGCCGTACGACTCTTCGCACCATTTGATGATGCACGGAAAGGCCAGTACTATAAGAAAATGAGGCTAAATAAGCGTTTACAGACATTTCTCATCGTCGTTGGAGTGGACGACTTGGAAGAGGGCGCCGCTGTCGATGAGCTCGGTGGTGGTTTTTGGGCTTGGGCGGCGGTTCATGAAATTTACCTAAACCCGAGGAATTCAAAATTTCTAACAGAAAAGAGCTGGCTTTAAAAGATGCATAAAATAGTTGCTTAAATTACCAAAAGCCTCGTGTAAGCTTATCCGCGAATCGCCGGTACTGAGCAGTTAGCGGGGGTACAGCTTCCCCCCAGTAATTCCCTAACGCACAGGGACGGAGCGTAAGGTGGGGCCCCCTGGGGCCCAAAAATTTCATAAGGGGGATGCTTATTTTATTTTCTCAAAAATGTTACTTCCTGCGGCGCTATTTTTTCACGCTTTTACTGCTATCAAGCAGTCTGGGAAAGATAGGGGATAGCGACCATTGGGACCAGCGCCCGGAGGGATAAGACTGGGTTTAGACCAGCGCCGCGGAGCGGCGCGATTTTTTTGAAAGAAAATTGGGTTTTCGGATAATTTTGCAGGATTTTTTTGTTGTCGAAAATTATCGATGGTATCTGTGTATGCTGTGATTTCCGTCTCCGATGTCCTACGTAGGTTAAAAAATTTTTTGACGCCAACTGACTCGGAGCGAACCGATAAAAATAAATCATCAAAGAAAAATTGCAGGCGACAATTAACGCGAAGGAAACTGAAAGAAGCCGAAGAAGAAGCTGATGAAGTCTCTAAAATGCATTCCTTTCTTATCCTCTCAAGATCATCCGTATGCTCTTACCTATCTCTGACCTTTAAAGCTTCCTTGATGTCTATAGTACTGTAAAGTTGTCAAAACCCCGAATTTGTTATCCAAAGAGACCTCAAAGATAATGAAAACGTTGCCGGAGATCATTTTGAAACCAGAATTGAGCCTTTAACGGAAAACCTATTTTTTTATCATATCACCCAAAAAATTGTTCCATCAAAAATTCAAATTTTGATTCCAATGACCGATTTACTTCAAACTTGGCCAAATGGTAGATCTGGGTCTACTAATCACTAGGAAAAAATATCAGATTTTTTGTACCCGGCTAAGACCGGTTTTCGGGACCAGCGCCAAATCGACCAATCAGCCGACCAATCAAGGTTTTTCCCGTTTTTGGTCCCCTGAAATATCAGCTAGATTGGTTTTAATTGGAATGAAGGTAGCCTAAAGGGTGGGTTACCGTATGCCGAAAAGAATACTTAGATTGCTTGCGTCTGCTTCGAGCCTGGGACCAGCGACGGTCATTTTTTTTGGATTTTGAAAATCGGCCAAATTCGGAGTTTTTCTCTTAATAGGGGGGAGTAATTTTTAAAATAGTTTCCTTGATGCCGATGATAGAGTAGGATGTGCTCTTTCGAATGACATATCATACGTCCGGATCTGGCTCCTCTACGCGGAGCATGGGACCAGCGACTCCATTGGTCGAGCCGATTTTGTTCCTGCGACATCCGTCGCTGGTCCCAAAGTGGTCTTCAAATGCACCGAATCGAGTCGCCAAATTTATTCCAGCTTGCTGATGACGTTCCTCACCATCAAAGAACATTTGAAGTCGATCCCTTCCAATTCGACAGAGATAGCCTGCTAATGGCCCCCAAATGCCATATAAAAGGTGCAAAATCGGCTCGACCAATGGAGTCGCTGGTCCCATGCTCCGCGTAGAGGAGCCAGATCCGGACGTATGATATGTCATTCGAAAGAGCACATCCTACTCTATCATCGGCGCCAAGGAAAAATTTTTAAAAAATTACTCCCCCCTATTAAGAGAAAAACTCCGAATTTGGCCGATTTTCAAAATCCAAAAAAAATGACCGTCGCTGGTCCCAGGCTCGAAGCAGACGCAAGCAATCTAAGTATTCTTTTCGGCATACGGTAACCCACCCTTTAGGCTACCTTCATTCCAATTAAAACCAATCTAGCTGATATTTCAGGGGACCAAAAACGGGAAAAACCTTGATTGGTCGGCTGATTGGTCGATTTGGCGCTGGTTCCGAAAACCGGTCTTAGCCGGGTACAAAAAATCTGATATTTTTTCCTAGTGATTAGTAGACCCAGATCTACCATTTGGCCAAGTTTGAAGTAAATCGGTCATTGGAATCAAAATTTGAATTTTTGATGGAACAATTTTTTGGGTGATATGATAAAAAAATAGGTTTTCCGTTAAAGGCTCAATTCTGGTTTCAAAATGATCTCCGGCAACGTTTTCATTATCTTTGAGGTCTCTTTGGATAACAAATTCGGGGTTTTGACAACTTTACAGTACTATAGACATCAAGGAAGCTTTAAAGGTCAGAGATAGGTAAGAGCATACGGATGATCTTGAGAGGATAAGAAAGGAATGCATTTTAGAGACTTCATCAGCTTCTTCTTCGGCTTCTTTCAGTTTCCTTCGCGTTAATTGTCGCCTGCAATTTTTCTTTGATGATTTATTTTTATCGGTTCGCTCCGAGTCAGTTGGCGTCAAAAAAATTTTTTAACCTACGTAGGACATCGGAGACGAAACTGCGGACTTCTGTAAAAAGGCTTTTAGATAATAAACGGCGCATAAGCGCCGAAAAATTTTTTGCTAATACTAGCCCTTAGACCAGCGCCCGGACCCCTTTTTGGGACCAGCGCCCACCCGGTTTCGACCAATGGGGTATCAGACTGCTATCAAGCCTTTTTTCCAAAGCTGTTTTCTCGTTATTTTTTTTTTAGTTTTTCGCAAACATTTTTTCGCCCCCCCCCGAAATTTTTTTTCTGGCTACGCCCCTGCTAACGCACCATGAAAATATAGACTATTTCTATAGTTATTGACACAGTTTTTAGATAAAAACGTACGAAAAATCACAAGAATTTTCCAAGTAATGACTAAATTTTCTAGTACTGAAAATACTGTACAAGTAACAGAACGAGGCGGAAAGGCATAAAATATGAATGCCCCCGCTATCAGACCAGAACCTCTCCAGCACATAATTGAAAACCACAATTCTTTTGAAACATTTCTCTGCCAATCCTGAATGCATTTTCCTCTCGCAAATGGTCTCACAAATCATTTATTTGAGACTTGAACGATAAATTAAATGAATAAATATCGGGGGGCTAGGAAAGGAATGGGTACTGTCGGTAATATCGAAGCCTGGATCACAATATTCAAAAATCAACATAACGAGACCCCTTTAGTGTGTGGAGACAGGAAAAAGATCGGTTCGGGGGTGCTTTTTTGGCGGGATTTTTACAGGGGAACAACATGGAAGTTGACAGACGAGATTTGGGAGAAGGTTAACAAGTTACGGGTGTATAGCGGAATGAACAATGTTGTGTGGGGGCAGAAATGAACAATCGACCCGCAATAACGTTAGCCCCATCCCCATCCGGCGTTGTTTTGCTGCGGTCCCATGGCTTCGGAGGCCTGGTAGCCGGCTGCGGCGGCTCCAGCGGCGGCCGCTTGTGCTCCGACGCCGGTTTGTTGTCTGAAAAGGGAGATTAGGTGCTTTTTCAATACCGGGGATCCTACTACGAGTGCAAATATGCCCAGCGTTTAGTAGCAAACATTTCAATAGTTATATATTACTATTTTGAGCTCGCTTTCAAGTGGAAAATCTACTAGAAAACGCGGGAAAGCACTTAGAAGCTTCCATTTTGCACGAAAATGTGCCATGTTTTGCGCAAAAAATCCGTTTTGAACGTTTAAAAATAGTAGAGCTATATTTTATAGCACTGTTATATAACTCCCCAAAACGTTTTCGGACGAAGCCATGCTATTTTTTTTGTCGAAAAACCCACATTTTCCTATTTTTTAACGTATATTAATACTCAAAAACAGTGTAGAAAAAGTTAATCTGCTCCTATTACAAAAATTCAAGCCTAGAAAATTTGTGCAAACGATGTTGCCAAGAACCGGAGGCTGAAAACGGAAATTACCGGAAAAGAAGACAAATCTAGATAAAAATTTACCTGAACAGGGCGTACAGATCCTCGTAACGTTCATGCTCGCGCTTCAGCTCCGTCTTCAGCACGAGAATTTCGGCCTCGTAGTCGGAGCAGCGGCGTTGCAGCTCGATGAGACGTTGGTCTTCCATCATACGGGAGCGTTTCGGCTCGTAGTAATCATCCAATGGCGGGGCGCCGCGACGCATCCCGCCTCCGCCGTAGCCGCCTCCCATTCCGCCACCGCCGCCACCACCATAGCCGCCGCCCATCCGGCCGCCTCCACCACCACCTCCGCCGCCGCCGCCCAATGGCACATGAGCCGGGTAGCCACGTCTTCTAAAAAAGATGATTTAGTTCCGAAACGAGTGCGCTAATTTCAGTAGATTTTTACAAAACCGTGGGAATTGAAAGTTTTGATCATGAAGCAGCAGTTTCAAAACGTGTTTCAAAAGTGTTCTTGCTAAATCTATATTTCAAGCGGAAACCATCTAGAAAACGTAGAAAACGCTTCAAACAATGAAAAATTTCTCCAAAGCCGGGCTGTTTGGCCAAAAATGCGATATTTTTGGAATAGAAACTTATAAAGATGGTCGTTTACGTATTTTAAAAGTTTTTGATAAATTTATCTATATTTCAAGGGGAAACTATCTAGAAAACGTAGGAGAACGCTTCAAAAAAGTGATAAAATTTTCGAAAATTGCCATTTTAGCCAGTTTTCATATTATAACATTGAATTCTGAGGGGGGAAAAGCTCGTTTCCCCATCCACCACAAAAAAACGCGTTTTTCAGAACCTGACGAGTTCAGCAAGTCACTTTCAATCCCCACGATTTGCAAAAATCAAACCGAATTTATGCCGATTAACCCCAAAAACCCCTCTCCGACAAAAGCCAGCGCCCAACCAATTCCAAGAAAAAAACCCGGCGGACCTGCGCTCGCGCTCTTCCTCGAGATTCACATGCCAATAGCGACAACGCGCGGCGCCGCGATTGCATTTGCCGGTTTGGTACTCCTTGCAGACGGGGATGCCGTTGATCATGTCGCCCTGGCTGACGGCGGCAATAGCGCGGGCCAAGGGGAGCGTGACTTCGCGCGTGGCCTTGTAGCGCTCGGCCTCCTCCTTAGGCACATGCACGAAGCGGCAGTTGTGGCGCGTGCACCCGCGATTCTGAAATGGCGCAAAGGTCTGAACGGGGAGTGGTGCGACACGAAAATGGGGGGATGGATGACCTTTTTTGCGGAAGGAGGCCGCGCCTACGCATCGCAGGTTAGACCCCGGGGGGGAGGACGAGAGACGATGGGAAGGAAGAGCCTCGGAATCCACGCCTTCAAACTTTTAGGTGAAAATGGAGTTTAACTATGGGATATAGGTGTTTTGATAAAGCTTTAAATTCTGAGCAAGTCCTTTCTTTGAAAAAGTGCTGAAATTCTACGACCGTCCACTAGGTTCCAAAAGCCTAAAAAAGTTTTTCTCGAGTAACGAAAAAAAAATTAAGGCCGAAAAAACCAAAAAAAAATCCTTTTTAGGAAAAATTAATTCAGAAAATTTAATCCCGAATCTACTAAATCTACAAATTTCCACCATGAACGTTCTCGAGCAGCAATTTTTTACAGAGCGGACCTATTCGGATTTTCGAGCTTTATCAAAAGGGCCATGTCCCATCGCAATCACTCAATTATCACCTAAACAACGACGGGCGAGGATCGAACTCGGGAAGGCAGTGAATTTCGGGGGCAACAATTTCACCCGTGTATACCTGATAATCGATGCAGAAGTTCACTTGATCACTGTTTGGCTTCTGCTCATGGTCGGGCGGGTGGTAGAATTTGCAGTTGCTGCCCCGGTTGCAAATGTTCTTGAGGAAGTCGCGGCAGACGTTCCCGCGGTCGTGGCCACGGTCTCGATCCCCGCGGTCGCGTCTCGGGCTTCGGCTTCGGCTGCGGCTCCGTTGATCTTGACGGTCACCGCGATCGTCGTGGCTGGCGATCACAGGCTTTTGAAAAAATACGGGTTTTTTTGAAGGTGCAATAAAATTTTTGGTTCTGGTCATAAAATTCTAAAAACCAACGGCTTCTTGTACGTTTCCGTTGTCCTCGTGAAAATCGATGTGCGGCTTCTCTTCCTCGGCCTGTTGGACGACGGCCTGCTCGTGATGCTCCGCCTGCTGTTGTTCGGCGGGTTGCTCTTGCTCTGTATCACCCATCTGGAAAAAAAGGCAAATTAGCGGCCCAAAAACGAGAACAAGTTGTTCAAGTAGATCGAGGATAACATGAGCGTGAAAAAAAAGTATTTTATCGAGCGAAAAAAAGCCAAATTTCCATACGGCAATCAATAAAAACTCTAGAAAAGCAAAAATTCGCCGCCCAAAAACGAGAACACGCTTGAGAAAGCATATCGAAGTAAGCGATAGTCTCTTTAATCGTAATTTCGCGAATCAAAAAGGCCAATACTTTCCTTACGCCATAAAACTAATTTTCACTAGTTTTTGAGGGCCGGAAATTCGATACAAGGCAAACGTTCAATCGGCGTTTACACTATTAGCTGTTGGCCAGATGTTAGCGCGCAAAAAGCCGGCAAAAACGCGTTTCAAACGAAGAGAAAGAGCCGAGAAGCGGCCGTATCAACCATGGCAATGCAACCCCAAATCAATGGCGAGTAGCCAGGGGCCCGTGCAGAGGTGTCCCGCGTAGCCCCGGCGGCCGAAAATAGCTCAAAGCTTGTAAAGTGTAAATAAAAGGATACAAGAGCAAAAGTTCTAGTTTAAAAATGCTATAATTTTTATAAAGGATAAATTGGTGTTATTTTCATTTTGGGGTTAACTGGAGCTGAATGTCAGATGGTGGGGGACAGATGTAGGTTTGAAAAAAGGGTGTCAGCGCCGAAAAGAGGGTTTTGGCACACTATTGAGTTTTGAGTTTATCATTTACAGGGACTCGCAGAGGTTTTTGGCACCAATAGTGGCCTGAATTCGGTGAATATTAGGAAAACCAATACCCCAGAGACGATAATTTGCAGAAATTAAGCTTTGGAGGTCTAAAGACATCTCTTAATTTCACATAATAGCAGCAATGAGACAGACATTTAGTAATTTACCCGAACGAAGCGGGAACCCGATATATATTAGGAAAAACGAATGCCGTGATCAAGGGAAATTTAGAAATTACAAAGTTTGGAGCTAGACAGCACTTATTGAGTTGAAACGAACCTGTTGAAAAGCATAAATGTGTTATTTTTGGCCAGAAACAAGCTAATTCCATCAAGATTTCCGTTTTTAGAGGCTAAACTCAATTCTTTTATGTTAGTGGGGCGCGAGAGTCGGGGCGAATTGTATCCCCATGTAGCCGGTCGCCTTCTAAACGGCACCCCGGCGTAAAAGCGTGGCAATCCAAATTGGGGGGCTAAATGAGGGGAAGAGGCAACCTTTACGGGCCAAGTAGCTAAATTCTTGCAATAGCTGCCGATTTTGAAAAACTAACGGAATCCGGCATCATTTGCTTACTTTGATCAAATGGTGGAGGCCAATACTAACGCGGATTGTGCTGAAAATGGGTATAACAGCGTGGAAATTGGGGTGTTTCTAGGTTTTTCTTGTTTTTCTTTGGCTCTGGCTTACTTTTAGAAACTGTTGACGAGCTTTTCTGTTTCCAGGTCGATGGGCGAATCTACAAGAGGGCAATATGCCAAGGTTTTCTTCGCCGTCAGCGCGTATTGGTATGTTTTGAATAGAATTTATGGCTTATGGACATGATTAGGGTATAGAAACCTCCAAAATTTCAATTTCAGGGTCTTCTCCATCGGCCTCGTCTTCCTCAACAAGTATTTATTAAGTGGACAAGACCAAGTGCGCTCAAATTACTTGCCCAACTTCGTTTTTTTTTTAGCTCGATGCGCCGCTCTTCGTCACCTGGTACCAATGCGTTGTGACGGTGGCGCTGTGCTTTCTACTCTCAAAGCTCAGCCAGTCCTTCCCGAACACCGTCCACTTCCCGAAGATGTACCTCGACCAGAAGCTGTCCCGCGAGGTTTGTTTGGGTTTTAAAACGCTATAGCTTTTTTTCAGGTGCTTCCGCTCTCTATCGTCTTCGTCGGCATGATCGGCTTCAACAACCTGTGCCTGAAGTACGTCGGCGTCTCTTTCTACTACGTTGGACGGTCATTGACAACAGTATTCAACGTGGTACGTGCATTTTCAAAGCTTTTTTCGGCCATGAATACTCGCGAAATGATAAGAGATTTCGGAAGACTTTCTCATGCTCAAAACTCGTTATCCCTGTACTTTCAGATCTGCACCTACCTGATCCTCGGGCAAAAGACGTCGGGCCGCGCGATCGCCTGCTGCGGATTAATCATCGGCGGCTTTTTCCTGGGCGTTAATCAAGAGGATGTCGCCGGTCCGTTGATTCGAAGATATTCTGTATTTTCTGATTGTTTCAGGCTCGCTCTCGGTCTCCGGCGTCGTCTACGGGGTGTTGGCGTCGCTTTGTGTGGCGCTGAACGCCATCTACACATCGAGGTGAGCTAAAAGTTTAACCAGTGGCCAGGGTTGAAAAGCCGCTTCGCGACTTTTCATCCTGGCCCCGTCTGACCCCATTTTATCCTTGACTTTGCATATAATTATCCTAAATTCGGATTAAAAAAATGAAAAACGACCTCTCGTGTCCATTTATATAGTCGAATCCCCACTTCCGGTCTATGCTAATGATTCCTAACAAAGAAGTTGTCACAAGAACTTAAATTTAATGTCGAAAATAGGTGATTTTGTTGAATCTCGGATGCGTGCCGTCATTTCCAGGCCATTACGCACCTAATGACGTATCATACATACCTTAAAATTCATTCCCTATCGAGATATCTACCGGACGGACAGACGGAAGTGGATGCAAAGTGGCACACACAGACACTATTTTTTCATATCGTAAGATAAACCGGTTTGATTCAGAAGTCTCTCCTGTGTCGGCGACTCTATTTGGCGGCTGACGATGTACAACAATCTCAACGCTATCTTCCTCTTCTTGCCACTGATGTTGTTTAGGTAAAAACAAATCGCGTTTTTCAAAAACTATATGAATCTAGCGGTGAATTCGGGACCGTTGCCTTCTTCCCGGGCCTCTTCTCGCACACTTTCTGGACGTTGATGACAATTTCCGGGGTCTTTGGCTTTATGATGGGCTATGTGACCGGGTGGCAGATTCAGGTAGGGACCGAATGTGTGCAGAATCCTACTGGATACAGGGTGTCCAAAAAAACAAGGTCACGCTGGCATTTTTCCATTTCAAATCTGATCGACTTGAAATTTAGAACAGAAGTGCGGAGGGAAATTTAAAATATTCACAGAAACTTTCAGCCCGCTGGCCATAGTAGTTTTCGAGTTATTGCAAAAATACGGTTTCTACAACACTTTTGCATCATTTTTTCGGCTAGCTTTTTGGACTTTGCATCAATTAACTAAATCCCTCATTCATCTAAACATCGGGGATGCGAATCCTACTATCCTACTATATATAAAAAAATAGTGTCTGTGGGTGTGTGTGCATTTGCATGCAACTTCCGTCCCCGTGTCCGGAGGATATCTCAACAGGGGAAGGGCTGTAAGACGACGTATGATACGTCATTAGGTGCATAACGGCCTCGAGATGACTGCACGTATATCAGATTTTGCAAATTATCCTATTTTCGACGTTAAAATTAAGTTTATCATGAAAAATCGAAGACCCACTTTGTTAGGAATCAATTAACATAGACCGGAAGTAGCGCAAGCCGATATATGGGGGCACAGGAAGTGATTTTCATTTTTTTGTTGTCGGAATTCTAGAGAATTATGCAAAGTGAAGAACACCATGTGGTTAGACGGGGTCCAGGGTTGAAAAGTCGCGAAGCGGCTTTTCAACCCTGGTACCTAGTTAAAATTACTTAAATCGCCGATTTCCAAGTCGAATTTCGCAAAATAAAAGTTCCTAGGGCAAAAAAGGGTCGACGCTTCATTTTCTCCATACATTCCAAGGCCCAATTCCGACGAAATCTAGGCTAGAAAAGATAAAATAAGGTTTATTTTTGCAATAACTCGAAAACTACTGTAGTTAGCGGGCTGAAAGTTTCTGTGAACATTTTAATAAAATGAGGACGAGAGTCCAAAGGGTCCGAAGGCGCAGAGACATTTTCTTTCCGCGCATGATCGATTGACTTATGCCGCCCCTATCCCTTTAAATTCGCTTCCGCGCCTCTGTTAAAAATTTCAAGTCGATCGGGTTTGAGATGGCAAAATGCAAGCGTGACCTTTTGAATTGGGACACCCTATATATCAAAAATAGTGTCTGTGTGGGGATTTGCATTCAACTTCCGACAGCCTTTTTTCCGGGAAGCGTTCTTTGGGAGGGAAAGAAATGTCATTAGGCGTAGAATGGTCCGGAATCGACTGAATAAATGTTTTGAAAAATTGCTGTTTTCGATATTAGAATTAGGTTTTTGTAAAATTGGCGACCAATTTCTTTGTTGGGAATCAATTGGCATACGCCGGAAGTGAAATGGCTGATAAAAAGGAAGAGAGGGCGGGCTTCTTTTTTGGTGATCGGTTTCAAGAGTTTCGGCAAGAAGTATGCAAAGTCAATAACTTCATCGATCCTAGACCGGGCCCGGGTTGAAAAGTCGCGAAGCGCTTCGCGGCTTTTCAACCCTGGTAGAAAGATAATTCAAGGCAACATCACCTCTGACGCACAACATCTCCGGCACGGCCAAGGCGGCTGCGCAGACGGTGATGGCAGTCACCTACTGGAGCGAGGTCAAGCCGTTTTTATGGTCAGTTTAAAGCCAATCTTACGTCGGGTGGGGCGGTTCCGGTTTTGCCTTTATTTATTCAACGAAGATAAATAATCTAGTGTTACGACACTGTTTCTGCAATTCCGAAACGTAACAATTGATTTGTTTCGATCAAAGAAAAATCCGGTGGACCCGGTGGTGATAAATCGTTGGGCTGAACGCGGCATAAAAATGTACAGCGTGAAAACGAAGCAAATTTTTCAGGTGGTGCAGCAATGTCGTTGTGCTGTTCGGCTCGGCGTTGTACACGTGGATCAAGATGCTTGTGAGTGGAAATGATTTTTTTCGATTTTAAAGATTTAAAAGCACCTCGAACCAATGCTTCGAATTTATTGGTGTAATTTACCTTCTGGGGTTCGGCTAGAGTACTAAAATACGCCACAAAATTTTCGAAGATGTGACCATTTGAAGGGATTGCCTTCGAAGTTATGACTTTTCCAGTTTTGAGAATCTATCGAAATTATGAAGTGCAGTCGGTTGAAAATCCATAAAAAAAGCCTTGAATCTTTATAAGCTTTCTTTTTCAGGAGAACCGACGACGTGTCGTCGACCCGCCCGCCCGGAAACCCGATCAGCAACGGCTGCTGTCGCGCAACGACGAGGGCGATGAAAGTGCCGTTTAATCTGTTTTCCCCCCATAGTTCCTGATTTTAGAATTCGCTCGTTAGGAGTGACGCGTAGCTGTGTCCGCTTGAAAACTAGACCGAAACGAACCGTACTTTTCAAACAAATATGCGTCATTTTTAACGGTCATGTAATCTCTTTTATGTGTTGCAATGACTAATCCCAATATAGCCAGCTTGTGTTCGATGCGTAGGGTGCTGATTGTGCTGATTATAGGGAGCGGGGACGGAACCCGGAATTTTTTGATGTTCGGGGGAGGGGAGAACAAAATTTACCTGAGGATCCAATTTTGATAACAAAAATGGGAAAGTAGTTTTTACCCTGTATTTCACGCGGCGTGCCTAAAAAAAGTTCATCAGTTTGATTAAAAATCCAACAAATTCGATTACTCGGCAAAAATGGCCGGTTTTCGAACAAATAATGGAATTTTTAAATGTTTTCCGAAATAATTTGCCACAAATATCCTAAATTTTTGTAAAAATGTATAAAAATTCTTGTTTCCCAACTCACAATGGGTATAAGGGAAACGTCCCCCCTCACCTAAATGCGAGAGGACAGCTTGTTGTGATGTGCATTACTTTACTGTAGCCCTGTGTGTCACTTGAGCTTATCAGGAGCCCTGACCTGTTATCCCCATCCTTCCCTCGATTTATTCTTGAAAATTCCTGTCTTTTCGCTATATTGTGCGTACCCTTGTTCATACAGCTATTTCCATGTTGCAGTATTACCGTCAGGAGAACTGTGTGATAAACCCCATAAGAATAAATGGATGTGCGGCATAAACTTGTCCAAGCCTAAGCCTACCACGGTTATCCAGAAATTCAAAACGATTCGGCAGTCGAAGCACCTAGTCATGGCAGACGCAAATGTGCTGATGGCCTTGTGCAATGGTCCTTAATTCAGCGGCGACCTCATTTTTTTGCTTTATTTTTAGGGTCGCTCCTCGTCTCCTGCGTCTCTACGCGGTGTTGAATCTGTTCCGGTCTCGATCAACGCCATCTACACGTCTAGGTGAATAAGTGCGCCGCCAAAGTGAAAAGGGCACATTTAGATGGCTCTCCTGTGTCGGCGACTCTATTTGGCGACTGACGATGTACAACAACCTCAACGCCATCCTCATCTTCTTACCGCTGATGTTGTTCTGGTAAAAGTTACGCTAAATTTGTACCAAGCAAAATTTAGCGTTGAATTCGGGACCGTTGCCTTCTTCCCGGGCCTCTTCTCGGACACGTTCTGCACGTTGATGCCAATTGCCGCGTCTTTGACTTTATGATGGGCTATGTGACCGGTGGTTCAGGTAGGGCCTTAATTTGCACAGGATCGAAATATATAACTCAAGGCAACATCACCTCTGACGCACAGATGGTGATGGCCGTCACGTATTGGAGCGAGGTCAAGTCGTTCCTGTGGTCGGTTTCTTACAGATTTGTTTTGTTTTTATAATACCTTGAAACATGGAAATATTAACTAAACTGCCCACTGAAATGGTCAATTTTTGCAACTTTTAGGCGCTTTTGCAATATCGGGGGAGGTAAAACTTTTTTATTTCCCACTTTCTCTAGTAAAAAAAATAGAGGAAGCATTTCTACACCTTTTCTAGCATTTTCTAAACGGTTGGCGTACATGATTTCGAAAATCACCATTTCAAAAATCAGCATTTCCACCATCACCAATCCGAAAATGACATTTTCGAAAATCATCATTTTGAAAGTTACCATTTCTGAAAGTTACCTTTTGGAACTGTGGTGGCCATTTCAGACATGGGTGTAAAACTTGCAATGTCGACAAAGTCACTCTTTTTAGCGGCGCCTCCGGATATGCTTAGTGAAGATTAACTATATCTCCAGTGGAAAGAAAGGCTCTCGAACCTCAAACCAGTCAATAAAAACCATATTTTTCTGCGACTCGGAAATGGGCATTGCTAAATAGCTTTTCGAAATGGTGACTTTCCAGATGGTGATTTTTTAAATCATAAATGGAAATCTTTCGAAGCCTAAAGATTTGATTCATGCAGAAGTGATTCGATCGGGCAATAGAGAATTTTCGACTAAAAATGGCGGACTTTCGACCAAGTTTTACTTTTTAAGGCTGTCTTTTAGATTTTTCAGAAATTAGGATTCCCGGATATAAGGAATAAGTTTTTCTGCACATTCAGAAGTCAGAAATGTCCCGTTTTAGAGGAGAAATAAGTAAATGCAGGTTTGCAACGAGTTCGGGCCGATTTTTGCTCATTCACTCGATTTACCGAATTTTCACCGCGCTGTTTCGTTGCTCCAACCGCCAAAATGTATATTTCAATGCCCACTGCATCGTCCTGTCGGAATATTTGTTTTTATTTGGTGTGTGATTCGGCAACTAGAATCTACTTCTTTTGGCTTTGCGGATCTTCTTTTTTGTCATTTTCTCCCACGCGGAATTTGCGACATTGAGAATGCCCGGGCAGGCGCAAGTTGGCTGGAACGAAGCGCCCGATGGCCCTAGCGGGCTGATAAATCGCCAAGTTGGGCGCAGAATAAAAACTTGACTGGGGGTCGAAAAAATATAAAAAATTCAGGTTGTGCAGCAACGTGGTCGTGTTGTTCGGCTCGGCGTTGTACACGTGGACCAAGATGCTTGTGAGTGGAAATTGATGTTTTCACTTCAAAATGCCTTGTTTGCGTTAGAATTTGCCAAATTTAAAAAAAATAGAAAAACCATTCTAACGCTAAAATCGTTGTTTGCCAAGAAAACCGGCGTCGTGACGTCAGCCCGCCCGCCCGGAAACCCGATCAACAACGGCTACTGTCGCGCAACAATGAGGGTGAAGAAAGTCCCGTTGACTCTGTTTTCCCCATAGTTCCTGATTTTAGAATTCGGTCGTTAGGAGTGATGCGTAGCTGCTAGACGCTTTCGAATTTTTTATTATATGTAAGCTGAGTGCGTCACTTCTAAATGCTTGTAATCTCCTATATGTGTTTGCAATAGCTAGCCCCAATTATGATCGTTGGATCATGCATTCTGCGATGCTTATACGGCACTTGTAAGATATCCGCGATTTTAAGGGTGCTTTCCTTGACAGTTCCTTGAACGTGGTTCGTTCTTTTGCCTTATTGGATTGGGGGAAGGGGGTAAATTTCTTCTTTGAGATGCAATTTTTATAAGAATTGGAGAAATTGTTGCTACCCTTTCTATTATTCCAAAGCCCATGAACTTTCTAGAGTTTGGATAAAAAGCCAAAAACCGATTTTTCGACGAAAGTTGGAGGCAAAAACGTTATCAAAATATCGGATTGCAGTTAGGCAAAAACTTGCAAGGAAATTAAGGTAAAAATTTTGTCCCCCCATAACACAAAAGAACAGCTTATTTTCCTGTAAAATACTTGGCTAAAACACCGTGTCAAATGCGCGTTTTGTCACTTCAGATCATCCACCTTAAGCCCGCAGTCAGCTCATATTAATCTCCAATAAGCCGCTGCTTTCCGGTCTAGATTTTGAATTCTCATCCGTGACTATTCCATGTGAATTATGTCACTAACTTTGAGCCATTTGGTAAATAAATACTACAAAATATACAAACGAATCGCACGCAGGACAAGCGCAAACACGGCACATGGTGACCCTGGTAAAAGCACATGCCCCCCAGGCAACTTTCGATTGATTCTTCGCGCGTCACGCCAGACCGCCAACTCAAACAATAGATTTGGCGAATACCAGGAAGGCTCTGACTTATTATTATCAACGAACATAATTTTGCTGTGATGTCCGTCCGTCTGAACCTAATTCAACTCGAAGGGGAAAGGAGCTAGAGCTAAAGTCTCTTCGGATTCGGATAGAGCGCCGTCCGAAACCCCCTAACTGATCAAGATCAGAATTTAAAAACGCCATTTTCATATAAAAAAAATCAATATTTGGATTTTGGTAGTGAAAACAGTTATTTGCACGATTTTGGGGGATAGTGAGCCAGATCGCGCGTGTTTCGGCGAGGGGAGGGAGCGCACAAGGGGTAGCCCGAAGTCCAGCCGCTTGCAGCGGCAAAGCCGCTGTTAGCGGCTGGTGATTTATATAAGGGTTTTTACAGCCTGAAAAAAACCCTTATTTGAACCTATTTTTTTGCACAGAAACTTTGACCCCCCCCCTTGACCGGGAAGAATCTATTTTTCATTATCCCAATTATTTCGCGCTGTCCTATTAACAGGGTTAACACATTTTAGCTGTCACCTCGCGCGGCAATGTCTGGCCATGACGGGCCGCGAGGAGTATCCGCCATGTTAGCAGCATTCTGGAATTATTGGCGGGTATTGTTATTCGGGAGGCCCCGCTCGCCGTTTCCTATACGAAAACTTCCTGAAGCTCTCATTTGCGCGGTACTCGATGAAGTATCCATCGGCCAGTGGCTCGTGTTACAGAAGGTCAACAGGCGGTTCAGGTCAGTCAGTTCTTATCTATTCTCATTCCGGATTCTTGAACCCCCCCCAGACAATGATCGAATAACTAGCCAGGCTTTTTCGCATTATCGGGGGGGGGGGGTCCGAATTTTTTTTTGTATAAGACCATAAATGTCTAGTAACTTAATAGCAAGTGTTTTAATAGTGTTTTTAGTAATAAGCATTATATTTCAACTGAAAAACGATCTAAAAGGTTGTAGAGAAGTTTTGATCGAAAAATCAATATTTTTGACATTTTTTAATAAAATGTTGTGTAGTTTTTACCTTAGGAAATAGCAAAAAAAAACAATATAGAAACACTTCGGCTATTGATATTTCAAAAATTAGTTCTCAAAAAATCCTTCCCCCCTCCCCCCACCGATAATGGGAAAGAATCGCTAGCTACAAAAGCATCGCAAGTCAGAATCGGCTCTGTAGGATTATGGGGGAGCAGGGTTGTTCATTTTCGGTCCGGTCCGCGTCCGTCCGGCCCGGGACGCGGACCCGTCCCGTCCGCGCAATTTGCATAAAAAAATGCGGACGAGCTGGGACGGGTCCCGGACGGGCCGGACGGACGCAGTGCGGGCTGGGGCGTCCGCGCGTCCGCGATGCAAATGACCGGAAGCACATGCAAAATCATTGCAAGCAAATTAACATTTTAGCTCGATTGTTGCCTTTTCTTGATTTACCTAGCTGCTTTACTTCGGAAAGAACGTGAAAAACCGTCATTTCATCAATTATCATGCAAGTTTTGGCTACCTGCGCTTTGCATAGCGGGCTCAGCTACTTCCTGCGTCCGAGCCCGTCCAGCCCGTCCGCTCTGCCGGAGCAATTTACTCGGACGCGGACGGGTCCGGGCCCGCGTCCGTCCGAGCCCGTCCGTGAACAACTCTGTGGGGGAGGGAACCAACTTTTTTCGGCGCATTGCGTTTTTCACATTTTTTATATATTGGTGGTGCGCTTGTACATTCCTTTTAACTGTTACTGAGCATTAAAACTTTACAATTTTTAATTACGCTAAAATCCTTAGTGTAGTCCTTCCCCCACCCCCTAGTATATCCCGGGTGAAACGTACGTAGCGTCCGTGATTCAGTATGACCGTAAATAGGTGGGTTTGGTTTTTCGGTTTCTTGCAAAGTTCATGAAAGATATTTTTGCAATTTTGATTGAAGCTTTGCTCTGGACTATTTCCAGGGCATTATTAAATTTGGACTATTTCCAGCATTTTGAGTGGTTTAATGCAAGAAATTGATTCCGCGCTTCTTTCCGCTTACATCGCTTTTGCGGCGTGAGGGCAGGGTCGCACGTTATTACAGCGTTTTTGTATTGGCACGTCGCCGAAATGTACCAGAACTATACTCGGGACTTTAGGGTAAAAATTTAATTTCAGCGCCCAGTAAATTGTTTTTGGGACCTAACACGACCAAATTTTCGACCTTTTTACAAATTTTTCAAAATTTGTCGAAAGTTTTTGTGCTTCAAATACAGGGTGTCGCAAAAAAACACCCCCTCTAACTCGACGCAGACGTATCGGATCGGAACGATAGTTACACCCTTCGATAGCCCTTCAAACGGCGAGTATTAACGGCCGCTTCCGGTCATTTTGTATGGAGAAATTGAGGCAAATTAGCTCGGATGCGACCCTGAAAAAACGTCTGCGTGGAGTTAGAGGGGTGTCTTTTTTGAGACACCCGGTATAGTCACTAAACTTGGTAAAACAACATAAAAACACTAACTAGCCGAATCACCTGGACCGTGGGGAAAGAGTTACTCCCGCCACAGGGCTTGTCGACGACTATCGGATTTGGTTTCAGGACTGAGGCCAGTGTTCGATGGTTATTTCCACGCAAATTGATGTCAGCAGATATTGTGGCGACATGGGAACCAGGCACCGATGAAAATCAAGACACACTGGATAATCAGGTCTTTTTAATAACTTTTGAGGTGTTTTAACAGGGGGGACCATTTTTTCCCTAGTAAGCTAAACCATTTTTATAGGATTACCAGCGCCCAACACCCGCTTTGCGAACCTTGGGCGCTGGAATGCGGTCTTTGCATAAACAATTTGGCTTTCCCTCATTAGCATGTTATTCGACTAAACTCGGCTAATTCGACTAAAATTCGCCTATCTGAATAAGATCTTGCTGATTTGGTTAAGCTAATCGGAATTGATTAAGGAAATTTAGCATTCGGCGAATTGTTAGTTGAATAATAATATCTCTACTTCGGACAGCTCCACTCTCCCGACCACATTCGCGATTGCAACGGGCAAGAACCAGGAAATGAGTATTTTGCACATTATGCAAATCAGCCCTCAAGCTCTCAGGACCCCAAAAATGAATAAAAGCTACTTTAACTTTGTAAACTTGTATTTTATCGGAATTCTGAAAACACCATCGGAAAGAGGGGGGTCGATTCCCGTACTGACGGAGCATTGAGGCATTTTATGCACGGGAAGGGCCCCAAATCGGGCCTCGAAAGCGATAGCCGGACACACATACGATACACGAAGACACAGACAGTTCAAAATCGGTATCACACATTGCCCACTCCACACTCTTATTCAACCTCTGAATAAAGTATATAATCGCGCGCAGTTTTTTTGCATCGTTGGTATCGTGCTTGGCAATATGCTCAAAGCTAACCAGCGTTTTATTTTCTTCGCGAAACGCTAGAAAAATAAACTTGAAAACGCGCGGATTTTTTGAGAAACTTGTTAGTGTTGGCAACAATCGGTCGACTTTCGGCTCAGCCGATCGGATGGGTCGAAAGAGTCTGAAAGGGTCGAGTCTGGAAGCCGCAAATCGGCCCTGCATCGGCCGCTTCCAGAAATGATCGGACAAGCCGAATTCTAATAGCCGATATTCAAATCCAGGACGAAAAGCCGATCGGTCCGATATTCAACACAGTTTGTAGACGTAATCGGCTTATAGAACATTAATAAAATTTTCGAAACATTTTACTTTTGAATCATTTTTCAGTCACAATTCACAATTTCATTTTTGAAAGTTTTGCGGTTTTCTAGCAATCAAAACCTATTAAAAACATTATCAAAATAGATAATTGGTGATGAACAAGTTAAACGCGCAAAAAGTATAGGCGGAAAAACCTAAATTAGCTTCCCACGCATTAAACGGGAAGCACCACTTTTTAGAAAAGCCATCGTGCCAAACCTCGCCATCATTCCGGATCCTTCATTTTTCAGATCGCGATGTCGGATGTAGGAATATGGCTTGGTGATCGATATGGCTGGACAATTAGGGTGACGAGTTTTTATCAGGATCTTTTTATTCTGAGAGAAGATGACGTTGCAAACCTCATCTCTATCAGGTAGATTTTTGATCTTTTGTGATTATTCTTTTGTTACAACGACAGAAAAAAAAATCGAATTCCTTAGAATACCGCAAGTATGGTTTCAACGGTTCCTCGATGTTTTCGCAGCGTCACCCATCTGCACCAAAGAGCTTTCAATTAAATTTGGGGAAAATCACGCGCCGGTGAGCAATTACTAATGAAGGCAAGCAAGCACAAAATGGCAGCCCAAGAAAAGGTTAGGCCGAAACAAGGGATCCTGGTGCTTTGGCAATATCGGGGGGCGGGGGGGGCGGGGAGGGTAAATCTGTTTCCTACAAGCCCAGAAATGCCCAGCAAGTTCATAATAAAAGAACTCGTACTGAAAGGCGATTTAAAACATGGAAAGTGCTTTCGTTCAGATTTTGGTAACTAACAAACTATAATAATTTTTGCTGTGGTGTATTTCGGTCCGAAATGAAATACAACTCGAAGGAGAAAGGAGCTAGAGCTTACCAGGAAGCCCCCCCCCCCCCATCAGCTCGAAGTTCGATTTTCGTTAGTGACAAAGTTAATCTTATGCGGTTTTTTACGCTGAATCCGAATATGCAGCTCATTTTTGCGAAGGCCCTTTAGCTTTCGAGATATAAGCTATTTTTCTGTAACTCCCTGGTAAAAAAACCAAAAATAATTCTATTGAGCCATGGTGAAAAAACATGGAAGAAAAAACCATTAAAATTTAAATTCCGGAGAGAAATCGTTTTTTTTTAGTCTTTCGAGAAAATTCATTGCTCTAGGAGACGCGCGTAAGCTGATAAGCAGATCCCACAGGCCGGAGGGGGCGTTCGATTGGCTGATTGGTTGGCGTCTCGCTTTCCAAACAGGCGACGGGGGTTCGCACCCCGCCGAGTGCTATTTATTTAGCTTTTTGTGAGTTCATCCCCGAACAGAAACCACCCGCACCTTTAAAATTCAGAAAAAAGAAAACAAATTTGAAATTTTGACCTGGGATCAGGATGGTCGTCTCGGACCCGGGTCGGACCTGGACTCGTACCCGGACCCGGACCCACCCGGACCCAGGCCTGGGAATTTTGCGGGCTGGCCGGCCCGGCCCGGCCCGCCAGCCCGATTTCGTCGGCCCGGCCCGGCCCGGCCCGAAGCGATTTTTCTCGGCCCGGGCCCGGCCCGGGCCGGGCCGGGCCGGGCCGGCCCGACTTTTAAGGGTCAAATAGGGGGTTGGCCAAAAAACTCCCGCCAAGCTGGTTTAACACCATTGCAAGGTATTTTGCTGTTAATACGGTATTAGTGGACCATTTTTGCAGCACTTCTGTTAATAAAATTTAAATTTTAAAGTTATAACAATTTTTAAGAGTTAAATATCGACCGATATCAGGGTAATAATGTTAAATTAAGCCATTTCGAGTTTAAATTCGCCATATTAATATATATTTTGGGTCTTAGTTTAGTACTACGATACATACTGATACATCTAAGAAAAAAATCCGGTCGCGCTGACATAAAAATTCAAAAAGCAAAAAAAGACGCCGGGCGGGGTCGAACCTGGACCGATTTCCTGGTAGGGACTTAGTCAAGAAAAGGACCAAATTTTTATTGAGGCTGTAGAATAACGCCAAATCGACTATTCGTGAGCGAAAATATGCAAAATAAGTCCCAATTTCCCCCCAAAAAAGGGATTTTTAGACTATGTAAACCCCCCGGGCCGGCCCGGCCCGGCATTTTTCAATTTCTCGGCCCGGCCCGGCGCGGCCCGAAAAATGCCGATTTTTCTGGGCCCGGCCCGGCCCGCAAAATTCCCAGGCCTGCCCGGACCCACATAAATTTGCATGGGCCCGGGTGGGTCCGGGTCCGGAAATGCCGCAAGATGCAAATGTAACAGCATCCTCTTCTTCTTCATAGGATCTCTCATCATCGGACGAATAGTTGTCCATCTGTTTTTCTTCGTGATCCTACTATATATAAAAAAAATAGTGTCAGTGTGTGTGTGTGAGTGTGTCCGTGCGACTTTGCATACAACTTCCGTCAGCGTGTTCCAGTAGTATCTCAAGAAGGGGGGCGGTTAGGGGTATGTTTTATACCTCATTAGGTGCGTAATGACCGTGGGATGACTGCACACGCATAAAATGTTCAAAAATTCGGTGTTTTCGATGTTAAAATTAAGTTTTTTGTTGAAAAATCGAGCGCCCTTTTTGTTAGGAAACAATTAGCATATTCCGGAAGTTACGGTAGCCTATATAAGGGAAGAGAGGTCGCGTTTCTCATTTTTGTCATCGAAAATCGCGTGAATTATGCAAAGGGCAGAAAATCATGGGATCAGACGGGGCCAGGGTTGAAAAGTCGCGAAGCGGCTTTTCAACCCTGGTTTGGGTCTAACTTACCAACCCACAAAAGCAAATCAATAGGAAAGCAAGTCCTTTGAAAAATGACTAACAACTAGGGTTGTTTCTCGGAACAGACCGAGTTTCGGAACTTTCGGAACGAAGACTGGTCGGAACGATCCGAGTTTCGGGTGTTCCGGCTGTTCCGAGATTCAAATGTTGCGGTTGTTCCGAGATTCATATTGTTCCGGCTGTTCCGAGATTCGGAACAGTCCGAGATTGAGGTGTCCCGAGATTCAAATTTTTTCGTATGTAAATTTCGATTTCATGTAAATCGTGTAGATTGCATGTAAATGTTTCGACTTGGCCGCCCCACGGCAGTGTGGGCGCAACTGAACAGCTGATTCCGTCGATGATTAGATATCGAATCCGGAAATTAGGGAAATTAGAACGAATTGGGGATCGAATCGAATCGAAATTCAGTCGTGTTTGGAAATTTACATGCGAAAAAATTTGTATCTCGGAACAGCTCAATCTCTGACTGTTCCGAATCTCGGAAAAGTCGGAACAGCCAAATCTCGGGACCGTCGGAACAATATGAATCTCGGAACAACCGCATCATTTGAATCTCGGAACAGCCGGAACACCCGAAACTCGGTTCGTTCCGACATTCGGAACAGTCGGGACGGTTGCTGTTCTGAATGTTCCGCATCTCGGCCTGTTCCGAGAAACAACCCTACTAACAACGGATCAAAACTATACATCGGAAATCATGCAAATGACCCCGGACCCACCCGGACTCATCCGGACCCGGGCCCGGTCGGACCCATCCAAAGTAGGGCAGATTGCAATAAGCCGCAGCTTCGGAATCAGCGTAGAAAAACTGCATCAGATGAACTATCTCAGCAGGGAAAGTCGAATTTCGAGCTGGTGGGGGTTTCCTTGTTAAGTCTGTTAGGTCCGCTGTGCGCCGCTGGTTTTTTTTTTGCTAGATATCGATATTGGCATCGGCTTCCCGGCTATTGGTGCTGTGCTTCGGATTTGGCCAAAGCGCCGGGCAAAATAAAGGAATGTCTGCCGTCCAATTAAAACATTTTTAGCGGATGAGAGAATTTCTACCAGCAGAAGAACGTTACGATTTGGGCAACAGGCGCTGCATTGATGTAAGCTTAAAATTCAACAAACAAATTTACAAGGGAAGGTTTTTTGAGGTCGGTCAGGTATTACGACATATGGTACAATTCAAATAGGCGGGGGGAGAGAGTAGGCAGAGGGGGTGCATAGAGAGCAGGGCGGGCGCAGAGACGCAGGTTGCCACTTCGCCTAAATCCCCCCCGCCTATTTGCATTGTACCCGGCATATGATACATGATACCGGTTTTTTTTGCTGATCAACGTTGGCCTTCCCTATCCCTTTAAAACCACCAATGGGAGTCACGCGACCGGAAAATTGAAGGAACGATAATTGCTTCACCATCAGATTGCCCGGCTTATCCGTCCGTTCGTTGCTGTGAAAAGTCTGACGTTGCGGCTGCCCAAGAATCGGCTGTTTCGAAACATTCAAGCCAATTATCGCTGTGGCGCTCAGGTGTTGGAAATATACATGGTACGTCGGGCATGATCATGGGAAACCAGAGGCCGGCGAAACAACAGCCGGGGGCGAAGCGTGGTCTCCTTTAGCGTTCAGCGCGATCCACACTTGCTCGTCCCCCATCTTCCATGCAACTACGAAAATTTAGCAAGAGGATCCCAGCGAAATTGTGCGATGTCGTCGATGCCGAACGGTAACGTAACTGAAACGCCGAATGTTTCCAGCCCAATAGAGCAAATCGAACAACTGAAACTTGACTAGAGCAAAGCCATAGTTTAAAGGGATGCCCGGCCGTTCGGGGCTCAAAAAGCAAAAAACCATGGCGCGGGCTTTCTAGGCCTGGATGCTATCCATTCGGCCATAGTGGCAAGCCATTGGGCGGGATGGAGACGCGACAAGAGAGAAAGGGCTCCGAATTCTGTGCGGCAATGGGCCCTCATTGCCGCACAGAATTCACGCGTCAGTTGTACTGCCCGGAAGACATTTGCCACCAAAACCTTGGGTATCCCTTTAATGAGAGATTATGGTTTTGCTTCGAAGGGCCGGTTTTGCCCATATTTTACCTCCCCCCCCCCCGCCTCCCAGCAGCCCGACCTAAGCAAAGAATTGTGCAGCGGGTGGGAGTCGAACCTGCGATGGTCACCCCACAGCCTAGCGCGCTAACCAGTACACCAGGGCGCCGACCTGGCCTACGCGGCGAAAAGGTCTAAAATACCCCAGGGGTGTTTCACATGCCGTTTCCGGGTATCTCGATTTAGCCTGCGCAGAAATTAGGCTTTGCATAAGAATTACGAATTCCGAATATGAATTATGTCGATAGTAGCGCAGCGTCGGTCCGTCACCCCGACGGACGCCTGGACATCTTTCTCCAGCCCTTTAAAGGGCCCTTGGAAAGCTGGCCGAGGGTCCGCAGGGGTGAGGGACCGACGGGGGACTACTTTCGACGTAATTCATATTAGGAAGTCGTCATTTTTATCCAAAGCGCCATATTGACGCATGTCAAAGTCAGAAAAGGGAAAACGGTCGGCGCGCAGTCCCAAACCTTTTTGAATCCCTTTCCTTACGCCCGGCTAGGCATCAGGGTAGATTGGCTAGCTAGCATCTTAGGCTGTGGGGTCCAGTATCCCTGGTTCGACCACCGCCTGGTGCAATGTTTTTTTGCTTTTTCACCAATTACATCTTTCCAGGGGCCTTTAATATTGTCGCGAAACGGGCTAAATTTCTGAGGCCTTTCCGACGAAAAATTTTTGACAAAAATTCGGCGGCAAGCATCCGGTTTTGGCCCGACTTTTAGCACCTACCGTAACCCGGCATTCTAAAACACAATTTGTCTAACTAGCGAAGCCCGAATAGCCTCGGACTCAGGATTGGAAATGAAAATTTGCACACCAGATAGAATCGACCACGCTGATCATCACCTCGTTCTCCAAATTTGCTACTGGTCTTCAAAACTCGAGATCTGCCACTTTTAAAGTGCCACTTCATGCTCGATTATTTTGATCTCCCTGCCCGATTTTGCAAAAATAAATTTCGCCATCGTATTCAAAAGATTATTCTCTTTCGAATGAGCCCTGTAACTCAAAATTTACGAAAATTCGAAAAATTGACGATACTTCTTGGTATGGACTTCGCTTTTTGTATGTGAAACAGTGAAAAACGGCCTACTTCAAACAGCTGTAAAACGTCGTCTAGACGAAGCCTACCTTAATGAAATATGCCATTCGAATTAGAAAAAAATTCTCTATCAGGTAGGCTAATTGAAATAAATTAGAACTTCAAAATAAAAAAAAGAACGGCATCAGGGCAAAACGTTTCTCGGTGGCCAAAATCGACACTAAAACTTCAACATCTCGAGTTTTAAAGATCAGTAACAAATTTGGACAATGAGGTGATGATCAGCATGGTCGATTCTATCTGTATGCAAAATTTTAACCAATTCTGGGTCCGGGTTTATACGGGCTGCCCTAGTAGGATCTTAGACCATTCAAACAAGAGCGGCACAGTACCTTTAAAGTAAGTACAACGTTCATTTTTTGTAGCCATTTGTCACCGAGAGCAGCCGATGGAACTGCAGTATCTGTACATCAATGTGGAATGGAGACTGGATGCGCGGCGGTGATGGCGAAAGCTGTACAAACGGAATGGAGCTTAATGAAGTCCGTTTCATCAGCAACAGTCCGGACCTTGCGGGCATGCTGATGATTGTCGATGTGAGTTCCTATCAGGATCATCTATCCGGGTTTACTGCTCGATTGTGCGTCAAAAAAGTACGCCGGGGGAATCTCCCATAAACAAGTCCATTGTTGTAACATAACCTAGGTTGTTTTGACCAAAGTTTTTTGGTGTTTCCAGGTTATCTGGGGGGAGGGGGACGCAAATGGCCAGGCCGCAAATGTCATTTAGTGCCCCCCCCCCCGCCCCATTACCTTGTGTGTGCCTCATGCATTACGCTTTCAGGTTGCATTGTGCCCGACAAGGCCACAACAGCCTGGAATGATTCATATCATCCAATCGCCGCCACCGCCGGATGGCAATGAGAATGAGGCACCTCGGCTCAATGATCCCGGCTTCTCGGTGTGGTCACAATAGTGTATACAGGGTGTCGCGAAAAAGCACACAATTCGTTTCTACGAAAAAATTCCATCCCCCGATAATGGTTAAGAACCTATGATTGAACAACAAGTTTGCAGCGACCTTAGAGGTTGCCCGATCCACGCCCGCAGCGTTGCTTGCTGGCAAATAGTCAGATACGGCCACAGCGCGACCGCGCCGCATGTTCTGTCGCCCCTGTTTGGACGGGAACACGCGTTCATTTCAAAATTCGCACACTATTTCTGGGATCCTCACACAAGTTTGATCATTCTAGTCGTTTTAATTATTAACATTCGCGATAGAATCACCGAGACCGAGAAACTGGGTGTCCTACAGGGCATTACGGCAGGTACGCTGCGCTTGCGCTCAAAAACAGACAGACTTGCGCCCAAAACATTCATTTTCGCCCCGAACACATTTCGGTGTTCTCAACTATTTTGCATTTTTTCGCAACGAAAGCAATTTTCCGGGGGTGTTCTCAGCAGTAACCGTTTCGTTGTTTGACCAGCAGGTTCAAGCGCCGCACGCGCGAATTTTGACTTCCTAGCCCCTTTAAGGCAGACAGACATCAGTCCAAGAACTGCTGTATATCCTGTCATCGCATTAAATTCGATAATCCGCCGGTTACAGCGCGACTTCAAAACACTGGTAGAGACGGTGCACAACGGCGCCCTAGAATTTCTCGATGAAGCAGCAGCTGGGACTGAAGCCATCAAAGAGAGGATGCGTGAACAGGTGATTTTCAAAAGTTAGAGCATACTGTCTTGTGTGGCAACAGCCTAAAACAGGCTTATCTACTCAGTCTTATTGTGAAACCAGCGCCTCAAACCCGCTTCGCGGACCCTGGACTTCGCGGACCCTGGAAATCGCTGTTTTGCATGAGTAATTTGACCTTCCGATAGCTCGGGTCCATCGGACCCCTCCCTTTTCCCGACCACACTCATGGTGCACCTGGCAAAAGGCATCCCAAAATTGGAAAAAACCGGCTTTAAAGGCCTCAAGAACCATCGTTTTCGCAAAAAAGCTAAAGTAGTTTGCAACACGCGGGGGGAAGCCAAATTTTTGAGGTTTTCGATTTTTTTGAAAACGCCAATCGATAGAACATCAAAAACTATACTAACAGATTTTTTACAACGCGAAAAATGTATTATAAAAGTTTTATAACCTAAAAACTATTTTTGAAAACTATGGGCAGCACATAGGGTAACGGGGGGAAACAAATTTCCGGCGTTTTGAAAATTTTCGATATTTTGAAAATGCCATTCGACAGAGTGCCGAAAGATATACTAACAGCTTTTTTTACAGCCCGAAAAGCATATTTAAAAATACTTTTATCATAAAAAAAGTTTGAGTGCCCCCCCCGCTATCCTATGTGTACCATGCCGAGCGATCCCCGGGGCGCCCTCTCTCGCCGCTGCATCTGTTGACCCCCCACCCTTCGGAAGGAGGGGGTTCAACAGATGCCGTCCTCATCCCTTTAATGGGAGTTAACCGCGAAGGTTAGGAGAACTTTTCCAGAAATATCGACCCACAAAGGGACAAATTCAAGGCTATTTCCAAATACACACTCGTCACAAAGGTACGTGTCCAATTCTCCTAAGTAAGTGAGACTGTCTGCAACTTTCAGACTTTATCGGCTGTCTATGCCGGGGGGCGAACAGATACAACACCATTCTTCTCTTCGATCGATAAAGATAAACGGCTTCAATTTACGCATTCGTTCAGCCCTCATGCAACCACAATTTATGTATCAGGTTTCAACGAAAGTTTTGTCGTCGCGATTTTCGAAGCTCCGTTAAATCGTTGAGAGCTGAGCATTTGGTTATATAGCATTTAGATTAGATCTCGCTCAAAAACTCCAATATCACCCAAAAACGACTCCTTGTTAAACTTGGTCTGTATGAAGCTAACAAGGAGTGCCTTTTGGGCGTACCTAGCTCATTCGATAGAGAATTGAATTCTGAACAACCTCTCGGCGTCCATTTTTTGCCTTTCTTTGATTTTATAAAATTAAAAAACTAAAAAGATAATTTATGCGTGGACGTGGGCACGTTCTCGCCCCGAGCCAGCCCCAAGGGGAAGAGGCCCCTTGTCCCCTCTTCGCACCACTAGACGTGGCGCAGTGGCTAGAGCGTCGGTCTTCCAAAAAAATTTTGCTTCGGGTTGCTAGTTCCATCCGTCATGGGTGATTACTATTGATTTTTGTTTTTTAAAAACACTTCTGTGACTTTCAGAGCGTTTTAAGAATCTGAATAATTGAAATTGGCCTTCACAGTCCCAGAGAAAATTTAGACCAGAGAAATGTCCTGATTTCTTCTCCTAGCCCAACGTGGAAACGTTGCTAATGTCTCCACCATGACCCAGAAATGCCTAAAAGGTGTGGAAATATCATCAAGGTTCAAAACGCAATAGGAAACACGCATAAAACAACCGAACCTTCAACCAAAGGCAAAAATAAGCTTCGTAGGCAGATGCGTTAACCGCTGCGCCATCGGCGATGCTGGGTGAGGGCGCACCCGTGGGCTCTTCACCTAGGGCTGTCGGGGGACAGCAACCGAGGAACTATGGGATTTTCGCATTCTAGTTTTTTAATTTTATAAAATCAGGAAAAACCATTCTGCAAAAATGAACATCGAGGGGTTGTTCAGAATTGAATCCTCTATCGAATGAGCTAGGTCTCGAAGGGATTTGCCGATGACACCCAAAAGGCACTCCTTGTAAGCCTAGGCTTAGGTTTGGCTTAGCTTTTCCAGAGGCTTCGAGTTTAAAAACGGCATTTGAAGCGTCTTGTAGTCAAAATCCGGACTGCCCCCCCCCGCAAGTGCATTAGCACCAAAAATTGATCAGAGAATCGTCGTGATCGAGAGATTGGGCACAACCGCCCAGGGGTTCGGCCCAGATGGCCCCCGGGAAAAGCCGTACCGTACGCGTTTTTGCTTCGGAACTAGCAAAAGGTTTTTAGCTGCGTGTCTTTGTCTTTTAGACGCGTCTATCGCACCGTCTGTGGTCTTTCATCGTTGCAAAATCTACCGGAAGTTTTATTAGGAGCCGGGCCGCTGTATGGACGCCTTACAGGGCATTACGACATGTAATCATCGTGCACTCAAAAAGTTGTTTTCGGTCAAAAACTCACACGTTTTTTTGCGCAACGAAATCAATTTTCTGGTACTTCTCGGCAGTGACCCTTTCGTTTTTGACGAGTAGGTTCAACACCCTCACGCACGAATTTTGATTTCCGAACCTCTTTAAAATCAGGGTGTCCCAAAAAATCTCCACTCTAGCGACGTGCAGTCGTGCCGGATTGCCACGATTTAGGTCGCTATCGAAAGCTCTCCAAAAGGAGATCACATGGAGGCTTCATTTTCTCCATTATGTACAGGGTGTCCCAATAAAAAAGGTCACGCTGGCATTTTGCTATTTCAAATCCGATCGACTTGAAATTTTGCACAGAGGTGCGGAAGGGAATTTAAAATGTTCACAGAAACTTTAAGCCCGATCGGTACAATAGTTTTCGAGTTATTGTAAAAATACTGTTTTTCCCTCACTTTTGCTTCATTTTTTCGGCTATGTTTTTGGACTTTGCATCGATTAACATAAATCACGGCTCTAAATCCCTTATTCTTCTCGACATCGGCGTCGTTAGCCCTTGTTAAAAAATACTTAAATAGCCAATTTTCGACCCGAATTTTGCGAAATAAAAAAATTCCTAGGATAAAAAAGGGTCGGCGCTTCAGTTTCTCCATACATTCCAGCGCTCAATTCCGGCGGAATCCAGGTTAAAAACGCAAAATAAAGTTTATTTTTGCCATAACTCGAAAACTACTGTACCGATCGGGCTGAAAGTTTCTGTGAACATTTTGAATTCCCTTCCGCACCTCCGTGCAAAATTTCAAGTCGATCGGATTTGAAATAGCAAAATGCCAGCGTGACCTTTTTTATTGGGACACCCTGTATTTTTGTCCATGAATTTTACGTCCAAGAACCACGAAAACAACAGATTGATGCAGGATACGCATGCTAATTGCGAAATTCCAATTAAAAAAAGCTACTTGTTTTTAGCAATATGTAGAATATTAATTGGAGGTGATGAAATATTAGGAAATGACGCCCGCCCGTTTTCTCGCCTTTTCGGGAACTTTCGAATGGCGTAAAAAACATCCCGATCCGAGCTTCCTCCGGGCCGCTAAAGGGGGGGGGGGGGGGGGGGGTACTTTATTTGGAAAGCCCGGCACATGGTGAAAAAGCCATTTAGCAGAGGCCTATTTGCACGGGATTATTCCAAGGTGGAATTTGCTGGTTGCTGGCTTTTTGAAGCGGCTTTTCAACCGTGGTTTCATTTAATTTCCCAAATTTTTCCATAGCTTTTCGATTGTCCTGACCACCAAAATGTACATTTGAAGGCCAACTTCCTCGCCCCAGCCGCAGTGTTGTTTTATTTTGGAGTTAGAACCAACTTTTCTACTTCGTGGATCTCCCGTTTTGCCGTGTTCTCGCCAACGGAATTTGCAGCATTAAAAAATGCCCGGACAGGCAACTTGGCTGGAACGAAACGCCCGGTGGCCCCGCCGGGTGATAAATCGCTACGTGGGGCTCGGAATAAAAACTTAACGGGGTCGAAAAATGAAAATTGTTTGAGGTGGTGCAGCAACGTGGCCGTGCTGTTCGGCTCGGCGTTGTACACGTGGATCAAGAGCTTCTGAGTGGACACATGAATTTTTGGCTTTAAAATGCTTTTTGGTTCTTTCGCGTTATCGGGGGGATGAATTTTTTAAATACATCCAGAAATGACTAGTAGTCTACGGAAAAGCGTTTTACTAGTGTTTCTGTTAATATATAACTAGATTTCAGCTAGAAAAACTATCTAAAAACTTTAAAAAGTTTTAAAAAGTCGAGATTTTGGTAAAAACGGTCCTTTTTGGTCGCAAAATCGATAATTACAGATTTTAGAAAATTGTGAAGTCGTTACGCTTAGGATAGTCAAAAAACAGTTTAGAAGCACTGCCTCTATTGATATGCCAATCATTAGATTCTAAGGAAAAGTTGGTCCCCGCACGCGATAATGCGAAAGAACCTGCCTTTTTCGGGTTAGTATGTGCCAAATTTATCAAAAATTGAGAAAAACTTGTTTTTAACGCTATAACCAGGGTTGAAAAGCCGCTTCGCAACTTTTCAACCCTGGCCCCGTCCACGTCCAATGACAAAAAGACTTTGCATATTCTGCCCGAATCCCGCTAACAAAAAAAAAAATAAATTCCGGCGCATGCAAATTTTGTCTAACAAAGGTACTTTCACAAAAACCCAAATTTAATGTCGAAAATAGTACATTTTAAAAAATCTATTGAGTCGGCAGTCATCCTCAGCCCATTACGCACCTAATGACGTTTCAAACATGCCAGAAAGTTTCTTCCCCCCGACCCGTTATGAGCGGAACATACATCCGGAAGTGGATGCAAATCTACACAGACACACACACTATTTTTTTATATATAGTAGGATCGTTGTTTTCCATGAAAACCGGTGTCGTGACGTCAGCCCGCCGGTCCGGAAACCCGATCAGCAACGGCTACTGTCGCGCAACGACGAGTGCGAAGAAAGTCCCGTTTAATCTGTTTTCCCCATAGTTTCTGATTCTAGAATTCGGTCGTGAGGAGTGACGCGTAGATGCTGCCCGCTTTCGAAACGTTACTAACTGGACTAAAATGGGCTGTTTTTGGTACTAATTTTAACATGAAACGCGTCACTTCTGACGGCCATGTAATCTCGTCTATGTGTTGCAATAGCTAATCCCAATGTAATCCTGCTTGTACTCAACGCGAAGCATTTTTGTGGTATTTGAAAGGATTTCCAGCTCCATTAATGTATTTTCCGGCCCTTTGGCATTATCGGGGATGGGAACCGGCCTTTTCTTTAACTTCTAGTTTTTTTGAAACAGGGGCAAGCCTTTCGGCGCTGTTTTTACAATACCTAGAGTACCTTTGAAAATGTTGCTAAAAATTCAAAAATGTCTTTTTTTCCGGCAAAAATGACCGACTTCTAACTTTTTTTGCATAGCTTTTTAACAAATTTTATTCAAAACCTTATTAAATTACTGGCTATAACATTACTAGGCAAATCCGGGCTTAAAATTACCCCCCTATAATGCCAAAGAACCACTTTTTTGCTGTCCATTACTTTCCTATAACCCCCGCGTGTCAAATTCGCTGTGTGTCACTTCAGCTTACCTGTAGCCTTGAGCCCGCCAGCCAGCCAGATATTTATCTCCAGCAAGCCTGTATTTTTCTCGGTATCTTTTTTCGCATCCCCCGCCTGGCCATTCCATCCATTTCCTTCAATTTCCGTGCCCTTGGGGGGATATAGCGATTTTTCACCATCATCGCCGCCGGTTTTTTATTGTGATTTTGGCCGGAAGAAGGCGAAGGACAAGAAGAAGTATCTGTGATAGCTGCCCCCGCAAATTCGTATCCCTAACTGTAAGCCACACCCGTTCACTCATCCCCCCCCGCTCGTTTTCCAGGGTCATCCCAAGCCCCCGATTTTTGGGAATTGTTGGAGAAGTGTGTTCCTGGTTGTACGCTGTAATGTACTGTACCTACCTAGAGGTGTCGAGAATATAAAAAACTACAAAATTTGAGTTCTGGGAAAGTTGTGCCGCTAGTCGGATTTGGAGTTTTCTGTGGGTTTGGAGCGGGTTCTATCAAAATTTCAGAAATTAGGCTGTCTAACGAGCTCGACATTTGTAAAAACACGTAAATTACTTTAAGAAGGTATTAAGGGATTTTAATAAAAAAATAAAATCCTAGGTAACTGTGGATATCTTCAAGTCTTTGCAAGATACAAAAGGCTTTTGGTGCGCCCGAAATTTGTAAGAAAAGTATATCGATTTAAAAACCACTGAGAGTTCAACGGTTTAATGATAAAAAGCTATTTTTATATTTAATTTTACGATAGTCTTATTTTATTATTATTTTCGATAGTTATTTATTTTCGATACCTTTACGAGGTGGAAAACAGCTAGGGTCTACCTGGGCATTTCGACATGTATTTTTCGCCTTATGATTTTTGATCAGCATTACTATGGTATTACGTGTGCAGCCTGTGGATATATAAGTGACATCGACGCGCAACCCGCATACTAATAACGCTGTGTTAACATTACGATAATCTGATTCGTAACTTTGAGGGTTTTTCGGGCAATAAATATTCGAAAATTCGGAAAAGCTCAGCATCGAGAGATCAAGAGAACAAGAGATCATCGAAAATATACAAAGGACGAGCTCTGAATAAAAAAGCGGTTTGTACGTCAAAAGGAAAGTGGAATTTTGATACCTTTAGGTGCCTACCGATTAAGAAAAAATACGCCAAGATATCCAGCTGCCTTTAAAAGTCTTTTTATGGGGATTTTTTCAACGAAAAGAGCACATGTTGAGCTATCAGAAGGGCACGAAAAATATAAAAGGAAAGCTGGTCTTACAATTATTAAAATTCACCGTTTTAGAGCCTTTAAAGTGTTGATACCTTCAAAAATCTGGAAGTTTCTGGTGTTTTTTCGCATGTGAAAGGTATTTTTAAGCCAAGAGGGTTTTTGCAGTTTACCATTTTAGGCTGTAAACGAAGCACTAGAAATAAAATAAGAAAGCTCTATTGGCCAGTAGTAAAACTGTGCTTTTTGGGGCTCGAAATGATATCGGTTCCGTCAAAAAACTTGACATTTCTAAGGCGATTTGTCGTTCTATCGGTTTTTTCAAAACTATTTCTCAAGGCGGAATCTTGTTCTTTTCGGCTTCTAAAGCTAGAAATAACGTTTAGATCCAATTTCCTGGCATAGCTTTTTGTCGGTATCCTTTAAGCTAGTCTTCGGTTTTTGTGAAAAGCCTTTTCCAAATTTTTTGTGTTACCGTATGCCATTTTTAATTTTGAATTTTTAATTTTGTAGTTTGCAATTTTTTCCTATCAGTTTTGTAAGATCATCTTTATTAAAACTTTGTCCTGGGATCGTCGCATAGTACGGTCTAATAGCCGGGGGCCGTGCGAGGGATGGGGCAGTGGTCGCAGCTGCCTTGGTTGCCTAGAAAAGGATAGATTACGTCATGAACTAAATTAATGAGCAAGATAGGGTAAGTGCAGCTTAAAAACGCTTACCATCGTTTCCATTGTCTCCGCTGGCTCCGGGGGCACCGTCGTTTCCGGGCTGTCCGGGCTGGCCGGCATCTCCAAGAGGTCCACGGGGTCCCTTGCCTCCGGCGTTTCCGGGCTGGCCGTCGTTTCCGTTGGGTCCGGGCTGTCCAGGGGGTCCTGGCGGGCCGGGGGGTCCGCGTCCGCCGGGAACCTGGAGATGAACATGTAAATTCGAGCGCGAATCATTTGCATTTAGCCGAGGCTTTCTCTCTTACTCTCTCACTCTATCTCTCTCTCCTTCTCGCTCTCTCCCTCTCGCTCTCTGTCTCTCTGTCTCTCTCTCTGTCTCTGTCTCTCTCTCTCTCTCTCTCTCTCTCTCTCGCTTTCTGACTTACGTGGTTGACACGTCCAGGAGCTCCAGGGAGTCCTTGTCCTCCGGGCTGTCCATTGGATCCGGGTCCTCCAGCGGGTCCAGGGGGTCCCATAGCTCCGGGAGTTCCGGGGTTTCCGGGCTGTCCATCCTGTCCGGGGGGTCCGTTGGGTCCCTTGGGTCCTTGACGGCCGGGGGGTCCGGCGGGGGCGGGCGGGCATGTGTTGGGGCAGCTGAAAGGAGATGATCAGTTCGATTGTAGGGTGTAAATAAAGTTGAAGGCAAAACTGCCTTGAACGGCGACTTCAAGCCGTTCAGCGCCGAAAAACTCTATACTAGCAAATTTTTCAAGGAATGTAATCCATTCGAAGGATCATAAATTCCACTCCAACGATTTCAAGCAGTTCAATGCCCCCCAAAAACGTACTTGTAGCTCTGGACGGGGTTGGGGTTTGATGGCGGGGCATCGGGGCCGTTCTGTCCGGGGCTTCCGGGGCGTCCATCCTGTCCGGGGGGTCCATCGGGTCCAGGGGGGTCCGGGGGGTCCGTTGGGGGAAGATCCGCATCCGCAGCAACCTCCTCCGGCTTGACGGCGGGCGACGGCCCTCTTGTCGCGAACTCCCTGCTCCACCTGGATGAGCACCTGAAAAGGGGAGCATTGCGTAGGGTAGTGTAGCGTAGTCGTAACATAACCTCGCTTGACCTAACGAAAAGTGCATGCCGTAACCTAGCCAAAAGTAACCTAACGCAACGTAACCGGGTGAAGCGTAGCGGAAAGTAATGGAGCGTACTCGTAGCGTAACGGGTAGTCCTAGTCGCGTTACGATACATACTGTTCCAAGGAACTAGCGGCTATTGCGTATGCGTCTGCGTATACTTAGCCTTGCCCTTAAGTTCATCTACTCACGTTGGCCTTGGCGAGCTCCTTGAAGACGTTGCCGGAGCGGGATCGGCAGAAGTCGACCTCATGCTGCATATGAGTGTGGACACGCTGGATGTGGGAGTACATCAACGGAACTCCCAACACGCACACGACGACGGCCATCGTCGAGATGGAGACGCCTGCAAACGGAGATTACCACTGTACTCTGGAGCGTGACGGAATTTATGATTTTAATGGAATCCTTTCTGCTATGTATTTTTTGGACAGAAAAGTGTTATGCGTCCTGAGGAACATCTCGGAATCTCTGGATTTTACGAGACTTTTAGGGTAAGGATTGGCTATAGATTTTTGAGGCGGGGCACCAAGTCCGTGATCAACTACTCACCCATGAAGGCGACCCGCTTGAGGGAGTCCGCCTGAGCGGCGATGCGTTTCTCCTCCTCCATCTGGAAATTAGGGGTTATATTGAGGCCAAGATACGGTAGGAGAGGACAAGAAATAAAGGCATAGATTGAAAAAAAGATAAATTATCGAAAAGATTTGGACTTAAATGATACTATGTCAAAAAATCAAAGTCACATAAAGTTCATAGAAATTCAAAAAACTCAGAGTAAGTTGAAAAATTAGAAAATTAAGACAAAATAGCAGTAGATGATCAAAGGGCGGGCGCGGCATGTTGAAATTGGAAAATTTTGGCACGCAGATGAAGTTCTACGTCAAGGTCATGTTTTTCAACCAGGTCAGGCTCCCCCCGAGCCCAATTTACTACAGTGCATTTTCTACAGTATCTAGCCCATCCAAAATCACAACGATGTTTTCAAAGAACTCAGAAGCAGGCGAGAAAAAAAGTTCAAGTTCAAGACGTTCAGAGTCAAAAATCCTTAAGTGAACTGCTGTTTAAAGACCTACGCCTGACGTATCCGGAGAGCTACATAACATAGGAATACGGTATCGAAACTACAGTATCCAAAGTGCTACAGTACCCAGCCCTACGGTACTCTACTTTACAGTACCCAGAGCTACTTCCCCAAAATCAAGGCAAGCGATTTGGGTAAATGAGTTCCTCTCAGATCCAACAAGCTATCTCTGCCGCTGGCCCCTCCCCGGGGTTTCCCCAGAGCTCCGAGAACCGAAAAAAACTTCCGGATCCCCCGTTGCTGACCTTGACGCCTCGGGTACGCCCGGTAATCAGCCTAAATCGACAGGGGTTTGTTTTTTAGAGCCTATTTAGTGGCCTAGACGGGAGCCGAGTTCTGTGTTTTGAGGAACCGCCGTTCACCCCCGGTTTTTGCTAGGTAAAGTTGGGCGAATTTGGGTTGATCTGAGTTTTAAAAAGCGAGGAATGTTGGGTTTAACTGGCTATAACTAACCTAAAAATCAGTCGGTCGGTTTTTAAAGGGACTTGGAAGTCATAGTGAGGCCAGGAGTACGAAACCGTACTACTCACGGCTTGAGAAAGAATGCTGTAACGCTGAAATGACGTAAAAAAGAGAAAAGCTAGGTAGTAATGAAGAATGAGTCCAAGGTATTGGGAAGTCAGGAAACCGAAATTTTTAAGACTACGGTACGCTACGGTATTTTACACTACGCCACAATCCGCTATCCAGACGGCCAAAGTTGTTGCTTCTACTTGAAAGGAGTTTGCGAAGATTTGTAGTAATGTGAAACGTCAAATACCAAGTTTTTCAGTAGCTACAGTAAGCCCGAGTACACCACATTGCGCTTTAGCAAGCCTTACTACGCTACAGTACTCCACGCGATAGTACCGAAAACTGGAAGCTACCTCGATAGTACGCTCTAGGACCCGTTACAGTAATCTACAGCAAGGCATAGTACGCTATAGACGCTGGAATACGTGACCAAAACGTTAAAGTTGTCGTTCGTACTAGAATCTACCAATTTTTCGACCCAAAGCCGGAACTCGGTCTCAAATACGGTAGTTCCGATCGCTTCCTACTTACATATCACCCGGCAGGGGCTAATTAAATCACGGGTATCAGATTAAAAAAGAGCGGGCGAGCTGCCGTGGCAAGCCGTCCCCTGTTGCCAAACGTTTCGCCAAGGTCCCAGGACGAGGTCCAGATATCCGTCTCCGCTCTCTCTCTCTCTCTCTCTCTCTCTCTCTCTCTCTCGCCCTCTCTCTCCCTCCTCATTAAAGTACATTTCCTGGATCCCTATCCCCTTTTTTTAGCTAACCTGCAAGGAGTACATTCCTGTACTCATCCCCATCCCGTCCGAAATTAGCCTGTTCCCCCCGGATTTTTGGAACTGGCGTGGGTGGATAGGGGGGGGGGCTTGGCTAAAAATGCCAAGGTCAGCTGCACCTTGCCGTTTCGAACCGTCAGGGGAGGTCGAGCGGGGGCCGGGGAATTGGGAAAAACAATCCCGGGGTGGCGGGATAGGATAGGGATCCAAGCCAACGAGGGGATGAGTTTTAAAGGGGTGTGTCAGCACTTTAGGGGTGATTTTGGAGCTTCGACACTTGGAAAATTCACAGAAGCTGTTAAGCTTCTACGCTCCGAGATTCGCTTGAACTCCTCGCAGTTGCGTTAAGCTAAAGATGCCTACAAAACGCTACAATACGCTACAGTACGCTACACTACCCGAAAATACTCCAACGTAAGGGCTGTGTATCACATTAAAACCCGCACAACGCCTAAATCAAACGGACGAAAATTGTGCTCAAGACCAGAAAAGTTGACGTACGTTATTTACGCTACAGTACGCCACATTATGCTATGTCAAGCCGTTTCAAAGCTAAAGTTGTGGTTCGAACTCGGTGTCCCCCGGAACAATACTCCCACTTTCTCGCCCTCTCTCCCTCCCTCCCACTCTCTCTCTCTCTCTCTCTCTCTCTCTCTCTCTCTCCCGCTAGCTAGATTCTTACCTACCTAGTAGTAACTCAATTTCAGGAACATCATGATTCCCATTCTCGAACCTCGAAACAAGTGAAAAACCCTGGGGACAGGATGAGAGAAAGATAGCGACTGTGAGAAAGCGAGAGAGAGAGAGAGAGAGCGAGTGAGCGAGTGAGAGATACTTATCAAGATACTCCCATCCTTGGATCTGCCAAAGAAATCAGCTAGCCCCGCCTGAACGACTCCCATCAATCCTATCCATTTTTTAAACGTCCCCGAAAGGGGAAAAGACAAGGGATACATAGCGTGGGTGGGGCAGGGAGAGATTTTCTGCTGATTAACCCGGGGTGTTGCAGGGGTCAGTAAAAAGGTGTACCTCGGAAAAATGTGTGGCTGATGGTATCTGCGGGGGATGGCGGCGGGAAAATGAGGCGACGGCATTTTGAAGGCTAATCGGGCTTGGATCTGGGTGAAAAATGGTATCATAGACGATATGCTCTAGAGGTATCGTAGTCAATTGAGCAAATAGTAAAAAAAGATGTTTACAAGGGTTTTTTGGTTTTAAGGCTTACGGTAGAGGCGGTGCCGCAGCTGGTCTTACAGAAACGATACCGTAATCCTAGAAAGAAGGCCCCGATAAATTAGGAAGCACGCATCAAAAAGCACATAAAGACTCTAAGTAACGGTAAAATCCACAATTTAAGACTGGATACGGCAAGGTCAAAAGGACACGTATAATATACGGTGTTTTGACGCAGAAGCGTACTGGCTACATCCGTAATCAGAAAAATACCCGCTTTTGGCCTGTTGCCGGAAGCCAGGTCACCGGAATCCAGAACAAACCCTCCTGAAAAAAATCCTCAAAAAACCCGTGAATTGAGAGTCGAGACCTAGGCGATTTGAAGGGGGAGTTTCCGTGTTTCTAGCCTCTTAAAGGATCTAGGAAGGCTACAATTCGAAAAGTATTGGAAAATCTACTCGCGCTCCTGAACTCAGATTTAGGCGCTTACCGTAGGTGTCGTGACCTAGGCGAAAGAAGTGGTCGATTTCGGCACTTGCTAGTCCCTTTAAAGAAGCGAAAAGCGTAGCCAAGAACGTAGCCAAGATCAGCTACCGACACTCCGCCAGACTACCGTAATCCAGGCAATTTGGGCGCGTATTTAGGTAGTCAACGTAGGTGTCGAGACCTAGTCGAAAGAATAGGTAAGTTTTTATACTTCCGATACCCTGTAAAGGTACTAGGAAGTCTATATGCGTTAGGGACATACAGAGAAGCTTAAAGGGCTGCCGACGGCATGTGTCGATCCCCCCTCATCAACAAATTGGCAAGTAGCCAGCAGGGGAGAGAGCGCGCCCCGGGGAGAGGCGCAGAGACATTTTCTTTTCCGCGCGTAACCGATTGTCTATGCCGTCGGCATCCCTTTAAGGTACCCTTACAAAGCCCCTGTACAAGGCCAACTACACTCCACTAGACTACCGTAACCCATGCACCAAAAAACAAGCCCTAGCCAGGCTGCCGAGGCGTCAATTTCAAGGGCAACTTTTCCAAGATCTTCTCCAGGATACAGACAAACCCATTAAGGAAGCGGCATCCTAAAACTCCTTTCCTTCTACAAAATTAGCGCGAATTTGGCGAGTAGCGCGGGGGCGCTGCCGGAATGAGTAGCACTGCGTACAGGGCTGCTAATCACCGGGGGCTCGGCTTTATACCGATGGCCCCTCAAGGCCAACGCTGCCATATCAACCCGCCATGCCCCGCCTGCCCCCGTTGTATCTCGGGCGCTGCGCGCTGCGGGAAAAAACATGGCCCCCGCGCGCGAGCTGGGCGAGCCTGGGCGCCAGGGTAGAAGGTCGGTCATTGCTGCTAAATTTTTTCGGGTGCTGGAAACGGGTAGATTAGGGGGATTGTGGGGGTGGATAGGTTTTGTACGAGGTTGTTTTGCGCGGAGGCTCTTGATGAGCACCGGCGGGCAGGGCGCGGCGCGAAGCGCCGAGATGGTGCTGTATGGCCATGAAGAAGTAGGTCAGCAGCCAGTCACGGCGGCAGATAGGGAAGCGGATGCCCGGCAAGACGTCTTTTTCAACGCTCCGGAATTTAACCCCCAGCCAGATAGGACCGGCGTCTTGGGAACGTAAACAAGGAAGTTCGGACGGATGGGGCAAATTTTTCGGGTTTTGGCTCAAGGGATAGTTTCTTACAGGATTACCGCCAGGTTACGTCTTGGCACTTCAAACAGTAGCATATCGTGTCGTACTGAATAAGGAAAGCTGATGCCGATACGGTATCGACAAGGGCTTATCTTTGGGTATGAAACTTCCGGTTTTTGGTATATATTCCGCGAAAGTTTGTTATTTTAGTTTCGGCTCAGGCTCAGGCTCTTATCGTACGTTGTTTTATACCGATTACAGAGATGCTCGGTGTCTTATTTTCTCGCTTTCTCGAGCCCGGTTTGGAGCCTGCATCGCCATTTCCGAAACGACCTAATTTTTCAAGGTCGGGGAAGAAGTGAGCCCTTTTCGATATTTAACTAACAAGGAGTGGTTTTTAGTGATATTTTTGAAACATGGGAATTTCAAGCTCTATCGAATGGGGTAAAGTCACTACCCCGAAAGTCACTACCCCGAAAAGTCATTACCCCGAAAAGTCATTACCCCGAAAAGTCACTACCCCGAAAAGTCACTACCCCGAAAAGTCACTACCCCGAAATAATTTGCATGATTTTCATAGGAAAACCGCATGAAAACTGGATTTTTCCGGGAAAAACAATGCTATCATTTTTCGGGGTAGTGACTTTCGGGGTAGTGACTTTTCGGGGTAGTGACTTTTCGGGGTAATGACTTTTCGGGGTAGTGACTTTTCGGGGTAGTGACTTTTCGGGGTAGTGACCGGACGCCCTATCGAATTAGCTATGTTAGATCGCGAAACTCCCATATCACTAAACAACACTCCTTGTAAGGAGACAAATTTTTGCTAGATTTTTTAAAACTAATAAAACACGAATTTTAACGATGAAGTTGGCGCGAAGTAGCACTATAATTCGTTGCCAGTTTCCGCTTTGTCGTCTCCGCGTTTTTTGCAGCAAGACACCCGGAAATTCTCGCGCCGCCCCTGGGGTCCTCCATCTTTTGAAAAAAAAAACGAGAAACCGAAAAAACGGCACAGCCGGGACACTAATTCGCTCGGATGGCTGCGGCGGGACGAAGATCAGCAGGTGCTTCCTGTTTCCGTGGCCGATGAACGTCCGTTCCTTCCAACGCCCGGTACGGCAAAATCGCGCACAAGGCTGCGCAGATCCTGAAATTCCCCTGAAAACTACAGAAAACCACAACTTACGTTTTTAAGTGAATTTTCGGGGAAAATTTGCCTATGGGTGTCTAGATACCCTAAAATATCTATGGACTTAAGCGCCGTGAAAACCTATCTAAACTTCGTGGTAGGTTACGCGAGGAGACTAAAAACTTATCTGGAAGCCCTGAAAAGACAGTTTTTCGACCCCTGGATTGTAGCTAACGAACCACACCTAATTCCAGTCACCCGAGCGCGTGGGTGTCTACTAAATTGCAGTTTCGCTCTGTATTGAAAGCTCGCGACCTTGGCATTTCGCTGTTCCGCAATTTGCGGGGGACACATCCAGGCCGCGCTCGCGCAAAACACGTACATTCCCATAAATTGCCCGAAAAATCACTTCCCCTGCACTGGTTGAGGAGGCTCACGTAAATGAGGGTGATCAGAAAACAAACGGATTTTAATTGCATCGTCAAAAAGTCGTGTTCGCTCTGACAGTATAACCGTAAAATTTTCTGGGCAAACACATAAAATTTGTATTTTCAAAAACATACCGCAAGTCCTAGTAAAATACTCTCTGCTGTAAGTCTTACTGTAAAATATACAATGTAAATCCGGAAAACGGCATTTCCAAAAATCCAATGAAAAACAACTTTATTTGGCGGCGAGCTAGTATATAATCATCACAAACAATGGGCTATTCCCAAACAAAAATCTATCGAGATCGAATCCATCATCACGGCTCGTCCTTTGGCAACGCGTTCTCCACAATGTCGATCACCTAAGACAGGACATTAATCATTTTTAACTCATATACCAGGGTTGAAAAGCCGCTTCGCGACTTTTCAACCCTTGCCACCGTCTAATCCTATGATGTTCTCTATTTTGCATTATTGTGCCCCAGTTCCGATGGCAAAAAAAAAATGAAAAATGCTTCCTTTGGGCCTTTATATAGGCTACTGCAACTTCCGGCGTATGCTAATTTTCTCCTAACAAAGTGGGTGGCCGAATTTTTAGGAAAAATCTAATTTTAATGTCGAAAACAACATATTTTACAAAATCTGATATGTGTGCAGTCATCTATAGACCATTACGCATCTAATGATGTATCAAACATCTCCTTACACCCCTCCCCACTTGAGATATCCTCCGGACACGCTGACGGAAGTTGCATGCAAAGTGGCACACACACACACACACAGACACTATTTTTTTATATATAGTAGGATTTCAAATTTTGGATAACAATTTGCAATTACCGCGTTTTAGAGATAAAAGATGAGTCACTATCTCGTTCAAATAACATACCTGTTTATCACCATGCGGGGGCGGGCCAATTAGCCGTTTCACGTCCTCGTAGGAGAGCACCTCGTGCTTGAGCAGATTTTGAGCAATCTAGAACAAGAATTTTAAGTATATTTTATTGAAGTGCTGACCAATTCCAGCTTGTCAACGTTGTCCTTGATTAACTTGTCGGTGGCCTTGTACGCCGCGCCGACGATCATTGAGGCCTCCTGAAAACCCGGATAAAATTTAGACACCTTCCGGAATACCTGGTCAATCGTCGCCTGCAGCTTCTTGCTGTACGGCTTATTTTGGAAGGAGGCGGCCCGTTCGTCTTGGGCCGAGAACGAGAGCGGCCCGATCACCGCCGAGAAGCCGTAGTTTTTCACTTGCGACAGGGCGCTGTGGGTCACCTAATTACATAAATATTAATTCAAGCCCGTAAGATTATTTTAATTTGTAAAGCTTCCAGGTTTTTTATTTTATTTAACGAATCAAATAAAGTTCATATAGATAATTGTCTGCTTTTATTACTCAAAAGTAGAAAATGGTAGATGCAAAATACCTTCTCGAGATCGTTCTGTGCTCCGGTCGTGATCCGGCCGAATTTCACCATTTCTGCCGCACGTCCACCGAGCATCATGCACATACGCTCGAACATCTGAAGTGACAAAATAATAGAAACGCCGGCTTTTTAGCGTACCTCCTCTTTTGTGTACAGCTTCTTGTCCCTGGGGCAGTACTGGGCGAATCCGAGGGCGGCGGAAGTGCGTGGGATGATGGTCACCTAAAAACAGTGATTAAAAAGCTAAAATTTTTTTTCAGCGATCTTTAAACAAAAGCAATTCTTGGTTTTAGTTAAATGTTTTCTATTTTAAAAACAGTGTGCAATGCTAAACTGTAAAATCTGATTTGCTACCACAACGTACGCGAAAATTTTTTGCTTCGTTAAAGCTCGAAAAACCGAGCCCAAAAAAGGCAAAAACTAAAATAAACTAAATATTCAACTCTTCGCAAAGGCACTAACCTTCAATAAAGCATCCGTATGCTCCAGCATCCACCCAACAAGCGCATGCCCGGCTTCATGATATGCGACAACGTCACGCTCTTCCTTCACTAAAGTTCGCGACCGTTTCGCTGGCCCTGAAAGCACAAAAATATAAAATTTTGAGCGCAATTTCAAACCCGCAATAATCTTGTCCATCGCGTATTCCATCTGCTTGACGGTGACTTTCTTCAGGCCGTCGGTCGCGGCCTTGATCGCCGACTCGTTGACGGCATTTCGGATATCGGCTCCTATGAAAAATTATGTTTAATTGAGCGTCAGTTACCGGAAAAGCCAGGCGTCATTTGGGCAAGCCGTTCGGAGTATTGCGTCGGCGGGAAGTCGGTTTTGATTTGCCTGAACGGAAGATTTGCCAGTCGCGAGAAACCAAAAGTACCTTAGGTAAAGCTCGAACATCTCCTTCCGCTCGGCCACTGTAGGCAGATCGATGGAGATGTGACGGTCGAAGCGACCGCGACGGAGAAGAGCCTGAATAAAAATTCACTTTTTGGACTTGAATTTTTGAAACAGAGAAACAGCCTTTTTTTTGGCATTCGCAATCTCTTGCTATATGCGGTAATTCCCAATTGCGGTTGTTTCGAAATCATTTCGCCACTTTTCTTAAATTCTCGAAAAAATTATTATGCATTTTCCGGGAGCAACGGTAATTCCAAAAATCTTGAGTTACGGTAGCTTCGAAACCAGGGAGTTCCGCGATTTTCCTCCAAAGCTTGAAAAAACAAGATTTGTCGAAAATTTCCCCAAAATCTTCGGTCACGAGCGCTTCGAAGACATTTTCCAAATCGAAGGTTACCTTGTCCAAGACGTCCGCCCGATTGGTCGAAGCCAGAACGACCACCCCCTTCGCCGAGTCCATACCATCCATTTCGACGAGCAGCTGATTCAGCGTCTGTTCCTCTTCCGATGAGCCGCCGCCCATTCCTGAAACGGGAAATCACAATTTTTCTTGAACTTTCTCTACCTCCTCCCCCGGCCTCGCTCCTCTTCTTCCCGATCGCGTCGATCTCGTCGATATAGATGATACACGGGGCCCGTTCTTTGGCCGATTTGAAGAGTGAGCGGATACGGGAAGCTCCAAGACCTAAACAAATGGAAATTAAAAAAATAGACACTTGACCTCCAATCATTTCCACGAATTCGGTGCCGTTCATCGAGATGAAGGGCACCGTGCTCTCGGCGGCCAGAGCTTTTGCTAGCAGCGTTTTTCCGCATCCGGGCGGCCCGGTGAGGAGGGCGCCTTTCGGAAGTTTGGCTCCAAGTCTCTAGAACAAACAAATAAATTAAAAAATATCAAGTACCGTAAATCTGCTCGAATTCTTCAAATAGTCCACAAATTCCTTGATCTCAACCTTGGCCTCGTGGCAACCGGCGACGTCCTGAAAACGTCAATAAATTTTTCTTTTCGGTATGCTCTCTTTTTTATATTTGCAATAGTTTTTAATAAATACCAACCTTGAATTTAATCTTCAACGCCTTCTTCCCCTCCGGCGAATGCGGGTCGATGATGTTCAGCTTCTGATTCCCGCCCATGTCTTTCTAAATAAAAAATTAGGAATTTTATTAAGTAAAAACCATCATATTGCCCATGCTGAACCGGAAGCCGCGGATGATGAAATAGAAGACGGCACCGATAACGGCGACTGTAGCCAGGGCGAACATCATATTTCTAGAAAATAATTGCTAATAAAAACAGAAAAAAAAATACATTTCGTCCATGCGCTTGTATCTGATGGGGGTCCAGCTTTCTGGAGGCAGGTTGGAGAGCTGTTCCTTGGCGCGGACCTAAAAATAAGTTCTAAGTAGGATAGAAAGAAAAAAATAAATTAAAAACGATTATGAATAGAAATACTAATAAGATTGACCTCAGCTTCTAGCCGGCTGTTCGACGGGACGGTCATCCGATACACAGACTTCAGCCGTTCCCCGTTCAACGACTTGGCATCCGGCCAAATATGCACAAATGCCAGCTCCTTCTCCGGGAAGAGGATTATTTCACGGACCTAGAAAAACCATACTTTCCTTGGCAGCAAAAACTCACAGCCCTGGCCGGCAGCACTTGGTCGATAAACTTGTACCACTCCATCACCTCGGCCGTCGAGTCGTCGCCAAAGAAGACGCGGTCGATGATGTAGAGGACCAACGGGGCGGAGATGAAAAGGATCTAAAGCCTGAAATCTTTAGCGAAACAACATAAGCCTACCTTTCCGGCATTTGTCAGCCTAAATTTGCCGTCTTTCTCATCTGACTCCTTGCCGTCGCCACCGGACGAGGATTCCTTGCCTTCTTCTTTATTTTCTTGGTCTTTCCGTTGGTTCTTGATTTTCTGTCCATTTCGAACGCGGTCGGCATTTCTCATTTGTCGAGCTAGACAACCAGTTAATCAGGATAACAAGAAATTTACCATAAACAACATTATCCAGTTTTTCGACGAGCGCATTCATCGAGGCGATCGCGCGAGTCCCGAGGCTTCTCGTTAAAAACTAAAAAAATTATTTAATTCATGCAATAAAAACTCTCACCGCTTCACCGGGCCTCCATATTCTGCGCAACGCTTGTGCTTCTGTACTTAGCAATCGGCTGATCATCTACAAATACCTGGAAATCATAGCTTCTAATAAAATTATATTTTCTTTTAGTAAAACTAGACACAGTTTTTGGTTTTTCAAACGAAAAGCTAGGTATACGAAGTGCGAAAACACTTTTCTTGATTATACACGTAACAAATTGTAAAATGTACGATTTATGGCCAAAAATTAGTATGTGTACACAAAAAAAAACATAAATACCCAACCAAGGCAACAAAACTAGAAACTAAAGCTGAGCGAGAAAGAACTATGATGTATTTGTGAGCAAAACGAAACAAAAGGATTCAAAGGCTTTTCGGGTTGACGATGACTTTGCCAAAGATTTTGTTGTGCTCGATGTCGTCGACGAGTTTGTTCACCTAAACAAGAAAAAAATGCGTTAGACCAGAAAACGATGCCCAACCTCTTCGAGCTTATACTTCGCTTCTATCCGCGCGCTCAGGTAGCCCTCGTCGAAGAGGCCGATGACGGTGGACATGATGGCATCTATTTCGGATGCTGAGCGGCCGCCGAGCCAGACGCCTAAAATATCGATAAGGATATGGGTTCTGGCTCATTATCGGGGGGGGACATCTTTCATTAAAAGCCAGTTTTTTTAAACATTCTGTTTCCACATTTTTCAACCTTTTTGTAATTTTACTTTTATGCATTCTCCTAGCGTTCCGCGAACGTTTCATTCAAAAAAACCGCTGTATTTTTAGTGTAATTTTGATCGAAAACCCTGAAAAATAGATTTTTGCATAAAAATGGCCGGCTTTCGACCAAAAGTTCGCATTTTTAAGCCGTTTGCTAAGTCTAAAAAGCGCATTTGCCATTGAAATACAACTAATTTTTCTAAAAACCTATTAAAGTACTTCCTGTTAGATTAATGGGCAAAACACGCGAAATCTCGGAAAAAATCAGCTTCCCGCCATTTTTCGACAGCAAATAATTACCAGAAATAGTTGCTTGTAGTCGATGGAGATCAAGAAGGGAGACGGATGGGATTTCGCCGGAAGCGAAGGACAGGGAAGCGAGGTGACCGCCCTTTTTCATCCTAAAAAAGATAAGTTATTACCTCGAAAGCGAACTTACGCTTCAAGAGCCGTATGGAAGACTTTTCCTCCAACGGTATCGACAACGACATCGACACCCTCGTTGAAAGTGTCCTTGCGGATTACCTAGAAATTTGGATTTAGAGATCGCAAAGATGAAAAATACCTTTGGCAAATCCTCCTTCTCCCAATTAATGGTTCGCGTTACTCCGGTGGTCCTCAGCTTTTCGAGCTTATCCTCGTCGTCGGAAGCGGCAAATACCTAGAAAGCCGTTAAAAATAATGAGAGCTTTTTTACCTGAGCTCCAAACACATTTTGCGCCAAGTCAATCGCCGCGAAGCCCATCGTGCCGCGGGAGGAGAGCACGAGAACAGAGCTTCTAAATAAATATAGGTTTCGTCTCGGCGACAAAATACCTTAAAAAGAAATTTAATTTCATCAAATTAAAGAATTAATCATTCTTTATTTTATCAAATAAAAAAATCACCCTTGTCGTTCTTTCGCCATATTTGCCAGCGCAACGTATGCTGTTCCGTAGGTGACAGCGACGGCAGCCGCCGTTTCGTAGTCAATCGAGAAGGGAATACTAAAAAACAAAGATTTGAGACATTGTTAAAGTTTTAAAACTAGCCAATTTTGCAAAAAAAACAATAACACAAATAAATTTTTGTGTTTAGATTTACCTGTATATCATATCGTGCTCCTTGACCATACATTCCTCGGCGAATCCACCAGTCCCGTGACGTCTAAAGAGCCCAAAAGTGACATGAAATATTTCATCACCAACCTTAGCACAAATACTCGATCGCCAGCCTTCCATTTTTGCACTTTCTCGCCGACCTCCTTGATGTTGCCGGCAATTTCAAAGCCTGAAGAGCGATAAATATTAGGAAAACCTTGCTTACCAGGCACAAAAGGTCGTTTCGGCTTCAAGTGATACATGCCCTTGATCATCTTCCAGTCGGCATTGTTGAAGCCGCAGCTCTCCACATCGAGCACAATGTCGTGCGGGCCCGGCTTCTTCGATTCGAGCTCTCTAAACAATAATTCGTCGAAAAGTAGGCTCCAATTTACCTGACTTCGAGTGGCTTGCCGTATTCGGTGACAACGGCGGCTCTGTAGCCCCGGGCAAACGAGACGAGGCCCGAGCCGGCCCGTTTGAGGAACGATGTACTTTGCATTCGATCGCTGGAAAAAGCAGCGAATGAAGTTATTATCGTTCTTTCAAAGTGTTTTCAGATTTTTGATAAAAAAAAATTGATGTTTTCGAAAAAAATTAGTTTTGCAAATTTATAATTTTTCTAAACAGTTTTCACTTCAAATAAAATTGGATTTCATTAAAACACTACCAAATATTTGCTATTATATTGATAGAGATATCTAGATTCGAAGCAAAAATGATTTTTCCAGGATAAATTTTGAGTTTTGACCAAAAATGGCCCTCTTTCGACCAAAAATCGAAATTTTCGCACGTTTCTTTTGCATATAATTTTCGAAATTTAATTTACTGCATAATAATGTTATTTTTGAAAGCATAAATATATATCCGGATATCCAGTCTTCATGTGTAACTTGCAAACACAGTTCAGTGAAAAGTTTATAACACGAAAAACACTCGGCTCACACCCATCATCGGTTGTTGACAATCACAGGGCACCACGAAAAGAGAGCGGACAAAGTAGATCCAAATGAGAAGAAGAAGAAAGACCGGAAAATTGGAACGTAAATAAATAAAAGGAATTGCAGCGGGAACACGTTATTTCAGCGATTCCACATCCATCACCATGCACAGGCTTTGCGCAATGTTGTCGGCCAGCATGTTGTCGATCTAAAACGGAAATCCAGCCAATTTTAGAGAAAAGTACCTGATCACCGAGATGGCGCTTGGGGTCTTGTTTGCCGATGTTTTTGATCGCCAGCTCACGCTCGGTCATCTTTTCCTCGTCTTCGAGCGACTAAAAATATATTTAACTCGTTAATAAGTTTATCGATTCTTTCTAGTTATCCACTCTGTCTCATAAAAAATTAGAAATATAGAAAGTGTTATTTTACGAAGATCCCGAAGTTTTGGTTAAAAACCACACAAATATCAATTTTTCGATCAAAGGTCATACTTTAAAATTTTTTTCTAAGTTTTATAACGATCAGCGAGCCACCGGAAATCGCAAAATTATTGTATAAAACCTATTAAAATGTAATCATCAAACATCCCAAGGTCAGCAAGAAAAATTCAGCCTCCCCCCGCTATTGCAAAAGCCAAATTTTATCTACTCCTCACCTTTTTATACAGCTTGGCCAGCTTGAGCATATTCTTCACGGATTCCTCGTTGCCTGCGCAGTGCTTGGTGAACGCCTCGGGGTTGATGGCCTGGTGCCACGACTGCTTGTGGAGGTTCAGAAGCATCTAAAAAAGAGAAAAATATAAACAATCAAAATTTTGGTTACATTCTGCTCGAGCTCGTGCGTCTTGTAGGCGATGGGGATGGAGTAGTAGTGGCGGTTGAGGCCGTGGATGAGCGCCTGGACGGTCGGCTTCTGCAGATGGCCAATGTTTGATGTCGTCTGTCGCGGCTCTTGGTTTAGGGCGGCCATTTGTGGATTGATCGTTCGGAAGGCGTCCATTACGACCTAAAAATCGCATAAAAACGGTGCTTCCTTCTTAGCGGGGGGGAAGGGTCTAATTTTTCGCCCGGAAAACGTAATTACGAATTTACGTACGGTCTTAAATCGATATATCCTTTTTACAGTTTTAGATGGAAAATGCTCTGCGACATCCAAAATTGTTTCATTTTGATCAAAAATGCATGAAAAATGTCGTAAAAAAGGTCAAAAAGTGCTAGTACTGATCAAAACTATTAGAATTCGATACCTTTCCCTTGACCGATTGAATTGGATCAATGACAACAGCCACCGCTCGTTCGGACAGCGCCTCGAAGGATTGCTGCGTATTCACGTCGACGCCCGACAGCCAGCACCCGAATCCAGGATGGGAGTGGTACCTAAATTTTTATATCTAGTTAGAGTTCGTCAATTTACCATCCAACGACCATCTCCGGCCTGCCGGTCTGCTTCAACATGTCCAACATTTTGGCCTGGAACACCGGGTCGACGGCCTCGACGGATACTCCCTAAAATAACCAGAATTTCTTAGAAAAAAAGGGCAATGTACCGTTCCACTCTGCGGCATGGCGAACACGTCAATAACGTTGATTGTGTAGTCGTCGACAAATTCGCCCAGCATCAGGCCCATCACCTAAAAAGGAAAATAAAATTGTTATGCTTTATATACTTCAACCGAACCAAACTTCAAACTATTTTTCAGCATTCCAATAGCAAAAAAATAGCCCCGTTTTAAGCTCCCCGCGTTAATTGTCCAGTACCGATAAATCAACCAATTGTCTAAAAATCTACCTCCATTGGAACGCCAGCTCGGCCGTGTTTCAGCATTTTCAGCAGGGCCAACGACGAGATGTAGACGGTTTCGGAGGTGTCGACTTGATGTGAATCGGCGCCCGCGCCGCTGCCAGACTAAAAAAGACCAGAAATATCTTTGCCGAAAATTGATACTCTTACGTGAAGGCCCATGCCGGCGCCCATCCGAAGAAGACGTTCCATTTTTCGAATCTAAATGGACTATATTCGACGCAAAGGATTGCACCGAGAAATAAAGGCAATGGAAAGCAAAAAGTGAACGAATGCACATTACAAGTTAAAACATCCTCAAATATTAAAAACATCCGGATTAGCGAGTGAAAAGCGGTTACATAAAAACATAAAATACAGTTATTTCTTGAGATCATCAATTTCTTCTGGCGAATAACCATCGGCGAGCAGTTCTTCTGTCAGCTGGTCATCCGTCAATTTGTTAGCCCGTAAAAAGTTGTAAGCATCGGTGTACCCTTGTCGATAATAGTGCCTTAGTTGTTCCAAAGAAGGCGGGAATAACGCGTGTTTTCCGCGTATCAAATTTCTGAAATTCGCCGCAATGCTGTGCTTGCCGAAGTCAACCGTCCACGGCGCCCTCCAGGGCTGCGGATCGTTCGGCGCGATGTCGGCATTCCCAGAAAAAGGCGAGATCGTTATCGTCTTGATATCCGGCCAATCGGGTAGATTATTCGAATAGAACCCGTCGAAAAATTCGATGCCGTCAATGCTGGGCCTCGGAGCATACAGGCCGCGGCTGTACACCGGGATGTAGCATGATGCAAGCAGCGTCTCGATCAGGTGTTTTCGATCCCGAAATTGAGAAACTAACTCGTTTTCTCTGCTCTGGTAATTCGTCAGTGAGACCATCAGCCGGCCCTGCGCCGGGGAAATGTCTTCCGGGAGATGGGCATCAACCACTTCGAGGAGCCGATCTTGCAGTGTATATTTTGGCGTCAGCGCCCCGAACGGCAGCGAGTGCAGCTCCGTGGCCATTTTGTAGAAAGTGGCGAGGGCGGCTGGCAATTTGTCGGGTTTCAGCACAAGCAGGGAGGCTACCAGAGAGCCTGCCGAGGCCCCGCCGATTCTGGTGACCTTCTGCATGAGCAGCTTCCCGTGACGATACAGGCATACGGCGGCTCCGATGTGGTAGGTGCCGAGGAAGCCGCAGCCGCTCAGCGATAGGGCTACTTCTTTGCTTTCGGCAATTGTTTGCTTGGAGATGTCCGGGCGTATTCGCATCGTGAGGGGCTTTGCATTGAATGCGCTTCTGGAAAAACGGGAATGAACAAACCGCTACAAGTTCGAGCAATAAAGGAACGATAATTCGTGGTTCGGAAAATTAAATAACTTCTCTACGAAGCCACAAAATACTAAAGACTACAATTTTGCTGAAAGAGGGCGTCTTAGTATTGATTGCGCTTTTCAAAACGGGGAAATGACTAAACAAACAAAACCCCGGCTAATAAAAGAAAGCAAAAAGCACTACAATTTCGAAATCACAAAAAAATATGAAAAAAACAAGAATTTTTGGAAGGACAAGCTTTTACACATTTTCTTCTCATCATTTCGCGGAAAATATGAAGAAAATGAATGCGGGGAAAGGGCAGTGTAGGGGCGTAAGGTGTAGTGTCACGTACCGTCTCAGAGAGCACGCGGAGAGCGAGAGACGCCAGAGAAAAAGAGGAATTCCCATAAATAGACATGTAGAAACCATATATTACTTAGAAGATACCAATTATTTCTTGTAGGAAATGCTAGGCAAGCAATACCACAACAATATGGAGCACCCGAGGAATGTATGGCGGCGCTGGAAGGTGCGTTTTCGAGTTTTAAAGAGATGGGTAACTTTGTAGCGGTGCGATGCAGCGAGATTTTAGCAAAAAAAAATTAAATAGACATTTTATTGAGTTGTTATACGCTAAGAAACGTTTATCTACCTTGTAAAGGTGCAATAACGGTCCGATTTTTGATATTATAAGGGCATTTTGAATTTAAAAACTATTATTTTTCCTTTCTGCTCCTTAAAAATATATATTTTCACGAAATATACTTCAGAACGACACAACTATCATCGGAGTATCACGGATTGAACAGTTTCGTAAGAAGGAGGAATTTGTGTGGGGATTTGTCACGCTGTTGGCTGGGTTTATTGTGGTTTTTCAGGTAAAAACAGATCTAAAAACCGAAAACACTACAAATCTAGGTTGAAAGGAACAATTTAGAGATATTTTAGTGCTCCAATCTCTCATTCCGCTTCCTACAATTCGAGGTGAAAACGTCGACCTCGGTAAAACGCTTCGATTTTCAAAACAAAACAATTTTTTCAGCTAGTCGCTGGTCATCTACGATTTCCAGCGTTTACCATTTGTAATATCAACCCGTATAAGGCATCTGAATTGGCAAAACTTTGGCAGTTTGTGGAGATTGTGAGTGGAAATACATATTATTATCAAAAAGTAGTAATTTCTAGCTCGATTACCTAAATATATCACAGACCGGGCTACCACCGGAGCCTCGCGTATTGCTGCCAAATGAGAGTGTCGGTAGGTTCAGCTTAGGCTTGGCTTAGGCTTGGCTTAGGATGGGCTTAGGCTTGGCTCAGGCTTGGCTTAGGCTTGGGTTGGGGGTTGGCTTGGGCTTGGCTTAGGATTCGCTTAGGCTTGGCTTAGGATTGGCCTAGGCTTGGCTTAGGCTTGGCTTGGGCTTGGCTTAGGAATGGCTTAGGATTGGTCTAGGCTTGGCCTAGGCTTGGCTTAGGATTGGCTCAGGCTTGACTTAGGCTTGGCTTAAGATTGGCCTAGGCTTGGCTTAGGCTTGGCTTAGGCTTGGCTTAGGAATGGCTTAGGATTGGTCTAGGCTTGGCCTAGGCTTGGCTTAGGATTGGCTTAGGCTTGGCTTGAGCTTGACTTACAAGGGAACCACCTAAGGTCAAGGTGGCGTTTCGTTATGGGACCCAGCTTATTTTGTGCAGAATTTTTTGCTGATTTCGAATCCGCTTTTATTGTTTGCTAAATAGCCCAATTTAAAAAGTTATAGCGTTTCAAAGTTCCATTTTTTCCCAAATTTTCGAACTTCAAAGTCATTTATCTTGCCTTTCCCGTCTGATTCCTCAAAAACGAATAGCGCCATCGTATTCAGAAAAATTTTCTCTATCGAATGAACTTTTTAACTCAAAATTGTTGAAAATTGAAAAATCGACGATACTTGGTATGGACTCCGTTTTTTGTATGGGAAATGGTGAAAAATTGCCTATTTCACACCCCCGTAAGTGATCGTCGATAAGTCGTAGCGCACTAATAAAATATACCAATCGAATCAGAAAAAAATTCTCTACAAGCTAGGCTATTAAAAATCGACTGCCCTATCAAAATAAAAAAGTTGGGCATCGTGACAGATGACTTCCCGCGGGCACAGATATGACGTTAAAATCGCTATAACTTTTTAAATTGGGCTATTTAACAAAAATTGAAAGCGGGTTCGGAATCAGCAAAAAATTCTACACAAAATAGGCTGGGTCCCATAACGAAACGCCACCTTGACCTTAGGTGGTTCCCTTGTTAGGCTTGGCTTAGGCCAAGAAGTTCATTAAAATTTCAGAATCGTTGTCTCAAAAAGAGCGCTACAACGTCGTCGTCTCCTCATATTGCAAATGTAACGTCACCGGAGAACAGGTATCCTGCGTACTCGACCAGCAACAGTGTAGGTATTATGTTCGAATCCTCAAAATTTTCATGATTTTTAGCCAGCGTCTCGCTTTACGCTTGCGTTTGTATGATGGTAAAGTCGATCTGGTCGTGCGTAAAGTGTCCCACAAATCAGACTTGTCATTATCGTCATATAGGTGCGTAATTAGTATCAACCGTATTAGCCGCTTAGTTCGGATTTCCAAAAATGGGGCCTCGATCCTTATCATATTTCGTTAAATTTTATTGTTTTCAGCACTAATCGAAGAAAAGATGAACACTTATGGTTTTAACGTAAGTTTAATAACATCTAATGCTTTTAAAAATTACGAAATTAGATCCGAGACGGCGGGATCGCGAATCAAGTGAAAGCAGCGGAGAGCCTACCGTATTTAGCGAGAACTGTATCCAACGAAATCTACGAGTTAGATACATATCCATAAAAAAACACAGAAGAATTCAGGCAGATCACCTACAATTTCTCGGACTTTGTGCGTAGTTGTCGGCTGATGGGGAAGCCATGTGGGGCTAGGTTGGTTTTAAAGGGAGGGTGAATCTTGGGAATTGACCCTACCATCGACTAGCTCTCACCAGGTACGCTTTAGGCCGCCCTTAGGCAAAATCAAACTTACGCCTGTAGGCGGGTTTGTAGCTTGCTGCAACATCGCGGAATGGCTATGAAAATGACCTTCGAAAGCGTGTTTTGGCGCGACGCGTAGTTGTTTAGACCCAGTCAATGGAGCGGGTCGATTTCCGCGTTTTTCAGCTCGATTAAGCTCTTTATAAAGGACAGGAAATCCATGGCCGCGGATTTTGGTGGCAAGGGACCGCCTCTGAATTTTTTTTCCGCGCTGCGCACAGCTACGCACGCCGCATTTTACCGACATTAACAGGTCGTAATCGATTACGCAACCCAAAGATGGGCACGCGTTGCGTATCACTCCACCGTAGGCATGTCAACAAAACCCATAGCCTTGCCTTCCACGTTCCTTTAAACATAACTATCGCCCTGAGAGTTAACCTGTCGATACCTAGTAAGAGCTAGGGCCGATTTTCCCGCTTCCTCGTCCCTTTAAAAAACGTTGATGATCCAATCACTAAAAACAATATTGCCATTTTGAGCAACTTCGTCGAACGCGACCAAAGCAGCTACGGGCGATGTTATACCCTAGATCCGGAATTTCAAGACGGATTTGCAGTGCCCAGAAGGGGCCCGGATTACGGTGGATTTTCCGTGTCATAGCGTAAACGTTAAATTCTAGGATTGACACTGTTACTAGCATCGAGCCCAGATGATTATTTATCGCTTACCGAAAGCGAGGGATTTCGTGTGGTTATTCATGAAGAGGGCAGGTACCTGGTTGTAATTTTTTGTTTGTTTTTAAATTGTTTGAAGATTTCAGCTTAATTATTTTTTTATTACTAAGGTAAGTTTCCAAAAACATACGGTATTTTTAGCCGTTCTTTCACTACCACGACTGGCTTTGATATACCGGCTGGGTTGTACACGAAATTTGCCATTCGAGCGGTAAGTGTATATCGTAGCGTTTCGTACTATACTTGTCGTGTTGAGTTCAGTTTAGCATACTTTTACTAATTAGGGAGCTTATGCCTTATCAGTGGGGGAAATTGTTTGTTCACATGAACCTATCGTAGCTGCTTTTTATCGTACACGTTTCCCCCGTCGTTAATGCCTGAGTTCCCGAATTATTGATACTATTACAGTTCCGAACGCTCCGCCTGAACCAGGGCTCGAACGTTTGCGTGGATGGTACTGTAATTCCGAGGTTGTATACTGGAAAATATACCATCGAGGTTGCGTTTTGCATGTTAGGGAAACGGCTACTTTTCAGGGCTGCCAGCGCGAATGCGCCCAAACGGCCATCGTGAAGAAGTGTGGGTGCTCCGATCCTCGGTACCCGACTTTTAACGCGAATGATAGTTATTGTGGGCTGGAGAATAATGAACAGAGTACGTTTGAATACACATTACAGTCGGATAAGCACCAATATTGTAAAAACCAAGAATTCCTTGTAGGAAACTGCGTGAACGACGCACAGGAAGCCGTTTTGGCCTGTGATTGCCCTAGTCCGTGCGAGTAAGTAGGTCGCCCTCTCTCCCACTCTCTCTGTGTCTCTCTCCCGCTCGCGGCCTCTCTTTGTCTCTCTGTCTCTCACTCTCACTCTTTCGCCTTCTCTCAATCTCCTCACACTCTACCTCACTTCCCTTCACTTCTCTCTCTGTCTCTCTCTCTCTCTCTCTCTCTCTCTCTCTCTCTCTCTCTAAATCACGAATTAGGGAGACCACCTATTCGGCTTCAATCTCACACGCCGCTCTCAACGAAGACAGTCGCCTCCTAAAGGGACTACGAAAACAAGCAAACGAGTCTTCGGTACTGTATGCCATTTTAGAGGTAAGTTAATAAGCTTTAAAACGGCCGGTTCTTCCAGGTATTCTTCGACGAGACGTTGGTGGAAACGATTGTTGAAGCTGATGCGTATCAGGTCAACTTTGTTGATGAAGTTTTTCTATAGATTTTTGCAGTTCGCTACCTACCTTTCTGACCTGGGCGCTACTTCCGGCTTCTGGCTGGGAATCTCTGTCGTTTCTGGATTTGAGATACTATTGTTAATCTACGATCTAGGAAAGGCTATGTATGGCCAGCTAGAGATCAGATTGTAAGTACGTATGAGATCGCTCTAAACTTCCTCAAGGCTTCACCTCCGCTTCCGGCACCTCGAGCAGCCGGTTAGCCCGGTTTTTACAATTGATGAGCCTGGTAATTCCGGGACTTCTGAGAAAATCCGATTAATTTAGACGCCCTCCCACTACGCGCCGTTCCTCTGAACCGGGACTGGGACCCGAGGACGGGCAGATATCGCTCGGAGAAGCCGGGTAGGACACGGATACGGTTTCTTCAGGCTTTAGGAGCGACTCTTTTTCGATCACCTATGAAACCAGGTACATTCAAAAATTTTTAGGACTGGCCGAGGACAGGGCTCGACGCTACCGTATCCTCGCCCGGATTCAGGGACTGCGACTTGGGAATCGGCACCGGATGCCAAATACGAGATTGCCGATTTGAGAGGACGAAACACTTGTAATTTTTTTTGCACCTTTGCGCTTAATTTGTCAGTAAATTTTATAATAACATTTTCAACAGAGAATTTTTCTGTCTTTCATGTTCTGTTTTTTACGTTCTTCCTGTTTCTGTTCGTTAATTTTTTTACATTATTTATTATCTACGAGCGCCGACCCCAGCTACGCGGAGGTTCAGCGCTGAACCCCCCGCAATTTAAATTTTCAATTTCGTGGCATAATTTGGGATGGAAATTAACTATAGACATTCATATTTGGGAGGTGGTTCCGGTAAATCACAATTAGCATAAAATCTGGATTGCCAATCCTTGTTGACCGCCGATCTAACGGCGGGCCTGGAAACCTTCATAACCCTCCTCCAACCCAACCCATCCGTCCCTCGCATGGCTTAGCGGCTAACGGCGCTTGCTTCAGGCAAACAACCCTGGTTCGATTTTGGCCCAGAATCAACATCAATGCTAATATTTCATTCAAAACCATGCAACCAAATCAATCCCATGCCAAAAAAACAAAATGTCGGCGTGCCAGCTGGAAAGCGCCCAAGCGTAAGCCTAAGCACTCGAAGCCTAAGCCTAAGCCTAAGCACTCGAAGCCTAAGCCTAAGCCTAAGCCTAAGCACTCGAAGCCTAAGCCTAAGCCTAAGCACTCGAAGCCTAAGCCTAAGCCTAAGCACTCGAAGCCTAAGCCTAAGCCTAAGCACTCGAAGCCTAAGCCTAAGCCTAAGCACTCGAAGCCTAAGCCTAAGCCTAAGCACTCGAAGCCTAAGCCTAAGCCTAAGCCTAAGCACTCGAAGCCTAAGCCTAAGCCTAAGCCTAAGCACTCGAAGCCTAAGCCTAAGCCTAAGCCTAAGCACTCGAAGCCTAAGCCTAAGCCTAAGCCTAAGCACTCGAAGCCTAAGCCTAAGCCTAAGCCTAAGCACTCGAAGCCTAAGCCTAAGCCTAAGCACCCGAAGCCTAAGCCTAAGCCTAAGTCTAAGCACTCGAAGCCTAAGCCTAAGCACCCGAAGCCTAAGCCTAAGCCTAAGCCTAAGCACCCGAAGCCTAAGCCTAAGCCTAAGCCTAAGCACTCGAAGCCTAAGCCTAAGTACTCGAAGCCTAAGCCTAAACACTCGAAGCCTAAGCCTAAGCCTAAGCACTCGAAGTCTAAGCCTAAGCCTCAGCACTCGAAGCCCAAGCCTAAGCCTAAGCCTAAGCACTCGAAGCCTAAGCCTAAGCACTCGAAGCCTAAGCCTAAGCCTAAGCACTCGAAGCCTCAGCCTAAGCCTAAGCGCTCGAAGCCTAAGCCTAAGCCTAAGCCTAAGCACTCGAAGCCTAAACCTAAGCCTAAGCCTAAGCACTCGAAGCCTAAGCCTAAGCCTAAGCCTAAGCACTCGAAGCCTAAGCCTAAGCCTAAGCACTCGAAGCCTAAGCCTAAGCCTAAGCCTAAGCACTCGAAGCCTAAGCCTAAGCCTAAGCACTCGAAGCCTAAGCCTAAGCCTAAGCACTCGAAGCCTAAGCCTAAGCCTAAGCACTCGAAGCCTAAGCCTAAGCCTAAGCACTCGAAGCCTAAGCCTAAGCCTAAGCACTCGAAGCCTAAGCCTAAGCCTAAGCACTCGAAGCCTAAGCCTAAGCCTAAGCACTCGAAGTCTAAGCCTAAGCCTCAGCACTCGAAGCCCAAGCCTAAGCCTAAGCCTAAGCACTCGAAGCCTAAGCCTAAGCACTCGAAGCCTAAGCCTAAGCCTAAGCACTCGAAGCCTCAGCCTAAGCCTAAGCGCTCGAAGCCTAAGCCTAAGCCTAAGCCTAAGCACTCGAAGCCTAAACCTAAGCCTAAGCCTAAGCACTCGAAGCCTAAGCCTAAGCCTAAGCCTAAGCACTCGAAGCCTAAGCCTAAGCCTAAGCACTCGAAGCCTAAGCCTAAGCCTAAGCCTAAGCACTCGAAGCCTAAGCCTAAGCCTAAGCACTCGAAGCCTAAGCCTAAGCCTAAGCACTCGAAGCCTAAGCCTAAGCCTAAGCACTCGAAGCCTAAGCCTAAGCCTAAGCACTCGAAGCCTAAGCCTAAGCCTAAGCACTCGAAGCCTAAGCCTAAGCACTCGAAGCCTAAGCCTAAGCCTAAGCACTCGAAGCCTAAGCCTAAGCCTAAGCACTCGAAGCCTAAGCCTAAGCCTAAGCACTCGAAGCCTAAGCCTAAGCCTAAGCACTCGAAGCCTAAGCCTAAGCCTAAGCACTCGAAGCCTAAGCCTAAGCCTAAGCACTCGAAGCCTAAGCCTAAGCCTAAGCACTCGAAGCCTAAGCCTAAGCCTAAGCCTAAGCACTCGAAGCCTAAGCCTAAGCCTAAGCACTCGAAGCCTAAGCCTAAGCCTAAGCACTCGAAGCCTAAGCCTAAGTCTAAGCACTCGAAGCCTAAGCCTAAGCACCCGAAGCCTAAGCCTAAGCCTAAGCCTAAGCACCCGAAGCCTAAGCCTAAGCCTAAGCCTAAGCACTCGAAGCCTAAGCCTAAGTACTCGAAGCCTAAGCCTAAACACTCGAAGCCTAAGCCTAAGCCTAAGCACTCGAAGTCTAAGCCTAAGCCTCAGCACTCGAAGCCCAAGCCTAAGCCTAAGCCTAAGCACTCGAAGCCTAAGCCTAAGCCTAAGCACTCGAAGCCTAAGCCTAAGCCTAAGCACTCGAAGCCTAAGCCTAAGCCTAAGCACTCGAAGCCTAAGCCTAAGCCTAAGCCTAAGCACTCGAAGCCTAAGCCTAAGCCTAAGCCTAAGCACTCGAAGCCTAAGCCTAAGCACTCGAAGCCTCAGCCTAAGCCTAAGCGCTCGAAGCCTAAGCCTAAGCCTAAGCCTAAGCACTCGAAGCCTAAGCCTAAGCCTAAGCCTAAGCACTCGAAGCCTAAGCCTAAGCCTAAGCACTCGAAGCCTAAGCCTAAGCCTAAGCACTCGAAGCCTAAGCCTAAGCACCCGAAGCCTAAGCCTAAGCACCCGAAGCCTAAGCCTAAGCCTAAGCCTAAGCACTCGAAGCCTAAGCCTAAGTACTCGAAGCCTAAGCCTAAACACTCGAAGCCTAAGCCTAAGCCTAAGCACTCGAAGTCTAAGCCTAAGCCTAAGCATACTCGAAGCCTAAGCCTAAGTCTAAGCACTCGAAGCCTAAGCCTAAACACTCGAAGCCTAAGCCTAAGCCTAAGCACTCGAAGTCTAAGCCTAAGCCTCAGCACTCGAAGCCCAAGCCTAAGCCTAAGCCTAAGCACTCGAAGCCTAAGCCTAGGCCTAAGCCTAAGCACTCGAAGCCTAAGCCTAAGCACTCGAAGCCTCAGCCTAAGCCTAAGCGCTCGAAGCCTAAGCCTAAGCCTAAGCCTAAGCACTCGAAGCCTAAACCTAAGCCTAAGCCTAAGCACTCGAAGCCTAAGCCTAAGCCTAAGCCTAAGCACTCGAAGCCTAAGCCTAAGCCTAAGCACTCGAAGCCTAAGCCTAAGCACCCGAAGCCTAAGCCTAAGCACCCGAAGCCTAAGCCTAAGCCTAAGCACCCGAAGCCTAAGCCTAAGCCTAAGCACTCAAAGCCTAAGCCTAAGCACTCGAAGCCTAAGCCTAAGCCTAAGCCTAAGCACTCGAAGCCTAAGCCTAAGCCTAAGCACTCGAAGCCTAAGCCTAAGCCTAAGCACTCGAAGCCTAAGCCTAAGCACCCGAAGCCTAAGCCTAAGCACCCGAAGCCTAAGCCTAAGCCTAAGCACCCGAAGCCTAAGCCTAAGCCTAAGCACTCAAAGCCTAAGCCTAAGCACTCGAAGCCTAAGCCTAAGCCTAAGCACTCAAAGCCTAAGCCTAAGCACTCGAAGCCTAAGCCTAAGCACTCGAAGCCTAAGCCTAAGCACTCGAAGCCTAAGCCTAGGCCTAAGCCTAAGCACTCGAAGCCTAAGCCTAAGCACTCGAAGCCTAAGCCTAAGCCTAAGCACTCGAAGCCTAAGCCTAAGCCTAAGCCTAAGCACTCGAAGCCTAAGCCTAAGCCTAAGCCTAAGCACTCGAAGCCTAAGCCTAAGCCTAAGCACTCGAAGCCTAAGCCTAAGCCTAAGCACTCGAAGCCTAAGCCTAAGCACTCGAAGCCTAAGCCTAAGCACCCGTAGCCTAAGCCTAAGCACCCGAAGCCTAAGCCTAAGCCTAAGCACCCGAAGCCTAAGCCTAAGCCTAAGCACTCAAAGCCTAAGCCTAAGCACTCAAAGCCTAAGCCTAAGCACTCGAAGCCTAAGCCTAAGCACTCGAAGCCTAAGCCTAAGCACTCGAAGCCTAAGCCTAGGCCTAAGCCTAAGCACTCGAAGCCTAAGCCTAAGCACTCGAAGCCTAAGCCTAAGCACTCGAAGCCTAAGCCTAAGCACTCGAAGCCTAAGCCTAAGCCTAAGCACTCGAAGCCTAAGCCTAAGCCTAAGCCTAAGCACTCGAAGCCTAAGCCTAAGCCTAAGCACTCGAAGCCTAAGCCTAAGCCTGAGCCTAAGCACTCGAAGCCTAAGCCTAAGCTTGAGCCTAAGCCTAAGCACTCGAAGCCTAAGCCTTAGCCTTTGATCCCAAGTATACAGATTCACAGATCACGCCGCCAGATCGAGCAGATAAGGAAAGGCGTTGCAACGAAAATTTAGCTGAAATCCGAATGCATAAGCACGCACTTTGCCATCTCACGATAGGGGGAAGGCTGCGTTTTACGTGGGACAGAAGAACGCTGATAAGCGAATCGTTGCGTTGAAGGTCCTGGTAGCCGGGTTGCAAAGTATTAGCTGAACTTTTGAAACAGCAAAAATGTTGCTGAATTTTCCTCAACGATCCCGACACTTGCAGTTTTTTATTGAACGTGGAAACGCAAAAAGCGCCCCAGGTTGGCCGCAACTAGGGAGGTACAGCACTGGGCAAAATTCTATCATATTTCGGTTTTTAGGCTCTAACTTTGCGGGGCTCCGGTGGTTCTTACTGAAATTTATATGCAGTGTTGGTTAAAGTGTAATATACTTGCTGTAGCGTTTTTATAATTTTTCGATTTAGTGTCGGCGCGCGCGTACGGTAACATTTTGTCGAGCAGAAAATAGGGTCCAAAAATTCGCTTTTTTGAAGGATTTTGAGATTTCGAAAACATGTCCAGCGTGTTCAGCAGGGTCGAAAACCTTACTGTAGCGATTTCGCAAAATTTGGGAGCCGGGAAGGGCCTTTTCGGGTATCGGGAAGATGGGAGTTTGGCAACTTGGGGGGCCTGTCAGAGGTTCCCCTTAACATTTTTACCCCCCGCGCGACCAACTTCCAGGGCCGATTAGAGCCACTTCCCGGCTGCCAAATTTTACGGAATCGCTACAGTAGGGGTTTTCGACCCTGCTGAACACGCTGGACATGTTTTCGAAATCTCAAAATTCCTTGAAAAACGTGAATTTTTGGACCCTATTATCTGCTCAACAAAATGTGACCGTACGCGCCGACACTAAATCGAAAAATTATAAAAACGCTACCGCAAGTATATTACACTTTAACCAACACTGCATATAAATTTCAGTAAGAACCACCGGAGCCCCGCAAAGTTATAGCCTAAAAAGCGAAATATGATAGAATTTTGGCCAGTACTGTATCAAGCTAATCCACCTATATCTATCTAAGATCACCTCATTTTTCCTGGATCAAATAATGCCTATTAGCGTAATAAAAACTGTCTTAAACATGCTTCTAGTCAAGATTAAATATATCCGACGTGGAAAAATATTTATAAATTTTATAAAGTTCGAAATTTTGGTGGAAAATCGATATTTTTGCGTCGGTTGTATATAGTTATATATAGTAGGATAAAAAAATAGTGTTTGTGTGTGTGTGTGTGTATATTTGCATGCACTTCCGTTTGGATGTTCCGCACCTACAGGTTCAGGGAAGCATTTTTTCGGTAGGGAAGACACGTCATAGGGTAAAGGAGGGGCTGGAATCGACTGCACACACATAAAATCTTTGAAAAATTGCTATTTTCGCTATTAAAATTAGGTTTTTGTAAAAATCTGGGCTTTCCTCTTTGTTAGGGAAAATTAGCATACGGCGGAAGTGGAAACGGCTTATAAAAAGGAAGGGAGGGCGTGGTTTTCATTTTTTGGTCATCGGTTTTCGGCTAGAATTATGCAAAGTTTCATAGATCCTAGACGGGGGCCAGGGTTGAAAAGCCGCGAAGCGGTTTTTCAACCCTGGTAAGGATTAAGCTTGCTAGGAAAAGGGTTCTGCCGCCGAGGTTTTGGAAGGCTGGCTAAAACCGTGGATAGCTCCTTTTTGAAATTGACGCAAAATATAGATTTTTAGACAGAGCGCAATTTGCATAAGATACCCTTAACGCTAAGGAGGTCATATCTTGTAGATCTTGGCATGATCAAAATCAAACACCGGATGGCCGCGACCAGGGCTGTTCACGGACGGGTCGGGCCAGCCCGGGACGGGCCGGACGGGCTGGCTACCCAATTTGCATAAAATTAGCGGACGGGCTGGGACGGGCTGGGGAGCGGGCTGGACGGGCCGGGCTGAGCGGGCTGGAGCGGGCTGGGGTTATGCAAATCTGCTATGTTAATCATCCCGGGGTAAATTAACACAGAGAAGGCAATGTGATCAGATCGCGTTTTATGCCCTTGTTTAATAAAGATTTATGGGATGTTTATTGTTCTCAGGTTAGCAGGACTCTCATTTTGGTGTTGTGGCCACGTGGGGGGGAGAGAGCCAAGTCTTATTTTTATTTTTATTTCATTGATCTGTTAAAGGGCTGCCGACGGCATGTGTCGATCCCCCCCCATCAACAAATTGGCAAGTCGCCAACTGGGGATAGAACGCGTCCACGGCAGAGGCGCAGAGACATTTTCTTTTCCGCGCGTAACCGATTGACTATGCCGTCGGCATCCCTTTAAAGATACAGGTGTATTGTTACACTAATTTTAGTAGTTTCTGATTGCTCAAACTAACAACAACAATCGTACAAATTTTTGAAAATTGGCTAATTTAGACTTTTTTGGTAATTTTTCATAGTTTTTGACCAAAATAAATCAGAAATTTTCGAAAATTTGAAAATTTTTTTTGACGCAGGTTTATATTTAGAAAGTGTACAATAGACTCGCGCGTACAAATTTCCCCGCGCTAGGCACTTGCCTCATCCTTGGATTTAATTAACATAGCAGATTTGCATAACCCCAGCCCGCTCCAGCCCCCTCAGCCCGGCCCGTCCAGCCCGCTCCCCAGCCCGTCCCAGCCCGTCCGCTAATTTTATGCAAATTGGGTAGCCAGCCCGTCCGGCCCGTCCAGCCCCGGACGCCCGCGGGCCGGGCTCGAAATGACCAACCCTGGCCGCGACACGGCGCTGTTAAAGGGGCTCGGAAGCCGAAATTCGCGCTTGCGAGGATTGAACCTACTGGTCAAAAACGAAAGGGTTCTTCCCGAAGCACCAGAAAATTGATTTCGATGCGTAAAACGTAAAATATTTGGGTAAAACCAAAAAAGTTTTTTGAGCGGGCCTGACGTAATGCCTTCTAAAGCCCCAATCTCCCGATGTCGGTGATTCTCTGGTGAATTTTCATAGTTAAAAAGTCTAAAATGATTGAAATTCGGTGAGGATTCCAGAAATAGCTCCAGATTTTTAAATTCAAGCGTTTTCGCGTCCAAACAGTGGCAAAAGAAGATGCCGCGCGGTCGCGTTGCGGTCGCATCTGGCTTTTTGCCGGGAATCAACGCAAGGAGCCGTGGCCAGGAATCCTCTAAAGTGTCTAAGACAGTTGTATTCAAAGCATACGTTCAGGCATGAGCCGCTATATACCGGAAGCTCCTATTAACGCAGAAAAGCTACAGGCGGAGGGGCGTAAATACACCAAGGAGTCGATCGATTTTGGATAAATGTACGTCTTCCCATGATATACGGGCCCACGCCTGAAAGTACACTATCACACAAATTAAGCCCCTGGCTTTTCGGTTCTCTGTGACTTAAACGGCTCCATATCTCGACGCGTCAAGTGCTCCCCTGCACCACTTGCGCCTCGCTATCAGTGTCGCCGTCGACACGTCCACTTTTGCGCTAAGCTTCACAGCACAACCGGGCTGGCTGCGCCATGGCTTCTGGTCCTCAAAGCCAAAGGTTCGAATTCTTGCCGGAAATCTTAATTTTCTTAGGAATACAGAATTCAAGCGGCTCGCGATATTGGCTGTGATCCTAATCTTTGCGACGTACTACTTAGCATTTTATGCCGAGGATCATTTTGCCCCACTGCTCGACGTTTGGAGAAAATCAAACATTTGGAGAAGGTTTGGTGGCGTGTTTCCGCAAATTCGCGCCCATTTTCATGGTGAGTGTTTTATTATTCATAAAACTAACTTTACAAAAAATCCAATCAAATCAGAAATACAAAATATCGATTTTTCCCTCAAACAAAACGGCTCGATCTTCGACCAAAATTTTAAATTTTTGAGCAGTTTTAGATTTTGCTGCAAAAGTCATATTACTTGAAATATATTTCACTGAAGCATTTGAATAAAAATACTTTTAAGATGGCCTTAAAGTTTAAGAAAAAGTTATTCGTATTTATTAAGAAAAATTTTGATAATAAAACCGTGCAAAAACCGAGATCCCTCAACGAATTCAGCATTGCGTAAATTTGGCATTTGGCATGACATTCATCGGATTCAATAAATTTTTCTGCCAATAAATAACCTTTCAGGAACGTGACGATCGTTTACTATACAAAAATTTCCGACGCTCGACGTCAGCCTCGTTGGGTTTCGACCAGTGAATGCGCGGGCGTAGAACCGGTACTTTCCATATACCATGCTGTGCTTCCGTTTTTTTTGAATTTCATGCCTTAAAATGCTGCTTAAACGGCTTGGCTGAAAAAAGTGAATTTTAGCTCCGTGTTGACGAAATTTCTTTAGGGTTCCTGCATCATCCACAGCAACAAATCAGCAGCCCCAGAAGCAGACGCCCTCGTCTTCACGCCTCGCTATGTCGTTTTGCAGAAATCCGGCAAAATTCGGATCGAGGGTGTTGATATTGATCCGAAGACAATGCGGACACGACCCGAGCAACTGTTCGTTTTCGCATTCATGGAATCGCCGGAACGCTTCAACAGTATGCATCTGCCACGTGGGTTTTCCCGGTCCTTGCCAAACCAGGCGTAAACGGGATGCACCTACTGACGCAGACCTGGATATCAAATTCACCATTAACTGGTCAAAATTAAGATTTCAGACGATTTCTTTAATGCTACGATGACGCACCTGCTCGATTCGGATATTGAATTCAGCTATCGACATCGTTGGGTGACGAGGGAACAGGCAGAAAATGAAGGTAACACAATAAATTCTTCTAGATAATTTTTTCATGTTCGAAAGAAGGTTAATCACGTAGCGCAATGTATTGAAGATTCCTTCTCTAATACCGTAACTGTTTTGCCTTATGAAAAACGAAATAAACCAAAGAATGCTGTTCGAAGTCCCAAAAATTGGATAGATCAATCTCAGAAAAGGAGAAAAAGTCTACATTTTTTATCCTTTAGGTATCCCCTTCCTGCCTGCATTAGACCATACCTATCTATCCGGGCCACCTCGGAATAGAACCCATTTCATCAGCGGCTTCATCAGCAATATGGCTGCCGCGCCGAGTGGTCGAAGTCAGATTCTCGGCCATTTGGCCAAGTACGTTACGTTACATTTGAATTTGCTGAAAATAGCGAAGTCATCGCATAACTTTCTATAATCTCTTTATGAAATAACCTTTAGTAGTTTAAAATGTTTATTTTATAGAATAACTTTCCTGAATTTTAGGTTGGGCAAATTGTCATTATTCGGCGGAGGCGGTGCGACAAAAGCAGATAAGAACAAGTGTGGAAGATGTAAAATTAGTCCAATTCGATCCACTCTTTTAAAGTTGATGAAGGGTGCGTACGCCGTGTCTTCGAGGACTCGTACTTCTTTTTGGCGATGGAGAATTCGGTGTGCCAGGTGGGTATTCCGTATGGACCTTTACTTACTTTTGTCTCTCTCACGCTGTCTCTCTCTCTCTGTCTCTCTATCAGTCTCTCTGTCTCTCCCTGGCTCTCTTGGTGTTTCTCTATATCTCTCACACACTCTCTCTCTCTCTCTCTCTCTGTCTCACTCTCTCTCGCTCTGTCTCTCTAGCGCCTGTCTCACTATCTGTCGCGCTCTCTCTCTTGCTCTCTCTCTCGTCTTTGCGTTAATAGGTGCATACGTAGCGATTTCTCGCAGAATAGCAAGATCCCAAATTACCATTTCAGGACTACGTCTCGGAAAAGTACTGGGACCGTGCTGACTACGCTTCTATACCAATAATGCTGAGTCGGAATATCACGAACAAACAGTCGGTATTTCATGGCGTACAGGCACGGCATACTATGTAGCTAAAGAACTTTCATCTCCTTACCAAGCAATCGCTAGCATCTTAATTTTTCCTTTCTAGAGAAATGCCGGAAAAAGCGGGAATCTTCCTCGACGACTACCATAGTCTGGATGCAATGGTGAAATACATGGACTACCTTGTCGCCCAACCATCCGAATATGCCAAATATATCGATTGGAAGTAGGTTTTGACGGATAAACACTAAAAAAAAAGTTATTCAGAAAAGACTTAATGCTGATACGAAGGCCGAACGCTGCAAATTGCGCGTTATGTCGCTATGTACAAAGTAACCCTTCGCCGAAGACGGTGAGCCCAAGTTCATGAGAAATAGACAAGTTTAAAAAGGTGTTTGCGTTCTCGCGTTAGCAATACTCGCTAAATTGAGAAAATTTAGTATGAAGACGTCTACGATCTCTACACCGAAACGTCAAACTGCCAACCAAAATACGGGCTCAAGTTTTTGCCGGGAAAAAGCTAGGCGAAATCGATGCAGTAAAGATAGGATTTTATGTTTAGGAAATTCGATAGCCAAAATCCCGACACCTCTAATCCCAGCAGCCAGAATGCCCGAATGATCAAAAATCCATCCCTAAAACCCGACAGCGACAACCCTGAAAGCCAACAGGCAAGCAACAGGCCATGCCGACCGGCAAAATGCCGACGGGGGCTAAATCCCGACATGGCGCAATCTAATATTAAGGCCGGTTTAGGAAGTTTTGGATTCGGGATTTTGGCTGTCGGGATTTTAGCTTGTCGGTATTTGGGCTCCCGGTACTTTGGCTGTCGGGATTTTGACTGTCGGGATTTTTGCGTTGCCCACACCCGTTCTCTTCAAAGATTATGCATTTCATTGGCTGATTTTTGCAATTTTGTTGCATTCGCAGTTTTTGTGCTTTACATTATGATCCTCATATTGCCTTCTGGTTTGAACAAATGATTTATTATGTCATTAATGGAATTATGATAAATAGTTAAAGCTCAAAAAACAATTCGATCAACACCTGGATCTTCAAAAAAAGCATGAAAATTTTTTCCTTATCCCTGATACGAACCGACGCCGCTTCCCTTTTGCTCGAGCAGTTTCTTGGCCAGTTCCGGGCGAATACTAAACGGAAATCGATCTATACGTGTGAACGTTCCGCAAGCGGTCATCGCTAGCATGCCCTTGACAATCGATCACTTACACAAGTTGCTTCGGTCGCTCCCACGCAAAATCCTGATGTCCAAAATGACCATTCCTGGCGGTCTGCTTGTAGATTGGCTTCTTTAGGCCGAGCTCCCTAAACGTTTATTAAGTCAAGGCGGTTGAACTTGCTCTCGCTGTCGTTCACTCTCTCTCTCTCTCTCTCTCTCTCTCTCTCTCTCTCTCTCTTTCTCTCTCTCGCGCTTTCGTCTCACGCTATATCTTTCTAGCTTTCGCTCTATTTCTCTCTTTCTCTCCCTCTCTCCCTCTCTCTCTCTCTCTCTCTCTCTCTCTCCCTCTTTCTCTCTCTCGCTTTCTATAACCCACTTGATCAGTCTGCCAGGTCGCAGATCAAAGTTATCGCGGACGATCGTCAACAGTTCTTCTTCGGTCAGCGGCGAGGTGTTGTATGAAATGACCGTCACGGAGAGTGGATCAGCCATTCCGATGGCGTAAGATACCTACAGTCACCAAAATAACAAATCGTACTAACTAGCGGTTTAACTATACGAATCATACTAACCTGAACAAGACATCTACGACACACTTCGGCTTTCACCAGGGATTTTGCCACCCAACGAGCCCCGTAGGCAGCCGACCTATCCACCTTGGTCGGATCTTTGCCCGAGAATGCCCCTCCTCCATGGGCGCCCCAGCCACCGTACCTGAAATTGATGTACTTTCGATACCCGTTAACGATACTTACGTATCGACGATAATCTTTCTCCCCGTCAGCCCGGCATCACCCATCGGACCCCCGATATGAAAGCGACCGCACGGGTTCAAGTAGTACCGGGTCTTAAATCGAGGTATGGGTATTGTATAGTGGAAAAACGATAAAATAGCGTTAATTGAGATACCTGCTCATCCAACAATCGCTGCGGGATCACCGATTTTATGACGTGCTCGATCAGATCCTTTCGAACATCTTCGAGCTCTGCCTTCTCGGTGTGCTGTGCCGAGATTACGACTGTATGAACTCGTACTGGGACACAAGCGCCACGATCCAGCCTGTACTCAACGGTCACCTGAATGAGAAAATTTTTAGACTCATGTCGCTGGAGTCGACTTACTTGGCTTTTCGAGTCTGGCAACGACCAGGCCAGGATGCCAGACCTTCGGAGTTGATGTAGGCGGGCCATTAGCTAAAGATACCACGAATAGGATATTTAGAAGCGTGTCTACGGAGTGGTACGTAGTCACAGAAATGATTGATTACCTGATGCGCCAAAAGTAGAGACAGCGGCATGGCTTCGTCAGTCTCGTCGGTAGCGTACCCGAACATTAGGCCCTGAAAAGCGGCGTATTACGTAGATTACTAAGCGTAAAAGGTCCATAACAAGCCGAGGTAAATTAGATATGTAGGATACTTTAAAGTACCTGATCCCCAGCCCCAACATCATCATCCGACTTCCCGACATGAACTCCGGCTGCAATTTCCGGACACTGCTGATCGAGGGCGATTAGCAGGCTCAGGGTTTTGTAGTCGAAGCCTGGAAAGTTGATGGTTGAGAGAGAGAAACAGAGCGAGAGAGAGCGAGAGATAGTGAGAAAAACTACGAAACGCGCCTTTTGACGAATCGTCATATCCAATATCTCGTACGGTATCCCTGACGACTCTCTGATAGTCGATATGGCCCTTCGAAGTGATCTCTCCGCACAGCAAGATCATTCCGGTTTTTGTGACGGTTTCTGAAGAATTACTTTTTAAAGGGATTGATAAGTCAGAAAATCTACCTACGGTACTCAAAATTCGTTAGAATTTTTTTTGCAAACCTATGGGTGCAAAAAATATGGGAAATGTTAAGCCCTAAAATGAATTTTTTTTTGTGCTGGTAAATGGTTTAATGGTTTTTTGTGTGTTTCAAACGTCGATAAATTTAATTTTTCTATTTCTATTAAATACTTACCACACGCAACCTTGGAATCCGGATCTTTTTGGAGATAAGCATCGAGAATACTGTCAGAAATGATGTCGCAAATCTAAAAATATAGTTCTATTGATTTTTTTGAGACGTATTGATTGATTTAGGATTACCTTATCCGGATGCCCCTCCGACACGCTTTCCGACGTGAAAAGGAAGCTGCCCTCTAAAGAATTATATTAAAAAATAATAAAAATTATCCGACCTGTCGGAATATACGGAGTTGGCACCCCGGTCATCATTTTTGGTGGATTTTACCTGCAAAAATTCAAAATGACCACTTTCCGGGTTTTTACGACAAATACAAATATATCCAGATTTTTAAACATTTCAGAGTTAACACAGACTTTGATTTATAAACTATAAATACCATTCAATAGAACCTTTAATATAGCTTTGCTTAATAGAGGGTTCAAAAGTTTACTTGAAAACGTTTAATATGATTAAATTAAAGAAAAATCTCCTTAAAAAGCCTTTAAGCGTATTTTAAATGTAATACACCTTCGAAAACAGATTTTGGAAACACTAAATTGGCACCAAACGCGTATAATCAACCATTTTCGGAAGGATAAAGATTCCACAAACGCTTGTGAATGGTTCCTTAAATTGTATAAGAAACGAAATTTGCATAAAACAAGCGTTAAAGCTGTATTTAGCGTAAAACGTAAAGCAACGCAACGTATTTGTGTCAAAATCCCAAATTTGGGCAGAAAAAGCCGTTGTTTATGCGTGGTGGCAACCAGCCGGGGTGGGGCGCGGGATAAGAAACAGGGCCAAGGGCCCACGCGCAGAGACCAGGCGAGAAGAAGAGGGCCTAGACGGCCCGACACGGCTTTTCCCCCTCCGCACTGGGGGCCATTTACGCGATTTTGTAATGTTTATCCGAAGGGGCAGATCTGAGTGGTAACAGTTGGATCCGTGCCAATCGGAAAGGGCAGCAGATTGTTGCCGGAAGTGAGGGGAGATGGGGAAGACGAGATATACAGTCATTCTTCGATGCTTTGCGTAGAATCTAGAGTTTATTGGGTTTTGTGGCCTTTAAGAGGGGATGTACGGTAGAATTTCTGGCTTGTAGAGTACGGTAAAGCGCGTTGACACGCCTAGAAATGCACCATTTCAAAGCTCTACGCTACTGGCTATCCGTGCCCTTTTCAGGGATATCGCCGATCTACCTTATCAAAAAGTCGAGTCGCCCAAAAAATAGCTCCATTTTTCTCAAATATTTTTGGGTTTTTTTGCAACGAAATTATTTTTCTCGTACTTTGTCCTCTCTCTCGAACCGTCGAGTTTTTGATCACTAGGAGTGATCCCAGTGGACACGAATTTCCACTTGCAAGTTCCTTTAACCCATCAGGCGGGTGTTGTTACGGAGTTTCAGCTTAACTCCGCTATTCTTCATCATCTTTGCTTCTTTAAAATCAGATATTGCGGAAGCCGCCTACAGACATGATGAAGACGAAGATATTCTGGGCGTCTTTACCATCGAGCAGTTCTTGAATTTTTCATTTATTCCATTCCATTTCATACACCATTCATTTCAACTAAATTTTTTCGTTTTAGGCATTCATTTTTCGATGGTACCGCGACACTTGCGCCGCGGACACTTGCGCCGCGGACACTTGCGCCGCGATACCGAGTTTCAGCTACTTGAAGATGCAATTTTTCGCGCGGAGTATTCCGGTTAAAGAAACGATATAAAGATGTTTTTGCGCTAGGAGTCACTCGATTTGGAGGGAAGGTAATTACTACTTCTTCCGCTCTGCGACTAGAAAAACGCTTCGTGCCACCCGGGGCCTAGTCGCTTCGGATGGGTGCGAGCTCGTACAGGGTTTCGAGATCCGGGCGCCCGAGGCGCGCGTAGCGGCCAGGCGCCCCGATTTCGAAAGAATGGAGCGGCAGCCCATCCGAAGCGACGGCCCACCTTGCCGACGCTTCAGGAACGCTCCGAATTGGCGTTACTCACTTTCTGTCAGCTTTTAATGCAAAATACAGTAATTACATACAAAATTCGCGCGAAATACCAAATTCACTACGGTTTAAATCACTATACCATCCGCGGCGCAAGTGTCGCGGCGCAAGTGTCGGGGAGCCTTTTTCGATATCTCTATCCCGGGCTCTCTGTGATTCTCACTCTCTCTCTCGCCCTATATTTCTTCCTCGCTCTGTCTCTCTCTCACTTTCACTCTGTGGTCCCGCCATTTTGCTATTATTCGTGCTTTAGCTAAAAGAAATATACGGCTCGCTCTCTCTCTCACTCTGTCTCTCTCGCTCTCTCACTCTCTCTCCGTCTCTCTTTCCATTTCGTTCTCTTTCTCTCCTCTCTATCGCACTGTAAACACCCCAAAAATTTAGAATCAGGGGATGCCTTACTAGCTTCCTCGAAGTTCTCCTCCCACGCCGCTCAAAGTTTTTTCAAAACCACAGATTTGCAATCCTCCCAAAACCTACTTACTTTCTTCCCTCCCTCCCCACCAAAATCGCTCTCTGATGTGCGCCATAAAAAGTGCATTTTTGTCGATGGCCATCCCCCTCAGGGCGAGGCGATCGGCTGGGACGTGTGGCAACCCTAACCTGGGTCCCAAGCGGAAAGATACGTGGTTGTGTGGCCGGGTAGAGGGGTAGGAGGGGAGGAGGAGATGGTCCTGCTCCCCTCCTTCTCCTTGACTTTTGGAGGGGGTGGCCTTGGCTATGGCTTTACAATGGGTCCCCCTCCACCCGCCTTAGGGCCCAGAGACCCCCTCTTTCTTTGTGGCCCGACATCATTTTTCCGAGGGGGGTCTGATCGAGAAAAATCAGCAGTGGCTGCCTAGCCCGGAAAGAATGAGCAGCAACCCCCCAACCTCAGGCAACCCACCCAAAAATCCCAGATATCTCCGCCACCGATATTGATTGCGGGTTGGTTTTGCGGGTTTGGAATGGGGAGGTGGAATTTGGAGTAGAACGGAGCATGAGGTAACCGGGAGTTACGGTGGTACGAGAGTTTACGGTATGGTTTTCTGTAAGTGGTACGAAAGAGATTTCGGATAGCTACTTTTACTACCGAGGACCTTCTTTTGGTATCGCTGATTCTTAGAATTTGCATACTTGTTAACCTGTGTCAGCTTATGGCAGTACGGTACGTTTTGCTCCTATGTCGTTTCTCAACAAAATTTCGAATCGATACCGTTACTACCACTTGCTATTCTTTGGATACCCAACTCAAAGCGGAAGGTTTCGAGTTGCTGTAACCTGAGAGAATACGGAAAACAAAAAAAATGGTGACGGAGACGTTGTGGGCAATTCAGATGTGTTTTTGGTATGGTGCCTGAAACTGGCGCCCCCATGTAAATAGCGTACCTCTCGAGACATACCGTATCTTTGATCAACACACACATCGCCATCAGAGCCTACTCCGAAGCGCTACGAAAATTACGCCGGGCTGAGGTTTGCTGTTTATGGGAGGTATTGCTTCCGTCTCTCCGAGGTATTGCTTTCAAGGTTGTGCCATAGCGTATACGTTCCCATAACTTTGCGCAATAATTCGTACGTCCCGCAAGCCACAGTAGCCCGAAAATACCATGTTTTTAACATTTAAACTCGAGAATACCTCTTTTTACGACAAGCCATTTTTCGCCAGTCCCTTCCGGCTCTGATCAGTTCCGGGGCCCGGGGGCATCGCAATTCTCACCTTCCCATTCCGACCATTGACAAGGCTTGAAGGGGTTTTTATTGGCAGGAAGAGAGAGAGAGAGAGAGAAGGAGAGAGAGAGCGAGAGAGAGCGAGAGAGGAGAGCAAGGGCGAGAACTAGAGAGAACTGAGAGCGCGAGAGATAGATAGAGAGAGCTAGAGAAGCGAGAGAGAGCGAGAGAGAGCGAGAAGGACCGAGAACGAGGGAAGAGGAAGAGTGAAAGCGAGAGATAAACCTACCGAGAGAGACAATTAGAAGAAAAAAAGATCTCGAAACAGACGGACAAACCAAAGAAAGGTAAGACAGTTGTTGCTGTGTTGTCTATTTCCCCACAATGCATGGCTTCTCCCCCTCCGCCTCCCTTACCTGTTCCCCCCCTTAAGACAAAAGGACCCGGGGTGGGCGGAGAATTGCCGGCCGGGGGCCCAAAAAGTGAGGCCCTTCTTGCCATGGGCCGGGGCGGGTTGTGTGCCCCGGCTTTTCCCTGCTTTTCCCCCCTGCTTCTATCCCCCCACATCCCCCCTCCCCCACCCAGATCCCTCCCCCTGCCTGCTTTTTTGCCGAGGTGGTGTGGACACACAGACAGAGGCCGAATAGACGGACAGACAGACAGACAGACAACAAATTCCTCACTTCACTAACCCCCTCCTGAACGAGCCGCCGCTGTACCCAGCCGCCTCTCTTGGCCTTTCGGGTATAATCGAAGCCCAATCGATGCCAAATTCTGGGCTGTGGAAGTGATATTACTGTATTTTTGCGGCTAGATTCTGCACGACGAACGATCGATTTTGAAGGGATTTTTGACGATTCCGACCGGCTACCATTTACGAATATTCGGTGAAGCGGTCTGGACCGGATTCTCTGCCGGTACCGCACCTCCTCAGGACGAAACACCGCTATTTCTGTATTTTCCTAACCTGCTCTCCTTCTGGATTTCTCTCTCTCACTCTCTCGCTTGTCTTTTGCACCGGCTCTTTTAACCCTCGGCTAAATAAGGCTAATCGAATACCGTGAGTATTACTTTCTTTCTCTCTCACTCTCTCTCTTCCCTCTCTCTCTCTCTCTCTCTCTCTCTCTCTCTCTTTCTCTCTCCCTCTCTCTATCTATATCTTTCGCTCTCTCTCTCACTCTCTCTCTCTCGCTCTCTCTCTTGCACTCCCCATTTCGCAAACTATTCTTCCTTTTTTCATGCCCTCAAGCTTCACCCCTCTTTCCGGTCCCTCCTCCTGTTAACCGATCCCCTATACTCAGTTTACACCTGTACCGGCTGACTACTTTTTTAGAAGCTCGACTCAATCAATATTGTTTCCCCTTTACCTGCGTAGAACATTCAATAAGTTAGATGTTTTATTCGCTTACACTTCGTGGGAGTTCACCTAATCGAAAACCATATATTCGAAAAATTCATGTTCGAATATTCATCCGCTTGAAAAGACTCCTTCGAAAATCTGACGTTCGAAAACTCGCCTGTTCGAAAATCATCTGCTCGAAAAGGAAGTTGTTCGAATTTTTTCTTCGAAGATGGTTCATTTCTGTGGGATTTGTAAGCATCGTCGTTTCAAAAAATTCACATGGACAATCTTCAAACCAAATAATAAAAATAAACAAAAATTTTGCGAGAACGTGATTTTCCAACAGGTGGTGGTGAACCATTTAGTTTTTTTTGCATTGCCTAAAAATTGGAAATCGCGTCTAAGCGTGCACCTTGACTTTAACCTGTTTACCTTTCTTATTTCTGAAAAAATCCAATTCGAAAAAGGTTTTTTTTTTGCTTTTACAAACAACGCTTCTACCCCCTTGCTTTTCGCTATACCTTTTGACCTCCTGCAACTTCTTCAACTTTTCCAGCTTCTTCTATTAGAGAACGATATAGGGCTTGTTCTCCATTTAGCAATTATTTCAGCGCGCACGTGAAGGCGCTCTTGTCGGCCTGGGGATTCGATCGTGAGACGAAAAGTTTGGAGGGCACGTGGCCCACTCCACAGGTTCGTTCCTGCCCTACCACTTCCGCTTTTTTTGCAGAACGGCACGTAAAACTCGAAAAGATACAACGTACGTGCGTAGTTCCGGCGATTCAGGCGGATATTTACCTTTCGTGGGGGGCCTGGCAGGAATTTTGAGTGCGCCAGAAATAGGCCATATTCAAAGGCATCCTTTAAAGGCGCCGTTAACTAAATGGGCTTTTCCGATTACGATTGTGTTTGAAAAATGCCACAAACTCGGCGTTATCGTATCCTCTCTCCCGTAGCGAAGAAGGCAGGAATTTGAAGGATGGTTGACTTGACTATCCCTTCCACGGCCCTTTAAAGCCACTAATTCAATTATTATTGGGAGGTATCTGAGTTATTTCAATGCGCAAATAAGTTTGAAATATAAAAAAGAAACCCATCGGTGTAAAAAATTCAGGACAAATTTATACAAATTACTTCCAATTTTTTCAGGGAGGATGCCGGGCGCTCCACGTTTCACCCAAAAGCCCTCCATCAAGCAGACGCCTACGGTTCGTTGTCGTGAATTAAATTAAATTTTGAAATTTTTTTAACTTTCCCTTTTCATGCCGTAACGAGTTCTGTATCTTAATTATTTTATCGCTATTCATTACCGCTCAGCGTTAACGGACTACGCTATTTAAAATGTTTTCAATATGGCCAGTTTCCGGTCCTATTTAAATACGCACCTTTGTCGCATATTTCCGCTTAGGTCGATCCGATTACGTCATTTTAAACCCCCTAAACCCACCCCCTCAATTTTTTTTGCTACTCCACCTCCGCCGCCCCAGGGCAACCTTTAGTCACCCCGCCCGCCCACTAAAAAGTATAGGTTAGGTTGGGTAGAATTGTCTTCTCTGCCGTCCATCCGGCCGTTCTGGGCGTAGTGTAACGGAACGGCAAGATGCATCTAGCCAGAGCTGCTGGCCTCTCTGAAATTCGGGACATCTGGGTGGGGCCCAGTTCGGGGAGGGCAATTCAGCCACACAAAAAGTCGCCACGAAATGACCCCCCGGGGGCGATCGTTCAAAATCTAGAAAGTCCACAGTTTAGACATCCTGGGGCAGCTAAAGGTATCTGGAAGGTTAGGGAAAATTATGCAGAAAGAAGAGTATTTGTCCGAAGAGAGGTGTAGACGATTTCAAGCCAGTTTGAGATATCGGGGCAGTTAAGGTATCGATAAAGTAGCGGAAGTTCGTGGAAAATTCTTAGAAAAAGGGCAAAACAAATGTTGTCGTCAATCCGAATCGATCGAAAGCTCTTTCAGATCCATCATTTCTTGAATTTTTCGCTCATTTTTATTGGGTAAATTTACTACGGTATTCGGCTAGTTTAGCTTTATTTGAAAGCATCAATTTAAAGTTATTAAACTCAAAACAAGCAAGTACCCATAAATTGCCCGGATTTATTGATTTTTTTTTGGAAAATATAGATGCTGCTTTTCCTAAAAATTGGTAATTAGCCCGAAATCGGTAATGTTATGCCATACTCGATGCGAAGTTGCCAATTTATCTCATATTTTTAGCTAGGATTTCGATGCTGCATTTTTTCACTCAAATTTTATCGTATGAAAGCCTAAAATGCCACAAATTTCCCGCATTCTTGGCACGGGTCCATTCAAATCAATGGCAGATATCCTTGATGGCCCCACTAGCACCGTCTCGACCCCCGGATCGACGCCCCAGATATTCGGGCAAATATCCTCGATCCGTCTTTGCTATGGGGGTCCTCTTTCTCTTTTGGGGCCCAATCATTTGCCATCGACCCGTTAGCCCCCTTCTTCGTCTCCGCCTATCTATACCCCCAACCACCACCCGCGCACACGCGTGCCACGCAAAACGGCCGGCCGGGTGCTAAATTGATGGAATCGGGGAATCTGGGGAAGAAAAATAAGGTCCTGAGTGGAAATTCGATTGCTTATTAGTGAAAAGCGACGATATCGGTGGGGTTTTCAAACGAAAAGCCGGTTTCACTTGAGTCTTCGTATTTTTCGCAAGGTTAAAGGCCTCTGGGATGCTGGGGTAAGTCTCGAACACGCTAGGTGAATCCTGGGTAAATTCAGCTCGTTCTCCTTTTTGGATCCTTGAACCTTCATGGTTTTTTGTACTCCGGCGTCTAAACACCTCAAATTTACAAAACAAACACCACAAAACACCTTACAATGTTTTTCTATCAGGTTAGCGCTTTTTCGCTTGATAGACGACCGTTATCTGGAGGAGATTTTAAGCGCTAAATCTCACCCTCTTAAACTAGGACTAGATTTTTTGAAACAAACAGATAGACCATTTATCCTCATCGACACGCTCGGATCAAAAGCGCCCATGGCACGCTCTCCCTCCACCCAAAGCTATATGACCACTATAAAAACCGAGGCACCCTCTTCCCGATACCCAGGTGTGGGGCTCTGTTTATTCGGCGGTGGTGATTGTGGGAATGTTTCTCCTCTTCTACCTCTAGCGGTTGGGTAGAGGTGGTGATGGCTAGGCAAAGGGGGCCTCAGGGAAAAGCCCGTCGTCACTCTATCCTCAAAAAGCAGCGAAGAAAAGGAGGCGAAATAGAGAGAGAGAGAGAGAGAGAGTGGGAGAGAGAGCGAGAGGAGCTGTTTTCCGTCCCTTTAAAAAAGCGAGGAGCAAGTGAGGGCCTAGGGCTCTATCACGTCTCTCTCTCCCTCTCTCTGCTTCTCATGCTCGACCTCCTCCTCCTCTCTACTGTAAAGCGAGTGCCGAAAGGAGGCCCATTGATCGAGACGCAAACCCATCGCATGCACATCCCCGCTCTGACCCCCGCCGAGGCTTCACCTCAAAAATGAGCTCCACGCCACAGGGGGTGTCGCAATTTTGAGGTGTCGCCGGCCCGGATGTTAAAATAACCCTCGGGGAGGGTGAAAAGTGATAAGGAAGCTGGACACTTTTTGACACCTAGGGCATAGTCTGGGTGTTGCAATCCTAGGGGTTAAGCGATTTAGCCGAGCTTAAGAAACCCGATAGTAGACGGTATTACGTAAATTTTAAAGTCAGCATAAGTTGCGCAATGACAAGCCCGTCGAGCGCGTGGCGTACTGCGGAGTGGCAGATACAATGCAATAAAACCGCTTGCAAGTTGTTTTAAGGAACCAGGAAGGATAGCCTCAGACTGCCTCTAAAATTAGTAAAAAACCGCAGGAAAAAAATCGATTCCGCTTTTTATATAGACACAATTGAGAAAAGCGTCAGAAATTGTGAAAATCCACCCTGAAACTGAATGGAATTCTATAGCCATTTAATGACGCGGAACACGCGTTTTTGGAGTGTTTCGTAGCTGTCGAGACCTAGGCGACAGGGAGGGGTCGAATCACTCATTTTGCTATATTCGCGCAAGATCCTCTAGTTCCGTTGTAAGGTGATTTCCTCACAAAATCTCTGCTAGTATACTGTATAAAATTTGTAAAATTCTTTTCGAGATAAGACAATTACGCCACAAATTATGCCAAGCCCTGTCTAACTAGAATCTTTTTTCCCCACTGACCAATCAAGCGCGGTTTTCCTGGGTTCCGGTCCGGGGATAGGAATACTCATTTCCCCTCGACTTCTCAAAAGTAAAGGAACACTACGCCCCATTCCTCTTAACGGACGCCGCCGCCCCGTTTCTTTTCCACTCAAACTTGTCAACTCATCATCATCCCCCACAGGTGGTTGCAAGAAACACTCTTGTGACTTCGGACGCCCTTTCAAACCCACCCGAAAGGCCGGGGCCCACGCTTTAAAAAAAACGCAAAAACGGAGGAACGGAAAACGGAAAAAGCTTTGAAATGGAGGGGCTGAATCATCAAGGGGGAAAATCAGGAACGGACGTGTTGCATCACGGCGAGCTGCCTTGAAGGGGTTTAAAAGCTGTTCCAAAAGATCGAAAAATCTCGGGAATCCGCTTTTAGGTATATTATAAAAAATAGATGGTGTTCTAGATCCTTAATAATATAATCGGTCATTAATAAAAAAATCCAAGAGCAACTCATATAAAAAAAATTAAAATTATTTCTATTGAAAATCTGCTGAATTAAATTCAAAACTTTACAAAAGTAAGCCGGGGGATCGGATAGTAAAAAATAAGCAAGAAACAAAATAGGAAACAAATAGGTAACAAAAACAACGTAAAAAAACTAGTGAAAATCGACAAAGCCAAATTCCCATTTTCAGGGCGATCTGCTGATGGAGTGCGTGCTGGAGGCTGACCCGAGGCCAGAAATCGTATGGCAGCACTCAGGTAAAAACCGATTATCAATTTTCTTAGAAAATTAAATATGTTTTTTTTGTCTATTTTAAAGAGGCTACCACCAGCAAAATCAACCCGTTTGTTTTCCTCGGCTATTGGTCAAAACTTGCGCAAAACAAGCCTTTTTTGCGGAAAATAGTAGAGGCGTGTTTTGTCTACCTACCCAGTACTAATCGCATAACTGTCGAGGCCTAGTCGTCAAAAGGGGTCGATTCTCGAGCTTCCTAACGTTTTTAAAGAACCAGGAATCCAAAACATACCAAAACCATCGATTCCAGGCACCCCAATGCCCCCCTCCTCAAGGGCAGAGCAGGAACTCCGACCACAGCCCGGAGCCAACCTATTCCTCGCCATCCTTACCATTAAGGTACCGACTTGCTCCGGATTTTGCGCTTAATTAATTACGGCATAAAATCGGGAAATCTAAACAATTACGATATGTAATTCTGATTTAAATTTTTAGGAGCCAAATGCCGGTGACGGTGGCGCCTACAGATGCACGGCGAAAAATGTGCATGGCGAGAGCAACGCGAATATCAATCTCAACTTTGCGGGTAGGTTATTATGGAAAGAGAGAGAGAGAGAGAGAGAGAGAGAGAGAGAGAAAGAGAGAGAGAGAGAGGGAGAGTGAGAGAAAGACAGAGAGACAGAGAGAACGAGAGAGAAGCTCATTCAATTTTTTTCAGGCGGCGGTGAGGAGCCAAAAGCCCGCGGGCCTAGCTTCGTCGGCAAGCCCCGAATTATCCCGATGGACGGGGGAGCGCGGATCGTTATGGAATGCCGTGTAAAATCATCTACAACGCCGACGGCCAAGTGGAGCAAGGTCAGGATAGTTTTTAAAGGGGCTAGAAAGCCTAGAATTCGACCACTAAAGTGGACTGGATCTCGACAGCTACGTGCTAGCCTAGAAACGCTTGCAAGCGCAATTAGTTTTACTGAACGCCATGTCGGTTTTCATTTGCAGTTTGCATTTTTTGGCGTGGCGCGTAGTTGTCAAGACCTAGTCGATGGGGGTCAATTTTCGCAAATTCTAAGCTCTTTAATCCATCAATAAAGCGATAAAGTGGAAAAACTACAAAATACAACCTCAATTCCAGGACGGTTCCCCAATTTCCGGCTCCCAATTCCACGAGGTGTTCCAAGAACTCGGCGACAGCACCTACCTGTGCCAACTCGAGATTCATGTGAGTTCTTTGAGGCAGACAGAGAGAGAGAGAGAGAGAGAGAGAGAGAGAGGGGGGGGGAGAGAGAGAGAGAGCGAGAGCGAGAGAGAGAGAGTGAGTCGGTGAGAAACAGAAAATCGGAATGTTCGGAATCACGTTTATGCAAATTTCCAGGGCCCATCCACCTCTGATGCCGGCCAGTACCGGTGTACCCTCAAGAACGCTGAGGGCGAGACCAACGCCAACCTGGCGCTCAACTTCGAGGAGCCAGACGATGAGGCGCCGCCGCCGGAGGAGAAGAAAAAGCGGGTACGTCACAACTGGCAGATCATTTTTGAATCAATACAGTCGTATTAAGCTTCAAAAATTACCTCACTTTTACAGAAGAAGACGGAACGATCCCCCTCCGGACGTTCCCGAGAAGGCTCAGCCTCCCCACGACCCGGATCTCCATCGAAAAAGAAGAAGGAGCGATCGGGCAGTGAGAGGGATGAGAAGAGGAGGAGGAGCAAGAGCAAGGAGGCATCGCCTGGAGCCGCAAAGGGGGGACGGTACGCGAATGATTCATTTTTTAAGTCTACAGACATGTATTAATGAAATGAGCCACGGAGCGTTAATAGAAATCCGTAGAAAAAGTCGATATGTATAAGCGTAAGGCTAAATCCAACGCGGAGCGCAACGTGATCTCAACCAACGCGTCTTGAAACGCGCTCCCAATGCGACGCGCAGCGCCATTCGTAATACGTCATTTCGGAGCCTCGCGGAGTTGTCGATAACTAATCGCTGGCCGGCGTCGAATTTAACGCTTCCTAATTCCCTTAAGGGCAGCCGGCGAGCCAGAAATTAGAGACAATGGTTTGAGGCAAAAGTTACAGATCCCGGACGTCCACCCCGATGGGCGACGAGCTGACGCCTGACCAGGCGAAGACGAGACGGGGCAGCAGCAAGCTCACAGACGAAGATAGTACGTCAATTTGCACTTTACGATAAAATCGTACTTTCAGAATCCTCAAAACGGTTGCGCGAGAGGTCGCAAAGCGGCCTCGCCGCCGAGGAGAAGAAGTCTAGGTCCAAGAGCCCGCAGGCCGAGCCGCAGCAGGTAATCCTACCATATTTTCTTGCGGCTGAATTTCCCGGGTTTTTCCATAGTTTTCCATTACAGTCCGAATCGTCCGCCACAACCCGCCAGACGACGGCCAACGAGCTGCCGGCCAACGCCCGCGAGAAGTTCAAGCGAGCACCCGTCGTCGTCGAACCTGCCTCTTCCAAGGTCGGTTATCGGCTTTTGAATACATTAATCAACCCAGCAAAATTTTAAAGTGTTTTGTAAGCTTTTAAACGAATTAGAGATTATAGACCCCTTTAAAGGGACTTGGAGTCGAAAAATCCGTTTTTCCCTTCGGTCTAGTATCGAAATCTACGTGCTACACCTATTTACGTATTTAAATTTGGGTTTGGAAGCTTAAACAAAATAATGAAAATGAAATAAGTATGAAACGGATCGCAAAACGCGTATTTTCGTATTTTTATTGCACGCGCAATTTGGGGTGTTACGAAGCTGTCGTCATCTGACCAATTTAAATTTTTTCTCTTTAAATTTAGGTTCTCGCGCACCGTCAATTGTTAAACTACGTAACCGCAAAATTCATGTTTTTGTACGAGGAATTAGACGGCCACTACCGAGACCTAGTCACGTAAATGAATCGATTTTTTGGCTTCCGAGTCCCTTTAAAACCGAGCTTATGGTAATGCTAGACTACGCTCGATTCTAGCATCCTAGCCATCCGGAAAATCCCAACTTTGTTGTTTTAATCGATCACGCCCCGGGCGACTTCCTAGAAAAACGGCTAGACCTCAATCGAGGTGGCCATTGACGTGCGATCGGTCACTTTTTTGCACACTTGCTCAATCTGTCATCGGGGGATTGAGGCTGAGGGGGCAGGAGGAGGAGCTTGGGGTCAGCGAGATGGCCATGATAATTAATGAAGTGCCAGCTAGCGGGTTTCCAACGGATTGGAACGTATTTTAAGGGAGCGGAAAGTTTGGGGGACTAAGAGCAAGATAAAACCAAAACACCTGAGCAAAATAAAGAAATGTGCTTTAATAATTCCCGTCAGATCTAGGATATTTTTTTGGTCACTCTTTCGCTTTTTCCCTATGTCCTTATCGAGCTCTCTCTCTCTCTCTCTCACCCTCTCTCTCTCGCCCACTTGGTCTCGCTCTCTCTCTTTTTCCTCTCTCTGTCTCTCTCCCTCTCTCGCTCTCGGCTCTCGGCTCTCTCCCGCTCTCTCTCTCTCTCTCTCTCTCTCTCTCTCTCTCTCTCTCTCTCTCTCTTTCTTTCTCTCTTTCTCTCTCTCTCTCTCTCTCTCTCTCTCTCTCTCTCTCTCTCTCCCTCTCTCTGTCTCTTTATCTCTCTCTCCATCTCTCTCTCTTTCTCTCGCTATCTATCGGTCTCTCTCGGATTAAAATCACCAAACTTTCAAAATGACTTCAAAAATGATTCTCACTCTCATTACCTCCATACCCCCTCCTACTCTACCTCCTTCCAAACAAAATGAGCAACGCCCGATTACACTCCCCTCCCTCCGCCCCTTTTCCAAGTCGACTTTTGTGCACCTCCGAGTGCTAAACAGCTGCAAAACGTCCAGCTAACCGTGGTGACGCAACGTGAAGGGATAAATGCGTGCAGGTCGAACACCACACGCCAAATGGCTTCCTCGTTCTCCTAGGGGGGGGACAAACAAGAACCGGGGATTCGGATTTCACAAAGTGTTCCGAATTTCCTGCACTTTTCGAGGGGAGCGCGAGGTTTTTGAGGGAGAAATAGGGGCTGAAACTTGCAGGGAAATCAGTAAAGTTATGCTCCAAAAAAATTCCACAAATACGATATTTTTGATGAACAGCTACGTGATGCTCCTTTTAGCGGATGTATAGTGTGTCCCAAAAAACGCGTTAAATTGTTAAAGGAACCTGGAAGGCAAGAACCGATGTAACCAAGCCATTTTCAGTCAGCCCGTCGCGGGGGCACCGTGACTCTGGAAGTGGAATGGCAATGCCATACTTCGACTCGTGTGACGTGGTACAAGTAAGTGACGCTTCTTGTTAAAAGCTACCAGTAATTATATATCATTATCATTAATTTACACTATTCAAAGTTATCAATAAATACGATACATTCTTCAGAGACGGCTCGGAGCTGTCGTCGTACGCACGCGAGTACTCGCAGACCTTCGATGGCCAGTATTCCCGGCTGACCATCTCCGATCTATCGAGTAAACTCACTGGTGGGTTGTTTGGAGTGTTGCGTAGCTCATTAAAATCGTCATTAAAATCCATGTATTATGTCTTTCCTGTAATGTTGATAGCTTAATACGTGCGCTTTTCGCTTTTGAAACCTCTATCTTCTGGTAATTACGGCAGCTCACCTTCTGGATAGCTTTTTGACGTCTATAATTTTTAACGAAGCTTAACAAACTAGCTTTTGGTACCTTCGCCCTTTCATTACATCGCAATATACCTTGATACCATTCAGGCGTTTACAAGTGCATCGCCAAATCCGACTACGGCGAGGGCCAAAGCCAGGCTGTCGTCAGACTCGGTAATTTTGATACCTTAAAAACCGTACTAATCGCCTTTCTTTTTCAGAAGAAGAAGAGAAGTCCAAGGCTGAGGATGATGTAAGTTAAACTTCTTACTTTTTGAGAAGACACTCGTTTAGACCCGCCTCAAGTCCGAGGACGAGCGCGGAGCCGGTGGCAGGAAGAGCCCGGTAAGTCGACCGTTAAAACGGATTTTTTTGATAGGATGTTGCTTAATAATATAGTTAAAACTTATAATGGTTTTTTTAACGCATTATTTCACCAACATTTTTCAGAGTCCTGCTCTCCGCAAAAAGTCGCCCACCCCTGCCGAGAAGCGTGGCACCAGTCGCCCAGCTGGTGACGACGAGGTTGGTAGTTTTCTAGAGTTCTTATTAAATTTTCCGCGTTTAAGTCGGTGTGTTGGGTTATAGAATTTACGACACAAATATTTGAATGATTTTCAGTTCATGAATTACCTTTTAATTCACGGTTTTTATGCTTTGAATTCTTGTAAATTACTGCTTACTAGGCTTGCTGCCTCCTTTTCCTCATATTTTTACCTTTACAATTCTGACCGTAATCAAATCGATTATTTTTTGCATTTACATATATTGCTTACATCACTTTCAAAACATTTTATTACTGTAATTATCTGGGCAATTTTAACATGATTTCCATATTTTTGCAAATTTCGATTTTTTATAATTTTGAATTTTTTCAAATTCAAAAACAATTAAATTTCAGATTTTTACGGCAGTCGTCTTTGAATTTAATCATATCTGTATTCTTTATTGTTTGCATAAATTTTGATTTTGAAAAATGACGTTTTGTGCTTTCTGCAAAAGATCAGCTAAATTACGAGCTCGATTCGCACCTTTTCCCCAATATTTCTGCCCGATATTTTTAATTCGATTTAAATTTAATTTAATTATGCGTAGGTGATTTAATTGGACGATTTAAGACAGCATTTCGTAAATCGCATACTCTTTTCAAGTTGTTTGATCCGTTCCGCCTCTTCGCCCTTTTTTCCTTACCGCCAACGCCTGCCTCGTGCCCTTTTTTTCGCGACTTTTTCCTGCTGATTGGCCGTGTTGTAGCTGTAGGTGCGTGAGTATCTGTTGGTAGATGAGGGGGAAGTCCCCCTCATCTACCATCAGCTGAAGAAGAAGAAGAAGAAGAAGAAGAGGGAGTTCTGTTTGACCGCCACCCCCCGGTTACCCATCAACTCTCGACAACCTCAGTCCTCCTCCTCTCACTCCCCCCTTCAAGTGTTCGTGTAAAACGCGTGTGCCATTCCGATTGGCTGTGTCATGTCGAGCAGAGTTGACGCACGTATGAATAATCAGGAGTAAAACAAAAAAACGAAAAGTAATTTCTGTAGGCGCTTCAAAAACTACGCAATCTGGCTTCTACTGGAATCGCATCTTAAAAATTTGGTGCTGAAAATGACGATTTTGAGGATAATTGAGTATGACAAAGGCTAGTAAATGATCATGAAAACCATAAAAACTTTCTGAAGAAACTAAAAGACGTCTTATACCTCCAAAAGTCAACGTTCTGAAGTCAAGCTGTGACGCGCCCTGAAATCGCTGATTTTGTTATATCCAGATTTTTCTTACTTTGGATACGTTAAAAACGAATATACGCTGACAATTCTTTGAATTTAGTTTTATAGTTTTTGTATACGGGGTTAGGACTGCATTGGACGGGCAAATTTGACTAAATCTCGTCAGCTACGCAGCAATCCAAAAGACGCAGAAACCGTCACTGAATTTTTTTTTTTTCAAATTTTTGGCTCGGGATATAAAAATGACTCTGTCATGCGTATTTTGGTGTAATGCGTAGCCGTCGGAAATTTGTGTTCGTAAGGTAATTCTGATTTTCCAGCACCCTTAAGATGCTAAATCGCGGCCGTGAATATTTTTCGTTACTGAGCTTGTCTTGCTATGCTCTTTTAGTGTAGTTTACCCCAGAATTCCAAACTTTCCAATGAACATTTTCGGCGTCCCCGCCGTACTAATGTTGCTGCGTGACATGTACCGTTCTTTATCAGCGCTAATGGCTTGGCACGATGTGTTATGTATGTTCTATGTAACCCTTATGTATCTCTTTTCCACGTCAATACACAAACTACACACGGGCTTCAAGTTGTTTATCTTGGCAGTTCAAGACCCGAGAACAGCCCCAGCCCCCCCAAACATTCTGTGGACCGGTCGTTGAAGCATCAAACCCTCAAAATGCCTGGAAAAGCTGCCAAAAGCGCCGTGAAATGGCACCTACACGACACAGGTCGAGTGCGCGCGCCCGGCGCCAACACCGAAACGTTCCAATGGACATCTCGGAATTTTTGGGGGCAAATTGAGGGCAGGAGAAGCTGGCAGAAGCTGGCAGAAGCCCTCCCCATTTGCCGCTTACTTTGAGGTGTGAAGAGGACAGGGGCGTACTCGAGTTTTGGACACGCGGCTCGGCTCTTCTCTCCCTCATCCGACACATCTCCCAGATGGCAAAGCATACAGGTCTTTCATCTCTCCCCTTTTTTGCCCCGCTTCTTCTCGCCCTCTTGCCACTACTTCTACACTCGACACCCATCAATGACATTTTTTGGCCCAAAGTTCACTTGAAGCACGGGTTTTTCTGGAGCTCCCAGCTCCACCCTCACATTTTTTGTTAATTTCTTGAATTTTTGATCTATCGATTTTTAGGGTTGTAGCCTTGACTGTAGCCCAGGCTTTTGTAGTCTTGGGACACTGCACTTGCATTGGCTAATAGGATAGGATCGTTTGATGCAGGTACTGTAGCATAGATGCCTTCACCCGTCTTCTAAATAGTTGTTTTGCTAATTTTTTTCACTTTTAAGCCGATCGGACTCTCGTACTTTGCATTCTAGTCTTTAGACTATTCGAAAAGTTAAGGAATTGTGGAAAGTAATGTAGTCTCAAGCTAAGTGCAGATCCAAAGTTGTTAAATCCTGGAGTTTTGGATCATTCTATTGCATTCGATTTTCGGATACTTTACGTTCTGGATTACGATCACGTAGCTAAACTAAGCGTGATTTGGTTTAAATTACCGTAGCGTTGCGGCGATTTTTTTGATCAATTTTTTGACGTTGCTTTTCATTTAGCCCTTGCAAAAATCTTTAAAGCTTTTGCAAGTTTAGAACTTTCAAAGTAAAGGAAGAAAAGCTAGGGTCGGGTGTTATAATCTAATGCCAAACAATCTAATCTTTGTCAATCTTTTTAGCTTTTATTTTAATTACATTTTTGGTTACAGTATTTATTTTTTGCAGCTTATACTCCAACTCGGAAATCTCGTTGAGCTTTAGAACTTTGGTGTTCTTCTTCTTCGAGTGGCCGGGGGCCTTTGGTCGTCAAGTAGTACTTGGCGGAACGGTTTTTCGAGAAAAATAACTGGGTTTGGGTTGAAGAATTTCACTTGAACTTTCATTACAGTGGGAGCAAAAAACTAGTAGCTGAATTTTGTAAAAAATATATTTTGTTGTATAAAAGTTTAAGCGACATCGGAATTTTCTAGAGATTGCATTGCATTAGATTTTCTAGCAAAAAAAATAGATACATTTTTTTGTTGGAGTTTTAAGGTTTTTCATCTTAGTTGCACCTACTGTAGAAATATTTTTAATTTAAAGAGTTAACCTGGTTTAAGAAAACTATGCCTATGATAAACTTGGAAATAAATAGGAATAAAATGATTTATTTAATTCACCTTAGATTGCTTAGAATAGATAGGCCCGATTTTTAGATGATTTTTCGAATTTTTAGTGTAAACTTTTCATATTAAATTTGGCTAAAATTATTAATAGATTTTACTATTTAATTGCACCTACTCTACCGAGTTTTTTTTGTATTGATGTTTCGTAGCGTCCTCCAGTCCCCCGTCCATTTTCAGCGTTGCCACCCGGCAGCCCGGACGTCCGTGCCGGTCGTCGAGCTACCGTAGCCCACACACCCGAATTCCTATTTCACGGACTACTACCGTATTCCGTAGCGCAGCGGTTGGCTGAAAACCAAAAAATCAGAGAGTGGTGATGCAATCGACACGGCGAGATCCGTTCGAAGTGTTCGGCCTCCGCAACGGGGATGCCGACACGACCGTTCGAAGGACTCCCGTGTACGGTAGACCACCACTACAGCCTACTGTAGCCACTAATGGGCATCAAGGGCAGAATGGACAGCAGCAACCATTGAGGAGACCCACTATGAATACGAGGTACTGGGAGCAGAAACTGGGGAATTGGGCCTGGATTCCGAGATATTCCGAATTAGGTATTCCGTACTGTTTTGTACTCGTTACGTTTCACGTTTTCCTCCCCGTTTTAGCATCTCAAAACTACTACTACTAAACTTCATTACTTTCTACTGAAATCAAAAAAGTGCCATTTTTCCGGCAACGTACTCTTTACCCTTTTCTAATATCGAAGTTTTTTAAAGGGGCTTGGAAGTCAAAAAGCGCTCTTTCGGCGCTTTCCGACATAATACTCTTTACGCCGATCTATCGATTTGTTTATGAAAAGATCGGATAGCTTATAATTTAACACTTCGTCGATTCCAAAAAAATACTCGTTACGCACGGCAAATATCGCTAATTTAGAGGACCCAGAAGTAAGCCTCTGGCTTTTTGCTCCATTCCAAGGTAGTACTCTTTACACCCCTCTTACAGTATTACAGTAAATTTTTACAAGGACAGGAAAGCCAAAAATGTTTGTTTACTGCCTAAGAAAAATTCCGCAAAACCCGGTTCAAATTTGGTTTGAACGGTTGAAAAAATACGTTCGCAATACACCGCCTTACGTACGCGCGTTACTTAATTACATCGCAGGCCTAAGCATCAGTGTACGGTAATTGCACCATCATTACGAAGCAAGCCAATTTACGGTAACCAGCGCGATTTCTGGATCGTTTTTGCCGTGGTTTTTCGATCATAATTCTATAGTATTTCACGGAAACAATTTGAAGTGTTACTGCGCACTTAAAAGGTACCCTAACTTTCCGGTCCCTTTAATTTCCAGCGTTTCCAAATTAATGAAGTATCAGATGTTCGTCCTATAAACCAGGTGTTGACGAATTTTAGTTATTTTTGCTCGACTAAATTGAATAGAAATTAAACTAAATTACATGGACCGTAAATCTCGGAATCCAGGCCCAGGTCTATCGTCCAAGTGTGTTTTTTTTGTAAATTCTAAACCGTGTCCTCCCAGGGGCCTATCCCACATCCATTCATTCATCCTGAAAAAGCTGCCCCACGGTGATGCGAAGCAGACGTTCTTAAAGGTATCGCAAATACCTTACTGGATACGGTATCCCTTTCCCAATTTTAGGAAATAATCGATTACGACACCGCGAAAAGCGAAAAGCCAAAATCCGACGACGACGACCCAAATAAATTACGACGATTTTCGCAGGAATCCCGCGGCAGTTCCTCATCTACTGTACGAATTCATAGAAAATATAAATTTTTAAAACATTTAGTTTGTTTGTCCGTTCAGTTTCGTCCTAAAACAATTCGGTTTGTTTGCGTCCTTGGTCTCGTCAGGTCGAACGGTTGTATTTAAAAACCTCGAGTTTGATTTTTCAGATTTTCAGATTTTCAAGACATTTTATTTTATCTTCTTTCATCAGTTTCTCTTTTCAATTCTTTCCTTTCAATTTCAAGCCATGCGCGAAAACCTAGGTTTTATCCATTTAGCCGTATTATGTGGCGGTTTCACCTCTGCAATTCATCTTCCCAAATCGATAACATCAGTTTGGGAAGTAAATCAAGTAGTAAATCCAAAAAATTGGATGTTTTCTGCACCTTTTTCTTGTGGGTCTTGTTCTTTGATATATCATTTCTATAATTCCACATCGGCCTCCGGAATTATTTTCCTGAATCGGTAAATCCTTTCATTCTTCTTTTCTTTTTCTTAATCATTTTTTTCAGGGGATTTGCTTCTTCCCTCTTTTTCTTCATCACAGATAATCCTTTACGGCCAAAATTACGTTTTATAGCTGTTCTCGCTTCTACACAAATCGCATACGTATATGATACGCATTACGCGTTTCTACGTTTTATTGGATTCACCAACCCAATTTATCGAAAATGTTGTGTTCTTCACTTTTCTCTTTATCACGGCGGATTTTTCCTAATTCAATTTTTAGGATTTCGAAGTTCCCTCTTTTTATCTAGCCATGAAAAAGCCTCAGTTTTTTATGCGTTTCCGGATTTTGCTAATCCATATCAAGATTTCTTGAAACAGAAATTGATTTGGTGATTTTAAACGAATTCTCTTTCCCTGGAGCATCTTGCCGGGCTTTGGGCGGTTGGCGGCTCGATAAGGCCTTAAATCCCGGCCCGCTTTATTTGTCTTATTTTTGTGAATTGATTTGCCCCGAATTCCCCCGCTCCTAATCAATGCGGCGTCCTGCATCCTCGGAACCTGTACACAGTTCTACGGGGGGAATGGCAGCAGTTAGTTAGCAGATGAGAAGACGAAAAGACGAAGTGTGAGTAGAGTGGCTCCAGAGAGAGCACAGAAAGAGGAGAGAGACCAGAGAAATAGAGCCCTAAAAACGAGGGATAAAGAGAGTGAGATCTCGAGTGTCCCGTCAGTCGCCCTGACCCCTCGCTTTTGAGGGGGGGAGAGAAGAAGAAGATGCGTGGGCCCTGGGTGGGTCCCAAGAAGAAGAAGAAGAAGGGGAAAAAAGAAGGCGAGAAGAGGTGCGAGACTAGAGACTGGGGAAGACAAAGAGAAATAGAGAATTAGAGCGCTATCCGCACAGTCTAGGGCCACTCATAAGCGAGCAAAGCGATACCGTTGTACTACGAGGTGGTGGAGGGGATTGTCTACTCCCACTTCAGACATCAGATCTGGATCACCTAAAATTAGATACCCGGGATTTTTTGGCTTCGATTTTCCTTTAATTTGTCCTTATTTCCCCCCTAGTTCTCATTTCAATTTTTTTTAGCTAGACTGTGATAGGAATCCAATTTAAGGCCCAATTTTGGGCATCAAAAATTAGCCGTTTTCGAAATTAAAATTTTTACAACTGTAATTTTTTAAGCTTTCATCATGATTAAGTTTCTGCAAAATATATTAAGACAATTACTGTTTCAGTGCCAGCCATTTCTGTACATGCTGTAAAAATCATCATTCCTTAACTCCCCTACACCGCCCCCCCCCCCTTATAATGGAAAAACACCTGAAATCTCAGAGCCATTTGAAATCAGGTAGATTGAACTTTTCAGTTATTGGTCTTAATGACATGCTTCCCATACGATTTGGTCACCCTCTCTCTCTTTCTCTACCTCGCTCTTTCTCGCTCTCTCCCGCTCTTTCTCTCGCTTAAAATCTCCTGATCAGCGGTTTTCAGGCCGATTTTCATTTCAGAGCTATACGAGAGATCAGGAATCTGCATTCTGTTGCGTAGTGCACTGAGAATTTTTAGTCCGGGATTCCGGTAAATAAATAGGGCTTGGCTGCTGGAGCCGCGGGAATCCGGGGGAACGGGGTTCCTTTCTTCTGAGGGATCTGGATGAGAGAAGAGGGCTGAATGGCCATCCGCTTGATCAAGCGGGGAGAGGTGGCAAACAAGCAGAGAGAGAGAGAGAGAGAGAGAGAGAGAGAGAGAGAGAGAGAGAAAGAGAGAGAGTGCTAGCGACAGGCCAGGAAACTGTAAGGTAGCCCGGATCTGCAAGGGACTAGGCCCCCGCTTTTCCCTCTCCACATCCCATGCTTTTAGCCCTAGTTTTTTTATGTCTTTGGCTGGTGTGTGGGGAGGCTACTCATCTCCCTACCGGCACACCACCACCTAACTCAACCCCCTCATCCACTATCCCCCCACTCCCGGAAATCTCATCGATTTTCAGGGGCTCGGGAGGGTACTTTGACCGGCCGACGACAAAAGTTATGAATTCTTTGTTAATTAATGCAGTGTTTTATGTAGCCTACTGTCCAAAAGTACTGAAAAAGTTCTTGCTTTTATTTAAAGTGACCTCCTCATTCGGACTACATCAAGCCCGAAGCTTGATGTCTGGACTCCTTTTCTTTACTCCTCCCGGTTCTCCATCATTTTTCCTAAGGATTTCTAGTAGTTTTATCTCCCGCCCCCCCCCCCCACCCCGCCACCTCCGTATCGATCGATACTCCTAAATACCGTGGTTGCGCTCAAGGACTTTCGGACCTCTCTACTTTTGTAGTTTGTACAGCTCCTCCTACCGTATCCAACGATACTTCGAAATTCTTGATGAATACCGCCAAATAACCCCGACAACCAAAACGCGACAGGGCAGAATCCCAACAGCCAAAATCTCAACATATTCTTTGCGGTAGTTTGAATGCCATTTATGTGAATTTCGGTTGTCGGGATTTTGGCTGTCGGAATCATGGCGTTTTCTGGACGATACCTTATCTTTTGGTTCTTCGTCCGAAATCGATAATTTTTGTGTAGCAACCTCTCTACCATACCGCTCCACGATAGCTTTCTACCGTACCTCTCTACCGTACCTCTCTACCGTACTTCCTCCGCCTTTCGCTTAAATCCATTGCTTCAGACTTTCAAGACCCTCTCCTTCATTAGGCGCAATTTTAATCGCGCAGTTCCCGTCCTTATTCGTAAAGTCAAGTTCTTAGGTCATAAAAACCGAAGTTAGGATCCGATCGTAGTTCGTATGGTATCGTAGTAAACTCTAGAATACTGTAGTTTCAGTCGTAATTGACGCACCATGTCTCTTAAACTTGTTCTTTTAAATTGACGAAGCGGGCTTACTGCTGTGTCCAGAGTAGTTCGATGTAGTTCAAATTATTTGGGGCGCTCCGGTATTCCTCCGGACGTTTTAAAAAAGCTGAGTTAAAACATGGTGCGTTATTGTTAACTGGATAGCTACGTAGCTTCAATCGGTCGGTCAGCATGTCTGTAAAATCTACAAAAAAAAAAATCGATATTTTACCCCTTTTCCCCCTGCAGGTCTCGGAGGCGGACGGGATCCCGAGCTCGGGCCTAACGATTCCCGAATCGCGACGCCGCGAGCTGATGGGCGAGGCGGATGGGTCGGAGGATGAATTCTCCGAATCCATCTCCGAACTCCCGTCATTTGCCGGGGGCACGCCGAAGATGCCACGCAAGCGAGTCTCCACCCCGCAAGAGGTTTGAAAAATGGCCCAAAAACATTAAAAAACCTTACAACCAAAATTTTTGTTTTAGAATTGCTGCGGTAATTAAAATACTCTTTAAAATGTTTTAAAGCAGAATTGAAAAACTTCGGAATCTCCTACAGTAACCAAATCTCTTTTCGGGTTCCTGGTTTCTTGAAATTCACAGGATTGATATTGGAATGCCTGGAAAGTTAGTTGAAAATCCAAAAATTACCTATTTTTATTTTTCGGATCAGCGTTCCGGAAAAATTTCACGCGTTGCGGCTTGCGTCGCGGTAACGGAAACCTTTTTAACGATTTTTTTCTATTCCGTTGCGTGGTGGAAAACTAAAAATCAGCAATTTTGGTTGATTTACCCGATTGCATCGAGTAAAAAAATCAATTCATTTTCAAATTCCGATTCACGCGTAACGTTGCGTGCCAAGGCGCGTCGCGCTGCGTGTCACGTTGCGTATAATGTTGGTTTCCGCGATGTGCCGCGCGTCGCGTATTACTTTGCGTCGCCCCTTGCATCTCCGAAACCAAAAAATGGAAATAGGACTAATTTTGATATATAGAAGTTTCCAGGCATTCCAACTTTCGGTATTCTTTATTCGGGATCCCTTGATTTTCGGGTCAACTTTCCAGCTCTTCTCGGTGCAAAAATTCCTCAATAATCTCGCTTAGCTTGCCCCTTTCTCTTCTTTATCCTCAGCCCCGTTCAGTTCGCGCAGACCGCGGGCAATCGGCTCAACTTTCGAGATCTGCTGAAGGCGAGGGGAAGTGTCCCTGTAAGAGCCGTTTTCCTTTCCCTTCCCTTCCGTTCCTTTTCCCCCTATTTTTTGCCCTTTTCCATTGCATTCCCTTCGTTCTGTGTCTTCGGTTCTTCCGTTCCATTCCTCTGTCCATCCTCCATCACAATCTATAGCCAAAGCCCCTTTCTTTCCGCCCTTTTCGCTCAAAAAGACACTAAAAGAAGCGTCTTCTCCTGGGGCGTCGCAACGTTTTGGCCCTTCCGCTTTGAGTGCCGACCCGTTCGTTGCTTCGAAGCGTTGCGCACTTTTTACGGGAGGGCACGTTTTCAGGGGATTGAACACCTTTTAGAAGATGTATTTCTAAGTAGATTTTTTGATTCTATGTAGTCTTGAATTTTTGTTACTCTTTTTATTGATGGAATTTTAGAAGGCCGCTTAAAGTACCTATTTTTCAGATATTCTAAAGCGCGCTTATCAGTATAATTCGTACTCGACAGTACGCAGTACGAGACTTTCCTATGATTTTTACTAAGGTTTTAATGGGCTTTTTCTTGCATATAATCTTGCATAAATCATAGTCGTTTTTCTATTTTCGACTTTCGAAAATTGTTCTTACAGCCAAATCTGAATTTACGTTAACGTATGAAAAATTTTGGCTTATTATGCTTCTAAAATTTAGACATTTTTCTTAAAAATTTCTATGTAGATTTCCTTTTCTAGTTGGTCCAAAATTTTTGATTTTTTATCTCGCCCCTCGCCTTGTAAGCAGCTTTACAAAAGGTGTTCCATCCCCCTTAAATGTGCCCAAAAAACGAAGACAATTTTCCAGATTTCCATTTCAAAATTTATTTTAACCGCCAGATTTTGCTACAAAATCTCTACAAACTTGATTTTTCGCTTTGGGAAATTCCATTTCGATACCCTTTACGATCTCTATTTCTCGATTTCAACCTTCCAAATTCCTCGTTCTCCCCGAAATTTTTCTCCAATCAGTTCCTCCTTTCCGGTTCAGCATGGTTCAGTTCAAAAAATAATTTTTGGTTTCAAAAAATTCAGTTCAGCTTTGCGTTGTTTGTTCACGAGCGTAGTCCACAGGCTAATAAGGGGCGATTTTTCGGGGTTTTTGGAAACCGCTCGATATGTAGCTCATTCGATAGAAAATCATATTCTGAAAAGCTATAGTATGAAAATCCTAAACAGTGACAATTTGCGAGCTTTTAAAATGAAAAATACTAAAAACTATTTTCTATAGATGCCAAATGCCGTTTTTAATTTTATAAAATTTTATGAATAGATTTTTCAAAAATTAACCAGACTAGCTTGTCCAGAATTTAATTCTCTATAGAATGTGATACATATATCTTTTGCTGTTTTCGGAACCGCTCGAAAAACACCCCTTATAAGTGACTTGTCCCGTCCCCCACCCACCCGGCAGCTTCCCGCTAATCGCTCCCCAGTTATTATTTCAGTTTTCCTTATTTTCGGGCTGCGGGCTGTTGTTTGTGCGCATTAATAGGAGATACCTTGGCTGCATTCCTTGGATTTTCAGCCTCCCCAGGAGGAGAAGGTGATGTTTCAAAATGCGCGGGATCTCCTCAAGAAGACCGGCACCGCCACCAAGCAAGGAGATGCCGCGCAGGTCCGCATTCTCCCTATCAACGCCTTCGAGTTTTTTTGGGTTCCCGGGTCGTTAAGTTAGCCCTAGAAAGCTTTGAGGTCTTTTGTAAAGGGATTGGGAAGGCAGAAAAGGATTAGAACCATCTGAAAAATAATTAAAACAGCGAAAACTCATAAATTCAACAAAATCCAGAAAGAGCACATAGTCAGGGCGTTCATAGGACTGTAACGTAGTCAAAGTTTTGACACCGCTGCGCTCCTATGGACAGCTTAAATAAGCCAAAAGCTCTAAAGGCCCATATTGACCAAATTCAGGAAGCGCACATAGCCCGGTTGTGCAGAGGAGTGTAGCGTAGTCAAGGTTTTGCCACCTCTGCACTTTCAGCTGAAGAAGGCTAAAAATCTTAGAAACACAAATTCCATAGCGTGCACAGAATCACGGTGTATATGGGAGCGCAACGTAGCCCTGTGGGCTACGCGATGCTCCTATGCACATATGGATCTCGGCGTCCTTAGGAATTTCTCATTTTTGGTGGATTTTTGAGTATCTAGAAATCCGCAACGCGACGGCATTTTCAGAATCCTGTTTACAAATTTAGTTTTACCGAAAAGTATCGTGGTGGAATCGCGTAGATTAGAGGACCATAGAAAAATTCCGCCTTCCCAGTCCCTTTAAAAATTGCTGAAGACGTGCACTGGTGGTTTGGAGTGGAAAATCATTTTTCTCTAGACCAAAAGTACCGTTTTGAATTTTTTTGAATTTGAAATTTTTGGTGCCTTTCAGATGAGAAACGGGTCGTTCTCAGAAATTTTGGTACTATGATTTTCCGTCTAATCCACCAGCCGGCATGCAATCGCTTCGGGACCCCTGGGCCCCCGACAGTAGCCCGCACTACCTATTTTGGGCGTGCCATCCACGGGTCGAAATTTCAGTCGAAGCCGACGCTGAAGAAGGTCGGACCCAAGCCCGCAGATGACCCGCACGAGTTCAAGAAGCCGCTGCTGAAGAAGGTGGCCAAGAAGGACCCAGTCGAAGGGCCCACTGACCCATCGAAGGTCAAGCTGAAGAAGGTGGAGCGACGAGCCGACAGTTCCGACCCGGAGGCTGGCGGATCGTCGCGGAAGAGCTCGTTTGGAGGGGATTCGGAGGCCGATCCGAAAAGTCGACTATCAGGGGTTGGGGACTCTGCCCGGAGGTCTCGAACACCACAAAAGGATGATGTCGATAGTGTGGGTTGCATGGGAAGGAATGGGGTGGTGTGGAATGGTATGAAATGTAACGGAATTTGTGTGAAAACGCTTTAAAGAAGGTGTGTATTAACAAAAAACAAGATACCTTAAAGCTCATTTTAAAACTATTAATGGGCACTTTAAATGGGCAGACAAGGTAAGAATCTGGATTTTATTCGGCTATGGATCAGCTGTAAATTTTCTCTCTACCGCGAGATGCAACGCACCGGCCGCACAATCCGCGAAGCGGGCGTAATCGATTATGCCTGGTAAATTGAGCGCCCTAGTCGAGTGCCGCTGAGCCGTCATTAACTGGGTATAATCCATTACGCAACTCAAAAGCTGCAGCGCGTTGCGTGTCGCGGCCGCGGTAAATCTATAGGAACTCCATAGCCATGCCTTACCTATCCCTTCAACTTGATAAAATTTATAAACTACCTTTATGACTTTTGGGAATCTTTAAAAGGAGAATCAACTATAATAATTTTGTTGTGGTCTCCGTCTGTCTGTGTGAAGCCGAATTCAACTCGAAGGGGAAAGGAGCTAGAGCTTAGCTCTCTTCGGATTCGGATAGAGCGCCGTCAGAAACCCCCAAACTGATAAAAAAATTACGAAAAAGTTTTAGTTTAAATTATTAAAATTAACTTTGAAAGTTTTTTCCTTAGTAAAAGGGGGTGGGGACGGAGGTTGGCATGAATTTCGCATAGTGAACCAGGTGGCGCGCGTTTCGTGGATGAAAATTTTCACGGGGGATTTCATTTCTTTTTTCTCTCATTCCATCCGGTCGGTCGTTATTTTCGTTTTTTAAAAGGATTTCGGCTAGGGGAGGTATTTAAAACTATCAGGAAGGTATTTAGGTAGTTTTTGAAGGGGATTTCAGCCATGGGGGGTATCTGAAGCCATCAGGAAGGTATCTAGGTAGTTTTTGAAGGGGATTTCAGCCATGGGGGTATCTGAAGCCATCAGGAAGGTATCTAGGTAGTTTTTGAAGGGGATTTCAGCCATGGGGGATATCTGAAGCCATCAGGAAGGTATCTAGGTAGTTTTTGAAGGGGATTTCAGCCATGGGGGGTATCTGAAGCCATCAGGAAGGTATCTAGGTAGTTTTTGAAGGGGATTTCAGCCATGGGGGGTATCTGAAGCCATCAGGAAGGTATCTAGGTAGTTTTTGAAGGGGATTTCAGCCATGGGGGGTATCTGAAGCCATCAGGAAGGTATCTAGGTAGTTTTTGAAGGGGATTTCAGCCATGGGGGGTATCTGAAGCCATCAGGAAGGTATCTAGGTAGTTTTTGAAGGGGATTTCAGCCATGGGGGGTATCTGAAGCCATCAGGAAGGTATCTAGGTAGTTTTTGAAGGGGATTTCAGCCATGGGGGGTATCTGAAGCCATCAGGAAGGTATCTAGGTAGTTTTTGAAGGGGATTTCAGCCATGGGGGGTATCTGAAGCCATCAGGAAGGTATCTAGGTAGTTTTTGAACGGGATTTCGGCTATGGGGGGTATTGATGGAGGTGGGAAAGGATGTGGTGGAGTCGGACATGTAGGGTAGCCCGAAGGCCAGATGGTTGCAGTCGCGAAGCGACTGTAACCATCTGGTTAAGGTATGAAACCTATTCCTAATACCCCAAATTTTAAGGCATGAACTTCACTAACCAACCCTTACGCGTGTGTGTGCATTGTAGCCGGGCGGAACATCCCACCATCACAGCAAGGTTTAGTTCTATATATTTTTTCATATTATTCTCTTGCCTTTCCTATCGTCTTTTTTACCTTTTGAAACTTTGATTGTTGCCTTTTTTACCATATCCCCGAATTTTACTATCCCTGAAAGTAATTAAAATCATTATATTGCCCGTAAATCAGTAAAGGAACGCTTGCGCGCCAAAATCCTGGCAAATGCATCGAACGCACAGGGTACTGGCGCACAGAGGAGCATAGCGTAGTCCAGACGCTGCAGTGTACAAGGAACGTAGCGTAGCCGATTCGGCTACGTTCTGCTCCACTGTACTCACCCTGTACGCTTCTACAAAGGAAAGTAACGTAGTACATTGCGCTACGTTAGGCTCCTTTGCACGTTCATATGGTATGAGTGTGCAACGGAACGTCACGTAGTCATTGGGCTGGACGTTCTTCCTGTACCTGGTCGTACGGGACGGATTTTGAGCTACGCTACGTTCCTCTGTACGCCCGTACTCTGTGCGGTCGACGCATTTTGAAATTTTTGGCGTGTAACTGTTCCTTTAAACAAACTATCCTATTTCTTTAAACAAATCAAACACCGGCATGCCCTCTTGCCCCTTTCTATCCCCGCCTCCGTTCAGGACAAAAACGGCCAGCAGCAACAGCAAAAGGAGCAAGTCGGAAAAAGGACGAGCTTCGCCGATGGAACACAGCCCGGCCAGCCGCAGCCGGTAAACGGGACTGGAGTGGAATGGAATATTGCTTTTAAAATTGTCTAAATATTGACGCATTAATTGAGTGGAGTGTGGCGTGAACGCGAATAATTTTTGTCTTGAAAAATAGGGTTTACGGTATAGGGAAATTTTCTGGTTATGGGTACGGTAATCATTGAATTTTTTTGTGAAACGGAATTTTCAATTTTTTTTGCTATTTCCGGACCTCCTACCGTACCCCTAGCCTCCAAATCCCATACCGTAAACCCCAGAAAAATCCCGCTAGTTTCCGCTTTTTACGCTTCCCGGTTTTAGCCGAAATCGATGCTGAAAACACGGCAAAAGGAGCAGGCCAAGGAGGCGATCGAGGATCCGAAAAAGATGTTGAAGGGAAGACAGGTCGGAAGGAGGGAAGAGCCACAAAACCCCTCGAAGCCGTCAAGCTGAAGAAGGTCGCCGCGAGACCGAAGGAGGATGAGAGCCCGTCGGCCTCGAGGAGGGGCTCCATGTGGGAGTCGGACTCATCGCGAAGGGATTCCCTTGTAAGAGACGCATCCGGGGGCTTGAAGGGGTCGAACTGGGCTGGCGACTGATTTTGGGAGGTATTAGAGCCTCGTATACGATTTTAAAGGGATTAGGAAGGGCCAAATCGACGAATTGGATCCACTAGGTCTCGACAGCTACGTAAGGCACCAAGTGGCGCTTAATCATGGTGAGCGATCCGGAACGTTAGGTCGCAGCAATGCACCCGAAACCGTCATTTGGCGCTTTCCTGGTTGGCGAGACCTATCTTACCCCAAGCGTCGATTTCGACCCTTGTCAACCCCTTTAAAAAGTCGGCTTCCGGTGAATAAGGACAAGCTAACGTACTGAACGTGCCACGTACGTGATTTTGAAGTCTCCGAGACATCAGCTAAAATAAAAAAAAAAGTTATTTTCAAGCGTATTTTTGAGTATTGTGTAACTGTCGAGACCTAGTGGCGAAAATGGGTGAATTTTTGCATGTCCTGATACCTCTTAAAGAGCAGTTAATTTAGTCAAATACCACCTAAAGTATCCTCCGTACCCCAAATCAGTCGCTCCCCCGGCACCCCCCTGAAAAGCTGCAGCAACCTCATCTCCTACCCTGCTCCTCGACGATCCCCGCCTGTCACCAAAAGCATGCCGTGAATTGCACTCTCACATTTCCGCCAATGCTAATCCCCTCAACCCTGCCGAAATTTTATTGTAAATTTTATTGATTTTTTTCGCAGAGACGCGGCTCGGTCGACCTCCGCCGCGAGTCGATTTCTGAACTTCTCGAGAAGGCGCATACACCGTTGAAAGCCCAGGGCGGACCCGGAGCCCCGGCAAAGATCATCGAATTCGACGACAGTGTGACTGTGCTCGAAAGTAAGTCTATTCTGGTTTTTATGGGGATTGGGAAAGCAACTGGCCATGGATCATCCCAATGCGTAAATTGGAGCGCAGTTTAGCCCTAGCGCGAAAAACCTGTCATCTTAGAGCTGATTTCTGTGTTGCGTACATGACTACGGAGTATATAGGAGCGTTGCGTAACTCAATTTTCGTTAGTCTGCGACTTTTGGCTTGCAATGAATACGGCGCGCATTGATACGGTGTAGATAGGAGCGTAGTGTAGCCTCAGCTCGATCTCCCGGTCATTGGTAGTGGTAATGCGCAGCGTGCACATCTAACCGATGCAAATAGGAGCGTAGCGTAGCAAACTCGAAACTACGGTACATTCCTCGGCACATCCGTACCCCACGAACGCAACGCATTTTGCAACCGCTCCTACTAGAAATTCGCATTTAGACATTAGGCTTGAAATTTACACGTAAACACCGATTTTGCATCATCCTCAATCCCCGTAAATAATCGATAGTTGCGTGAAGGTGTTTGGCGTTTGGAGAGGTTTCGGCGTCTTCTCGGGAGGACTCTTCCCATCGCCCCCGTCTTGACAAATATTCATCCCTCTCCGCCTTGTTCTTTTTCTGTCGCCCCCCTCATCCCAGCAACACGATGATCACCACATAACAAGCAGCAGAAATAGGGGGCCGACAAGTCTGGAAACGTGGGATTATTTCATTGTCGCTTTTGGTATAGCTCTGGCACGCAACGCGCTCGCTGCTTTGCCTTAAAGCAGCTGCGTAACCGATTACGCAATCGAAAGAAAAGGGGACGATAAAACTAACTGAAAAACGAGAGAAACCATCCCGAAAATCACCCCTTGCGTTGGCTAGGTCTCTACAGTTAAGGGAAAAAGTTCTTTTGGTTCTGCCCGAAACGTGGTTAGCTAGGCGCCATTTGAAATCTCGCGTAGCTGTCGAGACCCAATGTAGCGAGGAGTCGATTCTGGGGCTTTCTAGACCCTCTCATCTGAAGCTCGCATATCCGAAATTAGGGCACTCTTTTCAGATGAAACAGCAGCTCTCACCATCAAAGTGGCCGGCGACCCGGTGCCGACCATCAAGTGGAAGAAGGGATTGAGAGAGGTGAGGATTGTAGATTTTAGTTTGTTGTATATGGTTTGTAGTAGTGATGGGGTTATTCAAATCAAATCTTGAGTCAAATCTGAGAGCTCAAATCTGAATATTTGAAGGCAAAAATTTCAGTTTCAAATCGGCGGATTTGATTTGAAATTCCGTGGACGAGTTCAAATCAAATCTCGAGGATTTGATTAAGCTTCCGGTCCTTAATCAAATCTTATGAAGATTCCGGCATGCAAAACATAACAAAATCGCTATGGCCGAGCTGGCGCCAACCGGAAATGACCTTGATTATGCATGCCATCATACAATTAGCATCCGCGTAATGAGCTATTGATTTTTTCGACTCCTTTCAAATCCTCGTTCAAATCTTCAGATTTGAACTCGAACCTCCAAGTCCAAATCAAATCGATTTGATTTGAAGCGCTGAAACCTTATTCAAATCAAACCGGCAGATTTGATTAGGCGGATGCAAATTAGATTTGAGATTTGAATAATACCATCACTAGTTTGCAGCTATAGGAACCAACAGATTGTAGCTCAAAGCTCAAAAAAACCCAGTTACGCCATAATTTTAGGTGATGAGCGGTGGACGCTTCAAGCAGCACACCAACGGAGAGGAGAACAAGGCCCATCTGGCGGTTTCGAAGTGCCGAAATCAGGACGATGGAGTGTATTCGTGAGTTTTATAGAGACAGAGAAAGAGAACGAGTTAAAGAGAGAGAGAGAGAGAGAGAGAGAGAGAGAGAGAGAGAGAGCGCGAGCGAGAGAGAGAGAGAGAGAGAGCGGGTGAGGGAGAGAAAGTGGCAGAGAGCGGGAGAGGGAGGGGGAGAGCCCGAGCAGGAACTTTTTTTTGCTAAAAAACCCTAATTTCCAGGGTTACTGTATCGAACGCACACGGCTCCGACACAGCCGAAATCAAGCTGCTTGTCACCAACGACAATCAGGGAGGAGCCGATTTCCGAGCCATGCTCAAGAGGAGAGACACCTCCGCCGGCCAGGGCCAAAAGGAGCCCAAGGAGAAGGAGTTGAGCGAGGCTGAGCGTCGCCAAGTAAGTTTCTCCTTCACTCGCTCTCTCTCTCTCTCTCTCTCTCTCTCTCTCTCTCTCTCTCTTTCTTTCTTTCTCTCTCTGTACCTCTAAATGTCTCTCGACCTCAGGCGGCTATCTTCGCTTCTTTTCTCTGGGTATCTCTCATTCAGACTCATCTCTCTCGCTCTCTCGCGCTCTCTCTCTCTCTCGCTCTAACTCTCTAATTTTTCAGTCGCTGTTCCCCGGCAAGCGCGTCGAGCAATGGGTCGAGCCACTACAAGAGAAAAAGGCCCAACAGGTCACCGACAAGATTGTCGAGTGGAAGTGCACGTATTCGCGCACTAATGCCAAGATCCGTTGGTACAAAGACCGAAAGGAGATTTTCTCTGGAGGCCTGAAATATAAGGTATTTTTTGATTTCGTAAGGTACGCCTTCATCGCCTAGATCATCATCGAAAAAGCGACATGCACGCTGATCATCAACAACCCGGAGGTTGACGACTCGGGCATGTACATGTGTGAGGCTAATGGAGTAAAAACGCAGGCTATGCTGACGGTGGAAGGTATGAGAGAGCGAGAGCGAGAGAGAGAGCGAGAGAGAGAGAGAGAGAGAGAGAGAGAGAGAGAGAAAGAGAGAGCGAACGAGATAGATGGAGAGACAGATATTTTTTTCAGAACCCCCGATGAAGTACAGCTTTGTCAACCCGTTGCCGAACACCCAGGAGGTGTACCGCACCAAGCAGGGCGTCCTCACCTGCAAGGTCAACTCCGCCAGGGCGCCGCTGAAATGGTATCACCGCGGAAAGCTGATTGATGAGTAGGTTTTATGGATTTCTCTCTCTTTCTCTCTCTTTCTCTCACGATTTCACTCTCTGTCTTACGCTCTCTGTCCCTCGCTCTCTCGCTCTCTCCCTCTCTCTCTCTCTCTCTACCTTCAACTTTCCAGAAATGACCCCCGCTTCAACATTGACAAAGACCCGGTCGGTCGATGCACAATCACGATCCATGAACTTCGCCAAGAAGATGAGGGCGAGTGGATGGCGTACATCTCCGACGACGTCCTGTCCAAGATGATGGTCTACGTCGAGGAACCGCGTGACACGTTCGTCATCCCGCTCAAATCGCAGAGGGTGGATGAGCGTGGAAACACATCTCTCGAATGCGACGTCAACGACAAGGACGCTGTGGTGCAATGGTGGCATGATGGTGTTAGGGTGAGTTCGAGGAGTTCATCAAGTTCAGCGGGTTCAGTTAAATAGTAGAACTTTAAAAAATCAATTCGCCAGCATCGCTTAAGCTCAACATCAGGTCCAGCAAGTTCAGACAATAATACTTTTCGAAAATTGGAAATTTCAAATCTTGGCATCTTGCCGGCAAGTTCGGCAAGTTCGGCAAGACTACGTAGATTGCCTAGGCCCGATTTTAAGCTTGAGGTTAAGCTCAACAAGTATAGTCTCATGGGAAGGGCTTTAGTAAATTGAATTCTGCACCAGAGGCTGACCGTCAAGTTCGGCACGTCCAGTTTAAAGAGTCACATTTCTGTGGGGGCTCTTATGTTTTTCTGTTCCAAACTCTGGCTCCAGCGAGAAGCTTAAAAAAGTAGCAGAACATAAAAAACAAAGATTTTCCATTATTCTAGCCCCAACCACAAGTTCAGCAAGTGCAGCCTATGCTCTTCCGCCACCCAGTTCAAAAAATTAGGATCAGTGGCAACACATGATTTTTCCGGTGCTTCCTTGATACTCAACGAACAAGTTAGGGGGAAACAAGTTCGACAAGTTCAGGCTAAAACAGATTCTTCTAGATGTACAGCATCTAACTGCCAATTTTTGCAGATCGACGTCGACGGCGTGCACTTCAAGGAGGAGAAGTCGATGCGCAAGCGCCGCCTGCACATCTTTGGAGCCCGTATCGAAGACCACGGAGAGTACAAATGTACGACAAAGGATGACAAGACAATGGCACAGCTCATCGTCGAGCCCCTCAACAAGTTCATCGTCCCGTTGAAGGATATTGAAGTCGTTGAGAAGGAGACTGTCGATCTGCGATGTGAGACCAAGGACACCAAGACGCCTGGAACATGGTTCGTCAAGGGAAAGGTAAGAGTCTTGAACTACTTGAAGACGTTGACAGTTTGGCAACAGACAACTTTGGCAATTTCATGAAAAAAAACATAATTTTTTAGCCGATCTCCTCCAAACCCGGCGGCAAGTTCGAGTGCCAATCTCGCAACGGCGTGCACACCCTGAAGATCTCCAAGATCGAGATGTCCGAGGGCGACACCTACGAGTTCGACCAGGCCGGCCTCCACGGACAGTGCGTCGTCTCAGTCGTTGAGGGCGAGAAGAAGCCAACCTTCAACTGGAAACCGAAAACCATCGAGGCGAAGGCTCACGAGCCCACCGAAGTCAGGATCCCGTTCTCGATCAAGGGCCAGCGAACGCTGCCCAAGATTCGTCTACTCAAGAACGGGCAACCCGTCGACTTGGACAAGCTCAAGAACCTCATCGAGGTGGTCATCGAGGGCGACGAGGCCGTCATCAAGTTCAAGGACCCAACCATGGCCGATTCCGGCAAATGGGCCCTGGAGCTCGGAAACAGTGCCGGAACTGCCTTGGCGCCGTTTGAACTCCTTGTCAAGGACAAGCCGAAGCCCCCGAAGGGCCCACTGGAGACGACCAACGTCACGGCGGAGGGCTGTGACTTGAAATGGGGAGAAGGGGATAAGGGAGATGAGAACCCGGCCAAGGCGTTCATCGTCGAGATGCAGGAGGGAAGATCTGGGAACTGGCAGAAGATCGGCGAGACCAAGGGAGCTGGATTCAAAGTCAAGGACCTGAAGGAGCATGGAGAGTACAAATTCCGTGTGAAGGCCGTGAATGATGCCGGGATTTCGGATCCGCTGACCGGTAAGAGTAATAGAAACGTTTTATTCAGAGCCGGATATGGGGTATTTTTGCATTATCGGGGGGTGGGGGGAAGGTGCGTTGTAGAAGTTTGTCTTGCCTTAGCGAAAGCGTTATTAACTTTATTCCAAAACTTACAAACCTTAAGCCATACAAAAAACAATTTGTTTGCTATTAAAAATATAGATTTCGTCTCTAAACACCGATTTTTGTTCAAAGTCCAAGTTTCCAAGGTTGTTCCACACTTTGTATTTAGATTTTTCACGTCAAATTTAGTGAAATTTTGTCAAAAACGCTATTAAAACATTTATACTCCGATACTACTAGGCATTTGTGGAGCCATAAGAAAAATTCCGATATTTGCATTTTGATAGGTCTGATAGGCCGGGTAAGCTACAGGCCTGTAAAGCATACCAAAATTTTCGCCTTCTCTGTAGAGTGAAAATAGGTTATTTTTGCGCCAAAAATACAGGGAAAAATAGGAAAAGGCAAAAAATCGAGTTGGAAAAAATCAAATTTTTTTAAGAAGATTAAAAGCGAAATTTTTAGGTGAAACGATCCTGGCGAAGAACCCGTATACCGTGCCCGGCAAGCCGAGAAACATGGACTTCACCGATGTGGACAATGACCATATTACGGTGGCCTGGGACCCGCCAGAGAGTGATGGTGGAGCACCCGTTGAGGAGTACATCATCGAGCGGAGGGAGAAGAGCGAGAAGGTACGTGAAGCGTTTTTGAACGCCCTTAAAATGCTTTGAGCATCTACCTCTCTCTGAGCACCAGAATTTCGGAAAAAAAGAGAAATCGCTACTAGAATCAAAAAACGCTTTCTAGAGCACCAGAATTTTTAGGAAAAACAAGAAAAACCGCCGCCGCCAAGTCACTTCAAAAAAGTAATAGATGAAAATAAGAAATTTTTATTGAAATTCCAAAATAATTATACGTTTATTAAGTTTAATAAATTTAATAAGTTTATAAGTTTGCGTCATCGCCACGCACCATATCGTTTTATTTTGACATACATAACGTAGCTTAGAATCTAAAATACTGGACTCAATTTCTCTTGAAAGGTTGTCCATAACTTTTAAGTTCAAAAAAAGTTATAGTTAAAACCGAATGAGTTGAATCCGAGGTATCCGCTACTGTTAATAAGTTCTGCCACCCGGAGACGCACCATGTCGTTTTAGTTTGAACATTTCGTTTTATTTGGGAATACGGTACAGGTATCACGGTTTAATATAAGTTTAATAAGTTCTACCTCCCTGATTTTGGGATGCTTGAAATTTTTTGGCCCTAAGACCTGATTTTATTGGATGGCCTCGGTTTAAAGTATCGTGTCTTCTTTTAGGACTGGAACCGTGTCGGTACCGTACCCCACGACGCCAAGGAGGCCAAGCAAACGTTCACCGACGAGCGTGTCGTCGAGGGCAAGGAGTACTACTACCGGATCAAGGCCGTCAACAAGGCCGGCCCTGGAGATCCGAACGATCATGGACGCTCCGTCAAGGCCAAAGCCAAGCCGTGTAAGTGGAGAGAGAGAGATAGAGAGAGAGCGAGAGAGAGAGAGAGAGAGAGGGAGAGAGGGAGATATATCAAAAGTTCATCTACTGAATTTTCTGACCTCATTTCCCGATTTTCAGCCGAGCCCAAGTTCATCAAGGGCGGTATCAAAGATCAGCGCCTGAAGGTCGGCGAGACGATCAAGTACGATGTCCCCATCTCCGGAGAACCGACCCCCGAAGTCAGCTGGGTCGTCAACGGCAAGCCGCTCAAGGCTGGAGGACGCGTAAGTCCAGCATCTTCGGCGAGTTCATTACTTTTTCAGGTCAAAGTGACGACCGAGCGTGGCCGCCATGTGCTGAAGATCGAGAACGCTGAGCGCGGCGACTCCGGCAAGTTCACCATCCAACTGAAGAACCCGTCCGGAACGTGCGAAGACTCGGCCATTGTCACCGTCGTCGGACGGCCGGCACCTCCTGAGGGACCCCTCTCTGTAGATGACATCTGCGCAGATGGAGCCACAGTCGGGTGGAAGCCACCAAAGGATGATGGTGGAGATCCGCTCACCGGATATATCGTTGAAGCCCAAGATCTCGATCAGAAGGGCAAATTCGTCGAGGTCGGCAAGGTCGGTCCCGGTGAGACGAAGCTGAAGGTGAAGGGGCTGAAGAATAAGGGAAACTACAAGTTCCGCGTGAAAGCTGTAAACGGGGAAGGTGAATCCGAGCCGTTGACCGCTGATGACTACACGACGATCAAGGATCCGTGGGATGAACCCGGAAAGCCCGGAAGGCCGATGGTTACGGATTATGATGCCGACCGGATCGATTTGGCGTGGGATCCGCCGTTGAAGGATGGTGGAGCGCCGATTGAAGAATATATCGTTGAGGTGAGAGAGAGAGAGAGATAGCGAGAGTGAGCGATAGGGAGAGAGAGAGACGGAGAGAGAGACGGATTAAGAGCTAGGGGCACAAGAGAAAGAGAGAACAGAGATAGAGAGCGTGGTAGCGTGACAACAGTGAGCGCGAGAAGGTGAGAGCGCGGGAAAGAGCCAGAAAGTGCTAGAGAGTGAGATAAATAGAAAGAGGGAGCTGGAGAGCGTGGGTGCCATGCCAGTGCAAGATAGAGGGAGAGAGGGAGAGAGTTAGCGAGAGATACAGACAGTTAAGTTCGAACTCGGAGGAGAAAATTGGGTACGAAGGACCGGTGCTTTGGTGCGCCACGTAGCTGTCCTTCATCGTCGAGAGAGAGAGAGAGAAAGAGAGAGCGAGAGGGAGAGAGAGAGGAGCTAGTAGCTATACTTGTGCTACCAGTAAAATATATAGTACACTTTTATGCGTCTTTTGGAGCGTCGCGTAGCTGTCGATGCGCAATGAGCCAGTGTTACTATCACCGTATCATTACTTCTTTCAGGTCCGTGACCCGGTCACCAAGGAATGGAAGGAGGTTATGCGATCCCCAACCACCCAAGCCTCGGTGAAGGGACTCAAGGAGGGCCAGGAATACCAATTCCGAGTGAAGGCCGTCAACAAGGCCGGGCCCGGCCAACCTTCCGAACCCTCCGAGAAGCAGATGGCTAAGCCGAAGTTTGTGCCGGCGTGGCTGAAGCACGAATGTCTACGGTATGCTCCAGAAAATACCTTAAAGCATGTTGAAACGCCGTAAAAACAAAACAGTCGACGCTAGTTGATAAGGGGTTGATTTCGAGTTAGATAAATGTCTCAATTAACATCGAAAATCGCATATTTTGAAAAATCCAGTTAGTTTGCAGGTATCTTGAGACCATTCCGCACCTAATGACGTATCAAAACTACCGTTAGATTCTTCCAAAATCGTAAAATAGAGACCGAATTTTTATGCACAGTCTTATCTCTCTTTTCCAGCTCCCTCACTGTCAAGGCCGGCCAGTCGGTACGTTGGGATGTGAAGATCGGCGGTGAACCTGCCCCTGACGTGACGTGGACCAGGAATGACAAGCCGTTCGACACCAACGCGAGGGTGACGGTCGAGACGAAGAAGAGTGATCACACCATTCTTTGCATCTCAGCTGCTGCTAGGGGGGATATTGGAGAATATCGACTGACCGTCAAGAATGCATATGGAGAAGACACGGAGATGGCCAATCTGACCGTGCTGGACAGGCCGGCGAAACCGGAGGGACCGCTTGAGGTGAGCGACAAAGAGAGAGAGGGAGAGGAGGGGTGAAACAGAGAGAGGGAGAGCGAGAGAGAGAGAGAGGGAGGGAGGGAGAGAGAGCCAGAGAGAGAGAGGGAGAGAGAGCGTGAGAGAGAACGAGAGATCGAGATATATCGATGGTGAGAGAGCGGAGTTGAGGGAGGGCGAGAATTATCGGGGTAGCAGAGCGAGAGAGAGAGCGACGTATATTACTACAAAAATCTAATAAATCCTAACCTAAAAACCAACCATTTCCAGGTGTCCAACGTCTTCGAAGACAACTGCGATCTCTCCTGGAAGCCTCCAAAAGACGACGGTGGAGAACCCATCGAGTACTACGAGGTTGAAAAGCTCGATACGGCCACCGGCCGCTGGGTTCCTTGCGCAAAGGTCAAAGACACGAAGGCCCACATCGAGGGGCTGAAGAAGGGCAACACCTACCAATTCCGCGTGAAGGCCGTCAACAAGGAGGGCGCATCCGAGGCCCTCAACGCCGACAAGGACATCAAGGCCAAGAACCCGTACGACGAGCCCGGAAAGCCTGATCCGCCCGAGATTACCGACTGGGATTCCAATAAGGTTTCGTTGGCTTGGGAGCCCCCGGCGAGTGATGGTGGAGCCCCGATTACAGGGTACATCATTGAGAAGAAGTCTAAACACGGCCGGGATTGGCAAGAATGCGCAAAGGTTGGGCCCCAGTGTGAGGCTGACGTCTTGAACTTGAAGGAGGGTGAGGAGTACCAGTTCAGGATCAAGGCTGTGAATAAGGCCGGTCCTGGAGAGGCTTCGGATCCGTCCCAGAAAGTGGTGGCCAAGCCGAGAAATCTGAAGCCCTGGATCGATAGGGAGGCGATGAAGACCATCACCGTCAAGGTCGGCCAGGACGTGGAGTTCGACGTGCCTGTACGTGGAGAACCGCCGCCAGAGAAGACCTGGACGTTCGCCGATGGAAAGCCGATATCGGATCGGATTCGTCTGACGAATGAGGACTACCGGACGCAGTTTGTACTGAAAGGTAGGCTTGGGCCTGGCTTAGGCTTAGCTTTGCGCTTAGGCTTAGGATTAGGGTTGGGCTTAAGACTAGGTTTCGCCTTGAGCTCGGGCTCAGGAATAGCTTAAACCTGGGCTTAGGCTTAGGTTGGACTCAGGCTTAGGCTTGGTTTACGTCTATGTTAAGTTGACTTGCGTAGGCTTGGCCATAGGCTTTGTCTTGATGGAGGCTTGGTTTAGCTTCAGCGCTGACTTCGTTTTCCAAAAGGTGAAGCCACGTTTTCCAGGAGCCCAACGCAAGGAAGCCGGCAAATACACCCTTGTCGCCCAAAACGCCAGCGGCAAGGACACCCACTCGGTGGAGGTGATCGTCCTCGGCAAGCCGAGCGCCCCGATGGGACCCCTCGACGTCACCGATGTGTTCGAAGATCATTGCACCCTCGAGTGGGCACCACCAGAGGATGATGGCGGAACCCCCGTGGATCATTATGAGATCGAAAAGATGGATATGGCCACTGGTAAGCTATAACTTTTAGGGCAACTAACTGACCTCCTTCAGGTCGCTGGGTCCCATGTGGACGGGCCGACGGAACTACCGCTCAAGTCCACAACCTCCAGCCGGGACATGAGTACAAGTTCCGCGTGAAGGCCGTCAACAAGGAGGGCGAGTCGGAGCCGTTGACTGCCGATCAGGCAATCTTGGCGAAGAACCCCTACGATCTGCCCGGAAAGGTGGACAAGCCCGAGCTGGTCGACTGGGACAAGGACCATGTTGACTTGAAGTGGAACCCTGTTGCTGATGATGGTGGAGCACCGATTGACGGGTAGGTAGAGAGAGAGAGAGAGAGAGAGAGAGAGAGAGAGAGAGAGAGAGCGTGAGAGCCAGAACTTGACATAGCAAGTGGCTAAAAATGCAGTAAAAAAATGTCTTGTTCAGCTACATCATCGAGAAGAAAGACAAACGCGGACGTTGGGAAGAAGCCATGGTCGTCCCTGGTGATGCCACCACCGCCACGGTCGACGGTCTGAAGGAGGGCGAGGAGTACCAGTTCCGCGTCCGAGCCAAGAACAAGGCCGGCAAGGGAGAAGCCTCTGACCCGACCGATACCGTCATCGCCAAGTGCCGCAACATGCCACCGCATATCCATAGGTAAGTATCGGAAATTAAGGCGGCCGAGACCTGTTTTTGTAAGTAATTTGGCCTGAGTAAATTACAAGCCTCTCCATTTAGGGAAGACATCGAGGATCACGTGGTCCGCGTCGGCGGCGCCGTCGACTTCAAGATCCACATCGACGGTGAGCCGGCCCCGACCGTCACCTGGAGCTTCACCGGCGGATCAATCCACGCCACCGGAGTGCAGACCGACGACCAGGACTACCTGTCTCGATTCTGTATCCCGAAGGCTTTGAGGAAGCAGAGTGGAAAGTACACCATCACCGCCTCCAACTGCAATGGAAGTGACTCGGTGACCTTTGAGGTCAAGGTGAAGGGCAAGCCCGGAAAGCCGAAGGGACCGCTCGATGTTGCTGATGTCTTTGAGGGTAAGTTCTTAACGCCTATACCTATTCAATGGGCCTAAAAATGGATTCCTGGCAAATAGCCAACCACTGCCGCAACGCAGCCGCGCGGAACGTTTTGACACCGTTTAGCCTTTTTCGACCCGAAAAATGGGAGAATTTTCGGATTCTGACGTCATTTCTGAAATCCTGAGGCGTTTTTGATCACCCTAGTCGTTTTAATTATTAAAATCGGCTCAAAAAACACTGATGGATAAATTGCGAGCGCGCGATGGCATTACGACATGTAATTCCTAGCCTCCAAAAAAATTGATTTTGCCTCAAAAATTTTGTTTTTTTTTTCTCAAATAGGGTTTTTGCAGCGGAATCTATTTGTTGGCACTTTCATACGTTCACAACCCGTTTTTTCGATTATTTTCGATCCGCGAAATTGCTAATTTTGACTTAGTAGCACCTTTAAAAGTTACAAATTACAATTAGAGGGTCTGAAGGACCAATTCCAGTAAATGGCTTTAAAATTAGCAAATTCTGGCTTCTAGCAAAAATTGTTAAAGACGGCGGGAGCGGTTGCGTTGCGTTCGCGGCTGGCCATTTGCCAGAAATAAACGAGCGGACGGGTCCATAAGGTGTCCCAGCCCCTCTAAATTTCGATACCTAAGAATCCATTACTTAATAAACCTTTTCAGATTCGTGCAACCTCGCCTGGGAAGCCCCGGAAGACGATGGCGGTGAGCCCATCCAGTTCTACGAGGTCGAGAAGATGAACCCGAAGGATGGCCTCTGGGTGCCTTGCGGAAGAACCGCGGACACCCAATTCCACGTGGATACCCTGAACAAGGGAGATCACTACAAATTCCGCGTGAAGGCCGTCAACTCGGAGGGAGCATCAGATCCGCTGGAGAACGAGAACGAGATTGTGGCCAAGAACCCTTACGAGCGTCCGGATAAGCCCGGCAAGCCCGAGCCGACCGATTGGGACTACGACCATGTCGATCTCAAGTGGGACCCGCCGGCTTCGGATGGTGGAGCTCCGATTGAGGAGTATCAGGTAGGACGTGAGGGATGGTGGTTTAAAGGGTCGGGCAATGCATGGGGTTTATGGATTTTTGGATACCGTTTTTTTTGGCTTAAAATTAGGACCGACCGGACTTAATTCACCCTTTCCAGGTCGAAAAACGCACCAAGTACGGCCGCTGGGAACCTGCCATCACCGTCCCTGGCAACCAGACCACCGCCACCGTGCCTGATCTGACGGCAAATGAGGAGTACGAGTTCCGTATCGTTGCTGTCAACAAGGGGGGACCATCTGATCCATCTGATCCGTCCCGCCCCGTCATCGCCAAGCCGAAGAACCTGGCTCCCAAGATTGATCTCGGTGCGCTGAAGGACATCACAATCCGCGCTGGACAGATCTTGGCCTTTGACGTTCCGGTTGAGGGAGAACCTACCCCGACGATGAGCTGGAGCGGACCGGGAGGAAAGGAACTTCGAAATGGAGGCAGGATCAAGCTGGATGATCACCCGAACATGACCAAGTTCCAGGTAAGAGAGAGAGAGAGAGAGAGAGAGAGAGAGAGAAAGAGAGAGCGGGCAAGAGCGAGCGATGCGTCATGCTGGTTCTATAAATTTCTACATTTCAGATGCGCCAAACCGAACGCTCCGACACCGGCAAGTACACCCTTCGTGCCCAGAACGAGAACGGTTCGGACTCGGCGTCGTGCATGGTGCGTTTTTCCGTAATTTTTCGTATCTTCATTAGGTCACCGTCATCGACAAGCCGTCGCCCCCGCAGGGCCCGCTGGACGTCTCCAACATCCAGGCCAACCAGGTAACCCTCGACTGGAAGCCGCCAGAGGATGATGGCGGAGTGCCGATCGAGAACTACGTCATCGAGAAGTTCGATACTTCGCAGGGCAGATGGGTGCCGGCTTTGAAGGTAAAGGAGAGCGAGAGACAGAGAGAGAGAGAGAGAGAGTGAGCATGAGCGAGATCAACAACATCTTTCAGGTACCTGGTGGCCAGACCACCGCCGACGTCGACAATCTCCTCGAGGGCCACGAGTACAAATTCCGTGTTGCGGCCGTCAACTCTGAGGGTGAATCCATCCCGCTGGAGACGTTCAGCCCGATCATCGCCAAGAACCCGTACGACAAGCCCGGAAAGCCCGGTCAGCCCGAGCCGACCGATTGGGATAAGGACCATGTGGACCTCAAGGTATGGACTTTTGTATAGCACGTCTGACTACGGCTTTTTTTAGTGGACCCCTCCAAAGGAAGATGGCGGCGCCCCGATCGAGGGGTACATCATCGAGGTGAAGGATGAGTTCTCGCCCAACTGGAAGGAGGCCAAGACCGTGCCCGCTGGACAGACCGAAGCATCGGTTACAGGGCTGAGGGAGGGCGAGAAGTACCAATTCCGAATCCGGGCCAAGAACAAGGCTGGAGCTGGAGATCCTTCAGATCCGTCGGATCCTGTGACGTGCAAGCCACGTCATCTGACACCTCTGATTGACAAGAACTCGATCCATGAGATTCGGGTTCGAGCTGGTCAGGGTTGTGACTTGGCGATTCCTGTTGGAGGAGAACCACCGCCACAGGTGAGTGAGAGCGAGAAAGAGAGCAAACGAGAGAGAGAGAGAGAGAGAGAGAAGCATAGTTGGCGAGGTATAGCGAGCGTTAACGGCATAGTGAGACTTAGGTAGAAATAGCGAAAGAGAGGAGGGAGAGAGAGAAGAGAGTGAGCGTTAGGCAGTCGGTAGTGAGCACGACCTAAGACTTCGGCTCAACAACCGCTTCCTCTTTAGATCACCTGGACGTTCGAGGGCGAACCCGTCGAATCCGATGACCGCATCCGCGTCCAAACCGAAGACTACAAGACCAAGTTTGCCATCAGAAAGTCGAAACGTGAAGACGCCGGAACGTACCTCATCACCGCCAAGAACGAGAGCGGTGTTGATACTGCTGAGGTTTGCTTCCCCAAGTGAAAATCAAGATTTTTCTAGGTGAAAGTCATCGTGCTCGACCACCCATCCAAGCCTAAGGGCCCACTGAAGGTGTCCAACGTCACCAAGAACAGCTGTGAGCTTGACTGGAAGCCGCCAGAGGATGATGGAGGAGCTGATATCTCCCATTATCAAATTGAGAAGCAAGATCAGGCGACTGGCAGATGGGTGCCGTGCGGAGAATCTCAGGACACGCACTTCAAGGTCAACGACCTGACCCCGGGACATGAGTACAAGTTCCGGGTGAAGGCGGTGAATCGGTGAGTAGGAGAGAGAGGGGAGAGAGAGAGAAAGAATGTCGACATATTCCGTCTTTTTCAGATACGGCGACTCTGACCCTCTTGAAGCCGATGCCTCGATCATCGCCAAGGATCCGTTCGACACGGCCGGAAAGCCGGGAATGCCGGAAATTACCGACTGGGACAAGGACCGCGCTGATCTCAAGGTATAGTAGCTTAAAGTCATCTAAAGTCTCATAAAAAATAAACCATCAGATACCTAAGTAAAGCCTAAGATTAACCCAAGGTAAGCCTAAGCTAAGCCTAAGCTAAGTTTAAGCTAAGCCTAAGCTAAGCCTAAGCTAAGCCTAAGATAAGCCTAAGCTAGGCCTAAGTTAAACCTAAGCTAAGCCTAAGCCCATCCTCAAGCCCAAACTAATCCCGCAATTTCAGTGGGAACCACCAGCCGACGACGGTGGTGCCCCAGTCGAGGAGTACCTCGTCGAGATGCGTGACGGCAACGGAAATTGGGTGGAAGCCGCCGTCGTGCCAGCCGATCAGACGACAGCCTCTGTCAAGGGCTTGAAGGAGGGCCACACCTACCAATTCCGCGTGAAAGCCATCAACAAGGCCGGCCAGTCTGCCCCATCTGACCCGTCGCGTCATCTCCTTGCCAAGGCTCGCCACGTCGCGCCGAAGATCGACCGAAAGATGTTCGAGGGGATCAAAGTCCGCGCTGGACAGCCGATCAAATTTGACGTCAACGTTGATGGAGAACCGCATCCGGAGATTTTGTGGTTCTTCAATGGGCAACCGTTGCGCTCGGCCGATAACACCAAGATCGACAACTCCGCTGATCATAATACGAAACTGACGACGAAGGATTCGCAACGGTAAGTGTTGGGCCTTGTTCTCGCGCTCACTTTCTCTCTCTAACGTCTTGCTCCTTTCGCTTTATCGCGTTCTCTCGTTCTCTATAACATTCCTACTTTCTCTCACTCGCTCTTGCTTTTTTACCTCCTCTAGCTGGTTTTAAGTCACCCCAGCTTTTATGTTTTTCTAGCGTCTTATAGCTTTTTTGCAAACTCGTTCTCGCTCGCTCGCTCGCTCTCTCTCTCTCTCGCTCGCTCTCTCTCTCTCTCTTTGGCTCTCTCTCAAAAAAAAACTAGCAGTAATACCAAATTTCAGCTCCCACGCCGGCAAGTACAAGATCGTCGCCACCAACGACAGCGGCAAGGACGAAGAAGAAGTGGAAGTCATTGTCCTCGATGTCCCCAGCGACCCGAAGGGCCCTCTCCACGTCGACGACATTACCAAGGACTCCGCTGTCGTCTCTTGGCGCGAGCCTGAAGACGACGGTGGCTCTCCGATCACTGGCTACATCGTCGAGAAGCAAGAAGACGGTGGACGCTGGGTCCCATGCGGCGAGACCAGCGGCCAGGACACCCAGCTGAAGGTCGGCAAGCTGAACGAGGGCCACGAGTACAAATTCCGCGTCCGAGCCGTTAACAGGCAAGGGCAGTCGGGAAATTTGGAGTCACCGTATCCGATCACTGCCAAGAATCCGTTCGACGAGCCGGATCCGCCAACGGATGTGAAGGCCGTGGATTGGGATAAGGACCACGTGGATCTGCAGTGGAAGGCGCCGATTAATGATGGTGGAGCTCCGATTGAAAAGTGGGTTTTTCAAACGTTGTGGCTAGGATTAAAGGGATTGGTAAGGCATAGCTATGAGTGTGGTTGAGGATTCGCAACAGGCAAAGCATGCGTAGCTTAAAAACCTACATAATAGTTTACGCAATTAAATGACGCATGTGCCTGGCCTCTTAAACTATTTTTTACTATTCCTAAACGTAAAACTTTACAAAATTGGATTAAAAATAAAGAAAATAACGAGTTTTTGGCCAAAAATTTGAATTTTGGCGTTTTTTGACCAAATTCGACTTCTCCAAAAAAATTTTTAAAAGTTTTTGGTTAGTTTTTCCAGCTAAAATATAGTTTTATTTTGCTAACAATTGTATGAAAATATTTTGGATTAATGCAAAATAATTTTCTCCCCCCTCCCCCGATAATTCGAAAAAACTGAGATTCAACCCCAAAAATTCCTGGCTTTCGATAGCGTTCAAAAAATCTGTCGAGAAAATTTATGGAATTTACCCTCAATATCACGTTTTTTTCAGGTACATCGTCGAGAAGAAGGACAAGTACGGCGATTGGGTCGAATGTGCCGTCGTGCCAGGAGACCAGACCAAGGCCACCGCCCCCAACCTTACCCCCGGCGAGACGTACGAGTTCCGCGTCAAGGCTGTCAACAAGGCCGGCCCGTCCAAGCCATCTGAAGGCACCGGCCCGATCGTGGCTCGCGCCAGACGCCAGGCCCCCAAGATCAACCTCGACGGCCTGGCCGACATTCGCGTCAAGGCCGGATCGCCCATCAAGATTGAGGTCACGTTCGAGGGAGCCCCAGAACCCAAGGCGTCCTGGAGGGTCGGAGATGGGTCTCCGGATGACCGTGCTGAGATCAAGTCCACTCCGACGTCATCTACAATCTTGATTCCGGCTTCCCGACGCTCGGACTCTGGACCGTTTACCATCACGGTGGAGAATGAATTCGGGAAGGACAGCGGAAAGTGCAACGTCATCGTGCTGGATGTTCCGGAGGCTCCTCAAGGACCGATGAAGATTGGGGACATCCACAAGGAGGGATGCACGCTTCACTGGAAGCCGCCGGCGGACGATGGTGGATCAGAGATTCTGCACTATGTTGTGGAGAAGATGGACACGACCAGAGGAACCTGGCAGGAGGTAAGTAATCCGCACGTCGTTAAATAGGCCCTTTCGGTATTTTCCGACTCGTAGCTGACAAGAGGCAAATTTTTGATGCAGTGATTTTCATAGCTATGTAATTCTTAGGAAAATACGTTTGGAAAATTACTTTCGAACAGCTAGTATCTAAATATGCTGGCGAACACCCTTAAACTGGAAATCATTAAAATACCACTTCCATACCTAAACTCAATCATTTCCAGGTCGGCCAATTCCCCGACTGCGAAGCTAAGGTGACCAAGCTCCACCCAGGAAAGGAGTACCTCTTCCGCGTCAAGGCCGTCAACCTCCAGGGCGAGAGCAAGCCCCTCGAAGCCGAGGAGCCCATCATTGCCAAGAACCGCTTCGAGGTGCCCGATGCCCCCGACAAGCCGCAGGTCACCGACTGGGACAAGGATCGCATAGACATCAAGTGGGAAGCCCCGGTCAATAACGGCGGAAGCCCGATCAAGGGATACATCGTCGAGAAGAAGGAAAAGGGATCGGCGATGTGGACAGAGGCTGGACGACCATCTGGTACAGCTTTCTCGGCCACAAACCTCAAGCCGAATGTGGAGTATGAGTTCCGCGTGAAGGCTATTAACGAGGCTGGAGAGTCTGCTCCATCTGACCCGACCGACCCTCAGATTACCCGCCCTCGCTTCCAGAAACCGCAAATCCTAACCAAGGACAAGAAGGCTAAGGTTCGTGCCGGACACACGCACACCATGGAGATCGAATTCCTCGGTTCCCCAGAACCAACCGCCGTCTGGACCCTGAATGGGAAGGAGGTACCTGCTGACCTGATGGTCGACAAGAAGACCGGAAAGACTTCCATCTTCTTCCCGTCGGCAAAACGAGAACATACCGGCACCTACAAGCTGAAGCTGAAGAACGACGTCGGAGAGGATGAGGGAGACTTTGAGGTCACGATTCAAGACAGGCCCAGCCCACCGGAGGGACCGATTGTTGTCGAGGACGTCAACAAGGACTCGTGCACGTTGCATTGGAAGCCACCAAAGGACGACGGTGGATCCGAGATCACGAACTACGTCGTCGAGAAGCGCGATGTCAAGACGGGAACCTGGGTGCCGGTCTCGAACTTTGTTGCCGGTACCACCTGCATTGTGCCAAAACTTCAGGAGGGACACGAGTACGAATTCCGAGTTTCCGCTCAGAACGTCTTTGGCATTTCCGATCCATTGACGACTGAAGATACAGTCGTGGCCAAGGATCCATTCGGCACCCCTGGAAAGCCAAGCAAGCCCAGCGTCGTCGATACGGACAACGACCACATCACGATCGAGTGGGACCCACCAAGGGACAACGGTGGATCCCCGATCTCCCACTACGACGTCGAGCGTAAGGACGCGAAGAGCGGACGCTGGATCAAGTGCAACACCCAGCCCGTCTCTGGAACTGAATTCCGTGACGATCGCGTACAGAAGGGACACACCTACGAGTACCGTGTCGTCGCCGTCAACAAGGCCGGTCCTGGAGAACCCTCCGACCCCTCTGACCCCGCCACCGCCAAGCCCATGTTCGAGGTGCCATCCTTTGACCTGGGCATCGACGGCAAGGAGTTCAGGGTGAAGGCTGGAGATCCTCTCCTAATCCAGATTCCATTCTCTGGCTCGCCAAAGCCCGAGATTACCTGGACGAGGGAGGGTAAGGAGCTGTCCAACATCGACACAACGGACAGCATCACGCAGCTCCACATCCTGACGGCTAGACGTTCCGATGAAGGACCGGTCAAGATCCGTGCCGTCAACAAGCTCGGTGAAGCGGAAGCTAACATCAAGATCACCGTCATCGATCGCCCGGCACCTCCGGAGCACCTCATCTACCCGGAGATCGGAAGACGACATGCCACCCTCAAGTGGGACCCGCCAAAGGACGACGGCGGAGCTGAGATCATCGGCTACAAAATCGAGTTCCAACAGGAGGGATCGATGTTCTGGGAGAAGGTGCCGCAAACTGTGGCTCAGACCCAGTACACAGTCCGTGGACTCGAGCACGGAGCACGCTACCGCTTCCGTATCCGCGCCGAGAATATGGCTGGCCTATCCGATGACTTGACCGGAATTCCGATCGTGATCAAGGACAACTTCGACCCGCCTGGACCACCAACCACGCCTGAAATCACCGGATATGACACCAACACCGTGTCGCTCAAGTGGAACCCACCTCGAGAAGATGGAGGCGCACCAATCCAAGGCTACGTTATCGAACGCTTCGAGAAGAAGGGCGGCGGCGACTGGGCCCCGATCCGCATGCCGCTGATCCGCGGAACCGAGACGACCATCAGGAATCTGTTCGAGGGCGAGACCTACCAGTTCCGTGTCCGCGCCGTCAACGCCGCAGGTGAGGGAGCACCCAGCAACGGATCCGAGCCTGTCACCTGCCGTCCATTCGTGCAGCCGCCAGGCGCCCCGGAAGCGCCGCACGTCGGAAAGACCACCAAGAACTCGGCAGAGCTGTCGTGGATGCGCCCGACCTACGATGGTGGAGCCCCAATTGATGGGTACATCGTGGAGAAGCGTAAGGTTGGCGACAAGTCCTGGACCCGGTGCAACGAGAAACCGGTGAAGGAGCCAAGAACTACCGTCGAGGGTCTGAAGGAGAAAGACGAGTACGAGTTCCGTGTGATTGCTGTGAACTCTGCTGGAGAGGGAGAGCCGTCAAGGCCCTCTGACCCGGTCGTCATTCAAGAAGCCCCTGGGAGACCCGTCTTCGACTTGTCTGGCCTTCGCGATATCGTTGTGCGTGCTGGAGAGACGATTGAGATCAAGATTCCGTTCTCTGGTGGTAACCCGAAGCCTACTATCGATGTCTTCAACGGCACTCAGCCTGTGTATGAAGATGCTAGAACCACCACGGAGGTTATGCCAGATCACATCCTCATCACTACCACCGCTTCGAAGCGTGCCGACGGTGGACCGTACAAGATCAGACTGTCCAATAGGTTCGGTCAGGACGAGGCGAAGCTGAACGTCACCGTGTTGGACGCCCCGGGCAAACCCACAGGCCCGATCACTGCAACCGACGTCAGCGGCGAGGAGATGACACTCCATTGGCGACCTCCCAAGGAGGACGGTGGGGCCCCGGTGACCAACTACATCGTCGAGGCGCGCACCAAGAACGGAGAATGGAAGCGCATCGGCCAACCGATCGGCACTCACTTCAAGGCCCGAAACCTCAACAAGAACCAGGACTACGAGTTCCGTGTCTCCGCCGAGAATCAGTTCGGAGTGGGAGAGCCGCTGGAGAGCGACGACTCATTCCGGGCCAAGGATCCCTTCGACCCGCCAGGTACCCCTGGTCGTCCCGAGCCCATGGAGACCAACCAGGACTCGATCTTGCTCACCTGGACTCGCCCTTACACCGACGGTGGTGCCCCCATTCAGGGCTATTACCTGGAGAAACGCGAGAAGGGCGGAGATTGGGAGCGTGTGCAACATGGTCTCATCTCCGAGACTCGGTTCAAGGCCTATGGACTCACGCCGAAGAAGGAGTACGAGTTCCGCGTCTGCGCCGTCAATGCCGCAGGCTCTAGCGACTACTCTGAGAACTCGATGCCAGTCGTTGCCGACTCTGCTCCAAGCAGGCCAAAGATCGACATGGGACTCCTTACGCGCGACATCGTTGTGTATGCCGGTGAAACCGGAAAGATTCTTGTGCCATTCGCTGCCACTCCTATGCCAAGGATTACCTGGTCGAAGAATGGACAAACAATCGACAAGAAGGACCCGAGGGCTATTGTCGATTTCAACGACTACCTCGCCACCCTTACCTACAACAAGGCACAGCTTGATGATACTGGATCGTACACCATCACCCTGGAGAACTCGATGGGCAGCGACTCGGCGACGTTGAAGTTCAAGGTCGTCGACCGCCCAGCCGCACCTGAGGGACCGCTGGAGATCAGCGATATTTGTCCTGATGGTTGCCTGGTCTCGTGGAAAGAACCCAAGAGCGACGGTGGCTCCCCGATCACCAACTACATCCTCGAGAAGATGCACATCGGGCGAGGAAACGAGAACTGGGAGAAGGTGTCTTCCTTCGTGCGTAACACTTCGATGTACGTGTCCGGACTTCATGAGAACGAGAAGTACCGCTTCCGCGTGAGGGCCGAGAACCAGTATGGAGTTTCGGAGCCGTTGGAGAATCGTGATCCGATCACTGCACGGTGAGTATTAATTTTTATTTTTGTCCTAACTATGGATTTAACTTTATAACCAAATTTTAGATTCCAATTCAACGTCCCCGACGCGCCAGATCAACCTGCCGCCCGCGACATGGACAAGACATGGGTCGACCTCTCCTGGGACACCCCCAACGACGGCGGCTCGAAGATCCTCGGCTACATCGTCCAGTACCGCGACGCTTCGGCGGGCGGAAAGTGGATGACGGCCGGCGGAGGCCGCGACCTGTGCAAGGAGAACAACCTGAGGATCACCGGACTGCGCGACTGCGGGGAGTACGAGTTCCGAGTACAGGCCAAGAACGCTGCCGGACTCTCGAGGCATTCCCCGATCGCGAAGTTGGTGTTGAAGTCGAGGATCGCTCCTCCAGGGCCACCTACGCAGCCTGCAGCCAACTCGATTGGTCGCAACCACGTCACCCTTACCTGGGGACCGCCCATTGATGATGGCGGCTCGAAGATTACCGGGTATCACGTGGAGATGAGGGAGTATGGATCGTCCAACTGGTACCAGGTAATAAATTGTAATATGAAAATTTTATAAAATCACATTAGCCCTTAATTCACATAACAGAACATCCTAATTTTTAGGTATCCGACTACAACATCCTGGAACCAGAATTCACCGTGCCCAACCTCAAGGAGTTCCACGACTACGAGTTCCGCATCGTCGCTGAAAACAAGGCCGGCCGCGGATTCCCCAGCTTGCCCACCGCCCCCATCAAGATCCAAGAAATGGGCGGAAGCAGGCCGGAAATCGTTGTCAAGCCTGAGGACCAAGTACAACCCTACAATCGTCGTGCCGTGTTCGTTTGCGAGGCCATCGGCCGACCCAAACCGACAGCCAGGTGGCTCCGCAATGGCCGCGAGCTGCCCGAATCGACCCGCTATCGCTTCGAGGCCCACGACGGTACCTACAGGTTCACGATCAAGGAAGTCTGGGATATCGATGCTGGAGAGTACACGTGCGAAGTTGCCAACGTCTTCGGAACTGATCAAGCCACGGCGAAGTTGACCGTCCAAGCACCACCTGTCATCGAGCGGGACGTGCCGAACACGATTTTGCCGTTGGACGAGATGGTTCGATTCAAGGTAAGTTCGACTTTTTAATCAGTAAATGTTAACTTTACTTCTAGATCTACTTCTCCGGCTCGGCACCGTTCAGCCACCTGCTGACCCTCAACAAGAAGGAGGTCTCTGGAGAGCATCCAACCATCCGAACTGTCGAATTCGACGATCACTTCCTGATCACCATCACCTCGCTGCAGCCGACGGAAACCGGACGATACGAGTACACCGTTAGCAACGATTCTGGAGAGGCCACCACTGGATTCTGGCTGAACGTCACCGGGCTGCCGACGGCCCCTCAAGGACCGCTGGTTTACGAGGCTGTCACCAGGGATTCGGTTACATTGTCGTGGAGACCGCCAGTTGATGATGGTGGCTCGAGGATTAAGGGATACAAGATCGAGAAGCGCGACATTTTGCGTGAGGAATGGACGACTGTCGCGTCGCAGGTAAGCCACTTGATACGATACCTCATACGCTTTTGCACTTTTCTAGGTTCGCGAGCTCTCCTACACTGCTCAGGCTCTCTTCGAGGGCCACGAGTACGAGTTCCGCGTGTCGGCCTTCAACGAGAATGGTGTCGGTGCCCCGTTGGTGTCTGACAACTCGGTGGTGACCAAGCTGCCCTTCGACCCGCCGGGTCCACCCACCGATGCCGAGGTCACGCACATTGGCACCGACTCGTTGACGCTCAACTGGCTGAGGCCGATCTCTGATGGTGGTGGCCGACTCCGCGGGTATGTTGTTGAGAAGCGGGAAGCCGGACAAGACACCTGGGTCCGATGCAATCAGACCCCGTCCCCGCCCAACAACTTCACCGTGCCGAACCTCATCGATGGCAGGGAGTACGAGTTCCAGGTAACTACCGTTTCTGTTCCATTTACATGACAAGTAAAGTACATTCCGATACTCCTTTCAGATCTTCGCCGTCAACGACGCCGGCTTCTCCGAGCCGCTTGCCATGGACAAGCTCGTCTTCAAGGCGGCTGGTGGCGGCACCCCGCCCGAGATCATCTCCCCGTGCCACGACCAGCTCGGCGAGACCGGACGCTCGGTCACCTTCGAGTGCGAGATCCGCGGCGAGCCCCGCCCGGAGATCAAGTGGATGCGCGGCATGAAGGAGCTCGTCTCGACCAGCAAGTACACCGTCTTGAACAAGGGCACCGTCCAGACGCTCATCATCCAAGATGTACAACCCGACGATGCCGACGAGTATTCTTGCAGAGCCGTTAACACCAAGGGAACACGCACGACTCGCGCTAACCTGAAGATCAAGAGCAAACCACGTGTCTTTGTCCCACCGAAATACCATGGTGGATATGAGGCCCAGAAGGGAGAAACCGTTGACATCACACTCCCCTACAAGGCATTCCCCGCTGGGGAGGGCAGATGGACGAAGAATGGAGAGAAGATTGAGGCCGGAGGAAAGTACACGATCACTGGGGATGATAAGACGGTCACGCTACGCATCAGCAACGCGTCGCGCGAGGATTATGGCAACTACAGGTAAGTAGCCAATGCATTAGGTAGAAAAAGACAAATTCTAGGGTGACGGTGGACAATGGAGTCGGAAGCGACTCGGCGACCATCACCGTTACGGTTGCTGACAGGCCGGACCCGCCAAGGGCACCACAGGTAGGGGGAGAGTGAGAAAGAGAGAGAGAGAGAGAGAGAGAGAGAGAGAGAGAGCGAGAGACAATAAACAAGAGAGTGAAGGAGAGCGAGTGAGCGAGAGAAAGAAAGACAGCGAGTGAGTGCGAGAGAGAGAGTGAGCGAGAGTCAGAGAGAAGAGAGAGAGAAATCCAGCGGAACGTATCAATAAACTGTGAAAACCTAAATTTATCCCTCTCTAGGTTGAAAACGTGCTCGACGAAGCCGTGATCCTCTCCTGGAAGCCGCCACTCCTTGATGGCGGTTCCCTGGTTACCGGCTACACCGTCGAGAAGCGAGACACCAGTGGCGGCCAATGGACCCCTTGCGCCAAGTCACGGTAAGCCACTTTCACTTGCAGAATTTTGGCGAATTAGTTTTGACTATTACCTCGTAATTTCAGATTCACCTACCTGACCGTGGAGGGGCTAAAGGGAGGCCATCAGTACGAGTTCAGGATCACCGCCGAGAACAAGCACGGCGTGTCCGACCCGTGCGAGCAGACAAACGCCGTCACGATACCGGGAGATGGTAGAAGAAGGAGACGCAACTATGACGTTGATGAGAGCGGAAAGATCATCAGGGGAAGGGGAATTCCCTCTTCAAACTATGATTCCTTCGTCTTCGACGTCTGGAAGCACTACTACCCCGAGCCGGTCGAGATCTCAACCGCCTCAATCTACGACAAGTACGACGTGCTGGAGGAGATTGGCACCGGAGCGTTTGGCGTTGTGCACCGATGCGTTGAGCGGTCGACCGGAAATACCTTTGCCGCCAAGTTTGTCAACACCCCCCATCAGACGGACAAGGATACGGTGCGCAAGGAGATACAAGTGATGAATGCTCTGCGGTAAGTAGAAGATTTTGATAAAAATGTTTATACTAAAAAATGTCGAAATTGCGCAACGTCGAATTCTTAGGATTTCGAGCTGCTCAATGTCGATATTTTCGAATTTTTTTTGTATGCTTTAGGAAGATGTAACGGAATATTTTATTAACGTTAAATTCGGCATCTTGAAATTTCGACATTAAAAATTTCATATTATGAAAAATTTTCTATTGGCGAAAATGCCATATAACCTAATCCCAAATACTTCACTATCATTTTTATCAAATTTTGCTTTACTTCAAGCGCAAAAACTATATAAAAATTTAAAATTCTAAATTCGTCTAAATCCACATTTTAAAACTTCAATTAAAAACAAAACTTGTCAAAACTCGGTATTTTTCCGCTGTCTAGCTCAAAATATCTCATTTAGTTAGGCTAAATGATGAAAAATAGCTTAGAAGACCCGGATCTATAAGAAACAAATTGGTTCCCAAGGACAAAAGCCCCCCCCCCGATAACGGAAAAGCTCTCCATACTTGATTTTTAGCAACCCATCGCTGATCCACCTTCACGACGCCTACGAGGACCAGCACGAGATGGTGATGGTGTACGAGTTCCTGTCGGGCGGCGAGCTGTTCGAGAAGATTGCCGACGAACACTCGCGGATGAGCGAGAAGGAGGCGGCTGATTATACGCGACAAGTCTGTGAAGCCCTCCGGGTGATGCACGAGAACAACTATGTGCATTTGGACTTGAAGCCTGAGAATATCATGTTCACCACCAAGAAGAGCGACAAGTTGAAGCTGATCGACTTTGGGTTGGCGACGCAGTTGGACCCGAGGTCGGCAGTGAAGGTGACCACCGGTGAGTTACAGAATTTTAAATGTCTTGGAGTCTATAAATTGACGACAGCGACCTTTAACACTTGGGCCAACTGACCTCCTTGAAGATCTCGTATTCCGCTACGCTACACATCGATTTTCAGGAACCGCCGAATTCGCCGCACCCGAGATCGCCAACGGCGAGCCGGTCGGCTACTACACGGATATGTGGAGTGTTGGTGTCCTCTCCTACATCTTGTAAGTCATCGGCTTGGACTTGTTGAACTCGTTGACTTTAGGTTGTCCGGTCTCTCACCCTTCGGCGGCGAAACGGACGAGGAGACGCTGAAGAACGTTCGTGCCGGTGACTGGAGCATCGACGATCCTGCATTCTCCGGAATCTCCGACCACGCCAAGGACTTTGTCAAGCAGTTGTTGCACAAGGTAATGTAGTTAGGCCTAAAGGCTGTGCGAGCTTAAGCTTTTGCTGGATCGGGCTTAGGCTTAGGCTTTGGCTTAGGATTAGAGCTCCGTTTAGGCTTAGGTTAGGTCTACGCTTTGACTTAGGCTTCGGCTTTGGCTTAAGCATAGGCTTCGGCTTAGGATCAAGCTTAGGATTAGACTTAGCGTCGGCTTTGCTCTAGGCTTAGCTTTGGCTTAAGCATAGGCTTACATGTTAGGCTTAGACTTAGGTTTAGGCTTGGCATATCTTTGGGCAAACGCGCAAGTTTCGGCTTAGACTTAGGCTTGGGGTATGCAAAGGCCTACGCTTAGCTTGGGCTAAGACATGAGCTTACTTAGGTTTGGAAGGGCAGCCTAAGGTATGCTTAAGCATAAGAATAGGCTGAAGCACGGATTAAGGCATATCTTAGGCTTCGCTCTGGCTCAAGCTTCGCTTAAGATACCTAACACACTTCAACCTTCAGGACCCGAAGCAGCGACTCTCCGTCTTTGACGCCCTCGACCATCCCTGGTTGACTTCCGGTGAGGCCCGGGATGACCCGATCCCCTCAAGCCGATACCGCGACATCCGCGACAGCGTCAAGAGGAAATACGTAAGTTCATCGACCATTTAGGCGTCATACTTTTTTTAAGGACGCCTGGCCGGAACCAATGCCTCCACTCGGCCGTATCGCCAACTACTCGTCATTGAGAAAGTTGCGACCGACCGAATATTCCATCCGGGACGCATATTTCGACAGACAAGAAGCCACTCCGCGATTTATTGTGCGGCCCTTCTCGACGTCATGCGCAGAGGTAGATGAGCATCTAGTAAACCAACAAAAACCAACCAACAACACCTAGTAAACCAACAAAATTCCAGGGTCACACCGCTACCTTCTACTGCCGAGTGCTGGCCGCCTCACCTCCGATTGTCACGTGGCACCATGGGGCCAAGGAGTTGCGCCAGTCGGTGAAGTACATGAAGAAGTACGAGGGCTCCGACTATTCCCTTGTCATTAACAGGGCCAAGATGGAGGACAAGGGCGAGTACACGGTATCAATTGGGCGCCACTGTAGATGATCATCGGTTTAGGTACGAGCCCAAAATTCGTATGGAGCACGGGAAGAGACCGTTTCTCTCACCGTCACCAAGCAGACCATCGACTACGAGCCGAAACCGTTGCAGCCGATGAGAAAGGTCGGTTCATAAAATGCCGACATGCTGGCGGTGAAAATGTCGAGAACTAGAAATCTGGCAAATCAAAATGCCGACAAGCGAAAATTCCGACAACCAAAACTCCCAGAAACCAAAATAGACAATCTCAAAGGCCAGAGCTAAAAGCCGACATTCTAAAGGCCAACAGTAAAAATGCCGACAGGGAAATATATCGGCAGCTCAAATGCCGACAACTAAAATAACGACTTGTCGACATCTAAAATGCCGACAGCTCGAATTTCGGGATTATGGTTATGATTAAGTTAAAAATTTCGTTAAAAACTAAAAGCCGGTTAGGTCAGAATTTCGAAAGCCAAAATGCCGACAACCAAAATACGGAGAGAAATTGAAATTTTTGTGAGAATTTTCGTAGTCTTTCCGGCTTCTTACTGTCGGTATTTTGATTCGTCAGTGACTTGAGCTGTCGACATTCTGACTGCCATAAGTTTGCTTTGTCGGCATTGCGGCCTGTCGATATTGTCGGCATTTTAGGTCGCCACCGGCATTATGGCCGGAATTCCGCGCTTTGCGTACTCTAAGTTTCGTTTAGTTTTAGTAGCCTTACGTACTTTAAATGTCCGATTTTTTTAATGCATACCACTTCAGATGGAGCTGCCCAAGGTCGAGGAGTTCAAGGAGAAACGTGGCGCGCCCAAGTTCTCCTTCCACCTCCGCCACCGTCTCATCCAGAAGAACCACCCGTGCAAGCTTATCTGCAACTTGGGTGGCAACCCGACACCAAAGGTGCGTTTTTGAAGACAAACTTTACTTTACCACTTGCGCTTAGAAAGTGGCACTTTAACGAATCCGTAATTTAGGTGGAATGGCTGAAGGACGGGCGGGCAGTCGACGCAGATAGGGTACAACTGACGTACCGCAGCGGCGTCGCGTCGCTGGAGATCTTCAACGCACGCATGGAGGATTCGGGCACCTACACTTGCGTGGCGACAAATGAGCTTGGCGAGGATAGCACGGAGTAAGTCATATCCCAAAGGTTGGGACCAAGCTAAGGTTTAGACTTGAGCTTCGGCTTAGGCTTAGCTTAGGCTTAGCTTAGACTTAGCTTAGGCTTAGCTTAGGCAAGCTTCACGTAACTAATACGTCTGAACGAGTCCACCACGAATAAATTTCAGATGTCTGGTGACAGTACAGGGTCGTGGTGGGTCGGTACGGGAACCGATCCCCGATCTCTCATCATTCCGACCGCGAAGAGACCGCGACTCCTCCCTGCTCCGCGTCAACGACGTCGAGAGGTGCGTTTCGTAGCGATTTAAAAACCGGGACCTCTATGTTTTTCAGCGCCTAAATACTCCATCCCCCCTGTTGTTATCTCAAGCTTTCTGTGAGTTTGGTAAATAGAAGGCTTTTGCACACTTCTTTCGGTAGCTAGCGAGTTGCTGATTGTAGGGGTAGACTTAACGATAGGAATCAATAATTCGAGAGCATGAAAGTCACAGGGTTAGTGTGTACATCGGCACCTAGCGTAGCCCAAACCGAGCTACCCGGGACACCTTTGTAGGTAGCTACTCAACATTCTCAGTTTTAGCTTGACGGTCTCAGGCATTTGTCTGGTTACTCTCTACCATTAAAACGTTTGATTTTAGCCCTATTTTCAGTTGCAAAAACCGTACATGTAATGCATAGAAGTCACATGGTTGCCGCGTATATAGGCGTGTCGCGTTGTTTAACCAGACTACTCGAGGCTGCTCTTGACGTAGCGGCTTTATGCTTGCCTTACCGATGTTTTCTTTGCCTCGAATTATTTAACCTTGAAAATTTCTACCCTAGATTGCATCAAAAAAAGTCCCTAGATTGAAAGAAACGCTCAGAGTGCATAGAATCACAGGATTATTGCCTACGTAGGCGTGTCGCGTTGTCAGAATCTGGCCAACGCGAAGCACCTTTTGACGTAGCTATTCTGTGCCCGCATTTCCTACGCAAATTGCCTGGCGATATCTCACAGAAATCATGTAGTTTGTAGCCTCTTCCGTGACAATAAAAACAGCAACTCGACAGCTTCACCGACCCCTAGCTCCTCCTCTATCCCGTATTTTCAGTACTTCAAAATCACAAGATTATCCCCAATTTTTAGGTCGTACTCGAGCGCGGACATTTCACGACGAGCCCGCCAAGCATCACCGCTCAATACCCGGGATGACATTCGTGTCTAAACCACCATCAAAACACCACCCAATTCACAGCCCATATCCACTCCTATCACACCACGCTGTTAATAATGTATTTTTGCCAGCGCGTTTTCCTTTTTTATACTCTACTCTGTAAAAATTTCTCCCACTTTCCTCTATTTTCCTCGCCCCCTGCGAGTTTCCGGCAACCGGGAAATTGTCGAAAATCCGCTTCGGGGGTTTCGAACTCCTTCGCCTAGTCGGTATGGTAGCTTAATTTTTGTATAATTTGTAAGATTTCTATATCCAGGGTAGTTTCCGGCAGTGACACGTCAAAATTTGAGGCCGGGAACCCTCGAGTTTTGGCGGGTTTATCGATTTTTTCGAGAGTTCTTATCAATCGAAGCGTTGAAACTACAACGTAAACTTTTTGGAGTTAAAGGTACACTAAAGTCTCGTTGGTTTGGTTTCCAGCCGGTAACCGTCCGCGGGATAGCAAACAGGGTTACGGTAGGCGCTCGCCGCGGAGCAAAACCGAACCCGGCCCACTCGCCTACGGCAAGCGGTTTGGACCACTAGGCCATGGGAGGGACGGGACAGGGGAGGGGGCGAAGGGCTATAAAGGGTCCGGCCAATTGGCGGCGAAGGGAGAAAATTCAAGACGGCGACGCGGTTTTTTGAACGAGATTTTAGTGTACCTTTAAGGCCGGGAATCCTGACTTCAGAAACGTATACTTTAAGCCAAATATACCTTTATTTTTATAGCAAAACGGCCGGGAAACTGTTTGCTATAAAAGTTATGGGTTTTGACAGGGCTTAACGATTTTTCAGCGCCGCAAAAGTTGGACCACCGGGAAATGGCCTCAATTTTTCGCGGTTTGGACGATTACGCTATGAAAAGGGTATAATATCGTTCATCTTAATCGTATTAGCATAAATTTAAATTCTCCAGAAGCTGCCCTGGTTTAATTTTCACATTTACAAGCCAATTTTTGTGTTTGTGCCATAGATCCGGTGCCCTTTCAAAGAACGAAAAACAACAAAACAAAACTGCCCAGCACCAACAAATTTTTTATACTTTTTCATGTCTTTAATACCCTTTTTAACGTTACTTTTTTTGTATTTCGTCAGGCCGGTGTTTCTATAAGCAATTTGTATATCCCAAACCCACAGCCAAAAAAAACCCCCGGCGCGCGCACCCCCAGAGTCTACTTTTATTCCCAAAGCCTTTCTTTTTAAAGTTTATAACGTTTTTATGAATAAAATTTCCGTAGTTTGCCAAATGACACATAGCGCTTCCACCCCCACCCCCGGTCAGAATTAGTATATGTTTCCCCTTTTTTTAATTTTTCTAGTCCATCGAATTGTGAAGCTCCCCACCGACTTTCTTCTGGCCACCCCCGGCATCACCTTTTTTTTATTTTCTCCAATCTGTGAGGGTGAATTTTTAAATAAAGTTTATACACTCATCTTGGGGTTAAATACGAAATAATAAATACGTGACAAGCAAAATCAAAAATTCAAGCATTTTAAAACTACTATAAAATTAAACTTTATACTTTGACAAGTGCGATTTCTATAAAGAAATTTTTTGCACTACAGGGTGTCGCAAAAAAAGCACTCCCCCTCTAGCGGAGCGCAGTCGTGTCCGATTTTTACTGTTTAGGTATCTATCGAAAGCTCTTGAAAAGGCGAGAAAAGTAGGAGAATCCGTTTATTTTTTTTATTATGTATTTTTATTTGCGAATTTCACCTCCAAAAACCATGAAAACGCCAGAGTTACGCGAGATCCGCATGCTGATTGCAAAATTCCTATTGCCAAGCTACCTGTCTATTTTAGAAAAACGTTGAATATCGGACGAATAAGAAGAAATCTTGAAATGAAGCCCGCTTGCTTTCTCGCCTTTTCGCGGGCTTTCGAATGGTATAAAACGCATTCTGATCTGAGTGTCCCCTGGACCGCTAGAGGGGGGTGGGCTTTTTTGGGACACAGTATAACAAAATATAACTAATGTTATCGGTTTAACTGTTTTCAATAGGAAAAAAAACAGATAAATTGAATGCCTAGCAAAAAAAAACACACTGCATATCATTAACATATACGTTTCTTTCTTAAGAATAATCTGAAGGAAAAATAAGGATTAACAGGAGGAAAGCAAAAATTAGCCAAAGTACAAATGCCAAAACTATGCATTTGTTACATGTCGTCTGTTGCTAAAAATCAGCTCGATTTCACACCAAGCAGCTTTATTAATAAAACTGGACCTAAAAATCAAGAAAATACATTTTTATCGCTTCCTAGTCACAAAAACGTTAGTCATCGGCGCCTCGACTTCATTAAGGCGCCTGATTGGATTTCCAAAGATGTAGCAGAGCACCGGAATTAGGGCAGAAAATGAGGAGACAAAGAGGCAGAAGATTGGAGCGTAGTTCCAGAATTTCTGGGTGTCCGGTTGGAGTCGGAACAGGTAGGCCTGGAAATGGAAAAGCGGAATTAAATTCCATCAATAAAATAAACGATAACTTGAAGAGTTCAGGCTGAAAAAAAACACTGAAAAACTCACAAACATCCCCATAATTCCTCCAAAAATACCAGAAACGATAACAGCTCGAGTTAGGTAGATGATAATCTCCCGGACTGGTTCTGTGCGTTTAACGAGGATTATACCTAAAAATTTCCTAATTTTATATTTATAAACCTACCAGGGTTGAAAAACCGCTTCGCGGCTTTTCAACCCTGGCCCCGTCCAGGACCTGCGAAAGTCCTCAATTTGCTTGCTTCACCCTAAATTCTAGCAAGAAAAAAAGTGAAAAACAGCTCCTCTGTCCCTTTATATAGCCCCTCCCTACTTCCGGCGCATGCAAATTGCCTCCTAACAAAGAGGTTTTTCGAAATCTTTACAAAAACTTAGTTTTAATAGCGAAAACAGTCGATTTTCCTAAATCTTATATGTGTGCACTCATCTCGGGATCCTTACGCATCTAATGACGTATCATATGTACCTTAAAAGCCTTCCCTTGAGGCTGTAGGTGCGGTACATACTTACGGAAGTTGCATGCAAATATACACACACACACACACAGACACTATTTTTTTATATATAGTAGGATATATTGTATTTTTCTATAATATATATTTTTATAGTCTTTTAAAGCCTGTTAACTTACCTCCAATAAAGCTAACGAGCAAGTGATAGCATAAAGCTGCGGCTAGAAAAACAAGCGTTCCGCGTGCCACTTGGAGACCGTTCTAAATCATATTTTTATGGAATTACAGGATTTTATTTGTTAAAAATTATACTTTAAAGGTTACATAAGGAACCTTACCTCCAATAAGGCAGCCTGGTTAAAAACGACAATCCCATAACTAAAGAAAAATGCTAGAGGTGGCCCAAAAGTTAGGGGCAGATAGGCGAGGTAGGGCCGGGATAGGTGCTAAACATGATGAGCTTTTTGAATCGAATTTCCCGGAGTTACCTGAATTTCCGTACGTTTCGTTACTATAGCGAACGCGCGGAGCGTTAAATTCAGCATTCCTAGGCTAATAAGGCAGCAGAGTCCAAAACAGATACATTGGAACGAGGTGATCGGGGCCCATTTGAGCGACATCACAAATTCCTGAATTTATTCTTATGCATTTTTATATTGGATCAGAATTCGAAAATCCATTTTCAGTCCGCAAAATTTTTTAAAGGGGCTCCGAAATCTAGTCCCCGTCCCTCAGCGTTGATTCCTGGCAAAAAGCCAGACGCGACCGCAACGCGACCGAGCCGCATGGCTTTTTGTCCCTGTTTGGACGTGAAAACGCTTGAATTCCAAAATTCTAACTTTATTTCTGGGATCCTCAATGGATTTTGATCATTTTAGACCTTTTAATTATGAAAATTGGTCAGTGAATCGCCGAGATCAAGAGATTGGGTTCCTTACAAGGCATTACGGCATGTGATCGCCGCGCTCTCAAAATGTCGTTTCGCCCCGATAACATTTCGGTTTTACTCTAATATTTGAGGTTTTTTTCGCAACGAAATCACTTTTCTGATAGTTCCCGGCAGTAACGCTCTCGTTTTTGACGAGTAGATTCAATCCCCGCGTGCGTGAATTTTGACCTCCAAGCCCATTTAAGTTGATAGAACACATAAATAAAATCGATACCCATGCCTTGTCCGACCCTTTAAACATAGCCCCTATTAATGCATCGAGGCACCTACCCTATAGGTTTTGAACATTGGCTCATCGTTCAATTGAAATTGAAATGCACAGACATTTAGGATCAGTGTATTCGGGATCAGCATCAGTTGAGACTATAAAAAAATGGATTCTTTGGTTTAAAAATTCCTACTTACCGCCAGGATACAAATCACCAATATATGAACAGATTTCGCATCATAAAAATTCTTAGAAAATAGCGACATTAATAAGAGGAAAAATTGGACTATAGAAACGAGTATCATCAATAGGGTTTCGATCACGAAAACCGAGGAGAGCAACATTTTGCGGGGTGTAGCGGATGGAAACTGGCGATTTTCCGGGCCCTCTGGGTCCCTCAGGGAATTGCGGACGGGTAACGAGTCCAGTTCAAAAATTGATGCGGCTAATAAGTTCAAAATATTTTCCCCGGAATGTAGTTTTGTTTTCAGAAGCGATGACGCACACCAGTTAGTGATTTTTGAAAGTTGTAGAAATTGGATTCCGGGAATGAAGAAAACGTTCTGTAATTTCTTCGGGCGACGTGATCTAAGATACCGTGTGCGTTGAGGGCCTAGATCACGCGCCGTTAGGCTTCGAAAATCTAGCTGGCTAAAACACGACCTCGTCAGAGTATGTCAATGACGATGTGTGAGTATGTCACGCATCGTTTGGATTTTTGGCAAAATAGAAGCTGACAGCCGAAGACCCTGAGATGCTACCGACATGGACATAAGTTCCGATAAAATATTCGGCTGAACCGAAAGCCCTTATAATGGAACTTTGAAAATTACTTGCTAATTATTTTGTGGGTCTTTGTTTCTTTTTCCATCTATTTTTTGCGTTCAATAGGTTCTATGATAAAAATCGCAAGTTTTTGGCGCCAGGACTTTTTATTATTTTTGCGTTTTTCTCCGTGGTGTGTTCAATTTAAGACCCTGACATCTTTCAGAAGCGCCATAAAGTTGCCATATGGGTCAACCTTTACCAAGATCATAAGCTTTAGCTACTAGTTACATGCCGCACAATGCCAAGAAATAAGCCGGAACTATTTAAAAACTGCGCGCTACAGTATTGGTATATTTTCTTGTAAATCAAAATGAAACAATTCTAGAGGAAAGGGCTTGTGATTCCGTGCCAAGGGTCAAATAGAGCACTTCGTTGGGCATACGGCCATTGCTAAAATATTTTATTTTTGAACCGTTTTCTGGCGCGGAAGTATAAAAAATGAAAACCATTACAAGAACTTTCGGTTGAACCAAGTACGATCGGGCAGGTTGGTAGATGAAACTTGATGCTGACCTCATCTGAATATTTGATGCTCTAATTGGGGGGTTCCACTGTCGCCAGGCGGACATTACGTGCTGCGGAAGTCAACGTATGTTTTAAGGCTAGCTTTTCAAAATTAAAATTCCATACATTTGCATTTCGGACCGCCCAGACCCTCTACATTTTTGCGTCAAATGACGGTGTCACTCGCCCACTCCACCTCTCCGAGATGCCGCTGACATGCTCGGACTGCCCGAAGTTCTGCTGTGCCCTGCTGTTCCCCCCGATCGGCGTGTTGATGGAGACGGGCTGTGAGTGCGAGGTGTGCGTGGCCATCATCCTCACGCTGTTCGGATGGCTGCCCGGCGTCATCTACGCCTTCTACATCATTTGTCGCGATTGAGAGGGTTGGTTGGTTTAGCCCAAAAATCCCTTCTACTCCCCCCTAACAGCCCAGCACCTCCATTTTTTTCAGAATCCAGCACCTTGCCGCCCACCCGCAATCCACGGCTCCTTCAATTCCGATGTGCGGCGGCGTCGTGGCCATCGTCTACCTCGATTAAAGCTTAAGCTTAAGCTCGCATTAGCTGGCAGCCATTCGTGTTCTTTTTTACTCAAGTCCAACCCCGATTTTACCGCTCAATAAAGCATTTGAAGATGTAGCTTTTGAATGATAACCCTTGCGTCATCGCCAGGCCCTAAAACGAATTTTTTATGAACCAACCGCCCGTTTTTATGAGTTGGAGAGTCTGCCCAGAGTCTGCCTAGAGGAAGAACACACAAAATTTGCCAAGCGGCAAATCCAAGACAACGGCGGTGAACGGCCAAACCAAGAAGATGGAGTCAAACTCCGCAAACCACTCGAAAAACCTAATTAGTAAAGACGGAATACGGGTTAGGATTTAAAAGAGTTTATTACGTAGGCGTGGATCAGTTAGAAATGAAACAAGATAGAATCTACAGCGGGGAAAGGTTACAAAACGGAAAAGTTTTAGCGGGAATGAGAATGGGAGAGTTTAGGGGCGAAAAGGGACAGAATATACAGAAAACTCTTATGGCCAAAACAAGAGGGAAAAAAAGAGTGCCAAAAATGACGGGGTCGGGGAAGAGACGGGGATTCGGGGAAATTCCAACGCTCTCGCCAGACGAAAGGGAAAAGCGTACGGCTCTGGGTTCGGTGAGCGCGCGCTCTGTCTGCGGCATCTGTGTGGCTGCGTACTCGGCCAGAATGATATCAATGATATCCAAACTTATGAGCTGTTTCAAGCTATACGCCGATTGCGTCGCACTTGCGCAGCGGCGGCGTCGCGGTTGCGTCGCGCTTCCTTTTTGGCCTCACCGCGGTTGTGGTTCGGATCCGTTGCTGTTGCGTTGTGGAAGCGCCGCGCTTGGTTTGTGCTCACGTTGTGGTTACATTTCGTTGCGTTGCGGCTGCGTTCCTGTTGCGTGGCGGCGCGTTACGAATGCGTCGCGGTTACGGCGTCTTTGCGCTACGCATTCGTTGCTGTCACCGCCCTTATCGCTCGACCGCAACGCACCGCATTGGAGAACCAACCATAAGGAGGAAAGCAGCTGAATTTAATAAAGTGTTTTTAACTGAATCTCTATTTTTGATTCGGTCCTATACGTACTATATATTACACTTTATTACTAACACTTGAGGTGCTCGTTCTCGCCTGGGAATTGTTGGCCGAATTAGTAGGAGTTGGCTGTGTGTTGAGGCGGCCGAGGGGTTTGACGAGGAGGAATACGAATCCGGGTACTGTAGCGGTCCAGGCGTCGACGTAGAGGCAGAAGAGTGGCGCCCATCTCGAATATCCACCCGGCCACCACTGGTCTAGCATACCGTAGGCGAAGTACTGTAATGAATGGTACGCTCTAGGGACGTGGTAAGGCCCCCAATCTCCCGATGTCGGTGTTTCTCTGATAAATTTTCATAATTAAAAAGTCTAGAATAATCAAAATTCGATGAGGATTACAGAAATAGCGGCAAAATTTTGAAATTCAAGCGTTTTCACACTCAAACAGGGGCCAAAGATTATGCGACGCGGTCGCGTTCCGCGCACATCTGGCTATTTGCCAGGGATCAACGCCGGTGGGCCGTAGACCTGATTTCGGAGCCCCTTTAAAAAAGACTAATTTTCGGAAACTTAGGGAAATTTGCAAAGGAATTACTTTCATTACGACGCGATTTTACTGAATCTTTTAAGCCCATACACAAAAAGTTCAATCGTGTTTTCCAGGCCTTTATTAGGTCATTTTCCGAATGGAGGCTAACCGAATCAAATCAAGAGTTTTCCACCATTTTGCAGGTGTGTTTCTTGAACTTGGTGAGTCAGAGAGGCAACGAATGGGAAAACTACATCGGATCTTTACTTTAGTTCTAATCTGCCGTGAAATAAAAGAAAGAAATTCTGACTTCGTACTTATTAAGCTTCATAACTTACATAAGCCATGATACTGATCCCAAAAAGACTGGTCACCCCGAAAAACCGCAGAAAATAGGTGACGACTTCGCTTTTCGGCTGTTTTTGGCCCACGATCATGGTGGCTAAAAAGGTACTTTAAACCTACTATTTAACCTGAACAAATAGCAAAAAATCAAGCCGTAAAATACCTCCAATGATGCTCAAAACTGTATAGACGACTATACAGGCATTCAAGAAAAGCAGGGACTTTCCAAGCAAGTAGCGATAGCTCTAAATTTTTATTAACCCTTCAAAGCTTCTTCAAAACCAGGAATATTTCCTCGTCCTCCGGAATTTGTTGCGTAACGGCAAATAGGTATAGAAATGGAATACCAAACGATACGGCAATGTGGGCACGGTATGGGTTTTTGAGGTGCTGGAAGTATGAGTGTAGCAATGGGTAGAAGCGCGCTAATTTTTTTTGTTACCTGAACCTTTGTAGTCTTCCGATGAAGAGCGTAAATGCGCAGGCAAATGTTTAAGATACCATGACAATTAATGGCCGACAGACCAAGGGTTACGGTAGCTAGGGCATAGATACGGAGGCCTCGGTTATCGTGGATGAGCTCCTAAAATTTGAGCCTGATCTGTAAAATTATGTGTAGAAATGAAAAGTTAAATTCAGTAATATTTTCGTTTTTATCGCTTGTTTTCGGGTTTTTTTCGTTATCTTCCTGCGCTGGTGCCGACCTGAAATTTCAGTAGTAAACCAAGATCTCCGGGTCCAAATTGATATGCGCAAATGTTGAGGATCAACGTCGTTGGGATGAGCATCAGGGCGCACTGAAAATTATGCATGGTTTTTTATGTAGCTCCTTTGTAAATTTCTAGGTATCAGAAAGGAGCTAGGAGCTAGGAGCTGCGAGCTGGCTTGAGATATTGAAATAGTGGCCGTGACGCAAACGTGCCGCTCCCCCAGCCATTTAAAAAACTTTAGAAAACGCTAAGTTTTCGAATTTAGTGAGAAGGTACAATTTCGCTTCTTGCCAGCTAAAAATGCCGGCGGTGGCGCAAATCCAACGCGGCCATACTTTCCCCGTCAACTCCCAGCTCCAAACTCCCACCTCAAAACCCAAATCCGCAAAATTATCGTAGTTGTTTAGCCGTTTTTAGAAACTTACCGCCGATGTGCAAATGACCATGATATGGGCGGCTTGCGGGTGGATATAAGTGGAATCCGTAAGTGTACGGAGTACTACTCTTAGTTGACATATACAAATTATAGACATTAACGCGGTTTGTAGTATAAAGACGATAGAGTTGATCATGGTCACGTCGACTGGCCCTTGGGTATCACATAGTAGAAATAGCCACCGGAATCAGGGCCTTTGTCTCGCGTTGGCTGACATGACAAAAACGCTAATGAGCCCATTTTTGCATAGGATAATGAGCGCCGATTATTCGGTCCGGGGGCCTTGTTTTGGGGGCGATGGGACACGAGCAGCTGGGCGAGGGTTGTAAATATGGAAATTTTGATCTGTAACCAAGCGTACACATGCAGTTCCGTCAACAAACCGGTATTTTCAGGCGCTACGCGTGTTTCCGATCGATTTTCGGGGTCTTAGCCATTCACGGCCAATCAAACAGGTCAAAAACGGCAATTTGCCTGGAGGGGCAACAGCGTCGATAGAAGCCGGGCGTAGCCAGCACCAAAAAGTTTAAGCTCTTCTAACTTTTTCAAAACGTACTAAGATTAAAAACCCAATATCAATTATTGCAGAGTCGAATTTTACGGTTTGGAATGATTCCAAAAACTCCGAAAGCCTCCGAAATGCCACTTTTCACAAAGTCGCCAACCAAGCCTTCGTTTTGATACTTCCTGAACTCAGTTTTCTTTAAGTCATTCGAATCGCCGTGTTCCATTCTACAAAGCTGAAACAAGCTTTATTCATTTCCGCGTTAGTTTTAAAGTTATAAGGCTTAGAAGTTTTGGCCCCATACATTTTTGAGTCGATAGGAGTGCAGCGCTGCTTAGGGCCTTATTGCCGCTAATTTTGGGTGTGCATTAAGTATATCGTTAGGTTCAAAAAATTAGTTGAGAAGGCATCATTATGCGCATCCTACTTTTTGTTAAGTAAACAACTTTATTCCATACGATACGTTGTGTATTTTTGAAAACCGTTCAACAGGTTTTGCCAGGAAATACGTAGCTAGTGGACCTATTGCGGCCACGACTTGGACGACCAGGTAAAATAGCGGTACGTAACGCCAATATGCCGGCGAGACCCAGTCGGCCACGTTGTAGACAAAGACCTGGAACGCAAGATATGACAAGAGAAATTTCCAAAGCCTATTGCCAAAAGCCAAGTAAATCCAAAACCGTATTGCAAGTATCCCATTCGAAACTCACATATGCCCAAACATTCACGAGATACAGCAAGGTAAAAAAGGCGGCCCGCAAGCAATATAGGGTAAAGCCACGTCTCGGTTCTCTTCGGGCGCATAGCAGAAGGCCTAGAGGGCTTAGGTATTTAATAAAAAAAGATGAGTACCTCCAAGAATACCAACGGTCGCATATACAGGGTGTCCCAATAAAAAAGGTCACGCTGGCATTTTGCTATTTCAAATCCGATCGACCTGAAATTTTGTACAGAGGTGCGGAAGGGAATTCAAAATATTCACAGAAACTTTCAGCCCGATCGGTACAGTAGTTTTCGAGTTATTGTAAAAATACTGTTTTTCCCACACTTTAGCTTCATTTTTTCGGCTATCTTTTTGGACTTTGCATCAATTAACATAAATTTTCGGCTCTAAATCCCTTATTCTTCTGAACATCGGCGTCGTTAGCCCTTGTTAAAAAACACTGAAATAGCCGATTTTCGACCCGAATTTTGCGAAATAAAAAAATTCCTAGGATAAAAAAGGGTCAGCGCTTCATTTTCTCCATACATTCCAGGGCTCAATTCCCGCGGACTCCAGGTGAAAAACGTAAAATAAAGTTTATTTTTGCTATAACTAGAAAACTACTGTACCGATCGGGCTGAAAGTTTCTGTGAACATTTTGAATTCCCTTCCGCACCACTGTGCAAAATTTCAGGTCGATCGGATTTGAAATAGCAAAATGCCAGCGTGACCTTTTTTATTGGGACACCCTGTACTAGTGCACCAGCAGCAATGTATCCGATCGTGGCGCGTGTTACAGCACCGAAGCGCTAAATAAGCATTAAAGGTGTAGAGAAAGGTAGTTCAGAAAGAACAGCAAAAAATCGTTACGCTCTGAGTATATGACCGTATAATTTTACATAGCGAAGACGTTTGTTAGGAATTTCAAAATGTGTGCTACTTTACCTCCTTAGGATAGAGCGGCTTTGAGATGCTCAACACAATTACAAAATAAGAAATCGGCAATAGGATAGTGGTGATGAGGTAGACGAGGTATGGATGTGACACGTACTAAAGATGTTCAAGACGCACTGCTCTTTGTAGCACCTACCTACCTGTAAACAAGGCTTACGCTTCCACATTGCAATAACCTTGAGTATCGAATTTTGAATGCTCAGGTTTAACAGCGAGCATATGCCAAAACAGACAAATGCGTAGGCGGTGAACATAAGTAGCCGTGTCTCGCATACCCAGGTCTAAAAACAATTGGTGAAATAACTTGTAAACTTATATACCTGGTATCGCAATAAAACTGGGAAAGCGCTTGTCTCATCAAAGCGAAAACAGCTGATGTTTAGAAATAGTGTAGTAGGTAGCAACATTGCCTGACACTAAATTAAAAGGTTACGCAAGTTGGATTTCTTTACGCCTGCTTAAGGGTCTAAGAAATGTTGAATTTAAGGATCAATCTAGCCGGAAAGCCGTTTATCGATGGTCGCTTTGCTGCTGACAACAGGGAATTTCGAATCCTTGCGCTTCCCCCCCCCCGTTGTGTGTGCAGAGCCCTGCTACGTACAGCGTTGCGTTCGTGCGACGGGATCCTATTTTTGGAATTTCGTGGCCTTTCTTTCAAGTCTTTTTTTTAGTCAAAAAATTACAAAGCACACGAGACTCCAAATGTCGCCTACCGCAATAATCACAAAAACCAGTGTCGGCGCCCATTGGTGATCGACATATTCAGGAATCAAAAGTATCTTTCCGACACAAATCAATTGTAGGGCGGCGACGACCAGCATCAATATCGTTTGCAAAATGAAGACAAGCTCTACTAACATTTTTAAGTGATAGTTGACCTAACCCTTACCGGCTTCCTCCCCAGAAGTCGGTAGATAGAGCACTTTCTTGAATGGGTTCGTTAGGGAGAGTGAGTCGGCTGGGGTATTGTATTCGGGCATTCCAAACATCACCCTCATTCTGGCGGTTTCTTTATAAATACGATAAGATTGCCGGCAAAACTTAAGCAGGAATTGCTGCCGTGAAAAAGTCTGGTGGGAGATAAAAAATTTGCGAGCAAAAAGTCTCGTATTCTCCTCAGAATGCAATAATTACTCGGATAATAGCTCCGATCTTCCGGTTTTTGTGTTTTTCGCGACGAGTCCAGACAGATAATGTGTTTTTGGAGCGCGACGATGTCAAGTCCTGTTTTTCGTGGGCTCAGCGCGGACAATCTTTGAGATTTCACTACGATAGCTGTAATGCACAGAAAAATTCGACGGTGGTTGCAAAGGTCCAGAAGGGTCCCTCATGCTCTCTCCTAACGGGGCTCCGAAGTGAGTTACGAACCGAAAAGCGGATCCCTGCACGCCAAGAGGGCGGGAAGCGCGTGAATTTGAAATTCCCCGTCGTCACCTCCATAAGCTCGTTCTGGATTGTTTCTTGGCCAAACTCGATGATTAAAACACCAAGACTATGTGAAATTTAGTGAAGATTTCGGCAATGAATCAGAATGTGCGAATTCTAGTTTTTTCACAAAGAAATCCAGCAAAAATCGTAGCAGGAAGAGCTTTGGTCCCGCAGCGGCAGCTGGCGACTTTCCCTAAATCAAAGAGCCTTCCGAAAGAGGCTTGATTTGGCACCTTGTTCCCTTTAATTCCAACACTTTATCCCATAAGAAACTTTGTGCGATTTCGAAAATCGTTCCACCGGTTTGGCGAGGAAATAGATGGCCAGCGGGCAGATTGTCGCCACCACATCGATGATCAAATAAAATAGAGGGACGTAGCGCCAATAGGCCGGCGACACCCAGTTGGTCACGTGGTACACGAACACCTAAGAGTTTGATACCCCGAGAAAAATTTTAAACTCACATATGCGGAAACGTTCACCACCCAAAGTAGCGTGAAGAAGGCGGCGCGAAAGAGGTATTTGCACAGCCCGTTGCGCGGTTCTTTTCGCAGCACAAGAAGGATCGCTTAAAAGGTGTCTGTAGAATTTTTTGGGGGTTGTACAAACCTCCCAGGACCGAGACTGTTGCGTAGATTATTGCTCCAACAGAAACGTAGGCGATGGTTGCACGGGTGATGCCGCCGAAGCGCTAAAACAACTTCATCTGCTCTAGCTGGTTTTGAGTGAGGAGTATCGAAGCGGATACATTTTTATGCGACTCAGAGATAGTCCGGAAAGTCGATGGACACGAATGTACCCCAAAAACCCGAGTATAGTTCCCCTCCGAGTATCGTTTTGTACGACATACGAACGTACAAGAAACTTACGTAGGGTTCGTGATTCCGTATGACCGTAAATAGGTGTGTTTCGTTTTTCGGTCTCTTGCAAATAACTCCGTTTACGAAATGTATTTTTGGAATTTCCGGCAAGTGGTTTATTTAAAGAAATTGATGCGGGAAATCCTTAGAACCGATAGTTTTGGCATAGCTAGCTTTTGCGGGGAGAGGGCGAGAACGCACCTTATTAGAGCGTCATTTGTATTGGTACGTCGCCAATTGTACCGTAACTATACTCGGGATTTTCAGGTAATACGGTCCAATACGTTTATGTCGCGCTAGACGTAAACGCGCTTTTGCCACTATGCAAAATAACAGAACGATACCTCAGTAGGGAAGTTCAGACTAGAAGTCGACAACACCAAGCCGAAATAGCAAGATGGCAGCCCGAGGACCAAGGGTAGGTAGACGAGGTATGGTTTCGAGACGTACTAAAAATATCTTGTTTTCAGTAATTATCCGCTCACCTGTAGACTCGGGTCCCGTTTCCACGTTGCAAAAAGTCTGAATCCTGAATTCAGGATTCCCAGATTGATCAGCGAGCATATTCCGCAGCAAACGACTGTGTAGGACGCATACATGAGAAGCCTGGTTTCACAGATGAACCTCTGAAAGGGATTGGTATAACTTTCAACCTTGACATTTCGTACCTGATAAACCAATAAGAACGAGTAATCCTTGGCCGGGTCAAGGCGAAAACAGCTGATGTTGAGGACGAGGGTGGTAGGGAAGAGTAAGAATTGGCACTAAACTTTGTTGTTAGGTTGCGGGGCGACCTTCCGGCTATCATGCTGGCGCTAAAGCCCTTATTTCGACATGGTGCGTCGTCAACACTGTCGACGATTTTTAATGATCATTTAGATCCATGTTCATGTTAAATTTTCGAGGTAAGTCGGAGTTAAAAAGAGAGGTTCCAGACGTATACCTAGCCGAAAAACCAGCAGGAAACTTTTTTAGCTGATGGACCAAATCACGACACGGTGCGCCGAGCCTACCCTCTATTTTTAATAATTATTTCGTGAGGTGCCCAAGTCAAAAATCCGTATGAATCAAGCAAAACCGCTCAGCTTATTTAGCTTTGCATCTTTTATTCGAAAAACAGAGGCTAACTCTCACGGACTGTACCTTGCACTTACCACTATGATCAGCACCACCAACGTTGGTGCCCATTGGCGGTCGACATACTCGGGAAATAACAAGATCTTGCCCAGACACATCAACTGCAGCAAGCCGACGATCAGCATCAACGCCGTTTGGAACAGGAACACCAGAGCTGCAAGCATTTCAAATCGTCGGTTTCATAATTCAAAAGTTACCAGTCTCCGGTCCCGCATTCGGTAAATAAAAGACTTTTTGAAAGGGCTCGTTAGGGAGTCGTCTGGCGAATTGTATTGGGGCAATCCGGTCGTTTTCGCCATTTGGTAAGATCTTATAGGTTTTTGCATAAAAAAATATGGTGGAGGTGGTAGGGGCCCTTCTTTTTTTCCGAGAGCGCCCGTACCTGGATGTTCTTTGTGCAGTGGCGGTGGAGAGGAGCTGAAACTTCGAGAGTTAATGACTTCCCAGGAGTACTTTCTTTCAGTGTGCATTATTTACGCATGAATTTAGGTGCGTAATTAACCGTTCGGCGTGAAAAGCGTGCGTGGCAAATGCTGATAGATTTTTTAGGTAATAAAATGCTGATCCATCGAATAAAAAGTACTTAGTTTACTGAAGCTAAAGCTCGTTACTGAAAAGCAAGCGTCACAAACTAGTCTGATGCAGCCGGAACGCGACCGCGCCGCATCTGCTCTAGGTCTTGTAAATACGCAAACACCTGAATTTGCAAATTCGAGCGCTACGCGGCAATTGATAGGGAATTTTAGCCTCGCTAGCTGTTTATTCATAAAAATTATGAACACCATAGAAGAAAACACCGAGACCAAGGGATTCCCAGCGGAAGTACGTGCAAAGAAAGGCGCAACATCACACTTTTTCAGGGTCGACGATACTGGAGTTGGGAGAGACATTCAGAATCGCGCAGTTCAAGGAAAAGCGTAAAATCATACTTTTTTCGAGGACGGTAATACGATAGAAGGAAGAGATTAAAAATACAGAATCACGCCGCTCAAAGAAAAGTGCAAAATTGTGCTTTTCGATTTTTTTTAGAATACGAAAGCTGAACGAGACGAAAATGAAATATGCAAGACATTTTTTTCTCGTTATGAGAGTTTTCGAAGGATACCGAAATCGGACTACTGAAATTAGATACTCGTGTATTGAAGCAATTTCCATATGGTTCCGATAAACGTTTATCTCTCTTTCTAGATCAACTTCCGCACCCTTGATTTTTATACGCTGCCCGGCCATTTCTTCGGCTTTAGCGACGTCACATCCGGCTTGGCCATCATCGGATACATAAACATCACTATCGGGTTCATAGCCCCATAAACACCAAGAAAAAGGGTGAACATCGGCGCCCTGATTACTACATATCGCTCGCCGTAGTCGTAGTTCCCGACAAAGTAGTACTAAAATCAAATCTACGAATTCTTCGTTGTGGATTACTTACCATAACAGCAGCTATCGCCCCAGTCCAAACGACGTAGATAATTACAGACGACAGCACATATAAAATTTTTCTGGTCGCCGTGTTTCGTAGGTAGAGGAAAATGGCTGAAGAACGTTTTTGTTGTCTTAAATAACATTAAATCACTCTCTCGCTCTCGCTATCTCATTCTCCCTCACACTCTCTCTTTCTCTCGCTTTCTCCCTTCTCTCGCTTTCTCATTAGCGTTCGGGTAAGACTCCCCCCACAGACGCCCCTTTTCTCTGCGCCCTCTCCCCCAGGCCGACTATCTCTTCGCCTGCGCCCTCTCCCCCAGGCCTACTGTCTCGCCTGGGGGGGGGGTAAAGTAGAGTTTAGCCAGCGTTCGCCTTCTATCTCTCTCTCTCTCTCTCTCTCTCTCTCTCTCTCTCGCGCTCTCTCACTCCATCTCAAACCAACCCGCCCAACAGTGCGCCACCGTGTAAATGAGGGCACAGATAAAGAGATTGAAAATGGTAATCCGTAGCAACAACTTTGAGCCCTAAACTTCAGATTAGTATGCAGATACCGTAACGGCTTTTTTGAGAAAACGGTCGAGCATTAAAATCAGTACCTGGTATCGATTCTGATCATCTTCCACCAAATATGCTCGGTGCACGGCCCAACAGTAGATGATCATTGGTAGACCGTAGCCCGGGAGCCCGATTAAAAGGTATGGGCGCTTTAGACGCTAAAAGCCACTAGATACTAGACTTCATCTCTGGTTTAAGATATTGTTCGACCGCGCAGGGCATCAGATTCGGAAATGCAAGGGAAAAATGGGATAAAGTAGTGCGCTTGTTACGTGATGCGCCTCTGCACATCGTACTTTTTGTGCGTTTTTCAGCGCCAAGTACGTCCTTGTTACGTATGTGCCATAAACTCACCAATTTGGGAATTCCAAGATGCACGTTGGCAAATACACGGAGTGTATGCCAAATGTTGGCTTGAAAGTTGCCGCAGACGATTAGGCAACATTCAGCGGCTAATGACACAAAAGGAAGGCTAGGGAAGGTGTAGACCAGGGTCTGGAAATGGCGAATTATGGTTTTTCAAAGTTTTAACTGACCGTCCAATTGTTCATCAGCTTGTCATTAACAAAAAATACGCCCGGGTTTGTGATGAGGATGTTGAGGACTAGGATGAGAGTGCACTAAATTTAAATCAGATAATAACTATATATTTATTGTCGCTTTTTTGCTATCTGGTTTTGTATAGTTTGTATGTCTGGAAATCGCAAGACACAGGGCGTCCCAATAAAAAACACCCCCCTCACTCGACGCAGAAGTGTCGGATCGGAATGATAGTTACACCATTCGAAAGCCCTTGAAACGGCGGGTTTGCAAATTAAACCCGTTATTTTACAACCCTTTGAAGAACATTCAGGAACGTCTCCTTCCGGTCCTTTTGCTTGGAGAAATTGAGGCAAATTAGCTCGCATGCAACCCCGCAAACCGCAAAATGTTACAAAATCGCTTGTAAAATAGCGGGTGCAGACTGGCCGTTTCAAGGGCTTTCGAATGGTGTCACTATCATTCCGATCCGATACTTCTGCGTTGCGTTAGAGGGGGTGTGTTTTTATTGGGACACCCTGTAGGTATCTGGTCGTTTCACCCTCCGAATTAAGCGCGGATTTAAAATTTGCTAATTTTATTCTTTGATTTAATCCCGAAATCACTTTCTCTTGGTATAAAGGATATTACCAGTCTTGGTTGCGCAAACGCTACACTACATTTTACAAAATCGAATCATCGTGTTAAAGCACCAATGTGTTTTACATTTGTTTTGAGGGCCCCAAGCGCCGCGGGACGCAAACAATAGTTTGCTTTCTTGAGCTGTTATGAAAATCCGACCTTTGGAGGTTGAATTTCGGAAAGAATCCGACCAGAGTTAGAGTTTCATGAAAACATACCAAAACTTGGCTACGTTTTGCTCCAACTTACGCGGACAACGGAAAAAAGCTCGTAGCATTGCGGAAACAAGCGCTTTTTCGAACACGGGAAGCTAGTCGTGTCGAAAAACGCTATTTTTTTGAGAAAATTAAAAGGTACAAGGTTGCTCTATCTTTTAAAAAATAGATACTTAATAAAACTCAAAGATCCCTTAAGAATAAAAAAATAAAATTGTATTACAGAAATTAGCAGCATAACCATGACGGGCTTCAGCTCCAAGTGATTGTGATGTTGGGTCCAAAAACATTCATAAAATCGATAGATATGATGGACGATTGCAAGAATCATAATCGCCGTCTCGAAGATGAACACGAGTTGGCCAAGCATTTTTTACAGTAGTTTAGAAAGTTTAATCGGCTCGACAAAACACAGAATAACTGTTCAGACAACAAACTGTCCTTTTTGAATCGCGACGTTCTCTACGGTAATTTCACTCGACCCGGGCTGATTGCCTACACGTTGTCATGCTTTTTTACGGTCCCTCGGGAGCGCTCGAATTTTGGGTGAACGCCTGATTTTTGGTTTTGTGGTTGCAAATCGGGGGATGTTTGGGTTGAGCTTGGCTACGGAATCTGTGCCTGAACTCCGATAGTTTAGCGTGTCATTTTTAAACGTGTTTTGAACCATTTTCCGCTTTGATCTTTCTAGTCTAATCGTAGCCCAACTTCCACGGTAGGAATTGGTCATTAAGTAAGGCGTAATTTGGTTGTTAAAAAAATTCGGGCAACGTAAAAACTTAATTTGGCGTTGCCAAAAGGAGGCCAGGGTTAGGTCACGAAAATTGGTAATTATGAAAGGACGAATTTGGGGTTCTGGACCATTAGCGGGGGGGCGGGGTTAGCAGGGGCATGAACACCACTTTTTGTTTTTTCGTCTCATATAATGTATTCTAACAGTGTTTTTTAGTAGTTTTTGGATGCTAGGATAAGTAAGTGATATTTTCCAACATTTTTGAGAATTCGAAATCTTTAGCTACAAAGTTTGAGTGCCTGAACCCCGATAGGTCGTTGTGTATGTTTTCTCAACGTCTATTTGCCCCTTTCTGTGTTCTGATTATTTTTGTAGTTTTGTCTTAAAAAATTTATTGAGGTTAACAAGGGTTTGGAATAGTGCGATTATAATTGCGCAATAGCAATGCGATAGACGCTAACAAGGAGCAAATGCTTGGGTGCCTTTCGAGTTTTGCGATGCGGTATCCCATTCGATAGAGTTTAAAATTATGTTGCAGATTCAAATTGCCGGGACCCTTACGTTTTTTTCGGACCCGCCGAATGTCCGGGGGGGGACGGCCTTTTGCGCACCTGAGCGTCATCATGTCGATTTTTAGCGCTCAGAGTTGTTTAGAATTTGAAGCTCTAGCGAATGTGCTATGTCACAACGCAAACTCCGACAAACACCTGGAAATGACCACGGTAGAAAAAGTGAGGTATAGAAAGCATGAGTCAGCACCGAATTCGCAGCTACGGGCCTCACATCTCGAGCGCGCGTCCTTCCATGCGGGCGTCTACAGCGGCGGGGCGCAGATGGATGCTCGTCTCGCCATTCAACACCTCCACTCGCTAAACAAACGTATTGCTGATTCTTTAGCATTATCGGGGGGGACTCAATTTTCTTCTTAGGATTTGAAAATATAAATAGTGGAACTGTTTCTAAAAGGCTTTTTACTATTCCTAAACCTACAACTTTACAACTCTACAATTATGAAAAATATCAAAAATATCGATTTTTCGACCAAAAATTTCGATTTTTTAAAAGTTTCTAGATAGTCTTTCTGGTTAAAATCAAGCTATATTTCACTAAACATTATTAAAACACGTTTGAATAATTTACTAGACATTTCCAGATTTCCACGAAAAACTCCACCCCCCCGATAATGCAAAAGAACAGTGTTGCTACTCGAAAAAATTCGACTTACGCTGATGGCAGCTACCGGAATCGCGAATGTTTGATGGTTGGGCGAGAAGACGTAGATCGCGGATACACCAAAAACAATAGTCCGCCCGTTTACGTGGGCCTCCGGCCATGCTGGCTGTCGCTCCTCTTGATCTTCCGAGGTTGGGGGACTGGGGTACATCTGTAACGCGTAAAAAGTTGGTTTACTGCAGCTTTTTTACATACAGGGTGGTCCATAAGTATTGTCGTTTTTCAAGGCGTCATATCTTTTCCCACTGAGCGATTTGAGCCATTTAGCCAATGAGGTTAACTTCAGACAAGTCTTAGAAACCACTTTGCTTTACAAAGTTTTTTGGAATAATGGTTTTTAAGCGAGATAATTTGTTTAAAGTGGGCGACAAAAGGTTGGGGTGCGCCGCGCCAGAATTTCGGGAAGAAGGGCTCTAAATCCAGCGATTGAGAGCCAGGATGTTTTTTCCAGCTTGTTAATGGTAGCTTCAACATTGTTCTGCATTTTCCCAAATGGAAATTTAACCATCTTGTCGCTTGAAGGAGCTATGGCCTTCGCAATTTTGGACGAAAATGCGCAAATTCAGGGCATCCCGTCGTTTTTTAGTTTCCGAATTTTCATTTCTCCCTAGAGCTACCCAGGGGCAATCTTATATGGTATTACTATGCTACCTGACGTCTTCTTTCCAATGGAATATTGAGCTAGGCTCTGGTCACTTTTTAGACTAGGATTTGAACTAAAATTGGCTGGCGTATGCCATTAGACAAAAATCTCAATTTTTTTGAACATCATGTGGAATTCTGCGCTTAAAATTTGGGAATAGTTGAAAAAAAGCCTTAGCTATACCCAAAAAACTTGTCACAGTTTTCTCAGCTTTCTAGCAGCCACGATCTCAGTTTTACATATGGGGTAGGCCGAGGGCGGCGCACCGGGTTCCCCGAAACTTTGAATAGCGCTTGCTCAAAAACCGAGATGCGAACATTTTTGTTTGGAGGTTCTGCTAGCAGAGTTTTACTTGTTCTTTCAATTGCAAATGCAAGTTTAATGACTACATAATTGTTTTGTCGCCAGCGGAGCCTCTCAAAAGCCATTTTTAAGCTGCAATTTGGAGGTTCTTTAGAAACTATGTGCTATAAGCTCTAAATCTCAATACGATCGTGCAACCTATCATGCCATCGGATAGAGGAGAAAAAACTGCATAAACCATACGCTCAAGTAGCCAATCGCACACGGCCCCGATTAGATACAGCCGGCCAAAAGGCGCGACAATACTTATGGACCACCCGGTATACTCGGAATACAGCACATACAAGGAAATTCGGAAAAGCGCTCTGAATTTGAACAAATGTATATGGCGTGGTACCCGTCCTGGCGAGCCGGCTTTTTTGGAAAAATTAGCAAAAAATTATTAGATACCCCATCTAAAAGTGCGTTTTCTGCTCGGCAAGATGCGCTATATAACTTTTATTGACTTTTATGGGGGCCCACCTATGCGATCTTAGGGGACAAAAGACGCAAAAATGCGCTGTAACTCTCGTAATAGGACAATTCCGCAATTTCTGAAGCCGTATTCGAAATCGGCAAACAGGATAGGTTAGGTCCCAAATAGAATTTGCAGTCTATGTAAAAACGCTTGACAGTTAGCTGGTTTTTTAAGAGGACCACCAATAAAAGTCCAGAATTTCAGCTACCGTATGACGATTGATCGGCCACCAGGATGAAAAACGCCTACGTGTCAAGGATGAAAAAAGCAACACGTTGCTAACCGAATGGGGTATCGGCCACCCAGAATCGTCTTTTTTGGCTCGGATCTATTTGCGGTCATCCTCGCCCAGCGCGTGCGCCTTTCTACGAGCGCAATGGCCCGAGGCGAACGATATGGGCCTGGGAAAGTTGCGTTCGTTTGAGATTTGGTTTGAATGGGGGTTTTCAGGGGTGTTGAAAAGGGGGTTCAAAAGAAGTTGAAAAAGGCTAGAAGGATCTTAAAACTTAAAACTATTAACTTACACACATCCAGAATTTCGGAATGGGGGGTCGAGTGGAGTCAGCCATGCAGAAAACACGAAAGCTTCTTGGACCCGCGTGAATTATATGTCGTAATGGCCTGCAGGGCGTCCATTTAGTGGTGGCGGGCCAAAAAGGATTAAAAGCGGTGCAGGATTCGAAAAATGACTTCATCACGCATTTTCACCCCTCCCCCCTCCCAATCCCGGAACAAGTTCAAGCGGAGCGCTCGCGTCGCGGCGGCATCTTGCTAACAATTGATGTTGGGGGGGGGCGTAGACCAGACTAAGTTGCCCCTTTAAAATGCGAGCAATTAAAATTAAATATTTATAGTGGGACGCCGTCAAGTTGCGAGCACTAGGCTGTCGCCCAGCATTTTCGAATAGATTTATCATTTTTATAATTAAAGGCCCTAAGCCTAAGCCTACCCTACGCCTAAGCCTAAGTCTAAGCCTAAGCCTAAGCCTAAGCCTACCCTACGCCTAAGCCTAAGCCTAAGCCTAAGCCTAAGCCTACCCTACGCCTAAGCCTAAGCAGAAGCCTAAGCCTAAGCCGAAGCAGAAGTCTAAGCCTAAGCAGAAGCCTAAGCCTAAGCCGAAGCAGAAGTCTAAGCCTAAGCCTAAGCAGAAGCCTAAGCCTAAGCCTAAGCCTAATCCTATTCTGCCAGTTCTTTCGTTATGTCGTGTCGTTCATATCATGGCATGTCTGTAATACGCCGCAATGCTCCTTGAAAATATCACAATTTACTCGGCGCGTTCGTGCTCGCGCGTTCGGATTGACTGTGCGCCGACATCGTGCCAGCGGATACTTGTATCACTCGTCCGCCCGTCGACTGCTTGTGTGGTCTTCCGAAGGCTATCGCCAGGATCGGCAACGCGGATGCGTAGGCCCCAACAAATAGCGTGAATAGCGGCGCGTGCATCCACGCGTAGCGCTCACCTTGGCCGTAGGCGAACAGGAAGTAGGTCTAGGATGGGTTTCTTGCAAAATGTCCAGATCATAAGTCGAGATTCGCACTGTCGAAATGTCATAATGTCGAAATTTAGATAAGCTAATTTTCCCCGAAAACCTCCCCTCAGGTCCTCGGGTCCACCCAAAATCCGGTTGTATTCCACCTGGATTTGGGGTGGAACGCATGGAAATCGACTGGATTTCTGGTGGACGCACAGGAAATCGAGTGGAAACACGACGCAACGCGTGCCGCACGCGATGCGGCAAGTGGAAATCGAGTGGAAAACGGGCGGACCCGGTCGATTTCCACGTGGCATCCGGTCGCGTCGGCTACTGGAATTCCGATCGATTTCGCGAGCAGATGCCGACCGGATTTCGGGTGGACCCGAGGACCTGAGCTGAGGCCAATGCAAAAAAATGTCGATTTTCTGAATTCGACATTATGAAATTTCGGCATTCAGAAATTTCGACAATATGAGTTTTCGATACCATGATAGCAAATCAACAAGAACAGTCAAAACTCACAAAAATCAGGCATAGACTGCCAATCATTATGACAAATATCGAGACTCGGACCAAAACGACTCGGACCTCTTTTCGAGATTCTCGGCGCTGGTGCAGGGTGAAGGCTAAAAAGCAGCTTAAGTGCAGTTTACCGCCCCCCCCCAGCCCACACCCACCTAGCGTATCTCGGCTCCCTGTTCATCTACAGGTGTGTAAAGTATATCAAAATGTTCATCTTGCTCTGGCGAGTATTTTGGTATATTTTACACACCTGTAGATGAACAGGAGCCGAGATACAAAAGGTGTGGGCCGGCCGGGGGGGTAAACTGCACTCTAACCTAAAAAGCGCGGGTCAAAGAGATGATCGTAGCGTAACCTACCTGCCCATAGATGTAATATTACGTATAGCATCCCGCTCAGGAAATTCACGCCAATCGCGCAAAAGATGACGTAGTAGGGCCGCTAAAAAATGTTAGTTACATTATTTTGGCCTAAATTCCAACTTCTAGTATATTTTTTCCTGCTCTATCAAATGGCGTCTTTAAAATATCGAAACTCAATAGCTAAAATATCAACTACAGAATTTTAAGCCAATTTTCAATGATGGTTTTTTTGCTATAACCGTTTAATATTACATCATTTTCGGCTGTAATTAAGAATTGTTACACATCTTTTCATGCTCTATCGAATGCCGTAAAAGAAACTCGGAAAACTATCAGAATTTGGTACATTGGACTGGTCAAGGTACGATAGACAACCTACCAGCCACGCCATCTTCTCGCTCAACTCGAACGCCTTCATGATGGCCCAGACGTAGGGCAGGCAGGGGACGAGATAGCCAGGCAACCAGATGTACAGAAAAGGGCGGGGAGCACCTAAAAATTGTTATAAGCTGATTGCAGGGTTTGTCGAAATTCTGAGGGTAAAAGCATGAAAAACCATTCATTTGTTCCTTTCATCAGAATCCGTTTTTTTGTAAAGTATGGAGATTTTCTTTGGAAAAGTCTTTAGGGTGCGTAGGAACGTAATAAATGGTAGCATAAAGAGTTTTTTACAATATCATCACATTTTAGATTGAAAATTACCGAAAATTTTTGACAAAATCTGAAACTGAAAGTTTTGCGCAAAAAGCGTTTTGAATCGAAAAACGTGACTTTTTGCAACTTCCACAAACAATTAATTAATTTTTTAATTTTTAAAATTCAGTTTTGGCACTTAGAAGTCACAAAAAATTGTATATGTATTCTTTTAAACAAAAATTTTTTGCAAGAAATCGATATATTGGTCGCAATCGGAAATTTTTCGGCGAAAAATCCATATTTTTGCATTTTCAAATAAACCTTGTTTTTGGGCTCAGGAATGGCACTGCAAAAAAACATTTTAGACAGATTTTTCTAGTTTTATTAGAAAAATATCGCTGGGACAGTAAAAACCGACTTGTGCCGTCTGACGTCGTCTGATGATGCCCAGCGTCCGGAAGCAGGTCCACACCGTGGCCGCAAACGTACACGCGGATACCAAGTACAGGCAAGTGCACATTGCAAACAGGGCGGGTAATGGCGAGGCGGTGATGAACCGCTAGAAAACGCGGTTCAATTTTTTTGCAGGTAATCATCACTCACGATCCAGTTCAGTGCCAGCCCTCCGCCGGAAAAGAAAAATATTGGGTTCAAGATGATCAGGTCGACAATGAGGACGATGCTGCACTACAATGTTGCGGAAATTGCGATCGTATGGGGCTATAACTTACGGATAGCAACATGAAGACGAGGATCGGGATCTGGATATGGCCGCGGTACTTTTTCGCGAAAAGAAACTGGTACATGTGACAGAAGTGATGACCGAGGACGACCATCATTAGCGATGACTCGATGGCGAACACGATTTCGGCGAACATTGTATGCTGAAGATGATGAATTGATTATGTTTTGAAGTAGATCGCTTTTTGCGTGGAAATTAACAAAAACGAAACGCGTAGAAATTCAACTTTTAAAGGAGAAAAAGCCCGCCCAGCTTAAAAAAAACCATGCCCGCGCTGAAACCCACTTCCTGGTGGTGTTTGAAAAATCAGCGGATTGCACTCGTTTTTACTATCACATACATATACCTATCGATACCAATATCTAAAACGCTAAAATCGCGACATCAATTCGCAGTAACCTGCCAATAACTTCAACATGCCGTTTTGCTGTTGACTAGGACTTGGCAATCAGCCTAGGGTTCAGAATCTGCTGTGATTTGGGTTGGCGTGGGTTTGGCTGTCGGGATTTTAGATGTCGGATATTGGCTGTCGGGATTATGGTTGTCGGGGTGCTAGCTTGTCGGGACTTTGGCTGTTGTGATCTTAACTGTCGAATTTGGGCTGTGGTTTTTAGCTGTCAGGATTTTGCCTGTCGGAATTATTGCCCGGAATTCCTTACTATAATGGAAGACACCAGCCGCCAAATGGCAGCCAGGGGCCTTCGAGGAGCAAACTAAAAAACTGCGTCGAGCGCTACGAAAGACGCCTACTGACGCTACCAGATCCGCTCCAAAATCACGCGGTTTCAGCAGCGCAATCTTATCATGCTTCAAAAATTAATGAGCCTGATGGCTGCAATTATATAAAGTTTGCGGATACAGTTTGTACGATTTCCGGTGGGCGAGGCAACGCGGAATGTCGCTAGAAAAAGTGAGCGCTGTAGCTTCAACCCGTTAATTAGGCTGAAGCTGACCATTAGCCAGAAATTCGAGAAGTGAAATTGGGATTGAGCGAGAGGGCGTTCGATAAAATCCCGAGGACACGAAGGTTTCGCTATTCAGAAGTCAGAGCTCGAGTCACCCGGCGCACAGCACCCGTCGACTGTTGTTATGAGTGAAAACATTCAGTCTCAAGGGAGTCGGCCGGTGGACTTGTTGAACCTCATCTACGGTAAATGTAAGGTCGTTTACTCCTGGTACTTTTCTTTTTCGCCTCGGACGTCTGCGCCATAGAATGCGGAAGCGAGTCGATTGCAAAAATCCAGAAAAATTAGGCGAGTAAATTTTATTATGAAATTAATCTAATAAACATAGGATTTCGAAGAGGCAGGAGAGAGAGCGAAAGAGTGAGAGAGAGAGAGAGAGAGAGAGAGAGAGAGACAGAGAGAGAGAGAAAGAGAGAGAGATATTAGAGAGAGCTGGCGAGAGAGGGCGAGGGAGAGAGGGCGAGAGAAAGTGTTAGTGAGTGAGCGGGTGAGAGGGAGGGAGGAGGAGAGAGAGGGCGAGAGCGAGGGAGAGAGGGAGAGAGAGAGAGACGATTTTTGTTGCCTTGCAGTGTTCACCAGACCAAACTCCTAGATGGTATTTTTGCCCGTCTACTGGAGCGCATCGTACCCAAGATCGCAATACGCCGGTTTCTTAAAAAACGCTTCAAAACACCCAAATTCGAATCAGCGTCTATTGTTGTGAAGCGGAGCGGGGGCGGCAGAAAATAGTGAGACAAAGCTTACGAACCCCCAGGAGACGTGCATAATATGGGTTTAGAAATCGTTGTGTACCTGTAAAATATCTCTTCCAACCTCTTTTCTGACACTCTCGCCTGCTCTCTATCTCTCTCTCTCGCGCTCTCTCTCTGTTTCTCTCCCTCTCCCTCTGACTCTCTATCACAGACACGCCTTCTCTCTATGTCTCTCTTTTCTCTTCATCTCGCTTTCTCTCTCTCTCTCTCTCTCTATCGCTCTCGCGCTCTCTCGCTCTCTGTCAAATATCGTTCAGCTAAAAGCCGATGAAAACACAGTTGAAACCTCCACGAACTACAATAGAACAGGAGTAAAAAAAAGGAAATGGCACCTAGGGGTAGGCACCAAAACAAAGCGCAAAATTAACATCAATTGTTGGTATATAGTCCTGATTAAGATTCACGGTCGATTCCCTAGGGATACCTAAGCCAGGCAACTTTATCAAGTAAACCGCCAGAGTAGTTTCCTTTTAGAATTTTAGAATATACCCGAAAACTGTTTGGGCTGGACTGCGTTAATTTTGCCCTACCGCCCAATTATTTCGAGCAAAAAAGCGTGTAGTGTTCAAAAATTGAGAAGAACGAGATGAGTTGGACAAATTAGGTCCTAAGCGCTTCCTGGCCGCCAATTTAAATTTCTATGCCAAAAATCGCATTGTGAAGTTTGGTGGGAATTGGAAATGACTAATTTGGATTCGCGAGTTAGCCGAGACTTCCAAGCTGCAAAAGCCTTTCAAGACAGAGTTGTTTTTCACGTTGATTTTTACAGCTGGGAAAGCTTGAGGAGCTGTTTTTGGGGCCGAGACTTATGCTTGAAAAGGCATCGTTTCGTCGCTTGAACAGACATTTTTCGAGAAGCTTTATTTATGAGAAATACGTTAACAAAGCCTTTTGCATGGCTTATGGTAGTCGTTGGGCGTCAAATTGGTGCCTTCTGTAAAAAAGGATTCTATCGTCCTCAAAGAAAAACCTACCAATGCCCGGTCTGCTTGCACTTGCAGGCCCCCTTGGCGCATTGGCAGGATTTGCCTTCCTCGCAGCCTAAACGATTTAACTGTAATTTTCAAAATTAAGGATTTGTGCCCACCAGCGACAAAAAAACGCATTGTTTGTATAAAAATCTATTAAGCGTGACTATAATTATTAAGTGTGATTATGAATGGCCCTACAAACATATAGCATTTTCCAAAAAAATAATACCTACCGCAACACTCATTGCAGCGGCAGTTCTTGCACTTGCAGTCACCCTTCGCGCAGTGGCAAGGTTTGCCTTCCTCGCAGCCTAAAAATAAACCGTTCTCAAGAATGCTGTCGGCATAATTTTGGCTGAAATTTCAAAGAGTTAACGTTTAGACTTTAATTTATTAGAATTACTTACCACAGCACGCCTTGCAGCGGCAGTTCTTGCACTTGCAGCCTCCCTTCGCGCAATGGCAAGGCTTGCCTTCCTCGCATTCTAAAACCATTTATATCATTTTTAAGGTAGCATTCCTGGCTGCTTTGACTCGATTTATCTGTCGGAGGATAATCTTTAACAAATTCGGATCGGTGAACCTACTGCAGCACTCCTTGCAACGGCAGTTCTTGCACTTGCAGTCTCCCTTGGCGCAGTGGCATGGCGTGCCCTCCTCGCAGTCTGAAGTAAATCATGCATTTTGAAAATTATTATCTGTTTGAACTCATTTTTGGCAGAAGGCTACTTTGGAGGAATTTTTTTCACAAAACCTACTGCAGCACTCCTTGCAGCGGCAGTTCTTGCACTTGCAGTCACCCTTGGCGCAGTGGCACGGCTTGCCCTCCTCGCAGTCTAAAACTAAGCCGTTCTCAAGAATGCTGCAGGCATGATTTTGGATGAGGTTTCACGTCATGAGACTTAGATTATTCGAATTACTTACCGCAGCACTCCTTACAACGGCAGTTCTTGCACTTGCAGCCTCCCTTCGCGCAATGGCATGGCTTGCCTTCCTCGCAGTCTAAAGAAGTTGTACAATTATTAAGATAGCATTCTTGTCTGTCTTGACCAGATTTGTGTCAGAGAATACTCTTTAACAAATTCGGATCGGTCAACCTACGACAGCACTGCTTGCAGCGGCAGTTCTTGCACTTGCAGTCACCCTTGGCGCATTCGCAAGGCTTTCCTTCTTCGCATTCTAAAAGGAAGAAAAATTAAAGTGGCCCAGCTCCCTGTAAGTAATTTTAAGAAGATAAAGTACCGCAGCTGTTCTTGCACTGCTTGCAGTGACAGTCCAAGCACTTGCACTCGCCCTCGGCACAATGGCATGAGGTACCAGGGATGCATTCTAGAAAGAAAGCAAGATAAGCATAATAGGTACAGGAAGGGAGAACTTACCGCACTTGCTCATCTCGACGGTTCGTTGGTATGGTGTTGTGGAGTTTTAGCTAAATGAAGGCGTTTAATCCGGTTTAGATCTACGTAAATTTTGAAAACCTGTTATTAAAGGGGCTCCGAAATCTGGTCCGCGGCCCCCTGCTGTGATTCCTGGCAAATAGCCAGATGCGGCCGCAACGCGACCGCGCCGCATGATCCCTTGCCTCTGTTTGGACGCGAAAACGCTTGAATTTAAAAATTCTGATACCATTTTTGGAATCCTCAACGAATTTTGATCATTCCAGACTTTTAAATTATGAAAATTGACCAGAGAATCAGCGAAATCGAGAGATTGGGTGCCTTACACGGCAATACGACATGTAATCGCCGCGCACTCAAAATGTCGTTTTGCCCCAACAAGAATTCGGTTTTTCTCAAACATCTTACGTTTTTTCGCAATCAAATCACGTTTTTGGCAGTTCTCGGCAGTGACCCTTTCGTTTTTTGACCCCTGAAGTTCAATCCCCGCACGCACGAATTTTGACTTCTGAGCCCCTTTAAAAACAATAAAAAAATTCAGATTCAAAACAATAATTGAGCAAACTCCGGTTCGACCGGAACTGCGAAGATAAATTTCTATGATTTGTTCGAGCATCAAAGGGGCAGAACGCGTTGCTGAAAACTGAATTCATAATCCCAAAACAAAATTAAGATTTTCAAAAAGTACGGCAGGTATCTTATAGAAGTCCCCCTTTACTCGTTAATACCATCTTCTACCACCAATTAGCGTACAAATAGGTATTATTATTTTTTTTCTCTAAACCGAAAAGTCCACAAAAATAGCATAACAGTTTTCGAGCCATACTATACTTGGAGAAATCTATTAAATTACAGTCAGAGCGTAGACGCTTGAACTGGGAATTTTTTTACATAATTTACCATCAGCCAACCCCAGTAGGTATTTTACAAGACCAAAAAAGTTAACAAACTAAAATTCGAAGTGAATATGAGATACAGTATACTTCAAGAACCTCATCACCGTCCTTAAATACTGCTTCACCCGGCTTATCACACGTTTTGAGGCCCTCCAAAACGAAGGCCTCAGCTCCGGGAAAAGGGCGGGCGGCCTGATAGCGGGCCTGTGCCTTTTCGACCCGACGCAAAACCGGGAGCCTCGTCGCGTTTATCAGTTTACCGACGACATTGGCAGAAAAGGAACACAGGGCCAGGCCCTAGTTTTTGGAGGGCCTGAAATTTGATAGGGCCGAAAACAAGGGCGCCGATCATTTGACCGTAGGCCCTGTTTGCGTGGCGACTGTACTCTCATTATTAAAATTTTTGGTGCTTCCCTGTTAGCGGGGGAGCAAGGCAAATTTTTCAATTGCGTATTTTTACTATTTTTTTAGTAGTTTCCGAAAACTAAAACACTACAGAACTTTGGTAGGACATGCTCTAGACCTAAAGTTTTCTTCTTACTGTAAAGTGTTTTTACTCAGGCTGGCTTTTCAGAATGGGACCAAGCCTATCTTGTGCAGAATTTTTTGCTGATTCCGAATCTGATTTCCAAATTTGCTGCCGACCTTTATTTAAAAAGTTATTCGATATTTATACTAAAAAAAATGGACTAAATCTGGATTTTTTTGCGATATTTTTTAAGTTGGCGTCTCCTCCGACGTTAAAACTGGCTCGGTAACAGTTTTAGACGTCAAAGCGCGATTTTATGCAAAAATCATTTGTTTTTGTGCAAAATGCAAAAGAAGTTGTGCAGGGCGAGGTTCGAACCGCCGCCCTGTGCTTGACAAGTGAACAGTTTATCAATGTACCATGGTGCCAACTGGGAAGGTGGCTTCGGGAGGGTAGATAAGGGGCAAAACAACACCTGGACCCATGCAGGGAATAGTGGGCCAACATCCGAATTTATACCGTTTTTAAGCTTAATTTAGACCAAAAATGACTTTTCAACGCGAAGTCCGCAACAAATTTGGAAAACGGATTCGGAATCAGCAAAAAAAATTCTGAACAAGATAGGCTTGGTCCCATTCCAAAACGCCAGCCTGAGTAAAAACACTTTACAGTTAGAGTTGTTCATTGAATTTCATGGGAGTTGGTTACGTTTTTTAAAGTGCACGTTCAGGGGAGGGGCCGGGTACTCGTCCCAACGTGTACACCCTATGGACGTAGGGACCGCGCGCACTGCCTGCCCGTGCTGTGACAGGCCATTCAACTCCTTTGCGGCCTGGGGCGCCCCTCGCCTCCACGCCAGGTTGTAGCTGTGGCTGACTGGTGCGCCTCCCGAGCGGGGGGCCCAGGTTCGAACCCGGCCGCGGCAAAAATCTTTGCTTTTTTCCAAAAAAAAAACGTCCCTGAACGTGCCCTTTAATGTTGTAGGTCTATCACACTATGAAAACGGCCAAAGAAAAGCCTCAAAAATTCCGGTTTAAATTTGTTTAATGCATGATTTCTTAAGTTTATTTATTTATTGTATTTTCATTTATATTTTAGCAAGCATTTTGAGTTCCATAAATCTAAAACCGGAAAATTACGCGAAAGCAAAAGCAGGGCGTAATCAATTCCCTGATTAGCTTCATTTCGTTCCCTACTTCGTTTACTAAAAGTGCAAAATTTATTGCCATTTCCACTCTTATTTCCGTATTTCCGTCGATTTACTGGTGACGCTGATCGTCACTCGTCTCCTCGAATTCTTTTCCCATTTTGTCAGAGTTTGGCGCTTCGTTAGTAGAACTTTGACGGCGGTTCGGACCTGAAAATCCCCTGAGGATCGAGTTATATTTTTGAAAAAAAGGTTTTCAAACTTCAAACTGAACAAAATTCAATTACAGTAATTTACTACTTTACCTTTTCATTAAACGCTATCAATATCGTCGGGTTTGCAGCTATTGCCGCTGCCGAGTTTCCATGCATCCAGATCGTCATTCCGAGATTTCCGGGGAACCACTTGGGGATGAAGAAAAAGGAGAAGGAGGAGCCCCAGGAGAAGACACACACCATCAGACATTGCATCGTCTGAAAGGCTTGGTTTAAAGGGGCTGGTAAATGCGAAAATCGACCCCTTCGTGGACTAGGTCTCGACACTTAAACCAAGGGGGAATCAGCATAAAAACACGGACTCGTCGGGACGCAGTAGGGTGACCGGTTAGATTTTCCCCGGGTTGAATCTGATCGGACCGCCTCTTTAAAGAGGCCAAGAAGTGTTAAAGTCTGCCCTTCCTTCGATGGCTAAGTTTTTTAGCATCTCATAGTCCCTTAAAGGCACGAATAAGGTATCACATACCAAAGAGTACTCCTTTGCCGCTCTATGCTTCATGTAGCGTAGCCTCAATAGTATGCAGGCATAGAGAAACATCATTGATAAGGGGACGATTTGGCCTAGAAGTATCATTTTTAGTAAGTCACAAGTGAGGGAGTGATTCAGTGAGCAATAGAGAGGGGAGATAGAGGCAGAGAGGGTCGAGCGGGCGAGAGAGGGAGAGAAAGAGCGAGAGAGAGCGAGAGAGAGATAGCCACCTGCATAAACATATGTTTGCTCGGCCCCTCCACATTTCGAGCAGCTAAACGTGAAGCCGAATATCCGAGGGCTATATATCTTGAAACATCCAAGAAATGAGGGTATAAGCATTAACGCAATGCCATAAGCCCAGGCAACCACATGGAGTAGACGCTAAAATTTTTTCTGTCGGTAAACCTTAAATTTACATTAAGTTGTATCCAGCACGACCATGACCACTAATAAAATAAATCAAATTACATACCGTAATCGTTTTTACAGTATAATCCCTGCAATTAGTGCAGAATAACAAAAAACGGTTCATAGCTGTGGCAAGTAGGAAAGCTTGCGTTAAATAGTAGGTAAAGGTATTAAGCCCGGCTAGAGACTTCATTACTGATATATCCTCCAAGAAGTCGAAGGAGTTCAGGATGACTGAAAATGGAGGATTAGCTTTCTCGCCGGCTCTCTCTTTCTCTCTCTCGCTCCCTCTCTATCTCTCTCCCTCTCTCTGTCGCTTTCTATCACACTCTCTATATCTTTCTCTTTCTCTCTCTCTCGCTCTTTCTCTCTCTCGCTCTCGCTACTTTTTATCTTGCTCTCGCCTTCTCTTTCTCTCTCTCTCTCTCTCTCTCTCTCTCTCTCTCTCTCTTAATCTCTTTCTCTGTCTCTATCTCTCGCTCTCGCTCTCGCTCTCTCACTCATACCCGGAATTCCGGCTACAAAATTAGCAAATAAGTAAAGTATCCCCATGAGAGCCATTGAAAGAGAAATCGGGTAGACGTCCATTTTTAGGAATATGCCTTGGTTGATGAGAATAGTCAAAACCAGTGTGAAATTGGCCAAAACCCCGAATAAACTGCAGGCAAAGACGAAGGCGGCAAATGCAATCCGCCATTCATCTGTGATTTTCATGTACGGTAGAAAGGGGCAAGCCTCTGAAGTGCGGAGGATCGGCGTGTCGATGATGGACGTCATCTAAAAAAATTCCAGGTTTCGAAAGATGCGAGAGAGTGAGAGAGAGAGAGCGAGAGCGAGAGAGATAGAGCGAGAGAGTGAGAGGGCGAGAGAGGGAGAGGAGAGAGAGAGAGAGAGAGAGAGAGAGAGATAGAGAGAGAGGGAGAGAGACTGCAAGAGAGAGGCGTGTCGGTGGTGAAACCTAGAAAGATCGGGCAAACATTTTGGATGGGTTAAAAAAGCGGGAATTAAAGCGCGAAGAGACGGTCAAATGACATTTTTCAGTTCGTCAACCCATTTTAACTGCAATTCCCTGCTGCTTCAAAATTCCCACTACAATCAGGCATCCAAGTACGCTCTAGCATTTTATCCCCGGCCATATAAACAGCCCTGCAAAAATCCCACCTCGCAAAGCCAAAAATCATCTCACGAACTTGTTGAAAAGCTGCCGAATTGTAAGCTTTTTTCCCACAGAACTACCGCAACGTTGCAGGGGAGCCACGTGGCAAGACGTAAATAGGGCTTTTGCAGCCCTAGGGTGGCATAGTCCATTCTCATGGAAAGGCAGAAAAAATCGAGCCAATCTGCGAACCGATTAAAAAAACCAGACCAATCCATAAAAATACCATTAAAAATCCTGACATCATGCTTTACAAGGTGTTCCAAAAAAAAACGAACCATCTGGCATTTCGCCGTGTTACATCCAATCGGCCCAAAATTTGGATCAGAGGTGTATCAGACTCTAAATAACAACAATCCTGACTTACAGCCCCATAGCTACAGTAGTTTCAAGTTATAACGAAAATACTGTTTTTCCCGGAATTCTGAACAGTTTTATCGGCTAGATTTTTGGACTTTGCATCGATTTGCATCGACTTCCGGCTCCGAATCCCTAATTTCGCTTAAGAACTTGGGTAATTTTGAGTTATAACAGTTGACTGTGCGCCGACATCGTGCCAGCGGATACTTGTATCACTCGTCCGCCCGTCGACTGCTTGTGTGGTCTTCCGAAGGCTATCGCCAGGATCGGCAACGCGGATGCGTAGGCCCCAACAAATAGCGTGAATAGCGGCGCGTGCATCCACGCGTAGCGCTCACCTTGGCCGTAGGCGAACAGGAAGTAGGTCTAGGATGGGTTTCTTGCAAAATGTCCAGATCATAAGTCGAGATTCGCACTGTCGAAATGTCATAATGTCGAAATTTAGATAAGCTAATTTTCCCCGAAAACCTCCCCTCAGGTCCTCGGGTCCACCCAAAATCCGGTTGTATTCCACCTGGATTTGGGGTGGAACGCATGGAAATCGACTGGATTTCTGGTGGACGCACAGGAAATCGAGTGGAAACACGACGCAACGCGTGCCGCACGCGATGCGGCAAGTGGAAATCGAGTGGAAAACGGGCGGACCCGGTCGATTTCCACGTGGCATCCGGTCGCGTCGGCTACTGGAATTCCGATCGATTTCGCGAGCAGATGCCGACCGGATTTCGGGTGGACCCGAGGACCTGAGCTGAGGCCAATGCAAAAAAATGTCGATTTTCTGAATTCGACATTATGAAATTTCGGCATTCAGAAATTTCGACAATATGAGTTTTCGATACCATGATAGCAAATCAACAAGAACAGTCAAAACTCACAAAAATCAGGCATAGACTGCCAATCATTATGACAAATATCGAGACTCGGACCAAAACGACTCGGACCTCTTTTCGAGATTCTCGGCGCTGGTGCAGGGTGAAGGCTAAAAAGCAGCTTAAGTGCAGTTTACCGCCCCCCAGCCCACACCCACCTAGCGTATCTCGGCTCCCTGTTCATCTACAGGTGTGTAAAGTATATCAAAATGTTCATCTTGCTCTGGCGAGTATTTTGGTATATTTTACACACCTGTAGATGAACAGGGAGCCGAGATACAAAAGGTGTGGGCCGGCCGGGGGGGTAAACTGCACTCTAACCTAAAAAGCGCGGGTCAAAGAGATGATCGTAGCGTAACCTACCTGCCCATAGATGTAATATTACGTATAGCATCCCGCTCAGGAAATTCACGCCAATCGCGCAAAAGATGACGTAGTAGGGCCGCTAAAAAATGTTAGTTACATTATTTTGGCCTAAATTCCAACTTCTAGTATATTTTTTCCTGCTCTATCAAATGGCGTCTTTAAAATATCGAAACTCAATAGCTAAAATATCAACTACAGAATTTTAAGCCAATTTTCAATGATGGTTTTTTTGCTATAACCGTTTAATATTACATCATTTTCGGCTGTAATTAAGAATTGTTACACATCTTTTCATGCTCTATCGAATGCCGTAAAAGAAACTCGGAAAACTATCAGAATTTGGTACATTGGACTGGTCAAGGTACGATAGACAACCTACCAGCCACGCCATCTTCTCGCTCAACTCGAACGCCTTCATGATGGCCCAGACGTAGGGCAGGCAGGGGACGAGATAGCCAGGCAACCAGATGTACAGAAAAGGGCGGGGGAGCACCTAAAAATTGTTATAAGCTGATTGCAGGGTTTGTCGAAATTCTGAGGGTAAAAGCATGAAAAACCATTCATTTGTTCCTTTCATCAGAATCCGTTTTTTTGTAAAGTATGGAGATTTTCTTTGGAAAAGTCTTTAGGGTGCGTAGGAACGTAATAAATGGTAGCATAAAGAGTTTTTTACAATATCATCACATTTTAGATTGAAAATTACCGAAAATTTTTGACAAAATCTGAAACTGAAAGTTTTGCGCAAAAAGCGTTTTGAATCGAAAAACGTGACTTTTTGCAACTTCCACAAACAATTAATTAATTTTTTAATTTTTAAAATTCAGTTTTGGCACTTAGAAGTCACAAAAAATTGTATATGTATTCTTTTAAACAAAAATTTTTTGCAAGAAATCGATATATTGGTCGCAATCGGAAATTTTTCGGCGAAAAATCCATATTTTTGCATTTTCAAATAAACCTTGTTTTTGGGCTCAGGAATGGCACTGCAAAAAACATTTTAGACAGATTTTTCTAGTTTTATTAGAAAAATATCGCTGGGACAGTAAAAACCGACTTGTGCCGTCTGACGTCGTCTGATGATGCCCAGCGTCCGGAAGCAGGTCCACACCGTGGCCGCAAACGTACACGCGGATACCAAGTACAGGCAAGTGCACATTGCAAACAGGGCGGGTAATGGCGAGGCGGTGATGAACCGCTAGAAAACGCGGTTCAATTTTTTTGCAGGTAATCATCACTCACGATCCAGTTCAGTGCCAGCCCTCCGCCGGAAAAGAAAAATATTGGGTTCAAGATGATCAGGTCGACAATGAGGACGATGCTGCACTACAATGTTGCGGAAATTGCGATCGTATGGGGCTATAACTTACGGATAGCAACATGAAGACGAGGATCGGGATCTGGATATGGCCGCGGTACTTTTTCGCGAAAAGAAACTGGTACATGTGACAGAAGTGATGACCGAGGACGACCATCATTAGCGATGACTCGATGGCGAACACGATTTCGGCGAACATTGTATGCTGAAGATGATGAATTGATTATGTTTTGAAGTAGATCGCTTTTTTGCGTGGAAATTAACAAAAACGAAACGCGTAGAAATTCAACTTTTAAAGGAGAAAAAGCCCGCCCAGCTTAAAAAAAACCATGCCCGCGCTGAAACCCACTTCCTGGTGGTGTTTGAAAAATCAGCGGATTGCACTCGTTTTTACTATCACATACATATACCTATCGATACCAATATCTAAAACGCTAAAATCGCGACATCAATTCGCAGTAACCTGCCAATAACTTCAACATGCCGTTTTGCTGTTGACTAGGACTTGGCAATCAGCCTAGGGTTCAGAATCTGCTGTGATTTGGGTTGGCGTGGGTTTGGCTGTCGGGATTTTAGATGTCGGATATTGGCTGTCGGGATTATGGTTGTCGGGGTGCTAGCTTGTCGGGACTTTGGCTGTTGTGATCTTAACTGTCGAATTTGGGCTGTGGTTTTTAGCTGTCAGGATTTTGCCTGTCGGAATTATTGCCCGGAATTCCTTACTATAATGGAAGACACCAGCCGCCAAATGGCAGCCAGGGGCCTTCGAGGAGCAAACTAAAAAAACTGCGTCGAGCGCTACGAAAGACGCCTACTGACGCTACCAGATCCGCTCCAAAATCACGCGGTTTCAGCAGCGCAATCTTATCATGCTTCAAAAAATTAATGAGCCTGATGGCTGCAATTATATAAAGTTTGCGGATACAGTTTGTACGATTTCCGGTGGGCGAGGCAACGCGGAATGTCGCTAGAAAAAGTGAGCGCTGTAGCTTCAACCCGTTAATTAGGCTGAAGCTGACCATTAGCCAGAAATTCGAGAAGTGAAATTGGGATTGAGCGAGAGGGCGTTCGATAAAATCCCGAGGACACGAAGGTTTCGCTATTCAGAAGTCAGAGCTCGAGTCACCCGGCGCACAGCACCCGTCGACTGTTGTTATGAGTGAAAACATTCAGTCTCAAGGGAGTCGGCCGGTGGACTTGTTGAACCTCATCTACGGTAAATGTAAGGTCGTTTACTCCTGGTACTTTTCTTTTTCGCCTCGGACGTCTGCGCCATAGAATGCGGAAGCGAGTCGATTGCAAAAATCCAGAAAAATTAGGCGAGTAAATTTTATTATGAAATTAATCTAATAAACATAGGATTTCGAAGAGGCAGGAGAGAGAGCGAAAGAGTGAGAGAGAGAGAGAGAGAGAAAGAGAGAGAGAGACAGAGAGAGAGAGAAAGAGAGAGAGATATTAGAGAGAGCTGGCGAGAGAGGGCGAGGGAGAGAGGGCGAGAGAAAGTGTTAGTGAGTGAGCGGGTGAGAGGGAGGGAGGAGGAGAGAGAGGGCGAGAGCGAGGGAGAGAGGGAGAGAGAGAGAGACGATTTTTGTTGCCTTGCAGTGTTCACCAGACCAAACTCCTAGATGGTATTTTTGCCCGTCTACTGGAGCGCATCGTACCCAAGATCGCAATACGCCGGTTTCTTAAAAAACGCTTCAAAACACCCAAATTCGAATCAGCGTCTATTGTTGTGAAGCGGAGCGGGGGCGGCAGAAAATAGTGAGACAAAGCTTACGAACCCCCAGGAGACGTGCATAATATGGGTTTAGAAATCGTTGTGTACCTGTAAAATATCTCTTCCAACCTCTTTTCTGACACTCTCGCCTGCTCTCTATCTCTCTCTCTCGCGCTCTCTCTCTCTGTTTCTCTCCCTCTCCCTCTGACTCTCTATCACAGACACGCCTTCTCTCTATGTCTCTCTTTTCTCTTCATCTCGCTTTCTCTCTCTCTCTCTCTCTCTCTCTATCGCTCTCGCGCTCTCTCGCTCTCTGTCAAATATCGTTCAGCTAAAAGCCGATGAAAACACAGTTGAAACCTCCACGAACTACAATAGAACAGGAGTAAAAAAAGGAAATGGCACCTAGGGGTAGGCACCAAAACAAAGCGCAAAATTAACATCAATTGTTGGTATATAGTCCTGATTAAGATTCACGGTCGATTCCCTAGGGATACCTAAGCCAGGCAACTTTATCAAGTAAACCGCCAGAGTAGTTTCCTTTTAGAATTTTAGAATATACCCGAAAACTGTTTGGGCTGGACTGCGTTAATTTTGCCCTACCGCCCAATTATTTCGAGCAAAAAAGCGTGTAGTGTTCAAAAATTGAGAAGAACGAGATGAGTTGGACAAATTAGGTCCTAAGCGCTTCCTGGCCGCCAATTTAAATTTCTATGCCAAAAATCGCATTGTGAAGTTTGGTGGGAATTGGAAATGACTAATTTGGATTCGCGAGTTAGCCGAGACTTCCAAGCTGCAAAAGCCTTTCAAGACAGAGTTGTTTTTCACGTTGATTTTTACAGCTGGGAAAGCTTGAGGAGCTGTTTTTGGGGCCGAGACTTATGCTTGAAAAGGCATCGTTTCGTCGCTTGAACAGACATTTTTCGAGAAGCTTTATTTATGAGAAATACGTTAACAAAGCCTTTTGCATGGCTTATGGTAGTCGTTGGGCGTCAAATTGGTGCCTTCTGTAAAAAAGGATTCTATCGTCCTCAAAGAAAAACCTACCAATGCCCGGTCTGCTTGCACTTGCAGGCCCCCTTGGCGCATTGGCAGGATTTGCCTTCCTCGCAGCCTAAACGATTTAACTGTAATTTTCAAAATTAAGGATTTGTGCCCACCAGCGACAAAAAAACGCATTGTTTGTATAAAAATCTATTAAGCGTGACTATAATTATTAAGTGTGATTATGAATGGCCCTACAAACATATAGCATTTTCCAAAAAATAATACCTACCGCAACACTCATTGCAGCGGCAGTTCTTGCACTTGCAGTCACCCTTCGCGCAGTGGCAAGGTTTGCCTTCCTCGCAGCCTAAAAATAAACCGTTCTCAAGAATGCTGTCGGCATAATTTTGGCTGAAATTTCAAAGAGTTAACGTTTAGACTTTAATTTATTAGAATTACTTACCACAGCACGCCTTGCAGCGGCAGTTCTTGCACTTGCAGCCTCCCTTCGCGCAATGGCAAGGCTTGCCTTCCTCGCATTCTAAAACCATTTATATCATTTTTAAGGTAGCATTCCTGGCTGCTTTGACTCGATTTATCTGTCGGAGGATAATCTTTAACAAATTCGGATCGGTGAACCTACTGCAGCACTCCTTGCAACGGCAGTTCTTGCACTTGCAGTCTCCCTTGGCGCAGTGGCATGGCGTGCCCTCCTCGCAGTCTGAAGTAAATCATGCATTTTGAAAATTATTATCTGTTTGAACTCATTTTTGGCAGAAGGCTACTTTGGAGGAATTTTTTTCACAAAACCTACTGCAGCACTCCTTGCAGCGGCAGTTCTTGCACTTGCAGTCACCCTTGGCGCAGTGGCACGGCTTGCCCTCCTCGCAGTCTAAAACTAAGCCGTTCTCAAGAATGCTGCAGGCATGATTTTGGATGAGGTTTCACGTCATGAGACTTAGATTATTCGAATTACTTACCGCAGCACTCCTTACAACGGCAGTTCTTGCACTTGCAGCCTCCCTTCGCGCAATGGCATGGCTTGCCTTCCTCGCAGTCTAAAGAAGTTGTACAATTATTAAGATAGCATTCTTGTCTGTCTTGACCAGATTTGTGTCAGAGAATACTCTTTAACAAATTCGGATCGGTCAACCTACGACAGCACTGCTTGCAGCGGCAGTTCTTGCACTTGCAGTCACCCTTGGCGCATTCGCAAGGCTTTCCTTCTTCGCATTCTAAAAGGAAGAAAAATTAAAGTGGCCCAGCTCCCTGTAAGTAATTTTAAGAAGATAAAGTACCGCAGCTGTTCTTGCACTGCTTGCAGTGACAGTCCAAGCACTTGCACTCGCCCTCGGCACAATGGCATGAGGTACCAGGGATGCATTCTAGAAAGAAAGCAAGATAAGCATAATAGGTACAGGAAGGGAGAACTTACCGCACTTGCTCATCTCGACGGTTCGTTGGTATGGTGTTGTGGAGTTTTAGCTAAATGAAGGCGTTTAATCCGGTTTAGATCTACGTAAATTTTGAAAACCTGTTATTAAAGGGGCTCCGAAATCTGGTCCGCGGCCCCCTGCTGTGATTCCTGGCAAATAGCCAGATGCGGCCGCAACGCGACCGCGCCGCATGATCCCTTGCCTCTGTTTGGACGCGAAAACGCTTGAATTTAAAAATTCTGATACCATTTTTGGAATCCTCAACGAATTTTGATCATTCCAGACTTTTAAATTATGAAAATTGACCAGAGAATCAGCGAAATCGAGAGATTGGGTGCCTTACACGGCAATACGACATGTAATCGCCGCGCACTCAAAATGTCGTTTTGCCCCAACAAGAATTCGGTTTTTCTCAAACATCTTACGTTTTTTCGCAATCAAATCACGTTTTTGGCAGTTCTCGGCAGTGACCCTTTCGTTTTTTGACCCCTGAAGTTCAATCCCCGCACGCACGAATTTTGACTTCTGAGCCCCTTTAAAAACAATAAAAAATTCAGATTCAAAACAATAATTGAGCAAACTCCGGTTCGACCGGAACTGCGAAGATAAATTTCTATGATTTGTTCGAGCATCAAAGGGGCAGAACGCGTTGCTGAAAACTGAATTCATAATCCCAAAACAAAATTAAGATTTTCAAAAAGTACGGCAGGTATCTTATAGAAGTCCCCCTTTACTCGTTAATACCATCTTCTACCACCAATTAGCGTACAAATAGGTATTATTATTTTTTTTCTCTAAACCGAAAAGTCCACAAAAATAGCATAACAGTTTTCGAGCCATACTATACTTGGAGAAATCTATTAAATTACAGTCAGAGCGTAGACGCTTGAACTGGGAATTTTTTTACATAATTTACCATCAGCCAACCCCAGTAGGTATTTTACAAGACCAAAAAAGTTAACAAACTAAAATTCGAAGTGAATATGAGATACAGTATACTTCAAGAACCTCATCACCGTCCTTAAATACTGCTTCACCCGGCTTATCACACGTTTTGAGGCCCTCCAAAACGAAGGCCTCAGCTCCGGGAAAAGGGCGGGCGGCCTGATAGCGGGCCTGTGCCTTTTCGACCCGACGCAAAACCGGGAGCCTCGTCGCGTTTATCAGTTTACCGACGACATTGGCAGAAAAGGAACACAGGGCCAGGCCCTAGTTTTTGGAGGGCCTGAAATTTGATAGGGCCGAAAACAAGGGCGCCGATCATTTGACCGTAGGCCCTGTTTGCGTGGCGACTGTACTCTCATTATTAAAATTTTTGGTGCTTCCCTGTTAGCGGGGGAGCAAGGCAAATTTTTCAATTGCGTATTTTTACTATTTTTTTTAGTAGTTTCCGAAAACTAAAACACTACAGAACTTTGGTAGGACATGCTCTAGACCTAAAGTTTTCTTCTTACTGTAAAGTGTTTTTACTCAGGCTGGCTTTTCAGAATGGGACCAAGCCTATCTTGTGCAGAATTTTTTGCTGATTCCGAATCTGATTTCCAAATTTGCTGCCGACCTTTATTTAAAAAGTTATTCGATATTTATACTAAAAAAAATGGACTAAATCTGGATTTTTTTGCGATATTTTTTAAGTTGGCGTCTCCTCCGACGTTAAAACTGGCTCGGTAACAGTTTTAGACGTCAAAGCGCGATTTTATGCAAAAATCATTTGTTTTTGTGCAAAATGCAAAAGAAGTTGTGCAGGGCGAGGTTCGAACCGCCGCCCTGTGCTTGACAAGTGAACAGTTTATCAATGTACCATGGTGCCAACTGGGAAGGTGGCTTCGGGAGGGGTAGATAAGGGGCAAAACAACACCTGGACCCATGCAGGGAATAGTGGGCCAACATCCGAATTTATACCGTTTTTAAGCTTAATTTAGACCAAAAATGACTTTTCAACGCGAAGTCCGCAACAAATTTGGAAAACGGATTCGGAATCAGCAAAAAAAATTCTGAACAAGATAGGCTTGGTCCCATTCCAAAACGCCAGCCTGAGTAAAAACACTTTACAGTTAGAGTTGTTCATTGAATTTCATGGGAGTTGGTTACGTTTTTTAAAGTGCACGTTCAGGGGAGGGGCCGGGTACTCGTCCCAACGTGTACACCCTATGGACGTAGGGACCGCGCGCACTGCCTGCCCGTGCTGTGACAGGCCATTCAACTCCTTTGCGGCCTGGGGCGCCCCTCGCCTCCACGCCAGGTTGTAGCTGTGGCTGACTGGTGCGCCTCCCGAGCGGGGGGCCCAGGTTCGAACCCGGCCGCGGCAAAAATCTTTGCTTTTTTCCAAAAAAAAAACGTCCCTGAACGTGCCCTTTAATGTTGTAGGTCTATCACACTATGAAAACGGCCAAAGAAAAGCCTCAAAAATTCCGGTTTAAATTTGTTTAATGCATGATTTCTTAAGTTTATTTATTTATTGTATTTTCATTTATATTTTAGCAAGCATTTTGAGTTCCATAAATCTAAAACCGGAAAATTACGCGAAAGCAAAAGCAGGGCGTAATCAATTCCCTGATTAGCTTCATTTCGTTCCCTACTTCGTTTACTAAAAGTGCAAAATTTATTGCCATTTCCACTCTTATTTCCGTATTTCCGTCGATTTACTGGTGACGCTGATCGTCACTCGTCTCCTCGAATTCTTTTCCCATTTTGTCAGAGTTTGGCGCTTCGTTAGTAGAACTTTGACGGCGGTTCGGACCTGAAAATCCCCTGAGGATCGAGTTATATTTTTTAAAAAAGGTTTTCAAACTTCAAACTGAACAAAATTCAATTACAGTAATTTACTACTTTACCTTTTCATTAAACGCTATCAATATCGTCGGGTTTGCAGCTATTGCCGCTGCCGAGTTTCCATGCATCCAGATCGTCATTCCGAGATTTCCGGGGAACCACTTGGGGATGAAGAAAAAGGAGAAGGAGGAGCCCCAGGAGAAGACACACACCATCAGACATTGCATCGTCTGAAAGGCTTGGTTTAAAGGGGCTGGTAAATGCGAAAATCGACCCCTTCGTGGACTAGGTCTCGACACTTAAACCAAGGGGGAATCAGCATAAAAACACGGACTCGTCGGGACGCAGTAGGGTGACCGGTTAGATTTTCCCCGGGTTGAATCTGATCGGACCGCCTCTTTAAAGAGGCCAAGAAGTGTTAAAGTCTGCCCTTCCTTCGATGGCTAAGTTTTTTAGCATCTCATAGTCCCTTAAAGGCACGAATAAGGTATCACATACCAAAGAGTACTCCTTTGCCGCTCTATGCTTCATGTAGCGTAGCCTCAATAGTATGCAGGCATAGAGAAACATCATTGATAAGGGGACGATTTGGCCTAGAAGTATCATTTTTAGTAAGTCACAAGTGAGGGAGTGATTCAGTGAGCAATAGAGAGGGGAGATAGAGGCAGAGAGGGTCGAGCGGGCGAGAGAGGGAGAGAAAGAGCGAGAGAGAGCGAGAGAGATAGCCACCTGCATAAACATATGTTTGCTCGGCCCCTCCACATTTCGAGCAGCTAAACGTGAAGCCGAATATCCGAGGGCTATATATCTTGAAACATCCAAGAAATGAGGGTATAAGCATTAACGCAATGCCATAAGCCCAGGCAACCACATGGAGTAGACGCTAAAATTTTTTCTGTCGGTAAACCTTAAATTTACATTAAGTTGTATCCAGCACGACCATGACCACTAATAAAATAAATCAAATTACATACCGTAATCGTTTTTACAGTATAATCCCTGCAATTAGTGCAGAATAACAAAAAACGGTTCATAGCTGTGGCAAGTAGGAAAGCTTGCGTTAAATAGTAGGTAAAGGTATTAAGCCCGGCTAGAGACTTCATTACTGATATATCCTCCAAGAAGTCGAAGGAGTTCAGGATGACTGAAAATGGAGGATTAGCTTTCTCGCCGGCTCTCTCTTTCTCTCTCTCGCTCCCTCTCTATCTCTCTCCCTCTCTCTGTCGCTTTCTATCACACTCTCTATATCTTTCTCTTTCTCTCTCTCTCGCTCTTTCTCTCTCTCGCTCTCGCTACTTTTTATCTTGCTCTCGCCTTCTCTTTCTACTCTCTCTCTCTCTCTCTCTCTCTCTCTCTCTCTCTTAATCTCTTTCTCTGTCTCTATCTCTCGCTCTCGCTCTCGCTCTCTCACTCATACCCGGAATTCCGGCTACAAAATTAGCAAATAAGTAAAGTATCCCCATGAGAGCCATTGAAAGAGAAATCGGGTAGACGTCCATTTTTAGGAATATGCCTTGGTTGATGAGAATAGTCAAAACCAGTGTGAAATTGGCCAAAACCCCGAATAAACTGCAGGCAAAGACGAAGGCGGCAAATGCAATCCGCCATTCATCTGTGATTTTCATGTACGGTAGAAAGGGGCAAGCCTCTGAAGTGCGGAGGATCGGCGTGTCGATGATGGACGTCATCTAAAAAAATTCCAGGTTTCGAAAGATGCGAGAGAGTGAGAGAGAGAGAGCGAGAGCGAGAGAGATAGAGCGAGAGAGTGAGAGGGCGAGAGAGGGAGAGAGAGAGAGAGAGAGAGAGATAGAGAGAGAGGGAGAGAGACTGCAAGAGAGAGGCGTGTCGGTGGTGAAACCTAGAAAGATCGGGCAAACATTTTGGATGGGTTAAAAAAGCGGGAATTAAAGCGCGAAGAGACGGTCAAATGACATTTTTCAGTTCGTCAACCCATTTTAACTGCAATTCCCTGCTGCTTCAAAATTCCCACTACAATCAGGCATCCAAGTACGCTCTAGCATTTTATCCCCGGCCATATAAACAGCCCTGCAAAAAATCCCACCTCGCAAAGCCAAAAATCATCTCACGAACTTGTTGAAAAGCTGCCGAATTGTAAGCTTTTTTCCCACAGAACTACCGCAACGTTGCAGGGGGAGCCACGTGGCAAGACGTAAATAGGGCTTTGCAGCCCTAGGGTGGCATAGTCCATTCTCATGGAAAGGCAGAAAAAAATCGAGCCAATCTGCGAACCGATTAAAAAAACCAGACCAATCCATAAAAATACCATTAAAAATCCTGACATCATGCTTTACAAGGTGTTCCAAAAAAAAACGAACCATCTGGCATTTCGCCGTGTTACATCCAATCGGCCCAAAATTTGGATCAGAGGTGTATCAGACTCTAAATAACAACAATCCTGACTTACAGCCCCATAGCTACAGTAGTTTCAAGTTATAACGAAAATACTGTTTTTCCCGGAATTCTGAACAGTTTTATCGGCTAGATTTTTGGACTTTGCATCGATTTGCATCGACTTCCGGCTCCGAATCCCTAATTTCGCTTAAGAACTTGGGTAATTTTGAGTTATAAAAACGCTTAAATCGAAGCTTATTTAACCCATTTTACTCCGGAAAAAATTTCTTCAGGTAAAGAAGGCCTACCGGATCATTTTCACTTAATGTTTAAGGGGGTCTAATTCCACGAAAACCCTGTGAAAAATGGAAAATAAAGTTTGTGTTTGCCATAACTGCAGAACTACTATAGCTACCGGGCTATAAGTCAGGATTGTTGTTATTCAGGGTCTGATACACCTCTGGTCCAAATTTGGGACCGGTTGGATGTAACATGGCGAAATGCCAGATGGTTGGATTTTTTTGGGACACCCTGTATGGTCATGGAGGTATATAAATTGAAGAACCAGACTAATAAACGTCAATTCATGCGTAAAATGCGTTGCTGCTCCAGCTTGTCCAAGGATCCCAGATAGATATAATTGCTCCCTCCCGTCGAAGCTATCCAAAATAACACGCATGAATTGGTTTCCAATTCGTCATTTGTTAAATTATTTATTTCTAACAATAAATACAGAACCGTTTCGCTCCCTATCAACCATCGATTTGATGGCAATTGCTGAGATTGTGTTCTTGCGGGCGTGTTCCCATTTGGTGAGCAGCTTCCGCTCCATCACCAACACCTTTACAGCGGTTCGGATCTGAAAACAATAAAATTGGCATGAGAATTAGAATGGTTTTTTGAAAAGTAAAGGGACAAGCAAGGTATGGCTATGGATTTTTGGTTGTGGACTCCATTTGGGTTTTGTTGCGCCGCGACACGCAATGCAGCTGCTAACCTTTTGATTGCGTAATTGAATAAATCCTCTACTGGTTAGGCGAGCTGCTTGCGTTTCGTGTAGCGCGCCCTTCAAAATTATAGCATAGTCTGGTTACCAGTTTTTCGGCCAATTTTGCAGCGCCGCGACACGCAACGCGTGCGGCGCGTGTGCGTTGCCCGTCGCGGCAAGGAGAAGATCGAGGCACCATCGCTAACAGGTCAAAATTCTGCCCAGTGTGTTTCCCGAGCCGCGACACAAATTGTAATCTGTTAAAATTCAAAGAAAAATCAATACGAAATTCCTGGCCAAAAAATCCGCCCATACCTTGCCGGTCCCTTTAAAAGCACAGACAGAAATATTTTAAGCGACACCTCAAAGAAAGCACCACCATCACTCGGCCAATTCCAAACACATTGAACGCACCATAGCAAGCTGTGCACGTGCCTCGGTCTTCACCTTTTCGTTGAAGGCGATCAGAATCGTCGGGTTGGCAGCCATTGCCGCACATGAGACCCCTCCCATCACGATCGTCATCCCGAAATTCCCGGGAAACCATTTGGGGAGGAAGAAAAAGCAGAATGAGGAGGCCCACGAGAAGATGCAGATCATTAGGCATTGCATCGTCTGGAAAGAGCGAGTTAACGGGGTTGGAAAGTCTCAAAATTGGCCGTCCCCGACTAGGTCGCGAAAGCTACGCTACACTTCCAAGCACACCGGAATTTCAGCGTAATGCGAATCTAATAGGTTTCGGAAAGCCTTAAAGCGCACGTTCAGGGAGGGGCCGTGTACTCGTCCCAACGTGTACACCCTATGGACGTAGGGACCGCGCGCACGGCCTGCCCGTGCTGTGACAGGCCATTCCCCTCCTTTGCAGCGTGGGACGCCCCCCCGCCCCCTCGCCAGGTTGTAGCTGTGGCTGACTGGTATCCATCCGCGCCTCCCAAGCGGGGGGGTCCGGGTTCGACCCCCGGCCGCGGCGAAAATCTTTGCTTTTTGTCCAAAAAAACGTCCCGGAACGAGCCCTTTAAATCCACTGGGCGCAATTCTCGACCGCTGCGCGGCCGGCACGCGGGTTTTTTTAGCGTAAGGCGACCATTAAAGGGTTCGAGAAGCTAAAGTATCTACCGCCCCGGTCAACTGGGTCTCGACAGCTATGCAGAGCTTCAAATGCCCAATTCTCAACGCCGCTTTGACGAAGAAAAGGTACTTTGCGTGAGACGGCGCGGCCCATACGCAGCATACGGAACGGCGAATTTTGAGTTGCTTCGTGTCATTAAAGGGAAGGGTGCAACAGATACTACCGTAACTAAAACTACAGCTAATTCATCATGGTTTGGAGTTTTCAGATTACAATGAGAAGAACTGTTTTCGAACGCTTTTTAGCTTATAGTTTAGATCACCAACTCACCAATGAATATTCCCTTGCGGCCTTGTGCTTCATGTACCGCAGCCGTAAAAGTATGCACGCGTACAGGATCAGCATCGAAAACGGGACGACCTGGCCTTAAAAAAATATTGATTCTTTCTGGTCCCGATGTCCATATTTCTGCTTCGCCCCCAATTTTTCTTCGTTTTTAGAGCAAAAATTACTCTCGTACCACTTGGCCTGACATACGAAAGAACTCCACAATTTCTGGTGAACGATTAAATAAAACTCGTTGATGGTTAGAGATCATAGAATATTTTACGGCTGATCAAATTTTTTCGGGAGTGAGCGAGATGGAGAGAGAGATAGAGAGAGAGAGAGAAAGCGAGAGTGAGAGAGTGAGAGCGGGAGAGAGTGGAGAGAGAGATAGAGAGAGAGAGAGAAAGCGAGAGAGAGATAGAGAGAGAGAGAGAGAGAGAGAGAGAGAGAGAGAGAGAGAGAGAGAGAGAAGCTGGCCGAACAGCGAATGATGTCTTATGAAAGGTGATGTATGAAAATCGTAGGGAGAACGTTTTACCTCCTACGAAAAATATGAATGAGGAAATCTATATTTATCGAATTAAATTTAAGCAAAAAAACCGGGCAATCGAAAATAGCGAGGCAAATCAGTAAAATCATTTTAGAAGGGTTTTCTGCCTTCCGGCCCTTGTATACGACTTCGGTACGCGACTTGTAAGCGCTTGATATGACTTGATTTCGCTATTTTCGCACACGTACTCTCTCGAACCCACCCGCATAAACATAGGTATTCTCGGCCCCTCCACACTGCGAGCAGCTGAACGTGAAGCCGATAATTCGGGGGCTGTAAATCTTGAAGCATCCCAGATATGAAGGTATTAACGTCAGCGCAAAGCCATAAATCCAGGCGGCCAGGTGCAGGGAGCGCTAAAATTATTCGTGGATGGCGTTTAATATCCGGTTTTTAACGCTGTAAAAGTACTTTTGAACGTTCGCACGTAGAACGCGAAAATTTAGGTAGACATACGTGCTATTGAAAAAACGCAGAATCGCCCTATATCACGAAAAACCTACCGTAACCACTTTCACGGTATGGTCCTTGCATCGAGAGCAAAAGAGCAGAAATCTGTTGATGGCAATGATAAGGAGAAAGGCTTGTTCGAGGTAATAAGTGAAGGTATTGACGGCGGCGAGCGATTTCATCAGGTTGATGTCTTCCAAGAACTCGAAGGAGTTTAGGATCACTGAACAGTAGCTGTTAAAACGTGAAAACTCAACATAATTTTTGGAAAAGATTTTCCAGTCGATTTTCCACTTTTTAGCGACTCACCAGGTATAGCCACCACAAAATTGGCCAATAAATACAGTATGCCGATGAATGACATTGATAGCGTAATTGGATAGACGTCTAATCGAAGGAATAATCGATGATTGGCAAGAATAGTTAGCAGAAGTGAGAGATTGGCAAAAACGCCGAATACACTGAAGGTGAAGAGGAAGGCGGCGAAGGCTATTCGCCATTCATCAGAGACTTTCGTGTACGGTATAAATGGGCACGCGTCTGAGGTGCGGAGTATTGGCGCAGCTAGTATTGACGTCATCTGGAAAGTCGCGGAATTTGTTTTGTTGATAAACTCCTAAAAACGATATAAAAAATGACAGAGATGATTAACGCTTGTATAACCTAGAATTTTTTATAAAAATTGTTTAAGAAAAATCTAACCTTTCCAACTAACTGAAACAAAGTGCAAATTTTCCAAGAATTAAGTGAGCACGAGAAAGAGAATGAAATCAGATTAGGCGAAAATAAAGCAATCTAGCAGAGATTTTTGAGGAAACGAGGATTTGTTCCGGAAGAAGACGCCGTCATATGCTAATCAAGGCAAACTAGCAGAGAACTTTGAGGAGAGAAAGTTACTTTAAATATAAAAAACTGCCTGTTTCAGGGCAAGCTAGCAAAAATTCTGAGGAAGTACGTGACGTTGCGTACGAAATACACCTAAAGACGGACGGGCAAGTTAGCAGAGGCCTGTAGGGAAAGAAAGTCTATCCAGCTGGGGCAAACTAGAAAGGTTTTTTAGGAACGCCGGAGATCCCAATATCAAGGGAAGGCCCTTGGGATTGTAAAAATAAGGGTACAAAAGTTTACAAAAACCATTCAAGAACGCCTTGTCGTGTCGTCCCAACCGGAAACGCGTCCGACAAACGTGAGATGGTGTAAATTCAGGGAGCCCTTTTTTAGGCATCTTCATAACGTGGGAGCTTGGTCTTTTGTGCTGCAAATTTTGTGTTTCCCTGCTCGATTTGTGACCTTGTAATCTTTCGGGCCGGAAGGTAGAAAAATCTACTGCGTTGCATAGAATTTTCGATAAAAATCTGCTCTCAGGATCGAAGGTCGAAAAAGTAGACGGAATTTGTATTTTCACATATTTTGCGATAAATACTACTCGAAAATTGAGATGAATAAGTCGTTGATTGGCGCTAAACGATACAAACCAAAAAGTTCGGGTATTCACAAATTATAATAATTACTACTCCTCAGGAATTGGATGAATAGGCTCTTAATTTTTCATCGATTTCTTTAACTTGAAGCGGGAAGCGAGAGATACGGACCGACGCAAAAACAAAATTACGAGGAGGACAGTCATTCCCAAGGGGGATCTGGATGTCGCAGTCACGAGGAAGTCTAATATCGAACTAATTATAAAAAACTGCCCACTCTAAAGGAAGTAGGCTCGGGTAGGAAGAGTGCGATCTCTCGGACGTAATTCTTCTTAAATTTTATACAAAAATTCAGAATCTCAAAGGTTAAACCGAGGACCGCCGTATCTAGTATGTGTCGTAGTCTCCCACGATCGCTTAAATACACAGTAATACAAAAAGAAAAATGTAAGAAAAATTTCATGGTGGCTACGTGAGAGCTGGAAGAGCTGCACCGCTTTTCGAGGTAAAAAACGTCTGCTTAAATACGAAATTGAAAAATGATGGTCAATACATGCAAAAAAAATTCATTATGACCATAAAAAGTAGCATTTTCACATGCTTCTATTACTGTTATAGAGTGTGTTCTAAAATACTGATCAACATAGATTTAAGAAAAATCATAGTCGGAGGTTTTTCGTAAATTTTAAGTCTGAGACAAACTGGCTAAATATTTTTAAGAAACGTATCCAGACGTAGCTAGTAGTTCCCGTTTTCGGGTGTAATTGGAGGCATCTTGAGGTATCTCGTTACCTTGTATCTTGATGAAGTAAAAACCAGTCATTGCACTTCAGCTCCGAAAAGCTATTCCTGTCTCGCCGGGCCTTTATATACCCGCCAATTCTAGCGCGGAAACGGTCCGACTAGACACTTCCGGAATCACCACGTCGACGTCCGGAAAAATGATTAAACTTGGGGGTCCCCGAACTTCCCGGTAGCGCATGAAAAATGCGGAAAATTGGCTGGGGTGAGTCGACTCGGTGTGTCGTTGCCAACCGGGGGGCCGACAGATCCAATTTACTGCTCATTTTTTGGCTCTTGACACAGATTAATTTATTCCGCGACACTCCCCGCCTCCGTTAACGCTGTTTTGGGAGTTCAGGGCCTCTGGATAATGGGATTTTGGGCTCAAAATTCAATGTAAAAACTGTGAAAATTGATAGTAGCGTTACAAAATTTAGTCATTATCAAATTTTTGAAAAAAGCGAAGATCCCGAAGCCAGAATCCCGACAGCCAAAATCCCGAAGCCAAAATCACGACAGCCAGAAACCCCAGATTTTGAACCATTTATGGGTAAAATGACCGTAACAATCAGATTTTGGCTGTCGGCATTTTAGCTGTCGGGATTCTAGTTGTCGGGATTTTGGCTGCCAGGATTATGGCTAGAATTCGAAAATTCGACATCACGAATTTTGAAATCTTGTTAGCAATTTGCTGCCAAATGAAATAAAAGCAATAAAATTGTAGGTTAAAAATCGTTGCGTTTAAAAGGTAGAACAACCATATTCCATTGCGTAATGAATTCAAATAAATTTTCGCTTTTTTTGAATTGTCCACCCCGCTTTGGGGTGTGCGCCGTTCCCGCCAGTAAGTGCAATGCCGGGACGACGCTGTTTGGCGAGAAGCAAGCTTCTGCTAACCGAACCATTTCCAAAAATATGTTAATCTCTTGGTATACAATTAGTATACGTATCGGAGATTAAGCCGATAAGAACATTTACTAAACAATTGATCATAGCCAGAGGCCAGAAGCGATAATTTTGGAGGGCAGGTATGGGAAATCGGGACGCGTAGTGGGCCAGGTGGGTGGCTAGTGGAGACGAGACGTGGACGAGCGGATCGGACGCAGGGAAAGCTTGCAGACGGGGGTCCACCGACACCTTCTGGGATATCCTTGGTTTTCCTTGGGAAAATATGATCCGTAAAACGGCAGGAAGTAAAACGGGTGAAGCATGCATACTACAACTAGACCATTATAGGAATGTGGTCTGCGTGGGTAAACAGACTGGACGGCGCTACATCAAATTCCCTATAACAGTTTGTATTAAACAATATTTCGTATTCAATTGTATGTATTAAATTTTGTATGTATTTCTTTATTATATTTCGTGTTTTACCTTTTCCTGGAATCCACAAATTTTCTGGGGACACCAGTAGGCGCCAATTAGTGGCTGTCTTCGATCAGGTGCTTCCCATTTCTCAGCCCAGTGCTTGTATTGCATTTAACGATTAGTGATCCACATTAATTTACCTTATCAAACCGAATGAATCGCCTGCGGATATGCGGCAGACATCTGCTCGTTCCTCCTAGCCGTTCCGACGCGCTCCCCACCTGGCCCATTATCCCTACTCATATCCCCTCCTTCCCCCCCGTACTATCGCTTCTGGCCTTTGGCTATGATCAATTGTTTAGTAAATGTTCTTATCGGCTTAATCTCCGATACGTATACTAATTGTATACCAAGAGATTAACATATTTTTGGAAATGGTTCGGTTAGCAGAAGCTTGCTTCTCGCCGGACAGCGTCGTCCCGGCATTGCACTTGCCGTCGGGAACGGCGCACACCCCAAAATGGGGTGGACTATTTAAACAAAAATAAATAAATAAGCCATCATAAGTTATTACAATGAAAATATGAAAAAGTCTAGTTTTATGAAAAAGCATAGGCAGGCCGGCACATCCGGATTACGGTATCCGGTAGGAAGGAAAAGCTTGTAGAACCCAAAAGGCGGCTTAAAAACCTTCCGCCACTAAAAACAAGCCATTTCCATTTACGGAACCGTGTCAGAAATTCGAAACGACCCCGCCAAAGATCGGGATGCAAAAGCGGCGTCTTTCAACCCAGAAGCCCATTTGGCGCCCTTGGCCTCCGCCGATCCAATCATATTCGCCGCTAAAATATGGCAATTTCCTAGGAAATCCCGAGGCGCGGGAGGTTGAAAGATTAATCTAAAAGGGTAGAAACAACCAGTTGCAGGTGTTTTTTGCAAAAACATCCGCGTTAATGGGAACGGGGCGGCGGAACTTTGAACCATCTGAGTATGGTAAAAATAGCTCTGTGCACCGGTTATGGTAGTTACAGAACGCAGGATGTGTTGGGCGAGAGAGGGAGGCCGAGGGAGAGAGAGAGAGACAGTGAGAGAGAGTGAGAGAGAGAATGAGGAGAAAGAATATGAGGACGAGCGAGAATGAGAGAGAGCGAGAGAGAGAGCGAGAGAGATAGAAGGAGAGAGAGAGTGCGAGAGGGCGAGCGAGCGAGAGAAAGAGAGGGAAAAGTAGACATAGAGAAAGAGAGAGAGTGAGAGAGAGAGAGAGAGAGAGAGGGAGATATTGTTTTATCTGCTTTTCTGTTTTTTGTAATGTTCGTATTATTTTCGTTTGCAGATCTAATTAGCCAGAATTGCTAAATATATTTATTGTTTAATAGGAATCACAGAAGTGGAAACAGCCCGTGCTCGCGCCATATCCGATGCCACCGTAGCAAGGGTGCACGAAGGCTGAGGTTGTGATTGGCGTCTTGGTGCGGTTGTTGTGACCTGAACAAACATAATTTCGTCCCATTTTCCTTCGGTCCCCAATCGTCTCCGCTGATCTAGCTTTGGGCTTGGAGGAAAATTTCAACCCGGGCCCTGGTAAACCTGAAAAAAACACGAATCTGAGGCATTTCAACGCACCAAGTCGCCTATCGGGTCAAACCACGAAGCGTCCATTAATCATAGTTAGAATTGCCAGTAATTTCATCGAACGCTCATGGATATTTTCTTCCAATAATTTTTAGTATGCGAGACAATTTTTGACAAAATTCTTTACGAAAACAAGTTTTTTTTTCTTAAAACACTCCGTAGCGTGCTAAAACCCGACTGTACGGGGGTTTGAAACTGGATTGTATGAATCGGCGCACCAGGGAGAGAAATGCGCGGGAAACATTGCCTTATTAGTGCATCAACCATTCCGATGGATTTAATTTTAGAAAATTTAGACTCATCTTAATTTGTTTGAGAGCAACCCCCCTTTCCGTGCATCAATTACAAAAATTCGATCCGCACCACAACTATGCAAACAAATTTTGTTGTTTTCCGGCAAAATTTTGTCGCTGGTTTTTGTCGTTGAAGATGGGATTCATGGGGGTGGATTTGCCGGCGGAGGCTGCTCAAATAATGTCGCGCTTTAAAACTTGGTTTATAGTGGCTAGACGTAGCGACAAGGGCTTGGTTTTGCTTGTAGTGCTGGCACGGAAAGCATAAAACAACCACAGCAAAACGGAGAGCGAAAGAATGAAAGAAAGAGAAAGAGAGTGAGAGAGAGAACGAGGGCGAAAGAGAGAGAAATCCAGAGAAAGTGAGAGAGAGCCAGAGAAAGCCTGAGAGAGAGAGAGAGAGAGAGAGAGAGAGAACGAGAACGAAAGAGAGAGAGCCAGTGAAAGTGAGAGAGAGAGAGAGAGAGAGAGAGAGAACGAGGGCGAAAGGGAGAGAGAGAAATCCAGAGAAAGTGAGTGAGAGCCAGAGAAAGGGTGAGAGAGCGAGAGAGTGAAAATGAGCTTAAGCTTGAGTGCGACTCACCTTGACAACGTTCCTCGGGCTCAACCATCTTCTCGACGCCGGCTCCTTGCTGTGCGACGACGGGTTGATCAACTTCGACGCGTTCTCCTTCCATCGTCTTCAACAGAATCGTTCTTTTTGAGACCTTGAGAGTGACATCACACGCTTATCTTCTTCACACTGAAGCTGGACATTTGGATGCAAGACGCGGACGATTAGAGGAGAATTTTTGGTAAATTAAACAAAAATCGTAAATGTATGCAAAAAATGGGCTTAAAAATCACTTAAAATTTGTTTTTCTATTCTAAATTTACGAAGACAAATTCCTAGTCGGAGCTCAAATTTCTATGGAATGTGGATATCAGCAATTAAGGTAAAAAAACCAATATAAAAAAAACTAAATAAAATCAAGAACATTCAAACATCGAAAAGTACAGGAGAACGAACAAAAACTCACTTGGACCCATATCTGTACGACGGAATGAAGAGTACGGTCAGCGCCGGCCCGAAAATTTGCTGATAAGAATAGATGGCCATCGCGAGACTGGTGACTAGCTGAAAAAGTCCGCTGATAGGTAAATGGTAAGACTTTAATTAAGGTAACGTTAACTTCCGGTACAAAACCTAACTTTTATATTTATATATTTGAATATTTATATATTTATATTGGTTAAAAAGCTGGCTTGTCGTAAAAAAAATTATACCTTTGTATATAAGCCGAATCCGATCGTTACGGCAATCATCGTGATTGGGGTTCCACCGAAGAGGATTGGCAGGAGGGACTGCAAGTTGTTCAATATCGTAATCTTATACCTTTTTCATTTTTACAATTTCAAAAATCCAATTTATTGAACACATTAAGATGGTACTTGATACGGGTCCCGGGATCACTTACTGTAAAATGTTTTTACTCAAGTTGGAGTTTCGATTCGGGACCAAGTGCATGTTGTGCAGAATTTTTTTTGCTGATTCCGAATCCGTTTTCCAAATTTGCTGCGGACTTTTATTTTAAAAGTCATTTTGGGTGCAAATTAAGCTTGAAAAAGCCAAAAATTGGGATCCTGGCCCACTATTCCCTCCTTCGTTCTGGATCTCCCAGGGGCCGTGAAGTACTCTCTCACAGCTCCCCTCCCTGTTGGCACCATGGTGCATTGGCAAGGTACTCGCTTACCAAGCGCAGGGCGGCGGTTCGGATCTCCGCCCTGCATCGTTCTTTTGCTTTTTGCCTAAGAAAATTTAATTTTGTCAAAAAAAAGCTTGTTTTGACTTTTAAGATGCTTGTTTAGCCAACTTGGAAGTTGAAATCGATCAGGAAAACCGAAAACGATAACGGTTCCTTGATTTTGGTGAAAAACACGACCATAAATGCTGTATAACTTTCAAAATAAAAGTTCGCAGCAAATTTGGAACGCGGATTCGGAATCAGCGAAAAATTCTGCACAAGATGCACTTGGTCCCGAATCGAAACTCCAACTTGAGTAAAAATATTTTACAGTTAGGAGTTCTATTTCCTTATTCAAAACTAGACATTTTTCTATTTTTCAAAACTTTTCGGTTTTAAGTGAGAATGCCGGCATCCAATAGAGACTCATCGCCAAGGGTCGACAAAAAAGCCTGGCGCCCGACGAGAAAAATACCGACAGCCAAAATGCCGACACCCGTAAAGCTAGTTCACACATAAAGAAGAGTTCGAATTTTGGCGTGTCGGCATTTTGACAATCTAATGTATGGCTTGTCGGTATTTTTGTTGCTTTCTCAGTTTGTATATGAATATGTCGTCGCCACTTAATAAGGCAAAAGTTACCTGCGTCATTAAACAATATGTAAGTCTCTTCTGCAACCTCATCGTTCTCTGGGATATCGATTGATTCCTTTGCATTCGACGGAGGCCCCTGGAAGTTCACATTAATTCTAGCTTCAGCCGCGAAGCGGTTTTCCCCTGATTTTGCTAAGCAAACAGAGTAAATTAAATTTTGGAGGCTTTTCCGATTTCGTGAAATTTTTAGGTCGTATTTTTTGAACTTCCCGATCCCACACCAATATCCCTCTACCCCTCAAAGATCTTGGCCAAATTCTCGCGCAATCCATTTCCCAGCCAATTCCCCGGCTGCTAAAATTGCCCCCGGATATTAGCGGAACTCGCGCGCCGGAAATGGAATTGCTTTTTCGGGTTTTTGCAAGGAATTTTTCGGCTTGATCACCGTAATTCGGTGCCGATCACAAAATACATGCCGATTCGGATTGTTAGACAGGGCGATAGACAGACGAGACGCGCATCAAGGCTGTGTAAATATTACGCGGCAGAAATTGGAAAAAGTCGTAGAGTTTGATTCGAGCTTTGGTCTCATTTTAATGGTTTTTTACGTCAATAAATTTTTGGAACAAATGACAATGACACAATGACATTGTTGGCGACATGGTATCGGTAGCAATGCATAAGCCGACACCTAAGCCTAAGCCTACGCCCAAGCGGAGCCTAAGCCCAAGCCTATTCCTAAGCCAAGCCTAAGCCTAAGCTAAACCAAGCCTAAGCCTAAGCCTAAGCCAAGCCTAAGCCAAGCCTAAGCCAAGCCTAAGCCAAGCCTAAGCCAAGCCTAAGCCAAGCCTAAGCCAAGCCTAAGCCAAGCCTAAGCCAAGCCTAAGCCAAGCCTAAGACAAGCCTAAGCCAAGCCTAAGCCAAGCCTAAGCCAAGCCTAAGCCAAGCCTAAGCCAAGCCTAAGCCAAGCCTAAGCCAAGCCCTAAGCCAAGCCTAAGCCAAGCCTAAGCCAAGCCTAAGCCAAGCCTAAGCCAAGCCTAAGCCAAGCCTAAGCCAAGCCTAAGCCAAGCCTAAGCCAAGCCTAAGCCAAGCCTAAGCCAAGCCTAAGCCAAGCCTAAGCCAAGCCTAAGCCAAGCCTAAGCCTAAGCGAAACCAAGCCTAAGCCTAAGCCTAAGCCAAACCTAAGCCAAGCCTAGGCCTAAGCCCAAGCCTAAGCCTAAGCGAAACCAAGCCTAAGCCTAAGCCTAAGCCAAACCTACGCCCAAGCCTAAGCCTAAACCCAAACAAGCGTCTCCGGTTTCGACTTAAAAGCAACTTTCTCAGACTTGTAGGCATCTTTAAAACTTTGCCCTCGTCTCAAGTATACTTTTTAGAGCATTCAATATGTACTAAATTAAACTACCTGACTATTAAAGCTGCACACAAAATGAGCATTGAATACCCGAGGATAAACATGGCCAAAAAAATATAAATCGTGAGGTAGACGTGCCAATCCAGATGGATCAGATTTCCGAACATTGGCTGGTCCGGATCGTCGTCGAAATGGGTGTAATATTCGGACCACGAGGCAACCTAAATTTCCAATAAAATAGTTTTAACTTAATAGCGTAAAGTTGTGTATTTTTGCGCTTTTTCTGAATAGTTTTGTTTTAAGCGTAGATGTGCCATTACAGAAATGACCGCAATGCGACCCTGCCTTTCCGGTCCCTTTAAAAGAGCAGTTAAGGAAATAATTTGGGGTTTGGCTATAAATTCTAGCGTGGAGCGAGACAGGGAGGGAGATAGACCGAGAGTGAGAGAGAGCGAGAGAGAGCGAGATAGATAGAGAGAGAGTGAGAGAGAGAGAGAGAGCGAGAGAGCGAGAGAGCGAGAGAGAGAGAAACCAGCTTTGATTGCTCGTATTTAAGGTCAGTTGATCAGAATTCTTATCGATTTTCTCGTGACGTGATACGCAAAGCACCCTCTTGACTTGACCGCTATTACCCGACCGTAATCGACTACGCAAAGGAAAGTTAGAGGCAAAAATTTAGGGGGATCCAAAGCAAGAAAATCCAAAAACTTGCCTTCTAACCTCCAATAACGTACGGATACGGTATTCTTTTACTCATGGTTACGGTTTACGGTATATGATATGATTTACAGTATACGGTATACGGTTTTATAGGGTATGTATGTTTCTTCAAGTCCATATTTTTATCCAGCTCACCAAAGCAGCGACTCCCTCCTTCGGCATATCCCCCAATCGCATGCATACGGCAGCGGCAGCGGCAATTAGGAAGAGACATGAAAAGACGGGGACGATTATCTGGAATTGGCTGTCATCAATCATGTTTCGACGGAACGTCCTCGGGGGAAAATTAGATTGTAGTTCGTTCGGGGCGTTTAATTGAATCGCCAAAACGATATTACAAAAAGGCTAGAGCCTAGCCGCTACGTGAGGAAACGGCGTACGCCAAATTACGGCGGAACTTGACTCACTCAATGTAATTTCTATAGGCATATTCCGCATCACGAATTAAAAGCGCTCCAGGAAATGAAAAATGGATCATTTTAAAGTCTTTTTTAAGTTTGTAATTTCTAAGATATATTTTCGCTTTTAGACTTACCCATAATTGCATGGCGTGCTGAGCAATATTCCGATGGCACACCTGAAGGTATCGGTAGGCAAATGAAAGCGGGACGGCTAGCATGCCGTATTGGATGATCCTGAAAAAAATCCCTTACAAGGGAACCTCAAGTTGGCACGGTGGAGTTTCGAAAAACTTTTTCGAAACTCCACCGTGCCAACTTGAGGTTCCCTTGTTAGCTATTTTTTTTAGTTTTTATGAATTACTGTACCGGATTTGGCGTTTATTTTTCTATCTCACGCCTGTGAATTTTCCCCTAGAATTTTTTTGTGGATTTTGAAATTGGTTGGTGCGTATTTTTCCATTTTTATACCGTCGACTGCGTTCATTATTTTACGGAACGGGTTAGTATAGCTACACCTTGATTTTTCCCCAACTTTTTTTGTTATACTGTAGTGTTTTCGCCGTCGAGGGACTTTTCTGGTACCCGGAAATCAATTCCATTTGCCTTTTTCCACTTCAGTAGGGGCCATAAAATTGCTTATGGCAGGCAAATGAGGCGGTATTACGATTGTCCGGAAGGTGTCAATAGGAAAAGATCGTACTCTAACTACATTAGAAGGCGTAACAACCTTACTACCAATAAAAAGGCACTCGATCTAACCTATTAGGCTAATTCCAATGACTAGAAGTCTTTTTCACGCTTAACTTTTTTCAAAAACTGAATCGTGGAAAAATTTAGCAGCGCTCTTGATGCCGTCTTCAGATGTATTTTAACATTACAAAATACTTACCAAAATTCACATTTTCCAAGCTAAAACCAACCCTACAAAACAGCAGGTGAGCAAATGGTTTGTGGCCGGGTGGATAAAGTATACAACCGGGCCCATAATTACGTAGGAGATACCCGAATCGTTGGCTGGTCTGGTCACCTCAAAAAAGGTATAAACTAAAGATGCAGAAATGTGAATCATTATTCTAAACGTAGCACTTTTATACCATTTTTCACCATCCCTTACCTCCTTCATCGAGCTCGAGGGGACGGGTTGAAGCCAAAAATTCCCAAAAGCTGCCATGAAGTCGCATAGTACTAAAAAGTATTTTTGATGGTCGTAATTCCGCAATCAGCTATAATACAAAAGATTTTATACAGTATTTAATTTTAATAAGGATTAAGTAATTTCATGAAAGCAAGTCCAACCGATTTGGAAGCGGTTAATAAATCCACACCTATATTCGCAAGTACGACCCGGTAGACTCGAAGTTCTGCCGGGGTTCTTCGGAGAATTGCGTAGATTAGGTATCCGTTTAGCAGCAGTCCAAGGGTGGAAATTACATAGCTGTGTACAATGAAGGTAATTTCCAAGGGGATCATCTGAAATATTTTTTAAGAAAATGAAAAAATATAAAAGCTACAATATATCAAACGAGAGAGAGATAGACGGAGAGAGAGAGAGTATGCAAGAAAGAGAGAGCTAGAGAGTCAGATACAAAACGGAAGAGCTAGAGAGACAGAGTGAGAGAGTGAGGGAGTGAGAGAAAGAGAGAACGAGAAATAGAGGGAGGATGCGAGAGAGAGAGAGAGAGAGAGAGAGAGAGAGAGAGAGAGAGAATAAGAGAGTGAGCGAGAGGCGGAGATCGAGCTAGAGGGCGAGAGAACAAGATAAAACAAATAATACAAACGGGTACAAAAAATATATCCAACCATGTCAAACCCGACATCTATGCAAACATCGAAATTCGGAGCAATCTGTTGTACCAATAATGTGAGGACAAGAGCGGGGGTGGCAGCTGCTTCAACAGGTGCCACATCTAAAGCACTTCCAAAAAGTGGTCGCCGGCCGCAATTTTTGTGGTATTTACGGCTGTGCTAACACGTGGGCCGATGTCAGGGAAGGCAGTGGATAAGCTTTGGTGTACAAGAAATCACAGGAAATTGGCGGAAATGCGGAAATGAAGGGATTAGAACAGCAGCAGCAAAGTGATACTAGACGAGCGCTGTTTCGTTAAACTTTCAGAATGGAACAAACATGTGAATATGACGGTTTCAAAACGTTTGAAAAGTGGCACTCCCCAGTAATGGTAAAATAAAAAATCCTGAAATTCTAGAAACGAGGACATTCGCAATTCCCGAGAGAGCCGTTCCGCAGCGTGGAAGACTTACTTCAAAGTAGGTAAGTAAGTAGTAGTAAGTAACATGGAGTTGCCCGCGACGCGACACGCTACGCGCAGAACGTATTTTTATTGCGGAATGGATTGAAGCCTTTCGCAGCAGCCAAAAGACGTTGACGGTGAGTTAGCGCCGCGTGTCACGTCAAAACTCGCAGAGGGTCCACGACCAAAAATCCATAGTCAGCCTATTAATAGGAGAGTCAGGGTATCTACAGGGTGTCCCAAAAAAAACGACCCATCTGGCATTTCGCGGTGTTACATCCAATCGGTCCCAAATTTGGATGTGAGGTGTAACAGACCCTAAATAACAACAATCCTGAATTACAGCCCCATAGCTACAGTCGTTCTCAAGTTATAGCAAAAACAACCTTTATTTTCCATTTTTCATAGGGTTTTCGTGGAATTAGGCCCCCTAAACATTAAGTGAAAATGATCCGGTAGGCCTTCTTTACCGTAAGAAATTTTTTTTGAGTAAAATTAATTAAATAAGCTTCGATTTAAGCGAGTTTTACAACGCAAAACTACCCCAGTTCTTAAGCGTAATTAGGGATTCGCAGCCGGAAGTGGATGCAAATCGATGCAAAGTCCAAAAGATAGCCGATAAAACTGTTCAGAATTCCGGGAAAAACAGTATTTTCGTTATAACTTTAAAACTACTGGAGCTATGGGGCTATAAGTCAGGATTGTTGTTATTTAGGGTTTGATACACCTCTGGTCCAAATTTGGGACCGATTGGATGTAGCGCGGCGAAATGCCAGATGGGTCGTTTTTTTTTGGGACACCCTGTATGTCTACCCGCGTCGCGACACGCAACGCGCACAAGACTTTTCGTTGCGTAACGGATTGCTGGCTTCGCATAATCGGATGTAATAACATTCTCATAACCTTTAGCTCTACTGAACCCGGATGTATTCCAGACTCGAGATTTCAAAACAAAACCTAAGTAGTATAACAATACCAGCTCCCTCGAGATCCTAATACGCGCCCACTCCTATCGTAACGGCAATAGCATCAAGACCAGGTCTCTATTCACTGGGCACTGCGTGTTTTATCGCTGCTCCTGCCGGCCGCGGCCGGGGGAATTAAGAGCGGAAATGGGGGGAGGGCGCAGAATAACTGCATTACGCGCCCCCGAGCAGCAGATTTGCGTCTGCGTGACGATACTACGGTAGTTGGTAGGAATTCGGGGCAAGAACCAAGAGCGGGAGATACGCCGGGAGCATTGGAACTTGGGGTTGGGGGGGGTAATGCCCGTTGAATGGTAATTGCAAGATCGGGGTGGGGAAGGTGGGGGCTTAATTGGAAAAAAACTGCCTGATTTCGAGTTCGGAGGTATGCTTGCGTAATATTTATGGGGGCTAGAACTATAGAGAAAATGCTCATGGTAAAAAAATGTGAGCAAAAGAGAGCCAAAAGAGCCAGAGAAAAGAGATTGACATAAGTGAGAGAGGGAGAGGGAGGGAGAGAGAGAGACAGTGAGACCGAGAGAGAGACAGTGAGACCGAGAGAATGAGAGAAAAAGTGAGAGAGAGAGAGAGAGAATATTGAAAAAACTGCTTTGAAAACGTTGAGAAAAACAAATAGAACGTAAGCCGTTCTGCTTATCCATATACCATGATATAATTTAATTAAGGTTTTAATATTCGTTTTTAAAGCCTAAATCTAAACCTACATCGGCGAATCTCCCTATTTTGAAGAAAATCTTGTTCACTACACCTAATTCACAGCCCACACGAAAAACTCCCACCTTCTGTTCAGGTTTGGGTCAGCCGGGCGGTGCCTGAAAAAAGGGAACCAAACTAACTGCGATTTGGGCGATTTTTAGCACGGCATCTCAGCGATGAAGCTAAAAATTTAGAACAGGAATGAGCCCAAACCAACAACCAAATTTTTGCACCCCCCCCCGCCGCCAGCAAAATAAGCAAATTAAGCGGGGCGGTACACGATATTAGGTGTTTCGGTGTAGTTTGGGATTGGCTGTTGGGGAACGGGAAATTGGCGGGTTGGGTTGTAAAATATGGAAACTGGGGTCGGCTAGACTTATGGTAAGGATTATAAGCTGTACCAGGTTAAAAACGGGAATTCAAGTCCAAAATCCTAAAATGCAGACTTGAGAGACCCTTTAAAAGGCCATAGAATAATTTTTTGCTAAACTTAAATAGTGGATTTAGATAGACAAAATGACCCTTTTGGATGCACTAGCTGACGAAGAACCTGCTCGCAATTTGCGAAAAATAGTCTGATTTGGGCCATTTTGCCAACTTGGAGCGTTGTCACTTTCTGCTCCTGTCCCTTGTCGATTTCCCGTTAAGCGCGGACGGGGGGTTGAATTAAATCTAGCCGTTTTTCTACCCAGGGTGTCCCAAATTAATCACCCCATCCCCCCTTCTAGCCGGCCGCGGGCCTGTCCGATTTTTACGTTTTACGTGTATCGAAAGATATCGGAAAGGCCACTCCAGCAGGTTGCGAAAAGGGGGGATTTTATGATTTTTTTCTGACCTAGGGTTTTTTTTCCAAAGGTACAGTATAAGTGATTTTGCGCCTTTCCTGGCCTCTCCTGGTCTCAAAACACTATTTTTACCGGAACAAAGACTAAAATTAAATCCCGTCTGATTATACATCCGCCAAAACCTGATTACCATTTTCTGCCAGACACACGTTCACTGTAGGGCTGCTTTATGCAGTTTTTCCAAGTTTGAGCGTGGGACGCGGCTTTCGAAAAATTTTATTTGCGCAGCCGCCTGTCGGCAGCTTGATTCTTGGATACATTTTGCGACCGTCCCCCCCCTCCCCCCTTGCCCAGGACACGATAACCTTTTTATGGCAGCTTGCAAAAATTCTCAACATTTTTTTTTCTTGCATTTTTCGCGTGTTTCGACTGTACTCCATTTTATAGTCTTGTTTGATTGACTGACTCCAGCCTTTAGGTATACTACGAGCCGCTCCAAATTACATTTTTTAAGCTCTAAATTTATGGAAAAGCTAAAGCATAAGCTACGTTTAGTTTCGAGTAATCCAGACCTAACAAAAAAGTTCGTAAGTAGGTTTGTAAGCTCAGTAAGCTTAGAAAGCTTGGGTCTACTGAATCGAGGTTTTGATCGAGTCAAGGACCGGCCAAGCTGTTTTGGGTGCTTAGGTTTAAGGCACTTACATACACACAAATAACGTTAAGATCAAGTGCCGTAAGCGGAGCATCTCGTAAACTCTATTTTTTCCCTTTTCCACCCATTTCCTTGCGTTTGCCACTTTATTTTCATGGCATTCATTCAATCGTAGTTTTTTTCAGATTTGACTATCTAGCGTGATGGAGCCGACTTACCAGAATGAGGCGTGGCCGGATCGTAAATTCTAAACTTTTTTCTGATATCAGCAATTTTAGACAAGGCATACACTAAATCCACCCGTACGGGAAGAGCGATAAGGACACGAGTCGCCGGCCGGTGGGTGATGATTTTTCGGGCTAAACCGTATAATCCCTCTTCGCGTCAGCCCTCAAAAAGTTCAAAATAGCAGTTTAAACTCGACATTTGTAAATAAAACCCGTTTTGGAAGTAACTTTCGAATATCGGCCACCAGGACTGCAACGGTGCATGGATACGGTAGAATTCATATTACGTAAAAAAGATTTCGAAATTTTAGCCAATGCCGAAACGCCGACAATAATGGGTACGGACGACACGATAAAATCAAAAATATCGTATACAGGTACATCGAAAAATACGTGAATTTTTGTTTAGAGCGCGGTTTACCCCCTCCCCCCCCCGCGCCCGCGCCCGACTTTTGTATCTCGGCTCCCTGTTCATCTACAGGTGTGTAAAGTATACCAAAATGCTCGTCTTGCTCTCCCGAGCATTTTGGTATACTTTACTACCCCGCAGGAAAACGCGGAGCCGAGTTATAAAGGTCGGGCGCCGGCTGGAGGAGGTAGACTGCATTCGGCCGAATTTTCTAATCCCAGTCGCTTTTCCTGTTTTTTTTTGCAAACAATAAAAACCAGCATTATCCGCTTTTCAGCACTTACCTCCCCAGTGCGACAATTCCGCGATGATATTGCCTTTATCCGGGCTCTGGCCATAATTTCCGTGCTGTGCTTTCATTTTTGGCCCAAGATATTTGGTCTGGGCTTTATTGGGGTCGATATGTAAGTTTTATGAAATTTTTAAAACTGTGGATTCGAATTTTTAGCTTCTTCGTCCTCTCCGGCTATCTGATTATGCAAATACTTGGCCAGTCCCCTCTAAGGCCCTGCCAGAAGTTGGTCGATTTCTATTACAAGCGGGCAAAGCGGATATGCCCGCTTTACTATTTGATTATGTTGTATTTAGGTAACTGAACAACCATTTTAAAAACATGAGACATTTCAGCCGGGTCCGCAATATTTGTCTACAGTTCATTATGGTTAACCCAATTTTTACCGCATTTTAAAAGCGCCATATTAATGGGCTTAAATTTCGAATTGCTGGCCGCAGATGGGGATTATTTTGCGGAGGTATTTACGGAATGAAAAGTGGCTTTATATCTCAAAACTTACCCCTTTAAAGCTCTAAAGATTCAAACATTTAAGGACACTGGAAATCTACCATTTTTGCACGCCTGGTCGCTGGCCGTGGAGATGCAATTCTATTTAGTAGCGCCGCTACTGTATGCGCTGATAGGGCTGAAAGTTAACTGTCAGTTACGTTTTCTCTCGCTAACTCTTTAACTCTAAACATAGCTCTCTCTCTCTCTCTCTCTCTCTCTCTCTCTCTCCGCACTTCTCCCGCTCTCGCTCTTTGTCTCGCTTTCTTGCTCTCGCTCTCCCTCGCTCTCTCTCGCGCGCTCTCTCTCTCTCTCTCTCTATCTCTCTCACTATTTCTCGCTTTCTCTCTCTGTCTGTCTCTCTATTCCTCTCTTTCGCTCTCGTTCGATCTCCCTCGCTCTCACTCTCTCACCCACTCGCTCTTTCGCACTCTCACCCATTCTTATTTTCAGGCCAATGCGTGGGTGTGCTATTCTCGATCTCAATCTTCGTCTCTTCCCTGTATTTCCAATGGACATCCACCCCAATCACGGCCTTCTACCATCCATACTCCAGAATTTGGCAGTTCTTGGCCGGTATGCTGGCCAGTGCATATTCTAAGGGTGGAACTTCCACATCCACTAGCTTAAAGTAAGTAATTTTCAGTTTTTAACGGTCAGCTATTCTTATCTCTCTGTTTTAGCTGAATAATATCAATTTATGTTAAAATTCACATGACTAAAAATGTATAAGTTTTCAGGATTTCCGAAAAATCGTCTAATATTGCCACCATTGTCTTGCTGCTGCCTATCTTGTCGGTATTTCTACCGTACCTCGGCGAAATCCAGCCGCCAAATATTTTCCAATTCGTCGTACCGATTAGTGGAGCGCTATTTTTGCTAATATCGTCGTATAATAAGTAAGAGTTATCGATCTTTAAGGCAGTTAAAAGTACTTAAGCATTATCGGGGGGGTTCTGAGCGTCTCAGTGTAGAGGAAGTGTTTTTAAAGCTTAGAAAAGTCGGGTAATCGTGGGGAACTGAACCATTAATTGTAGAAACATCACAAAACTTACTAAAGAATACAAAAATATTTTTTTCGGCAAATTTTCGATTACAATTTTATAAGTTTGTTTTTATTTTCTTCCCATTCGAAATATTGTTGAATTCTACCAAAACCACCATTAAAATACTGACGCTTCAGTTACTAAGAATTCCTGGAAAGAACCTGAGGAATGCTTCCTTAGGAAAAACTTCAGTCCACCCCCCGGATAATACAAAAGCACCAAATTAAAATTTTAATCAAATTCCTTGGGTTTTGAAAAACAACCTACCGTCACCCTTTAGCCAAATCAACTGGGCCCGTTTTCGCCTTAGCTACATCGCTACCATATCCTATTCACTATACCTCGTCCACTACCCGGTGCTACGCTATACCGAATATAAACTACCGTATTATTCTGAGAAAATTCCAGGTAAGATAATTTTTATTAAATGGAAAGCAATTATTACTTTAGTTAGCATAATCGCATTACCAGCTACCGTAGCCATCTCCATGCTTTTCCATCATTTGTACGAAAAGCCGATGCTCAGGGAAACGAAGTCAAATGTGGCTAAAAATACCTTGATACTATTTGGCGTCCTCATTTTCTTTGCTAGTTATTGGCGGGTGGTAGTGAAGCCGGAATTCGGTGAGTTGGAGAGAGAGAGAGAGAGAGAGAGAGAGAGAAAGAGAGAGAGCGCGCGAGATAGAATGAGAGAGCCAGAGAGAGCGAGAGCGAGATAGAGTGAGAGAGCCAGAGAGAGCGAGAGAGAGAGAGAGAGAGAATGAAAGAGCCAGGGAGAGAGAGAGGGAAAGAGCGAGAGAGCGAAAGTCAGGCAGGCCGAAAAACTAAATTATTTCCAGCCCAAAACGAACTCGTCGCCGCCAACAAGAAGTTCTCAAAATCAATATACGAAGCCAGCGGCGGAAAATGGATCATTGGCAACTTTTCAAAAACCGGAGGACCATGGGGTCAATATCAGTATTTGGTAAGTCACAAAAATAATAAATTGAACTCAAAAAGCTAATTAACTAAAAAACTTTTTTAATCTAGAAGTCACTTTAGAATAACACCGGAAACCTGAGCATCATCTCCGTGGGAAATTCCTGGGCCGCTCAACAACGATATGTGGGTGAATCCTAGCTTTTTAAGGGAGTCAAGGCATAGCTATTGATTTTTTGAGTATCGTTTGGCCTGAGAATCTATATAACAAAAAAATATACGCTAAAAATTTTCTATACCTTCATACTTAAGTGGTACCTTAAAATATCTTAAACACCGTGAAATACCTTAAAAATTAAGTGGACAATTCAAAACAAAACAATAAAAAAGCCATCATAGCTTCTTACGCAATGAAAATTAGACTAAATTACCTCTAAGCTATTATTATTGCTCGTCTATTCATAAAAAAACAGCCAGATCTAGTGAAACGCAATAAGTGCAATTTTTTTCAGATAATTCGCAAAATTTTCCCGCCCAACATGACCACCCATCTCGAATCGTTCACCGGCCCGGGGAATGCGATCGTATTCCACGATGCTGGCAGTACGCTAATAAAAATATCTACAAATCTAATAAAATTCAATTTAGCAAAAACCAAAATATTTTGGGAAAATATGAAGGTGCTGAAGCCAAATATCGTCTTCATTTTGATGAGGTGACACTTTGGAGCTTTTTGAAACTGGCAAAGCTTTAGATATCACGAAAAAGCAGGGGATATGGCGCCTTACGTACCCGGAAACGATACTGTCCTGGAACATTATGTACGCCAGGTCGAGAGATTTAGGTCAGAACTAAAAAATTTTAAATCAGCCCCTTGGAAAAAGAGGGTGAATTGGAGCTTTTGCGTTAGCGGGGAGGGAAGGCTATTTTGAACCTGCCGCCTGTATCTGATGCAAAAATATCGGCTATTTTCTAGTTTTTCTATAAGAATCTGCCATAATTTGAAATATATCAGGTTGGTAGATAAGTCCTGTCACAAATTTTTTAAATCTCTCTATATAGCCGCAGAAACGGCCGATTTTAACGTTTGATACCTGATTTGATAGGTCTTGGGTTGCTCTATAATGGGAGCTGCCGCACAAGGTCGAAAAGTTACAGGACGCCGAGTTACAGCACCGGGAAGTTTTTCATAAAATCTTGAAAAAGCTATTTAGCGTGCTATCTCTGCATAGAGCTATTTGCATGCGATACCCTTAACACCAATCGATAGCTCTCGAGGAGTAGATATCGATAGATGTCGAGATTATCAAAATTGGACACTGGATGGCCGAGAGATGGGTCTCTGAAATTTGGTTGATTTCTTAGAACTTTTCCCGGGATCCCATACATTTTACGCATCTGTGACAAATCTTGCCAGGTGGTTTTTGAGCGCGCGAAGAAGGTTTTGTCTAAATGTATGGGAATTCGGAAAAAGTTCTAAGAAATCAACCAAATTTGAAGGGCTCGTATCTCGGCCATCCGGTGTCCAATTTTGATGATCTGAAGCTTTATCGATATCTACTCCTCGAGAGCTATCGATTGGCGTTAATGGTATCGTATTCAAATGGATCTATGCAGAGATAGCACGCTAAATAGCTTTCTCAGGATTTTATGAAAAACTTCCCGGAGCTGTAACTCGACGGCGAGCCACTTTGGGGACCAATTCGGGTTTTGTCTAAGTAGCGCGTCCCAAGATCTATCAAATCATGTATCGAAAGTGAAAATACGACGTTTCTGCGGCTTTCTAAGGCACTTTCAAAAAATTGTGACAGGACTTATCTACCAACCTGATAGATCGCCGCTCTTGGAGATTTTTTAATTTTTCATCAACCAAAAAATCCGAGTCCTTTGTAAGTTTTTTAAGAAATTGCTGGATATAATATACTTAAAAACAGCGCAAAATTCCATAAAAAGCGTTTATATTTAAGGGGCGTATCCGTTTTTCCGGACCCCCCCACTAACGTGAAAGCACCTTTTTTCTAAACCCTGAAAATAATAAATGTTTATTTTTGGATAGCTGCAAATATCGTTAATTTTAATTCATTTTCATAAAATTTTAGCAAATTTGCCTCCCATATTTTCGTCGAAAGCCACCAGCCGTTCTATTGCGACCCGGCCAACAAGCAAAACAATTTCCTGACGCGCTTCATGGATCGGCTGCAGAATGGGGGCAATTTGACGGCGTTGAATATGCCCTATAACGTAAGCGATAAAAATTACTTAAATAAAACTGAAAACTAGTTTCAATAAAATTAACTCTCACTAAATAATGCTGGTTCCAATCAATTAACGCTAAAAATTTCTAGGCCACCGCATTTGCCGAAAGCCCGGTTCGCATCCGGCTAAAATACCTGCTCGAAAGATGCCCGAAATGCTACTTGATAAACGTTGAGGAGCCGTTTATAGGTGTGTAATGGCAAGGTTAGACTAAAGTAATCATCTACCTGCAGACAAAGCCAATAATTACGTCCGTACCTACGACGAGAAGACGAAGCTTGCCTATTTCGACAATGACTGCCACTTGACGCCACCAGCTTTGAAAATGCTGGAACCACAATTCGAAACAGCCGTCCATCAAGCGATGCCGAAATACTTTCCTAATAATATGATGGCCAAAACGACGACGAAGTCAAAAAGGGGGTAAGCTGTAATACTGTGATCTGTACAAATTATGTATAAAAACTTATAAGCATCTTAACTACACGAATTCGTAAAGCAATTACTAAAGAACAATCACTTTAGCAGGAGCAATAATACGAATATTATAATACTAACAATGTTAAGGCACGTAATAGACTTATACTCGCTTGAAAACGCCATGTAATGCTAAATTATAAGAACTTCATCGGGTATAATGAGATCAATAAGCTGCGGTGAAAAGCGTATATAGCACCATAGGAAAATTGGCAAATGTGAAAAGCTGAAGAAAGAACCCGAAAATAATAAGCGAGCTCCTGGTGATGATATGTTGGTGAAAATAGGTGAAAATACAAAAGCCAAACACCGGAAATTTTAAGAGATCAGTATAATGAGAACAAGTCAATGGCGAATCGATATGCCGGCTTTAAAGGATCGATTTTCGGGTGCTTCTGCGTGGGCGTCCGGAAGATGTAGTTTCGACGGCGGCTTCAGCTTTCACGACAGCACAGTACTCGGTGCACAACCAGGTGCCTAAAAAACAACGTTTTCGAAAAAGTGTCGAAAACGCACCAGTGGGGAGCTTGTCGACGCCGACGCAATACGTGTGGTAGCCGCGGTCGCAGCGGTCGCAGATGATCAGGTCGTCCTGAAAATATTTATTTTAGCTTTTTCCAAGTTCTAATCGACTCTTTTTTTCTAAAAAATTTTAAATTTGGTTCATTCGCATTATCGTGGGGAGATCTTAGGATCTAGTTTTTTAACTATGAATAGCGCAAGTCTTAAACGGGTTACTATTCCTAAACGTGAAAAGTCTGCAATCTATTAAAAATATCGAAAATAAAGATTTTTCGACCAAAAATGGCCAATTTCACCCAAATTTCCACGTTTTCCAAATTTTTAAAAGTTTTTATATAGTTTTTCTAGCTTAAAAATTGTTATATTTTACTAAAAATCTATTAAAACACTTCCTAACGAGTCACCAGACATTTTTAGACCTAAGCAAAATGTTGGAAACTCCAAATTCAATTAAAAAAACACTACAACGCCCTTGATTTAAAATTTGCTGATTATCTCTGGACTTCTGGCAAAAAAATTCGGCCCGATTATGCGGAATCGCCTAGCAACAAACAAAAGCCTTACCTCGTTGTCCTGCTTCAGGCACATTGTGCACCGCTTGCACTCCAGACAATACCACGCATACTCGAGCACGCGCTGCGTCATCACCTCGTCCATGTCGACGCATTCCGCGTGCAGCGTCACCAGGCACGCTGCGCAACTAAAATAAACACAAAAAAGATGCGTTTCGCTCGACATTACATACCGCAACATCGTCAACTCGGGCTTGGGCGGAAGAAGGCAGTGAGTGCATTTCTAAAGAAAGTTCACCAAAAAAAATCAAAAATTTACCGTCTTTTTCAGCTGATTTTGCTTGGGCGTCGGCATGTCCGTTTTCACAACCGGCTTGATATCTGGAAAATAAAAATTAAGGTATGTTTAAAGGTGGGGGGCGATACCTCGTTGCGGTGTAGGGCTGAGCGCATCTGCGACTGGACTTTTCAGCTCATTGTCCTAAAAGGTAGAAACAGCATTTAAATCCCTAAAAAACGGTTACCTGGACAGTGATTGGAGGCGGGCTCTGTTCACGTGGCATCGGAGAGAAGTGATCCCCGTCCAGGATCGAGCCCAGTGGAAGCCGATTCAGCTCGTCGGGCGTGTACCTAATTACAAAAATTTGATGAAATCAGAAAAATCCAAACTGTTTGTAATAGTCGTGGTATTGGCCGGGGATGAGTGCGGCCGGGAAGCTGCTCGGCTTTGTGGGGCCCGGCGAGACAAGCTTCGACGCACCAATATCCGATTGGATCACCTAAATTTAAAAGTTCTTGGCTGTTAACGGGGGTGCAAAAGCTATATATTGACTATCTCTCTAGCCAAAAAAAAACACAAAGACAAGCTACTGAAAACCCCCGAACACAATCCTAGAAAAATTTAAAAATTTTAAATTTGTGGCCAAAATCAGAACTTTTCAAAAGCTTTGTATCAATTGCTTGCTATACATTAAAACGCTGTGGAATGCTAAATAAACGGTGTTTTATAGTGAATTTTACTTTTTTCTCAAACGCTTTTCATTACTAAAAGTCGTAAAACCTTCTTGAGTATTAAAACCTTTTAAATTTTCGAGCTGTTCCAAACTTATAGCAATTTTTTCTCACCTTTTAAACTCAAAAACTACTTTTTTTATTGCAAAACAGAATCCTAAGGAGCGAACAGCCGGTTAGGACCCCCACTAACAGTCCAAAATCTATCAAATACCTTTATTTTTAGCCAATATCAAAGGGTATACCCCGGCTTGCAGATCCCAATACGTCTTGCGCTCGCACTTTCTCGTTTCCACCAGTTCGTGATTCCACTGACTGGCGCTCGTGATCGCCATCTGTCGCAGCGCCTCCAGCTCTTTCGGGTCCTTTTTGAGCTAAATTTCAGAGCAAATTGTAACTAAAATATCTGTCCATCAGATCCATTTCCTTGACACTGTCGCTCGCAATACGTTGAGATTCCTAAAGAAAATGTTTTTCATGCTTTTCAGCATTTGTCCGAAAAACCGACGCTCGGGGAAATGTGACTAAAAACACCTTGACGTTCTGATTTTCTTTGAGCCGTTTGGCTTGTGGTAGGAAGCCGGTGAGTTAGAGACAGCTCGAGAGAGAAAGAGAGAGAGAAGGAGAGAGAGAGAGAGAGAGAGAGAGAGAGAGAGAGATTTTAACCGGCCGGCTTTGAGAAACCCTGAAAAGGACATTTTCCTTCTGCTCCTTCGTCGAATAACAACTTTCCAACACTTGCCCTCTCACAACGAACTACCGCAAACCAAGTTACGACCAACGTTGTATCGTTGTATCATTTGACTGATCTAATAAAAGAATTGGAGCTAAAAAGATTACCAGATTAATAAAAAAACCGGGTTGAAGGAATCAGGCAACATTCTGACTAAGGATGGATAAAAAAATAAGCGAATTTCCGAAGTTTCAGTTCTTGTACTTGCATGAACTCTGAACGAAATGCGCGGCCGGCCGATAAACCGTTGCTCCGGCCGCCGCCGATTGCGCGGCTAAGGTTGGGAAAAATTTCGACAGTATGAAACTCGAATTCTGATAGCAAATCCAAAAGCCAAGGTACACAAGAGCCTGTAATTGCTTGAAACCGTCGTTGTCATACTAAAACGTCATAGCTTTACCAGCACATTGCCACAGAAAAAGAGTATATAGCACCAAAGGGCGAATTGGCAAATGTGAAAAGCTGAAGAAAGAACCCGAGCATAAACAGCGAGATTCTGGTGGAGATATGACGGTGAAAATAGAACAGTATAAGGGAAGAGTAAAGGCACAACATCAGGTATACAAATCAATGGCGAATCGATGCGGGCTTTAAAGGATTGATTCCGACTTCCGACCATCTTCAGCCTCCCGCGATTTTGGAGCTGATTTTCTACAAAAAAAAATTAAATTTTAAAATAAAAAAAAATTGATTTTAAGATTAAAAATAATTTTAATTCCTAGCAAAATCTGTCTATCTCCTGCCGCAAAATTTACCTTCCCTTCTCCTCAGCAGCCGGGACAACGATTGGCTTGTACTCGCCGACGCCCTCGAAAATGTCCTCATTTTTGGTGGCCAGCTGCTCTTCGCTGAGCGAGGGTCCATTTGACTGAAAAAATAATATAAAATATATAATTGAAAACTTGATATTACCTGCCTCTTCTTCGGCTTCTCAACAGCGGCGGCGCGCGCGTCATTCAGGAGTTGGCTCATCTTGTCGATGAGCGTCATGTCAGCCTCGGCGTTTCGATTCATGTTCATCACCCGGGCCTCGGTGACGGATCTGAGAAGTCATTAATCTGATTTCTGCAAAAAAAAAATACTTGAAAACAGGCGTGGGGAGCGCGTCATTGTCGGCGTCGATTTCGACCATGTAGGTGAGGAGCTGCTTGGCAAAGTAGGGGTTGGTTTTCGGAGTTGTGTCCTAAAGAAATACTAGTTTTTTCACACCTTAACCTAAAAACTACAATTTTTCGTTATAATTATAAAAATATCCAGTTTTGGCCCAAAATTCAATTTAGAAAAATATTGTTTTCAAATTTCGATTTAAAATTGAAGGTTTTGACAATATCTGACGAGGGAAAACACAATTTTTTGCCGGATCCAATTTTCCAAAGTGTTTCTCCACTCTTACTATTCTTTAACGCAAAGAAAAACCAGAAATTTCCATTCAAAGATTTTAAAATAACGATTTTCTTCCAAAATTGACATTCTAAAGCGTTTCTCCAGGCTTTCTAAACAGTTTTCCACTTGGCTATGGCCAAATTTTATCAAAAACATTATTTAACTATTTTCTAGGAAAATAGAAGCTCAGAAAGCAAACAATTTGTCCCCCTTTAATGCCAAAGAACCACGATTAAAAAGCCTAACTATATACCTCAAAAAGAAGCTGATTCAGCGCCAGCACCATGCGATTCTTGCTCTTCTCCTCGACAACCGGCGCTTCCTCGAGGGCGGGTGGATCCTCTACAGCTGCAGCCTCCTTCGTCGCCATTTCACATCGAGCCTAGAAAAGTATTTCTGCAGAATAAACATTAAACACCTTTTTCAACAGCGAATAGTCAAGTCTTTTCACGAGATGCGTGTGCTCCAGATCGCCGCCCAGGTATTTCGATTCTTGGATGGTGCGGTAGCGCTCTCGGGCTTGTTCTCTGGCGTCGCGCTTGTCACTTGGCACCGCATGGTAGCCGTAGCCGGTGTCCTCTTCGATGCCCTGAAAAGGAAATACGCTCTTCAGAGGTTTTTAGTAGATTTTTGATTGCTGAAAAATTACCTAAGCATTTTCAAAACTGTTAGGAAGTCGACTTTTTACCTTTCATGACAATTTTCACAGCTTTAACCAAAAAGTTAACTTTAAGTACTTTTTTATTTATTTATTCGTGCGCACAGCACAAGCATCTTCATAATATTTCTTTGGCAAATTTAACAATATTTAAAACTAAAAACTCGAAAAATGCTGCAAAATTGAAGCGGAAAAGCCTGCAATCTTTTGTAATTCACAATGTCACTTCTGAAAAGTAATTTTTTTCAAAGTTTTTACATAACAAACTAGTGAATCAGTGTCTCTTTTCCATTCCTAAAAAATGTTCTATGGAATCCAAGTAAAAAATCAATTTGCGGTCTTGCGAGCTCCAAAAATATTGGTGAAAAATATACCCCCGCATCCTCATTCCGGCGGCGTTCGGCTGCGCGGTCACGGTATTTGCCCAGAATCTCCTTCAAATGGGCGTCATCCTCATCGCCGGGCGCGGGCTCGTCCTTCGGCTTCGGCTTGGCGTGAGGGCGATAGTACTAAAGACAAAAATAGCTCTGAGACTAAATAAATTAGTTTTAACAATAAAAACGATAAAATGAAAATTCACGAGTTTTTCATTTTCAAGACGCTTCCGAAGACACCTATTTACGAAATACTGTCGATAGGTGTAAACGGAGCTCAGAGACAAACTACTTGAAATACCATTAGAAATATCCAGAATTTTTGAATGAATTTTATGAATTTTTACAACTCTGTTACCTGGACGGAGATTGGAGGCGGGCTCTGTTCACGTGGCATCGGAGAGAAGTGATCCCCGTCCACGAAATGGGCGTCATCCTCCTCGCCGGGCGCCGGCTCCTCCTTCGGCTTTGGCTTGGCTTGAGGGTGATAGTACTAAAAACAAAAAATGTCATAAAGAAAACTGTAAGACCCACCGGCTTTGCCTTCTTTTGTTCAGGATTCGGGGCGGGCTTTTGAGCTTTTGCAGTACCGACGAAGTGATTCGGGTCCGCAGGAGTGTCGGGAAGCTTCCGGAAATCCTCGTTGCGGAGGCTTTTCATCTGGAAAAAATATAAATAAATTAGTTTTAACAATAAAAACGATAAAAATAAAATTCACGAGTTTTTCATTTTCAAGACGCTTCCGAAGACACCTATTTACGAAATACTGTCGATAGGTGTAAACGGAGCTCAGAGACAAACTTCTTGAAATACCATTAGAAATATCCAGAATTTTTCAATGAATCTTATGAATTTTTACAACTCTGTTACCTGGACCGAGATTGGAGGCGGGCTCTGTTCACGTGGCATCGGAGAGAAGTGATCCCCGTCCAGGATCGAGCCCAGTGGAAGCCGATTCAGCTCGTCGGACGTGTACCTAAATTAGAACAGTAAGACGCAATAACACAAAACCAAACTGTTTGTAATAGTCGTGATATTGTCCGAGGATGAGTGCGGCCGGGACGCGGCTCGGCTCGACCTAAATTCCAAAGGGGCTTGGCTGTTAACGGGGGTGAAAACGCTGCAGTTGCCTATAACGACCCAGAAAAAAAGCACGATTTATCGCGCATTCTTAAATCATTATTTTTACAATGGGTCACAAAAGTCTTTAGAAAATCTAAAATTTTTGAACAGAATCAAACTTTTCTAAAGTAAAAAATACTATTAAAATGGCGTAAACGGCTGTATAAATGGTGATTTCCAGTGTTTTTAGCGCTTTCTTACTCGCTGTTTTGGTTACTAAAAAGCGATAAAAAGCGCCTTCAGCGTTTTCGGGACCTTTTTGAGCTAAATTTCAGAGAAAATTATGACTAAAATACCTGTGCCACCATGTCCATCGCCTTCAGTTGCTCGACCATCTTTTCCTTGAAACTCTCTTCGGCACATTGACCCTCCTAAAGAAAATTTGAAGTTGTAAAAACTAATAAGTACCTGGGCCCCATTATTTTGGAAATTGTATCCAAATGGGCGACGTCCATTTCGCGGCTGCCAGTAACGGGAATGTCCATCCTGGAAAACTTATTAGCTGAAGTTACGATTTTTACTTGTCCAAGATGGTGTTCGAGGTTCTGGCTGCTGTTGGGACTAAAAGCTCGGTTAATCATTTTCTGTGCAAAATGCTTACATTGCAAATGGAAGTGGCGGAGGCTGGTCCTCCATGTCCCAGCGCTGAAATTCAAGAAAGGCTTGGTCGATTTCACCGTCAGGAGCGCGCGTCTCCACGTTGTTCAGGAATTGGGGCCGCCGTAAGCTCGGAAAATAGTGACGATTAGCGGCCACTTGTACCCGTAGATTCGCTTCAGCCTGAATATTGGCATCCTTCATAAGACTGGAGAGCTTACCGTCGCCAAATCACAGACCACGAATAATCGTGGGTCTTGAACTCCTGCAATTTGCTGGGGGTGCGCGATGATTGGAGGGGGCTAAAAGAAATTATTGTCAGAGTAGGTGTGACTAACCTGATACTCCGTAAACGGTGAACGGCCGGCTGCATAGCCGTCGAGATGCGCTGTCCGGAACTCGAGAGGCTAAAGAAATGAGCAAATCTCGAAATTTTTTAATTTTGGTCAAAAATGTATCAGAAATGGCCTAAAAAGGTAAAAAATCCCGCATTTTCAAAAATCTTAAATATTTTTATAATCTAGATAGAAATCAAAAACTACCGAAATCATTGTAAAAGCACTATTTGTTACCAATAAATAAACACTTAGGCGTAAAAATAAAAATCAGCTTCTTTATCCCCCCCCCGTTAAAAGAGCAGCACCCGAAAATTTACATGCTCTTTGCATATAATATTAAAACTAGATTTTTGTAAGCGGATTATGAAAAATAAAAAATAAAGAAGTCCGCCTTTCAACACAGGTGATCTCCCGGTTCTTACATGTTGGATTCGAATATCTTCTATGATGTAGGCGCCGGCCGGGTATTGCGACCATGTAGGACCGAGCCGTACCGGAAGACTGAGCCAATAATTTTGGCGACGCACGTCGACTTGAGCCAACAGATCGAAGACGTGGAGGTCTCCCGAATTCATCTAAAGTAGCCTTCATAATTTAATATTTATGGTAAGCCAATGAACGAAATAGAAAACAACATAATATACCAAAACCCGGCCTCAACTATTCCTTGAATTTTCCCGGAATGCCGCAGCGCACGCTTATCATTACCCGGAATCTCCCTGAAATAGTTCCGGAAATCCTTTCCCGAAATGCGTTTTCATCTATCTCGTGAATTCCCGGACGCATTTTCATCTATTCCGGGAATTTTAGGCAATTTCCCGGAATACTATTCCAGAAATATATAAATTCCTATGTCCGTGCGCCCGACGACCGACCGACCGACCGGGCTTCAGCCAAATTTCGCATTCGACTTTTTTTTCGGGCGGGCGGGGAGGGGGAGAGGGTCAGCGCTGTTTCCAGGAATAATTTTTTAAGGCTGGGTCTTTTTGAACACCCCGGGGTGCTCTGTGGGGTGCTGTCTGGAGTGATTTTTGCCAGGGACCGCAGTATTTGATTGAACTAGGCTATTTTGATCAAATCAGAAAATGATGTTCATCTTCTGGTTTTATCAAAATAGCATAGTTCATATATTGCAGAACTCGGGAAAAAGCACCCCAGCACCACCCCACAGAGCACACCAGAACGCGATCCAGGACGTGCTTCTCTTTGTAGCGCACCATTCCAAAGTTCCACAGGTGCTCGGTGCTCACCTAAAAATGGATTAAAAAATCGCATTAACCGGTGTCACGTCAAAGAAGTAGCATTCTTTACGGCGTTGGCAAAACGGACGACGTACTCTTGCGTTTTCTTGGCCCTAAAAGGAATATCAATGATAAAATATATTAAATATGACAATTGTAACAAAAATAAATCTAAAAAGCTACTTTTGAAGCATCTCCTCATCAGCAGCAGCGTTCTGATGCAAGAAGATGATCTGGACGATGTAGTTTTGTGAGAGAGCTGCGCTGTCCCAAACGAGACGTTTCTAAAATGGACGTAGAAAGTAAAAATATTCAAAATTTAATAAAATAAAGTAAAAAATGAGAAAGAAAAGCATTTTTACCTGGTGAGAAAGTGGCGGAGCGGCAATTTGCCAGGCGTTCATCTGCTCGCGCTGATCGCGTTTGACGATGGCCTCGAGGTGGGGCATGTCGATTACAACCTAAATTTTTCCATGATGACATATAAAGTAAAAAGGAACATATTTATGAAAATTAGACGATATTTTAGTAGATATTTTAATAGGATAAAAATTATAACATTCACGTACCTCCCAAACCAACGACCCGATCCGCTGGCCGGTCTTCTCCAAATCGTCGCCCACTTGGATCAACGTCCACTGCACTGCGTCATGTAGGCGTGATTTGCGGAGAAATGAGTCCTAAACGCGAAATTTGACGATTTACTTATATCATACCAATCAGCCGGATCAACAAGCGCCAAATGGATGTCCAAACTTCGCTCTTTCGTACCTTGTAGTTGATCAAGGGATCTAAAAACCTTAACTAAAAGCAAATTAGCTGATCACAAATTTTAAAAACTACCAGAAACTACAAAACAAAACTTTTTCTTTTTTGTCTTCAAAAAGCTAAATTTCGACAAACTCACCGTATCCCGTGGATCCGCGTATTCCATCGAATATTCAGCGTCGTTGGTGGATCAATTTCATTGAGCCGTTGTATCGTCTGCTCGTCGATTTTTGCCAATTTGTCACTAAACTAATCTTTGGGGCTTAAAAAATCTAACTCACATCAACTGGGCGCTCGTTGGGACCAAATGGACCGTAATTTCTAGGTCAATCTTCCGCACATCATCCTCTAGATTTGCCATTTCTGCACGGGGGACCTGCATCGCCTTCCGAAAATGACGGTAAGGACTGAAAAAATAGTGTAAAAAGCGTTATTTTAGATCTTACCAATAAATATAACTGTTGTGGCGAGCTTGTAGGGATCTTCTTCTTTCCGGAATTCGTGGTAGGCTGTCTACAACACGCTATTAAAAACATTTTAAAAAAATCCACAAACCGGCAGCCGATCAATCAACTCTTGCACGTCTTTTGGCGCCGGTTCCTCGGGCTCCCCGGTCGGCGGGGCCTTCAACTTCAGCGCGACAAGAATCTTGTCCAATATCGTCATCGCGCAGCCAGGTGATTAGCGAGGTGAGATCCTGGAAAATGACGCATTACTAGAATTTTTTTATTGCATCGCCCACAAAATTTCAAACACTATTTCTACGATAACATACCTTAACACCCCTGGGTTTGCCAAGAGCCAAAAAACACAAGGCGAGCACGAAACTGACGGCCGTCAAAATCGACCATACATCCATCAACTGGCGTAGAAACTTCGTGTGCCGTTTTCTGAGAGCTTGGCCTGAAAATTAAAGACTGTTGGAACGCGCATGTTGCAAATTCGGGTCCAAAAGTTACTCTTAATCAATATTATAGGTGAGGGAGGGGAATTCGAATTGTTTTTCTTACGCTTCAAGATATGCCTAGGAACGTAAAACAAAAATATTTGCATTTCATTTCGGAGATCTATTTGAAAACTCACAAAAATTAAATAATTTATAATCAAAAAATATAAAGTATTCGTTGAAAATAGATTTTTCGGTAGCTTTTCATAAAATTTGTAAGGTTTTACGTTAGGAATAGCAAACGAAGCGCATAAAAAAAACCCAATTGTTTAAAACACATCAATCTGGAACGCCTCTGTTTTGCCACAAAAACTTTATGATAAAGACTTTATTCCGTACACACGCAAAGTAATCACAAGAAGCAATGACCACGAGCAGAAGCCGGGGGTTAAAGCTGTATAAAGCGCCGAGGACGACACATTCACAGAATGCGGCTTTTGGAAGGACATACTTTTGCATTTGAAGAATTACTGGTGTGGAATCTTGAGACCTGGATACGGGCGGAGGAAATCTTCGGAATACTTTGTCGTATAATGCTGCGAGGCGGCAAGGTGAGAAATTGAGACAATAGAGGCCCAAAAATGTGTGGAATCGCGTCGGGGCAAAAATTCGATAGAACCGGTTCGATGTCGGGCGGAAGTAATGAGGGGTGCTTTGGCAGTACCGGGGGGGATTCTTTCCGAGCGGTCCAGAATGTGTATTAACGTAAAGGAAAGTATTTTAATAGTTTTTCAGTAAAATCTAAAAAATTTCAAGCAGCAAAACTATCTAAAAAAAACGTAAAATGCCAAAAATATGAAATTTTTATCCAAAATTTTTCTATTTTTTTTAGATTTCAAGCGGAAAAACCAACCATATCAAAACTTGTTCAAAGTCGATATTTTTTTGAATATTCTGGTGAAAATTCGCAGTTTTTACATTTCAAATAGTAAAAAGAAGTTGAAAAATAATTTCTGTTAGAAAAATTGGCTTCCACCCCCCGATAATGCCAATGCACCCGTAATCGTAATACAAGGGTAAAGACGCCGCACGTACGAAGCAAATGACCCATCAATAAGTCTGAGCTGAACGAGGGGCGAGTAATTTGAAAGCCGTTCTAAAGCAAGAGACACGGAAGAAACCAGCTTTACAGTTTGGCAAAATGGACAAAACGTTCAAAAGTTGAAAATGTGGCTAAAATGTCAAAAGTGAAAAGTGGGGCGTTGTCGCGGGGGCGGTCCAGAGTATTCGTAAGGCGGGTTAATAAATATATATGGAGAGGCAAGCGAAATCGGGGGAATCGTTGGTGGGGAGGTGGAAAAGCTCGGAAATCAGCAAAAATAGCTTTTTCATACCTCAAAACTGCAAAACAAAAGGTTTAGCTAATTTTCAGACTTCGAGGTTTCTAAGGGGCAGGGATATATACAAATTTCGGGGTTCGAAAGCCAAAAAGGCTTGCTCTAGAGGGGAATCAATGGTCCAGATACCATTTCGACCGCTGGGCAAAGATGTCGCTCTTCAGGTTCTGGGCGAAGCAAATGCCGAGGATCTGAAAAAAAATGGCAGTTTATTTATTTTATGAAATGAACTTTTACATTATCGGGGGAGGCTTATTCTTACAAGTCCAGATGATGTAATAATGCAATAGCAATTACTATAAGTTTTTAGAAAAAAAGCCATATACTGATCAGAAAAACTATCCAGACCAGGTAGAAAAATGGCTAAAAAATTTTAGAATTTTAGTAGAAAACCATTTTTATTATTTTCAAGCAAATTAGTGTATTTTTTGGGTCCAGAATAGTAAAAAGTATAGAAACACGTTCACGCTTGAACCCGATACCTAGCAGAGGTTCTTTGCGGAATTTTCCCTTTTTTTCTTACCTGAACAACAGCCACGACCAGCATCGAAATTCCGACGAGCAGCACGTTGTTGTTGAACCAGAGCTGAAGCTTTGGCAAACAGCCTTCAGTGTAGATACTTCCGGGTTGGTTTTGGTCCTAAAGTGGCAATAAATTAAAATAAAAATAATCTTACCCTCAGCCTGACGCCATGGCCGCAAAAGTAGTTTTTGAATGACACCTCGCTGCTGTTGAGGCAACACGAGAATGGGACACCACCGGCTTCCGGGGATTGGATCTGGAAAAATTAGTTCTTTAGCTTTAAATTTTAACAAAAACCCGTTTTCAAGGATTAATATGAAGCCAAGTTAAACTAGCGTCAAAATCTAGCCAAAGATTTCACTCAAAAACTCACGTCTCTCGAGGTCATACTAAAATAGCTGTTCTTGTCCCAGTCGTCGGCGCTGTTGATTCCGCAACACTTCCACGCTTCCTAAATTCATTTTTCTTCGGAAATTTTAGCGATTTTTACCTGCATAGAGTCGATGAGGATCTGAAGATCGGGGTCGTCTCGATAGCCCTCAATCTAAAAATCAAACAAAATATAAATTTTAAGGTTTTCAACGAACCACGTCGTTGAGCAGCTTCCGGAAGTATTGGTCCAACTGCTCCTTACAAACGTAGGCAAAAGCCCCCGCGGCAAATTCGGCGATGAGAAGAAGGCCTGAAAATTGGTTCGTCAAACTAAATACAATACCATGATCAAGAAAAAAAAAACAAAAAATCAAAAATAAATTACCTAGCAAAGTGGAATAGAAAGTCAGGAACGAGGTATTCTCCCTCAACGACCCGATGCAACCGCTGAAGCCTAAAATCACGGAAAATTAAAAAATATCAACAAATTCACGAACCTATGATAAACGTCACCATCCCGACGACGATCAGCAGCCAAGTGGGATCAAGGTAGAGTTTTGAGGCCTAAAAACTTGTATTTTCATGATTTTCTTTGGCGTTTACCTTATTCAACTGGCTGTAGATGCTGTTCTTCTCGATCTGGGCCCACACGCCGATCACCAACAGGCTGAAGCCGAGCAGGAAAAAGAGCACGTTGAAGGCGAACACGCTAAAGGAAAATTATCTAGCTTTCAATGCCTCAAAATACCTATATTTTACACAGCAACTGATCTCCGATTCACCGCCCAGACCTGGCGCGTAGCGAACACCCTAAAAGACGGAAAATTTAATGGCAAACACAAGATTCTAAAAGGCATTTCGGCAAAGGTTACCGCATGTCAGTAGATCCGGCCTCGTTGCGCGGCGGGTCGTCGCATGCGTTCGGCCTGTCGCGTGTCGCCCGCCATACCGACCCGCTAGACCAACAAATAAAAAAATTTTTAGAGGATTTTTGAGTGGACTATGAGCTGTTCAAGGGGAATAGATCGTTACAATCTGTTATTAAAGACGCTGGCCGCAACATAATAAGCGATGCAATTCTATTTTATAAATGCCAAACTTATAAAATCGTGGAAAGGTTAGGAATTTAGAGCAATTTTGAGGCCAGAAACAAGTTAATCACGGCTACAAATTGTTATAATCGGTGCTTTTTAAAACCGATAATCACCTAATCCATCGAAATCTGCATTGGTAAAATCGTAATAAAAGTACAGAAATTTTCAGAGCAATTTTTAAAGCGAAAAGGAGCCACCGCCCGGCTATAAATTCCTCTAATATGCCATTTACAAAATTGCTAATACCATAAACTACCAAATGCGAAATTTATATAAACGTAATAGCGATATCCGCGGTCATATGAGTCAGATGCACGGCTCGTCAAAGCGCACTTTAGTACGGCGCGCGCCTTTTGCCACCGGTCCCTATGCGGCGGCGCCGCCCATATTAGAAAAAGCAAAGTTTGTAGTTTTCTTGCCATAACTTTTTTGGCAAGATTTCGAAAATTTGGGAGGCTTGACGAATCGATAGAGAAAAAAATTCTCTATCGAACGGTGACTGTTGCATAGGGCGTTCTCAAGGAAATAAGGAGTTATTCAAGTCTAAAGTTTCACAAATTTCCGAAACAGTGGTTTTACAACGGGCTTTTCGTCCTCTTGGTATAAGATACCGTCAATAAGTTGCTAATGAGTTACGCGAAGTACAAATGTACTATTCTGACTCAAATATCAAAGCTTTTGGAAAGCTAAAGCCATTTTTCAAAACGATAATATGGAGCTTCAAATAATCGTGCTTTATAAGGTCATTTTCTATCTAAATGGATCAAATCAGAGAGCGTGAATCGAGAATTACTGAATTATCATGTTTCGGTTCAGAAAATGAGTTCAAACGGCAATTTTTTTTCTGTCAAAGAGGCGCAAGCCTGGTAATATACTGTCCTAATCTACTAAAGTAAGGGCCCCAAGTGGTAATACATCTCGATATTTAGTAAAAAATTGACCCGCCGCCTTCAAAAATTATTTTAGAGCAAATTCGCGACTGTTTTTGGGCTCCTTTCCGGCAAAAATCCTTCTGGCTCCGATTTTCCGAATTTCTAGGCATAACTCGCTAGTTTGCTTTGGCTTACTGCCTCCCAGAGCTTTTGTGATACTATTAGAGCAAAAAAGCTCTGGCGTACATCCATCAACTGGCGTAGAAACTTCGTTTGCCCGTTTTCTGAGAGCTTGGCCTGAAAATTAAAGATTTTTGGAACGCGCGTGTTGCAAATTCGAGTCCAAAAGTTACTCTCAATCAATATTTTAGGTGAGGCAGGGGAATCCGAATTTTTCTCTTACGCTTCAAGATATGCCTAGGAACGTAAAACAAAAATATTTGCATTTCATTTCGGAGATCTATTTGAAAACTCACAAAAATTAAATAATTTATAATCAAAAAATATAAAGTATTCGTTGAA